AGAACCTCTGCTAGCCTGCCCTTTCCTAAAGAATCTCTGCTAGCTTGCCCTTTCCTAAAGAATCTCTGCTAGCCTGCCCTTTCCTAAAGAATCTCTGCTAGCTTACTCTTCCCCGAAGAAACTCAGCTAGCTGCCTTTCCTGAAGAAGCTGTGCTAGCTATCCCCCTATTTCTCAAACAATCTCTGCTCGCTTGCCATCTAGATTCCTCAAATTAACACTGCTAGATCGCCTTGCCTAAGAAATTTTCAGTTGGGTCTGTGCTAGCCTAATTTTCACAAGAATCACTGCCAGTCTCGATTATCGAAATTCCCAAAAATTCTGTGCTGGCTTGCCCCCCCCCAAATTCCAAAAACCAGCTCCCCCCCGCAGCCCTCAACAATGTTTGGCTTTGAAAAGTCAACAGCGAGCACGAAATCCCGAATTATCTGGGCGCGGATTTTGAGCACGAGGACCGGCTCGCCCATCCCCCCGGCGGATAGCGATTTATCGGCCGCCACCGGGGGGTGAAAATGCCGACAGCTTTTTCGCCACCGTGAGCGTGAAATAGCAGCCCTCAAATCCAAATACGCCTCGAAACTGTCGCCGCGAAAAACGTAAAGGGGATCGTGGCGGAAAAGTGCTGGATGACGAAGCAGCCGGGATGGTACAGCGGATTTTAATTGCTTTTTGGGTGGCTTTATCTGGTTTTTTCTGGATGGCGGTTTGAGAGGGATCATTTAGAATCGAGGGAAGAATTTACTTGGATTTCTATCGCTCTCTCTCTCTCTCTCTCTCTCTCTCTCTCTCTATCTATCATTTTTTCTGGCACCCGATTTTCAGCCCATTTGGCCGGCCGCCAATTAATTCGACAACCCTCTAAATAACGCGTCAATAGGCGCATCGTGCACAAAGCAGCGAAATTGCCTAGTTTACCCCCCGATTTCATGCTTCAAACGACTCGAAAAGGATTTAGTGTGGGTCTCGTGGGTGAAAATTTTGGAAAAAATGATCCGCTCGACATGGCTTGTTTTTCAAATTCCCAGAGAACCTCTGCTAGCCTGCCTTTTCCTAAAGAATCCCGGTTAGCTTGCCCTTTCCTAAATAATCTCCGCGAGCGTGCCCTCCTCATCTCCCGAATTTTTTAACAATTTTTTTGAAGTATTTTCCCCGGCCCGAATCCGGTTTTCCAACCGAAAACTGATCCCGCCTTTCCCCGAGATCTCACGAGCCATCAAAATCCCGAATTATCGAGCTTATCCTCGGGCTCGGGAAGTCAAAATCCCATTTTTCCCGGGTCCCGCTGCGGGACCCGAAGAAATCCCCCGTTTATTACGCTTTTCAGGCATTTTGAAATGTCACACATTTCGAAAATTTGGAGTCAAAAATCCCTGTTAGCTTACCGTTTCCTAAAGAATCTCTGCTAGCCTGCTTGAAGCCCTTTTAAATGGGTCCTAATCAACCTTCGCCAATGCCCCGCATGCAAATTAGGGCCTTTCTGAGCGCTTTTACGCAACCGTCCTATACTAGGGTAATTAGGGGGACCCCCGGCTGGTCCAAGGTTCGGGCCATTCACCTGGCCTCCTCTCAGTCTCTCTCTCTCTCTCTCTCTCTCTCTCTCTCTCTCTCTCTCTCTCTCTCTCTCTCTCTCTCTCTCTCTCTCTCTCTCTCTCTCTCTCTCTCTCTCTCTCTCTCTCTCGCCGAACCCCCAAAAAACCTCTGCTAGCCTGCCAGCGTATTTTGACAGTGGAAAGCCCCCAAATTTCATGATTTTCCATTCCTATCGCGATCCGGATATTGATACCCATATCTCCCCAATCGGTTTCGCGACTTTTCCGAAATATTTGAGACAATTTGATTTGTGGATCACACCCCGCGTCGCGTGTTTGGGCTAAAAAAAGTCGGGCGCTCCCCGAAATTCCGTGATTTCCGTGATATGTGGTGATGATTCGTTCGAAACTTTTGGTCTCTCTCTCACTCTAGGTCTCTCGTTCTGGCTCGCTCTCTCTATCTCTCTCTCTTCGTCTCCATTTTTGAACCCAAGAATTCAAGATTCTACAGTAAGCCCTTCCACGTGGCATCCGCATATGCCCTGGCTTATCCCACGTCTAGTCACCATTTTTAGGCAATCGTGGCTCTTGGAAGGAGGGTTTACACGGAATCTATTCTTTATTCTAAGCGTAGCTATTCCTAAGGAATTTCTGCTAGTCTGCCCTCAATTTTTTGAAAGTTTAACACGGTTTCCGGCTTTCCAGCGCCTTTAGCAGGACTGGGAAGACGGGAAGCGTGAGTGTGAGCTCTAGGCACCTTGAAGCGACTACAGCGAGCATGCTAGCAGAGACCCGTGGGGAAACATCATTCAAGCTTAAGCTTAAGCCTAAGCCTAACCCTAAGCTAAAACCTAAGCCGAAAGCGACGCCGAAGCCAAGCCTAGCCCTACGCCTAAGCCTAAACCTAAGCCTAAGCCCAAGCACACCTAGCTCAATTTTGCAGCTCCAAAAACCCCCACCTAGTCCCCCATCTATCAGCCCGGCGAGTACCAACAAATGCCCCGGGGCCCGGCCCACAACTCTGATTCCCCGACTAGACACTGTACAATCAGTCAGGCCGCGTTCGCTTAGGGCCCCCGGGCCCTAAGCGAAATTTTCGGAGGGGGGCTTTGAAAAAACTTCGACCATTGCCAGGGGGCCAAATGGGCAAACGAACGCCCCTCACCAATCACTGGCTGCTTTATGGGGCAGCAGAAAGGGAGGGGGGAAGTGTTTTGGGGGTGTCGAACCGAGTCGTGAAAGGATTGTAAATGTTTTTTTCTTTTTGATCCTACATTTTGACCTTTGATTTCTTTAAAAACGTTTTGAAAACCAAAAAGGATTTTGTGAAAAGGGCAGATTTGCAGAGATTCTTAGGGAAAAGGCAGGCTAGCAGAGATTCTGTAGGGAGTCTGGCCAGCTCATGGGTTTGCTAGTTTCCGGAAGTCCCTTAAACTCCAATTCTGATGCCTGCCCAGCCCCTTTAAAATTCTTTTTATGTCCCTAAAATCCGGTAAGACCCTAAACTTCATTTTTTTCCTTGATTTCTTGCTTTAAAATTTAACAAAACGGTTTGACGCCCTGAAGGCGGTCACTTTGCCTTCCCAGTCCCTTTAAGAGCTTCGGCACCCCGAAATTCCGCTTCTCTGGCCGCGTTTTTGTCCTCCGAACAGATCCAGGAACCCCGCCCAGGTCCCTGCCAGGGGTTAAATAATTGTTGTCTCTCCCTGTCGGATTGGAACGGGGCGCTTAGAAGCCTGTGGGGCCAGGTGATCCGTTCGAAATCAAGCGCCCCCAGCGCGCCAGTTGTTCCGAAATGGCCGCCCCGAGCCTGGGACAAAAGCCACGGGGTACCGGCGGAGGGCCCAGACTGGAAAAGCCGACTCGAGAAAAGTTGGAAAAAGCCGAAACCGGGGGCCCGAAAAAGTTTGATTGAACACCCGGGCGGGGCTATCATCGCCCCAGGGGCCATCGTATAGTCAGCGATCAGTGTTTCTCAGGCCGGAAAGGTCGAAAAAACGGAAAGAGGAAGGAGGCGGAACACGAATTGAGGGGTCTGGGTGGATCCGTTCAAGCCGTGTGGGGCATATGACCCGGGTGTTGCAGCGTATTTTGACCTAAGGCAGGCTTACGCTTGGGCTTAGGCTTAGGCTTAGGATTAAGCTTCGGCTTAGGCTTGGGCTCAGGCTTAGGCTTAGGCTTAGGCTAGGGTTAAGGCTTCGGTTTAGGCTTAGGCTTAGGCTTAGGCTTAGGCGGAGAGAGTGATTAGAAGAATTTACTTTCAAACAATCCTTATGCACTCGATTCATATTTGTAACTATTGATGCGATAACCAGCATAATTTTCACTTCCTGGTCCCTTTAAAATCCAAATATCGTCATTTTCCTTGCAAAACCATGTCCTGCATTTTCTAAATTTCGCGACAATTACCGTCTTCCCGCGAAATCTGGCAGCTGAAAATTTTGTGCCAATTTTCGGTTGGGGTGGCGACGAATTTTACGCGCTAGATCGATTACCTGCCCTGGCTGATGAAATTTTGCAGAAATCGCAGGGAAGGGAGAGAGAGAGAGAGAGAGAGAGAGAGAGAGAGAGTGAGAGAGAGGGAGAGAGGCAGAAAATTAAATACCAAATTCATTTTCACGCACCCCTTTACGCAATCAAATTCGACTCAGCAAAATGGGTGCCCCTGATTGCTTTTGCGGGGTCCCAATAATTGCGAGATTCCGTTTTTCCGCCATTTTTCGTAATTTTGATTGTTTTCCCGACGTCAGGCCCGTCTGGGCGTTTTTGCAGTTAAATTTTTTAAATCTGAATTTACGCTAATTGCCGGTTTTTCAGAAGGAATTCTGCAACAAGTACTACCTGGCCACGCACCGCGCCGCCAAGCACACCTACGGTGAGTCAAAATGTTTTTTTTTTGAAGAAAAACGCTATTGCTCTTATTCATTAAAGCATGTTTAAAGGGACTGGGAAGGCAGAAATTAACCCCTTACTTCCTCTGGATCTAGACACGAGAGAGTGAGTGGGAGGGCGAGAGAGAGCGAGAGCGAGAGTGAAAGAGGGAGAGAGTGGAAGCAAGAGAACGAGGGCGAGAGAATTCTGAATTGGCAGATCGAACCAGAGCGTGAGAGATAGGGAGAGAGGAGAGAGAGAGAGAGAGAGAGAGAGAGAGAGAGAGAGAGCGAGAAAATTCTGAACTGACATATCGAGCCAGAGCGTGGGAGATAGAGAGAGAAAGAGAAAGAGAGAAAGAGAAAGAGAGAGAGAGAGAGAGAGAGAGAGAGAGAGAGAGAGAGAGATACAGCGAGTCAGATAGAATGCTATTTTCTGAAACTTCAAAACCTCTCTTTAAACGACCAATTTCAGTGCCCCGGCCGTGTCGTCGACAAGGTGAAGGCGCGGAAGGTGCGCAGCTAGAGGACTACCTCTCCTGCTCAACCCCAATTGGCCCCTCGTGCTCCCTCCTCCTCAACCCGAAAATGCTGCAGTCGGCGATGCCGGATTTCGGGTCGACCGCCCTAAACAATGCCTCGGGCAACAACCCCAGCACCCCGCATACCCAGATCGATCTCACACAGTTGTTCTTGGCGGGATTGGACGCGGTAAGCGACGTTTTTGAATTTTTGTGACCTCAGGTGGTAGCCTAGAATTGGGGCACCAAGGGTCACGCCTAATAAAATTTTTGAATTTCGGAATTTCGACGCGGGATAGCGCGGGAAAATTTGCATTTAGCGTTCTGAGACCCGTTTTTCCTTAAAAATCCAGATCTAAATCCGCCCCGAAAAATAGCTTTTTTTGGTTACGGTAGTCCAGCAGGGCGGAAACCGCCTTTTATACTTCAAATTTTTGGCTGTTTCTACTTTACAAATTTAACTCGAGTTTCATTAATTCCCTACACTGTTAATAAACTTGATAAAAAATCCCGCATTTTCGATTTGTTTTTGATGCGAAAAATTTTTTAGAAAAATTTAGTGACCTTTTTAAAGTCAATATTTTGGCCAAAAAGCAGGAAATTCAAAGTTTTATGTTGTTAAATTGTTTAACAATTGTTCGACTCTTTCTAGGCTCTAATTTGCATAAAGCAAATTTTCAAGGTTTCAGGATTTAAGGCCATTTGCGCGAAAAATTATTGAATTCCGAAAAATTTTTTAACGGCAAAGAATTTTGGGATTTTCTATGCGTAGGTTCGTTTTGGGTTCGGCGCAGGCTTGTTCTTGGGCTTAGCTTATGGTTTGCTTAGGCTTAGGCTTCGGCTGATTTTTAGGCGTAGACATAGCTTACTAAAAACTCGTCACAATTTAATATAAGACAAACAACTTTAAAATTAAACTTTAAATTTGCTATAAAAATTCGTAGTGAGTCATAGCCGAGAAAACTTATGGAAAGTAAAGCCCAAACCTAAGTCGTTAGTGCGCGCACCAGCAGACGCCTGGGATCGACTGGCTTGATAAGCCTGATAAGCGCGACTTCGAGATCCGCGCTTATCTGTTGAGCATTAAGCCGCATCTGCGCCTGACCGTAAACTTTTGAAGCCAAGCCGCCAAGGTCATGGGAAAAGCTAAGTCTCCTCTTACGAAATTCGGAACGTTTTATTTATTCCAAGCTTTCTACCTTTTCAGAATAAACAGTTTTTGATTGATTTTTGACATAAGCTACGCTAAAAAAAATATATTTCAGAATTCGTTGGCCGCCGGCAACCAGTTCCGGAATCTCTTCCAGATGAACCAGTTGGCGCAGATCTCGGGCGGATCCCCGTCACCCGCCTCTTCAGCACCCTCTTCCGCTTCTGAGGTGGCTTTTCTAAAGTTTAATTTTCAAATTTTGGGAGCAAATATGTTAAAAGCACTTAAAACCCCTTTTCTGCTCCATATTTCATCTTTTAAAAGATTTTTTCAGGCCTGGGGCTTCATTCTGCAGTTATAGTTGTTAAACCCAAGGCTTGACTTTCCATTTTTCAAGCGTTTTACAAGCTTGGTGCTTCAAAAACCCGATGATTTTCTAAGCCGATATCCCCAGATGTTAACCAGATTCCGTATTCAATTACCTTCCCTTTACCGACTTACCGTAACCCCAATTTCATGCTAAATCTCTCCTTTTTTGGCCTCAAAATTTCATCCAGCAGCGCGGCTTTTGTTGAGAGCGGCTAATCCGCTCCGGGGTTCGGTCAGGAAGTGTGCGGACGCTATGCCCATTTTTGGACATGGATGGCATCACCTACTTCCCATTGGGCGAGGCTTAGGCTTAAGATTGGGCTTAGACTTAGGCTTGGCTTAAGCTTAGGCTTGGGCTTAGGCTTAGGCTTAGGCTTAGGCTTAGGCTTAGAGCTTAACCCCGCTTTCCACCGGTTCCACCCCCCGCCCCGACCTCGGCCTCTCCACTTTCTCGAGAAATGCGAGTTCGAGTAAAACTCGAGTTCTCGAGCCCAGCGGCTTTATTCCCGCCCAAAAGCCACCCCCATCCGGAACCCGTCCGCTGACCTGGATCCCCTGGCTCTCGATCTCTCGAAAACGGCTTCTTTCCCCCTACCACCCGTTTTTGATGATCAGCCTTGTTATCTCTGGCGATCTCTCTCTCTCTCTCTCTCTCTCTCTCTCTCTCCTAAGGCAAAGATACGCTTTCACCCCTTCCCCATTTGTCTAATCATAGCCGATCAACTGCACCGCTTTCCGAAACGATCCTCGGGGCGGGGCGCAAAAACTGTAGCTCCCGGAGGCGCTATTTGGGTTTTTTAGATATTCCCGACGGAGAGCTTTTCCAAAATAATCTCTGCAAGTCTGCTCTTTCCTAAAGAATCTCTGCTAGCTGGCCTGGGTCAGATCCACTGAAGCTTGCTTTCCTAAGGTTGTTCCAGCCACTAAATTTCCCCAACGATCTTTGCTAGCGTTCGCCCTTTCTCTCTGGCTCACTCTCGCTCTCTCTCGCTCTCTTTCGCTTTCTCGCTCTTTCTCGCACTATTTCGCTCTCTCTCTGCTCTCTCTCTCTCTCTCTCTCTCTCTCTCTCTCTCTCTCTAAACCAAATTATTCCGTCTTGTACTTCTCGGCACGTCGGGTACAAAACCTTACTCCATCCCATTCTATTTTTGCATCAAAAGGGATTTATGTACATTGCGTCGAAGCGGATGCGCCCGAAAATCCTCTAATTTCCGCCACTACCCCCCCACTCTCTCGCCATTCAACTCAAATCCGTCCCTCTAAAATCAGCTAATCTCTCTTTGAGGCCAAAAATTTCGTGCCAGAGAGAGAGCGAGAGAGATAGAGAGAGAGAGAGAGAGAGAGAGAGAGAGAGATTTGTGTCGTGCTGGATTAGGCAGCCCTCCAGCCCCCCTTGAACCCATAGTAAAGCCGACCCCCCCCCCCCAGGTTGCAGCCCCGCAAAAATAGATCGCCCTTCCGGGTGGGGGAAAGATTAAGAATGTAAAAAAAATCAGAAGGGCCAGATTTTGAGAAAATTCAATCTATTCTGCAGAAATTTTGAGAGCTAGACAGATTTTCCTGCCGAAACTCTGCTAGCTTGCCATCTGGCGGGGCCAGTTCGACCTCTGCTCCCTCCAGAAACTCTGCTAGCCTGCCTCGCCCTGCCCCTCAAAAAACGAGAATTGCCCATATTTCCAATTCTAACCAATTCCAGCTTTTCCAGAGCCAACCGACCACAACGCAGCCTGGCGGCCAATCCGCCGACACCGCCACCCCTCCAGCCACAGCTGAAGCTCAAGTGACACAGGGTGGACCGGTGCCCAGCTGGTTCTCCGCGATGCTACCGCAACCACATGCCATGCAGCAACAGTAAGTTTTTGATGACCAAGCCTAAACTAGTGAAAAACAAGTCAAAAATCCCGATTTCAGGATGCCCGGCAACATGTCCGCCCTGATGGAGCAGTTCGGCCTCCCCGGCCTCCTCGGCCAGAACCCCCTGGCGTTGGCCGCCGCCCTCGGCGCCACCCCCAACACCCCCACATCGGCCAACTCCCTCTTTGGCCAGATGACGTCGCCACAAAAGGAGCTCTTCTGCGACGTCTGCGAGAAGTCGTTTTTCAACCGCGACTTCTTGAAGACGCACATGCGCAACAAGCACGGAGTGGATGTTGACAATGAGACGCCGAAGAAGAGCGGCAGCCCGAAGCAGCGTGAGTTTACCTGAAGAATCTTTGCTAGCCTGACCTTTCCTGAAAAATCTGTGCTAGCCTGCCCTTTCCTAAAGAATCTCTGCTAGCCTGCCCTTTCCTAAAAAATTCCTGCCAGCCTGCCCTTTCCTAAAGAATCTCTGCTAGCCTGCCCTTTCCTAAAGAATCTCTGCTAGCCTGCCCTTTCCTAAAGAATCTCTGCAAGCCTGCCCTTTCCTAAAGAATCTCTGCTAGCGATCGGCAACTACGCGGATTTCCAAATTACGCCCAATTTTAGCGAAGACTGCCTTCCCCTTCATCCCCGCGTCAACCTCAGCGGGTCCAGCCCACTCGGTGATTGTCGGGCACGGAAATGACGAGACGCCGAAGAAGATCGCCAAGATGGAGACCAACGAGGAGGAGGACAACTCGCTCAAGTAGGTGTTAAAGCGGTGGAGGATCATTAGATTTTCGGGACCAAAAATATCTCTAGAATTTAATAACCTTAAAAATCTTTAGGAACCCGATGGAGGTGCTGCTCTCCCAGATGCACAAGGGCCAACAGGGGCAGGGGTCAAGTTGCGACGAGTGCGGAAGGGAATGCGCCACGTTCTTCGACCTGCTCGCCCACAGAGCCCAGGAACACAGTGGAGAGTGAGTGGAAGAGAGAGAGAGAGAGAGAGAGAGAGAGAGAGAGAAAGAGAGAAATGTTGGAAAGTATCTAAACCCATCATTTTTAGCAAAGAAAACCCGACGTTCCGATGCGGCGAGTGCCCGGAGATGTTCGACAGCCAGGAGACGTTACACCAGCACGGCCAAATCGCCCATGGAGGTTGGTTTTAGCCTAAGCCTAAGCCTAAGCAAAGCAACCTAGCCTAATCCCAAGCCCAAGCGAAGCCTAAGCTTAAGCCTAAGCCTAAGCTTAAGCCTGAGCCCAAGCCTAAGCTTAAGCCTGAGTCCAATCTAACCTCTTCCAGGTGCCGCCCGGCAACTCCTCAACAGCCTCCTCCCGCCGGGATTCCCCAACTTCCTCCCCAATTTCTTGCCCCCGGGCATGGGAGCCCAATTTGGGCTCGACGGCTTGGATCCGAACAACCCGCTGGCCGCACTTCAGCAAGGCGTACGTTTCTGATTGCTTTAAAATAATTGGAAAGATGGAAAATGATGGAAACTACTTAAATTGGCCCATTTCAGACAAAACCGAGCACGGGTGGAAGCGCGCAGAAGCGGACGTACGCGAGCAATGGGAAGAACTACTGCGATTTGTGTAACAAGGAGGTGAGTGTTTTGGCGATCGCTCTCTCTCTCCCTCTCTCTCTCTCTCGCTCTCTCTCTCTCTCTTTCTCTCTCTCGCTCTTTCCCTAACAGTCATTTTCAGGTCTGCAACAAGTACTTCTTGCGCACGCACATGCTGAAAATGCATGGCATCGTCATCGACGAGAACAAGATGGTCATCGCCAACATTGACACGGCCGAGAAGGAGCGGATGGGCGGCATCACTTTCCGGTTGGTTCTTGAGAAGACATTGGGGCAGGCTAGCAGAGATTATTGTGGAACCACCCAACAGCTAAGCCTAGGCCTAGGCCTAAGCCTAAACCTAGCCTAAGCTGAAACCTAAGCTTAAGTTTAAGTCTAAGCCGAAGTCGAAGCAAAGCCTAAGCCTAAGCCCAAGCCTACTTAGCAAACTTAGGACACCAATCTTCAGATGCGACATCTGCATGGTCGAGCTGAAATCACGCAACCTGCTCCGGCAACACAAGCAGGACCAGCATGGCGTGGCCCCGATCTCCACACCCCAGCGCCCCCAGAAGCCGCCACAGCCAACAACGCCTACCACCACCCATATGCCGGCGATGCAACCGCTCGGACAGTTGAATGGTGCGTTTTGTGCATCTCGCTCTCTCTCTCTCTCTCTCTCTCTCTCTCTCTCTTCTCTTTCTCTCCCCTGCAAAAAGCGTACTTTCTACAATCCTCCCATTTCCGGAAGTCCCACCTGTCTGCCCACCCAGAAATCGATTCCGGCCAGGCCGCGAAGAGTTCGGAAAAGAGCGCGGATTTTAAGCCGCCAGACATGAATTCAAATTTTAGAACGCTCTTTTTTTTACAAAATTTCCATTTTCCAGGCTCCCCGGTCTTTGACCAGCTGTTCGAGAAGTGCTCGGTGTGCGAGAAGCGCGTCCACATCGCCGCCCTGCCCCAGCACATGGCCCACGAACACCCCCCAGACATCTCCCAGCAATTGTTGGCGCATTTCAAGGTGGGCAAACGAGCAGAGAGCATCAGGGAAGGGGCAAGAAATCAAGCCTAGGCATAGGCTTAGGCATAGGCTTAGGCTTAGGCTTAGGCTTAGGCTTAGGCTTAGGCTGAGGCATAGGCTTAGGCCTAGGCTTAGGCTTAGGCTTAGGCTTAGGCTTAGGCTTAGGCTTAGGCTTAGGCTTAGGCTTAGGCTTAGGCTTAGGCTTAGGCTTAGGCATAGGCTTAGGCTGAGGCATAGGCTTAGGCCTAGGCTTAGGCTTAGGCTTAGGCTTAGGCTTAGGCTTAGGTTTAGCGTCTGAAAAACTTTGTAATCGATTGAAATAAAGAAATGAAAATTTTCAGGGCTTCATGCAACAATCGCCGATGGCGGAGCTGATCCCGTGCAAATTCTGCCCTCAGCGCTTCAAGGAGGAGGGCGAGGTGCAGATGCACATGATCAGCCAACACGCCGCGGAGTTGCTGTCTGCACATGCTGGAGAGCTGAAGAGTGAGTTTCTCTTTCTCTATCTCTCTCGCTCTCTCTTTCTCTCTCTATCTCTCTTTCTCTACCTCTCTCTATCTCCCTCTCTCTCCCGCTCTCTCCCGCTCTCTCTCCCGCTCTCTCTCGCTCTCTCTCTCTCTCTCTCTCTCTCTCCAACAACCATTTCCAGGATGCGAAGAACCCGGCGTGGAACGTTGCCCCCAATGCCCATATCAAACCAAAAATCCCCGAAACATGGAGATCCACATGGAACGCCACGAGCGCCTCAACGAGGTCAAGGAGGGCGACGGGGACGACGAGGCGCTGACCATCACGCAGCAGGCCGCCTTGAAGATGGTCCAGATGAATCATGTAAGTGAATCTCCATGGCTTTGAAGCAGTTCAGGGGAGCAACACACTTCCGTAAACACATCTGCTAGGAAGATAAAATGAGTTCTTTCCAGTTCCCCGCTGCATTCACCGCTGCTGCTCCTCCCCCACCGGTAGTTGTCGTTCCTCCAAAAGCTGCCGAGAAGCTGGTATGCGACATCTGCGACCGGTCCTACAGCCGGCTGGAGCTGCTCGAGTCTCACCAGAGGGTCATGCACTCGAAGAGCGACGCGTTGAAGATGATGCGCAGCGAGATGAAGTCGTTGCGGCCGATGAAGAATGGTGAGAGAGCGAGAGTGCGAGAGAGAGCCAGAGAGAGTCAGAGAGGGAGAGCGAGATAGAGAGAGGGGAGTGAGAGCGCGTGAGAGAGCGGGAGAGCTAGACAGAAAGAGAGAGAGAGAGAGAGACTGATTTAACATTTCTACTTTAAACATTCTAACCCTTTTTTTAGTCCGGAAACTACGTCTACCCTGGAGCTTCAACCGGGCGCGGCTACACGTCGACACCCGGAATCGGCTGCGCCCCGAGGAGAAGAAGAGCGACGCCCACCCCCACGTCGAGGGACATAGCCATACGGTAGGTGGTGGAGAGATTTAGGAGTTTAAAGGGCTTGGAAAGTGCCAAAATCTACTTCATCTGGCGTCTTTCTAGACCCTTTTAAAGGAGCCTAGAAGTCACAAACACCCAGAAGCTGAAACCCTACGTACAACCAGCAGTTTCAGTCCGGCTCCGTGTCCCCATCCGGCGGCAGTCTTCCCGAGGGCTTTGCTCGCCCTCAGAATACGACACAATCCTACGTGATGCAGTCGTTCGTGATCCGCGAGAATGACGCCTCCAAATCCGGGGCCTTTCCGAACGAGGTGAGCTTGTTTCCGGAGTGTGTCGGTAAGGTTAGGCTTAGGCTTAGGCTTGGGCTTAGGCTCAGGCTTCGGCTTTAGGCTTAGGCCGAGGCTCAGGCTTAGGCTTAGGCTTAGGCTTAGGCTTCGGCTTCGGCTTAGGCTTAGGCTTAGGCTTAGGCTTCGGCTTCGGCATAGGCTTAGGCTTAGGCTTAGGCTTAGGCTTAGGCTTAGGCTTAGGCTTAGGCTTAGGCTTAGGCTTAGGCTTAGGCTTCTGCTGGGGAAAAGCTTCGGTATCTACCTCAAAATACTCAATTTTTCAGCTGCTCTGCCACCTTCCCGTCCGCGTCCCCCTCACCACGCCACTGTCCGTCACCTTCGAGCTGGTCCCCCAAAACCCGGAGCCGAGCCCAACCGGCTACTAAGCCCCGCCCCTCATCCCCCGACTTCCCGGTACCTTTAAGCCGCCCCCCAGCCAACCCCAAGGTTACCGTAACCCCTGAATCACGATGCGGGTATCCCCACCGGCCACCACATTTCCCTACCGTACCCACCTGAATGCTAAATGTTGCCCCTAGTTTCTCGGCCCCGCCCACCACCACCACCTCCTCTTCGCTTTTCCCGTGTAAATATTGTAGTCGTCAATTTTTCGTTTTTTTTTCGCCCCAAATTTTGCGTACTTTCCACTCAACAACCCCACACTCCGCGTCAAATCTACCGTACACCCCACCCGCCCAGATCTGACCGCCGCGCAGCGCCGTGCTTTCAAAAAAATTTTCCCGTTTTTTTTCCATTGCTACATAAAATTTCACGTTATGTTTTTGCTAGTATTTTTGCGTACTCTCGCGTACTGTAACGTACTGTTAGATCATCAAAATTCGTGCTCCTCACCGGAAATATCCCGTTCAAAGCAACATCCCCCTAGCGCCATCTCACCCCACCAAAATCACTAATTAAAGGTAAAGTTTATACCTTGAGAGATTAGGGATTTTCTAATTCATTTTTTCAGCTTACCCGCGCGCTTTTCCACCCTAAGAATTCCCGCACACACAAAATCCCATGGTGTTTCACCCTTACATTTTTCTATTTTTTGGTTTTTAAACCCCGAGATTAGCCGTCATTTCGCGTAATTTATTGTCCCCTCACTCATCTGATCGCCGCTTGCAATGCTCCCCCGATTTTTCTTTTTGCTAATTTTATTCCGTTTCGAATTCTTCGAATTTCTCACATATTTCGACGACTTTTGTTGGCACCGGCGTGGTTGGGGGTGAATTTTCATGTTTTTTTTTGAGGATTCCCAACCGCCCGAAGCCACAACAAAGGTCCTATATTGTGCCCCAATAAATAGTATCTGTATTTATCGTGTTTCTGATTAATTTACGCAAAAATAACATCAAAAATTGACACGAGTGCCTTAAAATCGTGCAGAACAGCGCCTAAAAATCGCCCGAAATGCCCTTTTTGCGTAAAATTGCGCCGGGTCTTATACTCTTCTATTGAATTACAGATTTACAGATTGTTTCGGATCAATTTAAAAAGACAAGATTGCAGATTACGTCCAAATTGGCATGAATTCTTTAAAAGCATTGAGTACAGCTGCTAAAAATTGATCAAAACGAATTACCGTTTATAAAACGCATTTTTCTATAAAATGATGTGTTTTATGCTTTTCCTATCTTACATCTTTTACAGAAAACCGGTCAACAACAATTTTTATAGCAAAGAATCCTGCAAAAACGTCAAAAAAGCGTCCTCCCTGCCAGCCGGCCGTCTCACCCTCGCTCCCCTTTTCGTGCCCGAGCCACCGTACCCCTTCCTTTTCCCACGGCTTTTCCTCGTCTAACGTATTATGGCCGGAATCTCGTGTTACCTAGCAAAAGCCCCTGATAAATCGTTCATTGCGATTTTCCGGCTGATATAAAACTTTCGAAATGCCGGTGACGTTAGAAATTCGTGGCGGAACGTATTGCCATTTTTTTAAGTCGTAGAGGGGCCTTGAAAAGTAACGAAAAAGCCGAAAAAATCACTCGATAAAACCCGTTTTTTATTCTTGCACTAATAGATGAAAGAAATTTTTACGGATCCTACAAGTTAGCTTGTCCTTCGTAGAATTCGGGTGGCGATTGTTACTTCTAGAATAAAAGATGAAAAAAATTGAACGATTTTAGAAATAATGAATTTAGAAGAAATAATGGGTAACCCGTTCTAATTGTGGTCCTGTCTTGTTTATATGGATTTTTTTTTCTTGCTTATTATCACGTTCGCCGCTTCACCTTTGTATTTTCAGAAAATTAATTCTACACGCTTGGCTGGAGGCTGGTTCACCGGATGGCCCCTCCCGGCGACTCCCGTCCGTCGCATTTTCACATCCCCATGCTACGCGAAGACGAAGCAAGGGCCGGCCCACTAGAGCCAATGTCGCACGCCCGGGCATCTGCTGTCATCCTGAATATGGACGATTTTACAAAGGTAAAGGACTCAAATCACAGCTTAATTGAGTCAATTTTTTGAGGAAGAGGATTATCAAGCGGCCGCTCGATATTGGAAAAGTGTGGCCGATCGGCTAAAGGCGGCCAACTTCCCGATCTTCGCAACCCCAGAAACGACGGCCACTTTTCCGGCCGAGACCCAGGAGCTGGCCACGCAACTCGCCAACTTCTGCACCGAGCTCCTTGGCACTGCCAATGACGGGATACTCGAGCAAAGCTCCACCTACTACCGCCTGCTCGCCCTCTTTGCCCAGGGCGACGACACGAAGGTGTTCAAGGAAAAGAGTACGTTTTTTGCGCTGGCTGAATAGCGCCTAAAAATCTAGACACCAACTAAACATATTTTTCAGTGCGCTTCTACAACTACCTGGAGCGCTGCAACAGCATCTGGGAAAACGAGTCGGTCGCCTATCGTTGCAACACGTGCGCAAAAACGCCCTGTAATTTTTTCTCTTTCTATTTGAATTTCCCTCTAGGCATGTCATTGTGCGCCGACTGCTTTCTCGACGGTGACAAGCACGCCGGCCATGATTTTACAAGATTTACGTCGCGAGAAGGAGGCGCCTGTGATTGCGGCAACGCCGACGTGCTCAACGAGGAGGGGTTCGTTATTTTAGATTTTTTTTGTAATTTTCTGTCAATCGGAAACGACTAAAAACTCGTAAAATTACACCCTTTCGTATCAACCGTAATTATCGGCGGAAAACTAAAAAGCCCCCCGTCAGGCGGAAAATACCGTCACTTTTTAGCTTCTGCCCCCACCACGGTCCAAATGCTGAGCGGCCACCACCGGCACCGCGTGACATCGTCTCACTCCCAGAATTCATGATCCCCCGGCTTTTCCTCAGATTTTTCGTGATGTCGAGAGGGGTAAGTGATTTTTAAACTTTAGTTGATTTTTTGTATTTTCAGATGATGTCGGATTTGAAGAATAAGGTCGGTACGAACCCCGAGCTCAGTGGCATGGAGCAACTCCTCTATATGGCCGATGTACGGACGAAGAAGGTCGCAAAACTCGTCGAATTCCTTCAGGTGATTTATCTTTCCAAAAATTATTTTTGGTCTTTGCAGGAATGCGTAAAAATCGGCGGCCCGCTGCGCGAGATCATCTCTGCGATGCTGATCGACGAGACTGTCTACGCGGAGATGAAGCGCGAGATTAGTAAGGGATTCCTAGCGTTTATAAATTTTTGTGTTTTTTTCCAGAAGGCCCCGGCGAGCTGAGCCTCTGGGAGTCGGCAGATCTGCTCGGCGAAGATGTGGAGGGGCTCTGTGACATCGCGCCCATGAAGCAACATTTCGATTTGTGGGGCGACATGCTTGTGTAAGTGTTTTGAATTTTTTAGAATTTTGTGGTATTTAAAACGGGTGACGGCCATTTCGCCTAAATCCGTTTCGCCTAAATCCCGTTTCGCCTAAAACCCGTTTCGCCTAAAACCCGTTTCGCCTAAATCCCGTTTCGCCTAAATCCCGTTTCGCCTAAAACCCGTTTCGCCTAAAACCCGTTTCGCCTAAATCGCGTTTCGCCTAAATCCCGTTTCGCCTAAAACCCGTTTCGCCTAAATCCCGTTTCGCCTAAAACCCGTTTCGCCTAAATCCCGTTTCGCCTAAAACCCGTTTCGCCTAAATCCCGTTACGCCTAAAACCCCTTTCGGCTAAAACCCCTTTCGGGTAAACTCTAAGGTTAGTCGGCAAAAACGACTTGCTTGGATGTAAGGAAAACATAGGACGGTTTATTCATTCAATGATTGATACAGAGTCTTGTAAATAATTTCGATAAGGGCTCGCGGGTTATTGTCGTCGTAAGCCTCACACATCGCGCGCTGTTCGTCAAAATCCCGGCTGATTTTGCGCTTCGGCATGTAGGCGATCTCATTCGCTTCGCGAATTTTGACGGCAATCTTCTGATGTAAGGCATGCAGCCTTTATGGAATTGTTGCATTTTTTTCCCGGTTAAGCATGAGCCAAAAACGTCTTTTAGGCGAAACGTCTTTTAGGCGAAACGGGTTTTAGGCGAAACGGGATTTAGACGAAACGGGATTTAGGCGAAACGGGTTTTAGGCGAAACGGGTTTTAGGCGAAACGGGTTTTAGGCGAAACGGGTTTAGGCGAAACGGATTTAGGCGAAGTGACCGGAATTCATTTAAAACACAAATCGGAGAGTATTTTCATTTAAATCTTTTCATTTAAAAAATTTTAATTTTGAAAAAGTGGCAATTTAAAAATGCCGAAAATCGCGTGTGTTTAGCTTCGACTGCATGCTGGATGAGCTGCTGTTCTGGATAGCGCGGCTCACATTCCCGCAGCAGCTGATCAACCTTTCCCTCGGCCTCTTCTCACACCACGAGTATGCGGTTGGTTTTTTTGGCTGCATTTTAAGAAACAAAAGCTGAGATTATATAGAAAAATCTGAAATTTTGGCTAAAAACTCGCTTATTTGCTCAAGAAAATGTATAATGTATGTATTTTTTTTTGTTTTGTTCGATCTAGCTTTAAGATTAAAAAAAACGTTTGGAAATTGCTATTCGATGTCAAAAATTAATCCTATGGAAAAGTCCCCCATTTTTAATTCTGATTTCAGCACCGTTATGCCGTCCGCTTCTTCAAGCTCTACCCGGCGGTGGTGGACATTGTGCGCCGGCTGAGCGAGGCGCTGCACGCGTTCAGCATGATGAACCGCGAGAAGTACAGCGTCAACCAGATCGGCTGCAGGATTATCCACGTCTCCGTGCAGGTCGGTAACTTTTCGGGAATTGTCTTTTTTATTTAATGCTTTTCATGGAAATAGGGTTTTTCCAGATGCTCTCCTCCGAGCAGACGTGCCTGGCGCTCGACACGGAGATGGGACTCCTGCAGATGATCTTCGACTCGTTGCAGTATCTCTTCAAGGACATGCTCCACGACAGCGACATGACGCTCGCCCCGCTCTTCCGGCACATGACCAACCAAGACGAGGTCGCCCAGGCAATCCACACCACATGGCCGCTGGTGCGCTGCAAGGGCAATCGAATTCTGCACGCGAATGGGTATTGGTGGGTTTTTAATTCACTTTAAAAATGAACATTTCATTCTAGTTTAAAGACAAAAAAAGTTTGGTGCGAAACGAAAATCGTCTAAATCAATTTTTCTTGTTTTTTTTGAGCCTCTTCGTTTTCTTGATAAAATAAAATTGTTCTTTCGCTTTATCGGATATCGGGATGAATTTTTTCTAAGGAACATATTTTTGAAAAATAAATAGTGGAAGTGCTTCGAAACTATTTTTTACTATTCTTAAAAAAAATTTTGCTAAAAATACGATTAAACACTTGCTATTAAGTTACTAGAAATTTCTAGACATACAAAAAGTTCAGCCCCCCCCCCCCGATAATGCAAAAGCGATAAATCTCATTTTTTCAGGTTCGTGATGGGCGACCTGCACAATCTGCTCAGCCACCCGCATGTCGTCGAGCGCATCTTCTCACAGTGCGACACTCTGGGCGCCGGCTACCTCAGCTCTCTGCGGTGGTTGCAAGGTAAATTAGGTGGCTCTCAATATATTTCTATATCCAAGAAGATTAATTGAAAAAATCGATAAACAATCGAAAAAATGCAAAAGTCTTTTTCAGGCATCAACCACACGTACCGGATCATCGGCGGCGAGCACCAGCCGTGGGACGACACGTTCGTGATGAACCACGGGTTCACGCTCGAGTACGAGCTGTCCGCCACCTGTATGTACAACTCGGTGCAGGGCCTGTTCGAGCTCAGACAGGGCGACGTGGCACGCCGCTTCGTCGAGACGTTCCGCGGCGTGTTGGAGGTTTTTTACCGCGCTTGGTTTTACTTCAGATCTCTTTCAGGAGTGGTTCGAGGCTCTGATTTGCCCGCGCACCCCGCCGATGTCGTGCCACCCATTTTCTGTTTCGTTCCATCTGCCGCTGCATCGTCATCTTTCTTGTGCGCTCACGCAGCTCAAGCATTTGCCGGTACACCTAGTTTCCGCGACGTAACGAAATTTTCAGGGAATGGGCTTCCACGACAACCCGCTCGCCGACGACGTTGACTTTTTGAAGAAATTAGTGCTGCACCCGATGCGAATTCAGGTAATTTAAAAAAAACCGACAAAAATTGGGGTGCGGCTCGAAAACCAGAGCCCTGTAATTTTCGAAAATTTTTGGCTTTTCGCGATTTTCCATTTTTCAAAATTTTGAATTTTTTTGACGACTTTCTAGCAAAGAAAAATTACGAAAGACACTATAAAAATATATCCCCCCCCCCCGCTAACAGCCCAGGACCATTTTTTCGATTTGAATTTTTTACATTGCTCTTTTTCAGGCCATTCGCACCGAGTACCAGAACAACATGTGGGTCCGCAACGGCAACTTTATCCGCCTCAGCCTCGCCCTGTACACCCAGCAGCACATCTCCATGTCGATGCTCCTGCCCGACGTTGATATTCTCCGGTGAGCACGTTTTACGGTTTCTCTGTAGAGGTTTTTCTGCACGTGTATGTCAATGTAATGCGCACAACAATCACAATGAGCCATTTCATTTATCGAAATCGAGCCGTGGGGGGGGGGGCAAATGTTGTGATCCGTCCAGTGTCTATGGGTTGTACTCGATCGGCAGATTCTTGCGGCGCACCATGCCGTCGCCCTGGAACCACTCGCGGCGGAACTGCTTGGCAGCGCCGTCGGGGGTGTTGGTCCACTCGATCGTCACGCGGTCGTTGTTGGTGTCCTCGGCGCCGAACTGGAACGAGTCGCACGAGACGGCCACCTGGAATAGATGGATTAGAGATGCTGGGGCGTCAAGTTCGAGCAGTTCAGGCATGTTCGAGAGCAAAATAAGCAAACTTCCATCATACTCGAGAATTTCAACACGTTCAAAAGTGCTAGGACAAGCCCAAGCAGTTCAAATCACCCACCAAGACTTGCTCCTTGGGGTCGAGGACACCGCACGGCGGGTCAACGCCCAGGCGCTTCATGTTGGTCGTCTTGAACGCCCATCCGATGCGGCGGCCGCCGGCGTTGATCACCTTGATGTGGTAGGTGTGCTTGTCGTCGTAGGGGGCGTTGAACACGATCTTCGTGCCGGGCTGCGTGGTGATGTCACCGGGAGCGACGGATTGAGCCATCTTCTTGCCGAGAAGTTGAGATGCTGCCTGCCACGAAACGGCCAGCTTTTATACCCGGGAACGCATGTTAATTGGGTGATGCTGATCGCTGATTTCCGGGATTTTGTGCAGTTTTATGCAAATCGAGCAATTTATGCAAGTTTCGAAAAAATACCCAAAAAATACGAATTTTACCTGGCCCTATCTTCTAAATTTTGAGCCTCGAAATTGCCAACCTATTTTGTTTCTGGCCGAACTCAATTGCTGGAAATTTCAAAAATTCACAAAAAAAATGTCTTTTTTTGAAATTCCAGGCTGATAACCTTACCTCATTTTTCAGGTTCTGCGCCTCGAAACTGCCGACCGACTGGTTCTGGGATGCCGTCCTCGAGTCGTTCCACCTGCAGGACGTGTTCGCTTGGGCCGGGCGACCGCGACGCGTAAGCTTTTCCCGGCTTTTCTCGGAGTCACCTTCCCTAACTTTTCATCTTTCGATCGATTCCACCCTTAATTCAGCCTGAATCCCAAGATGACGATGCCCAGGCCCTGGTCACCGAGATCACCGGATTTAAGATCACGAAAAAGTTTCGAATGGTCAGCGCGCATGCCCCCTTTGTGTAGCCTGAAAAAAAAAACACGAAATAACTGTCCGCCTTTTTCTAATCGCACGCTTAGCGCTAATGGCGGCTGCGTGAATTGAACAAGTTTTTAGCCCATTAAAATCTGATTTTTTTTTCAGAAGGTACGCTCGGAAACAGATGGCGGTCCGCTAAGTCCAACAGCAGAAGGGAGCCCGGCGATGGCTGGGGATTCGACAGAAAGTGAGAAAAAAAATCTTCGCGTTACTTTATCCGTGTGTTCAGGCCAAGACTCGCGTGCCGAGCCCGGGGCCAAGGTCGCCAAGATGGAGGGGACAAGTGGATCCCCAGGAATTCAGACGCCGCTGCTATCGCCGAGCCAAGAAGCTGGTCCTAGGTAAATTTTTCGGGCTGAAGAATGGCTTGCTGAATTCTGAAAAATTTACTTCTCGTGGAAAATTTCTTGGCTGTCTGTCGAGATTTTGATTTTCGACGTTCTGATAGCAAATCCAGAACCGTTTATCCATATCCAGCTCGCCAAGACCCGCTCCCTCCTCCTCATCTACCACACCAGAACAGGGCGACGGAAAAGTGGTGAGCAACCCGTACTTTAAAGTAAGCTTTTCTTTTGCTTGTAAGTCCAAAATGGAACTTTTCTTTTAGAGACGAGGCAGCCTGAGCGGCAGATCTTCTCCGCCACCCCCGGTAATCCATGAGATTTGCTGGAAGGGCCAGAAATCGGACGTCGTCACCCGCGAGGACTGGATCCCGCCGCTCGTCTCGGGGGCGTTGAGGTGAAAGTCCTCTTTTTATCGCTGACCCGACATTTCCAGGACAATCGCTCAGTGCATCGTGATGAAGGGCAACTGGGAGCCGGACAGCCGCAAGGTCATCCACAACGAGCTCATCTACGAGCTGTGCATCAGCGATCATACGAGGAGCCGGCTGAAGTGAGGGTATTTTCAAGTGGTGAGCCATTTTTAGGGCTTGCGTCTCGGACAAGGGCAGCCGCGGAATCCCCGATGGTGAGAGCCTCTTCGAGCAGCAGCTGGCCAAGGTGGCCGACTTTGTCCAGCCGACGAGCACGACGCAGGGCATGTACAGGTGTGAATCTAACGCTAACGCGTGACGTTTTGTTGAAGTAAATTTTTACATTACGTAAAACCACTTTTTCGAAAACCGATTGTTTGGATCAAAAATTCTCTGAAAAGTCATATTTCGAAAACGGATTTTATTGATGATTTTCGAAATGTTGATGTTTCTTTAGACTCAAAGATGAAGCCTGGCTGACCGATTTCTGCCCGATTCCGCTCCAAGTGAGAGCCATGACGAACAGGGTGTGGGCCGAGGTGCTGAATCGGGTCCAAGAGCGGTAAAAATCGGTTTTCCACACCAAGTATCTGGTTTTAGTGACCGCGCCCGGCTCGCTGCCGACGATCCCCGAAAGAAGGCCACCACTCCGCTATGGGTCCCTTATCGGTAAGCACATTTAGCAAATTGAGCGCAATCTACTACTTCAGCTTGATCAACTTCCACTCGAACAACCCGATGGAGATGGCGCTGGGCGGACTCGTCGAATGCGAGCGCTTCTTCGAGATGTCGGTCATCGTGCTGCGGGCTGTGGTTGGATTCCGCCCACTTGAGCTTATGCCTTTCAGGCCCAAACCCACCTGGTGCACGAGAACAGCCTGCAACTGGTCGTCTACCTCCTATCGCTCAGCCTCAAATTTGCTCAAGTGATTCCGGACGAGCGTCGCGAGAAGCTCGTCTCCCATTTTACGAAGATTTATCGGGTTCATGACATTGACGGGTTTAGGTTGGAATTTGATGCTTAGTGATAATTTTCTGGAACTTTCGACAATCGGGAGGTCGATTCTTCATAATGCCGAAATTCATACTGTCGAAATTTTATAATGCCGACATTTCATTTCATATTGTCGAATTTTTATAATGCCGACGTTTCGTTTCATATTGTCGAAATTTTATAATGCCGACGCTTCATAATGGCGAAATTGATAGTATCGAAATTTCATAATGCCGACATTTCAGACATTCGAAAGTTCAGTATTTGGAAGTTTTGCCGTAAACAAATCTCTCGCAAAACCACGCGAAATGGAAGCGAAAAATCGCCATTCGAAAATGTCGTTGTTCTGAAATTATGAAATTTCGGTATTTTGAAGCCGACGCTTTAATTAAATTAAACTAAGCTAAATGAAAGAATGAAAATTTGTAGAGAGACTCATCTCCTCGGCACGCTGCTCCGCTTCTGCAACGACGCGGCGACGAAGGCGCCAAGCGCGGAATTCGTACGGGTTCTCCAGAATGAGGTAGCTGCTTTTAAATTCCCAGACCTCCTCATTTCGGTATTTCCTGAAGTTTCCGAGTTAGAAATCTAATAAAATCTTCGGTTTTTGTTATTTAATTTTTGTTTAATTTTTTAATTTTAGTTTTATTTAATTTTGACTTTGAAATGCTACATTTATACAAATTTTTGCAGCTTACTCACGAGCCGGTGGACCGGATCATCGGCGGCCAATTTGAATACATCGCGCGGGTGTGCAACCTGTTGGCTTTAGTGTAAGGTTTTGCGAACGCTCCTCACTACGGTTTTCAGTTCTCCGGCCGCAAGGACGATCCTCGACAAGCTGTACAAAAACACGCAGCAGCAGCCCGACTCCCCCGCCGAGAGCACGGTATTGGAAATTTGATATTTTTAACGATTTTTCGTTGAATTCAGGAAAGCAGCGAGCGTCGCGCGGCCGCCAAGCGGCGCATGGAACAATTTTTGGCGCGGAACAAGCAGCAAAATCAAGAGGTGGGGGCTTCACTTCAGCTAAAAAATCTTGAATGTAATCTTGGATCTGGGCTGTTAGCGGGGGGACTACTTTTTGTTTTTTTTCCATCGATTGATGATATATTTTGACAGCGTTTTTAATAGTTGTTGGTTGCCTGAAATTTATCAAAAATATTTTAAAAATTTTGTGAAATTCGAAAATGTTGGCCTTTTTGGCCCTTCTTCATGCATTTTTTACTAAAAAGCCAAATTTTCGATCGTTTTTTTTATTGTTTTTAGAGCTACAAATTATGTAAAATTCATAAATTTGTTATAGGACCGTAGAGAATCACAGGGAAAAATTTGGTCCCCCCGCTAGCAGTCCAGAACCGGATTCTTTAGACGATGAAGAAAATTATGGAAGCCGAGGGCGTGACGCAAGACGAAGTGGATGAGATGGACACGAGTGGGGTCAGTTTTTTGGCAGAGAGTTATCGCGGAAAAACGCGAATTTCTGCCTTTTTTTTCGCTGAAAATAGGGCGATTTTTTTGCAGGAGCAAGTGAAGCTGTACGATTGCCCAATCTGCGGCGACTCCACGCCGAACACGCTCGAGAGCCCGGTGGGGATGATGTGTCGCGTAGGCAGCTTTTCCCGAGCAAAACTTTTGCTTTTAGTTGACCCCGAATTTCATCGTGGGGGCGATGGTCGACGTTGATGCGCCGCCGGTGAGCAGCAATTTCGATTCTATTTCTGGGTTCTTTCGAATTATCGGGGGGGGGGCAAAAATTTTTCATTTTGTGTTAATCTAGAAATGCCTAGGAACTTCATAGGAAGGATTTTCATAATGTTTTTTTAGTGAAATAAAACAAGATTTGAACTTGAAAAGGTAGCTAAAAACTTTGGAAATCGAGATTTTGGTCGAAAAATAGACATTTTTGTATTTTTTAATTTAGGACACGTTTAGGAATCGTAAAGAACAATTTAGAAACACTTACGCTATTGATATGTAAACGATCCCCCCCGATAAGGGGAAAGAACCTATTTTTTGCAGGCCACCCTGCTGGAGATGCACAACAAATACGGCGAGCAGGGGCTGTCGGTGGACCGGAAGAGCCGGAAGGCTTGGGACCAGCGTCGCGCGGCCCTCTACACCAAGGGCTGCGAGCAGGTCGGCGCCGAGGTGGGCGATTTTCCGCTCTATCCTAATTCCACGTTTAGCCGATCCAACCCGGCCAGTCGCGCGTCGACCTCCACCGCTACCAGTATCAAATCGAGGCCGACTGCGAGCACGAGCTGAAGACGTGCGGACACACGGCCCACATCGCCTGCATCGACCACTACACGGCCACGCTGAATGTGTGTATTTTTTTGTTGCAAAACATTTGTTCGAAGATAGTTATGAGAAAAATCCTATTTTCGAAAAGAATAATCGAAGAATCACCGAAAGAGATGCCAAGCGTACAAATTTTAGAGCATTTTTTCCGATTTCGGATGATCGTTTGGACATCTTTTCGAATGGGATTATTTTCAAAATGTCGAAGTTTCAGAATGCCGAAATGTCTAAATTGCAGATCATATCGACAGTTTCCATGAACAAATATTCCGGAAAATCCTCAAATGCCGTGCAAAAATGCAGGAATTTTGAAATTTAAATCATGTTGGCATTCTGCTATTTCGACGCAATGAATTTCGACATTGCCAAATTTCGATATTCTGAATTTCGAAAATCGCCGGCTTCTTTGGTAAATGATTTTCGAGAAAACGGTGTTTCTTGTTGTTCCTTTTTCCTCGCCCTTTTCCTCCTCGAGGCAGGTGGGCAGCCGGAAATTTGGATACGACATCTGCGCACCAGTTTTCTTTATCCCGCCTTCCCCAGCTGCCTCCCTGCCAACATTGGGCTAGTGGTTAGCAGGCCGCCCTTTCGCCCGAATCACCCAGGCTCGACCCCCGCCCCCGGCTGCCATCAATGATGAAAACGCGTGTCAACTGAACCGGCGGCTGGATCTGGCCCCTTGGGGCGGGATCGCCGACTGGGTCAAGATTATGACCCCTTGCGCTACTGAGATGGCAGGCTGGAAATCAATTTTGCCTGTACTGGTCTGTTAACGGGGGGGAACCTAATTTTTCCAAGTAACCGACATTTTTATAGCCGTTTATACAGGTTTTATATATAAAACGCTAGAAAAAATGTGCAAAAATCCCCCAACATCTCCATTTTCAGTTCCAGGATCTCGGCCTTGAGCACCAGTACCCCTTCGAGATGAACTGCCCCTCTTGCCGGTAGGCTTTTAGACTTATTTTTATCCCACCATTTTAGTGCCCAAATGAACTGCGTGCTTCCGCTGAAGCTTGACCTGGCCGATGAAGCGCCGATCCATCGCCAAACCGAGATGACGCCGGATGTGATCAAGGAGAAAGTGCTGCGTTCGGTGACTGAGTGCCAGCGGTGTTTTGAGGTAAGGGAGTCCTGGTTTTAAGGATTCTTGGAGCTTTTGCAATATCGTTTTTTGCAAATTCCCAATAATGTGATAACACGCATTTTTGGTGTTTCTGATAAAATTGGCTATATTTCGAATGGAGAAACTATTTCGAAAGCTGTGAAAAATATCGAAATTTCTAGATTTTGGTCAAAAAATCTATCTTTTGGTGATTTTTTTAATGCTTTTTAAGCTTGGCGGTTCACTAAAGGATCAAAAAATGCTTAGGAACACTGCCTCTTTTATTTTAAAAGATTCAACATTACGAAAAGTTCGAAAGAACGAATTTTTTAAATTGGATTTCACTTAAAAAGTTGAGCTTATCTTTTTCAGAGCCAAGACATCCAACGTCTTTTCAATGCGCACTACGGCGGCAACCTGCACGGCATCTACGATCGCCAGCGGTCGGATCACCTGTCGCTGCACAACTACCTGGTGGCGTTGATCAAGTCAGAACTTTGCTACTCATTTTGCTTTGTCTGCTTGGAACCACTGACTTTTCCTTTTCTAGAGGCAACGTCGAGCGCAACCTGGTCAGAGCCCAGCTCAACATGAAGCCGAAGACCAGCCGGACGTCGATCGCCGAAAATCTGATCCCCGCACTGGCCCACCATTCCCCGCTCGCCGATCGGAACATGACGCTGCTCGCGACGAGGGATCTTTTTGAAATCGAGCCCCCTCCGGTTAGTCGAAATTCTGTGGATTTGTCTTGATAATTCCTTGAAAAATTTTGCTGGTTTTTAGCATTATTTACACCGTCGAATTTCGCAAAGGTTTACTTTTCCACCAAATTTTCGATATTTTCGCTATATTTTAGGGGGTTTTTAAGCGCCATTCGATGGGGTATCAAAAATTATACTAGCAAGTTTAATGAAAAGACCAAAAAATTGTAAGTTAAAAAAGTTATTCAAAAACAATTTACCATCGAAAAAAGGATTGAAAAGCTAGAACTTCTACTTTTTTACCCTAAACTAGACTCTTGCCTATTTCTTCAGCAAACCTTCGTCTCGCAGCAAGTGCGCTTCTACGACCGAATAATGCACGTCGACGAGCAGATGGAGATGATGAGGCCGGTAAGGGATTTTTACAGCATCGTTATCGTAAGCCTAAATTTTGCGCGCCTCGATTTTTACCTTGTAACTTTTTAGTCAAAACCACCCGAAGAGATCGACATGGACGAGGTGCTGTACCGGACTTCGGACGTGCCGCTGCTCATCGCCGAGCCAAAAGCCCTCCTCGTGCGCCTCACCGCCTTCATCATCGCCAACCCAGAGTTGAGCCCGCCCGAGAAAAATGGTACTTTTGACGCTCTTAGAAAGTACAATTTTTTTAGCGCTTTGTCAAGCCGTTGCGAAGCGGTGCCACGATGTGGCGTTGCTGCGCGCCAGCGTGCAGCTCCACCTCCGGAGCAACGAGCGCGATCTGCGGGAAACGGCGACAGCTGGTGGGAATTTTAGGTTCTTGTGCAACATCGGGGAGGGCTCAAATAATTTGAACGAAACAGCTATATTTTGCATTTTTTTTATCGGAATTTGTAAGGTTTCTAGTTTAGGAATACTAAAAACAGTGAATAAAAGTAGGGACCCCCCGATATTGGAAAGATACCCAAAAGTTGAAACAGCATATTTTGTAGAGCATTTCAAGGGGGAAAATAATTAAAAACTTCTAACGATTTGTAGTTGAATTTTTTGTTTAGTTTACATGAAAACTTGTCATTTTACATGTAGTAATCACAAAAAAATGTTTAGAAACACTGCCTCTATTTATATCAGAAAAATTCGTTCCTTGGAAAAAATTGGTTTGGCCCGATAATGTAAAATAACGGTAACGACACTTTGCTTGTGCTACAGAGTTACTCCTATTTTCAGACTACGGCCCGTTGCGCTACCACTTTGTCGTCGCCGATGCACTGGTGAACACTCCGTTGATCGCCGAGAAGGCCATCCAGCCGTGCGACCGGATGCCCGACTTTTCCACCGTGCTCCCCGAAGTTTCGGCCCACTTCCTGCGCTTCATCACCCAGCTGTGGCTCGAGATCGGCATGGCCGAGGGGACGCTCGAGGAGTTGTGCTCGAAAATCGGTACGTTTTTGACGTCAATTTGGAATTGTGAATTTTAGCAATTTCTGCCGACATGAGATACTCGGACGACGTCATTCGCCGTTTTGTCAAAGCCGCCGCGCCGGCGTACGTCATGCAGCAGGGCTGCGGCTTTGTGCGTTTTTATGGGATTAAAAAACGTCAAAAAGGGTACTCTAGCGGAAAGTTTTTGAGAAATCTAGTTTTTTTTAGGAAAATCGGGTCGCGAATGTTTTCTTTTCCGAGCCACTTTTATTATGCATACAAAGGCTTTGCCTACATTATTTTTTGCTATTAGTACGAAACGGAAAACTTTACAAGTTTAGAAAATTTAAAAATATCGATTTTTCGGCCATAAATGCCGATCTTGATCAGAAACTTGGCTTTCACAAACATTTTTTAAAACTTTTTGATTTTTTTAGTTGAAATCGGCCTGTAGGGACAAAATTCTATCCCTCCCGATGTTGCCAAAGCACCGAAAACCCTATTCGCTTTTCAGCCGCTGAGCCGGGAGCCGATCCTCTACCGCCCGTGGACGATCCTCGAGCTGCCCGACAACTACGAGGACATCTTCGAGAAGTTCTACCGCCGGAAGTGCGTCCACTGTGGCGAATGCCCGGCCAATCCGTTCATCTGCCTGCTCTGCTCCCAAATCTGCTGCATCACCTCGTGCTGCGACCAGACGCACGGCCAGGTGGCGCAGAACGAGGTGGAGCGCCACGCCCTCGACGCCGAGCACGGGCTGTCCATTTTCCTGGCGATGAGCACGTGCTGGGTGTTCATTGTGCGCAAGCGGGTATATTTTTTGCAAGTGGAAATATATCTCTTTTTGTAGCGCTACCTCTCCTGGGGCGGCCTCTATCTCGACAAGTACGGCGAGGAGGACAAGTGGATGCGCCGCGGCAAGCCGCTCTTCCTCAGCAAAGAAAGGTGCGGGAATTGGTACTTTCGTATTATCGGGGGGGATCCAGAAATCTCTTGTAACTTAATAATAATATGTGAAGTTTGTTTTAAAAGATTTTTGAGGTCCAAAAATTATCTTAAAAAATGTAGAAAACCTTTTAAAATTTGAGATTTTACTCGAAAATTGCCCGACTTTGTTCGATAAATCGATAATTTAATATTGTTAGTAGGATTTTTGTGACTTTTTTATGCTTAGGAATAGGGAAAACGTGTTATAGACACTTACTCGATTTGTATTAGAGGGGATTAGGTCCTAACTCTCACTACCGAAAAATTTGGTCGTTCAAATTCAAAAATGCCAAACCGAAAAGACGATAAAACGCACGAAAATGCGGGAAATTTGTAAACGTTAGTATATGAGATTGTTTTAGGATGAAAGCGCTACAGAACGATTGGGTCGAGATGAGCTTCCACGATCAGGAGCGGCGCGGCTGGCACCAGTTTGAAGAGGTGGGCAGATAGATTGTTTGGTTCTTTCCCATTATCGGGGGGTTTGTAGGTGTCTAGAAATGCCTAGTGACTTAATCGGAAGCATTTTAATGATGTTTTTGGTAAAATAAAACTATATTTCAACCAGACAGCTATCTAAAAACTCAACATTTTGGTCAAAAATGGATATTGTTTGCACTTTTTAATACAGTTGTACGGTTTTTCCATCTAGGAATAGTAAAAAACAATTTAGAAACATTTCTGCTATTTATATTTAAAAATTGGATCCTAAGAACAACATTTTTGTCCCCCCTCCCCCGATAATACAAAAGGACCGAACTGTTTTTTCATAATTCTCCTTTTTTAGCTGATCCAAGACATCGAAAGCCGCAACATGCACTGAAGCCCTAGAAGCCAACAAGCCGCCACGCTTTTGCCGCTGTACACTCGCCGTGCCCAACAACCAGTTATTTCCTTATGTTTCGTGTTGTTGTTGTTTTTGTGTCGACTTATATCTTGCCTTTATCTACGTGTTATATTGCCGCATTATCTGCCCCCGATTTCATGTAATGCGCCTGCTCACCCATCTAGCTTTATCCCGTGCAGTCGATTGCCAACGCCCGGTAACATGGTTTTCACGTTTGTCTCGTCGTGCCTCCTACCCCGCCTGGTCCAGTTATATTTCGCGGTACCACTACTTTCTCGGCAATTTCCGCGCTGATAAATGACGTTATTCTTTGTCTATGAGCCAATTTTTATAGGAAACGTTGCAAAGCGGAGAACATTCTTTGACAGCATCACGGTAATCCTATTTTTAATGTGCTTGGCTTGGGCATCTATTCAGCGGTTGTTTTTAGGTCACCGATCGTTATTTTCGCGGATTCAGGCTACAAGGACGCAAAAATAACCTTTTTACGCATAAAATGGTGCTTTCGCATTAGCGGGGGGCATACCTTTTTATTTTGATCAAAAATTGGGATTTTTGGTTGAAAATCATTATGGTAGAAAATTCTGTAAAGTTTTCGGAGCTATTTAAGTCGAGTGGCCCCAAGGGCGTCAAAAAAATTTTGTCGATCGAGGGTCCCCGATCGGCCTAGAAACAAATCTGGGGAGTTGTGCGCTGAGTACGAATTTAATACTTTTAGACTACAAAAATTTAACTTTAGACTACAAACGAGCAAAACAAAACGCAAACACGAAACACATCCGGGCTTTGCGCTGAACCCTTCTTTAGGATTCGCGACCAACTTGCATATTTTTAAATTTGTGACCCTAAGAGGGCCGTTGGTATAGGTTTTGGGAAGTTGACCGGGCGACTGGCTTATTCACACGGGTACATTGTGACAACGGTGACCAAAAGTGGTAGAAAATGATGCGATCGGCAATTTGGCGCCACATGAGTCACTGAGAAAATCACAGTATCTCTCATTCGTGGATGTGTTGAGGCCGTTTGATTCTTGATTCTCTTTTGAACTTGTTCCATTGGCTTCAACAGATTGAGTTGAGAGCCAGCGGATCAACGAAGTTCATCTGGGATTGACCATGAGATGATTGTAGCCTTAAAAATATGCAATTTGGCCGCGAATCCTAACAAGAATAGGATTCAGCGCAAAAAACGGCCCCGGAAATGTGTTTTCCGCGCGTTTTGACGATTTTTGATTTTTTGTAGTTTGTAGTCTAAAGTTAAATTTTTGTAGTCTAAAAGTGTTAAATTCGTACTCAGCGCACAAAACTACCCCAGAATATTGATTTCTAGGCCGATCGGGGACCCCCGATCGACAAATTTTTTTTGACGCCTTTGGGGCCACTCAACTTAAATAGGTTGGAAGCACCCAAACACCCTAATACATTCAAAAATATGATCCTAGAAAAGTTATTCCCCCGATAATGCGAAATCCCATGCAGGAGAGTTATTCCCCTCCCCCCCTAAACTAGACTGATACTTTCACAATTTACTTAATCAACCTTTTCTAACTAACTGCCTCTTTTCTTGCGTTTCGATTGATCTCTTGAGCTCTAACTTGTCTTTTGCAGTCTCTAAAGTCCGTTCGGCCTTTGATGAAACTGGGCTTCCGGTTTTTGATTTGTCTGAAACCCGCAGCTATCTTGGCCCAAGGCGCGCGCCGTTTCCGCTTGTCTGCTGCTGATAAGGTTAGCTTTCTGGTTTCGTCCCGCGTCATGATTGTGCAATTTTCTCATATTTATCTACTTTCTCACTCTTCTCGATCTCATTTACCTTGCTTTTTGATTCGCCATACACCTCAGTTTAGAAAATGCCGACTGCAGCTGGAGATTGTGCCGCGGCCTCGAAGAAGTCTGGTTGGTTAGCTGTTCTCGATGCTTATTTTCGTTTAGATAAGCGCATCAGCCCGGCCCTCTTCACCGCCGGCGTCAAGGGTTACGCGCAGCTGAAAGCCGACCGCGGTTTGGGAATTTACAGTTTTCGAATTAGTTGTTTTTCTAGACTTCGCCTACTGGGTCGTGCAGGATTTTGAGGGGCGCAAAATCCTGCTCCGGTGTGCCCATGCCGAAGACTCGCAACCCGAGCACGTGCTCCCAGAAGTCTCGAAAATTGGCAACGAAGGTATAAAATTTATGAATTTTCAAAATATTTTCGTTCCAGTCAACGCGTACGGGGGCGGCACGCTGGCGCTCGGAGACGACGGGGCCGTCTACGTTGTCACCCAGCACACGATCGCCATGCTGACCCCGGCCGGAAAATACGAGCTGATCTACGATGGCAAGGTAGTTTTTGGTCGTTTTTCACTTCTTGTTTTCTAGGAGCTGGGCCAGGACTTTGCCGACCTGACGATCCACGGCCGACACCTGGTCGCGGTTTGCGAGCAGTCCGACACAACGAAGGGCTACGACTTGAACCCGACCAACAAGCTCATCCACATCGACCTCGGCACGAAGAAGATCCGAGACCTGGTCACCGGCGCCGACTTCTACGCCTCGCCGCGCATCAGCCCCGACGGGCGACGACTGACATGGATGCAATGGAACCACGGCAACATGGTATGATTTTCTGCCGCGTTCTCATCTCATTTTTAGCCCTGGGATGAGACGCAAATCGGCCATGCCGAGCTTCTCTCGGCCGCCAGCGAAGCAGACGATCTTCTGGCCGACGTGCGCATCATTCTCGACGGACAAGGCAAAAAGGTGAAAAAATTGTTTAGTTTTTTGAGTATATTTTTTGCAGATCAACTACCACCAGCCGACGTGGTCCAACGAGGGCCGCCTGTTCGTCGCCTCGGACGAGCAGGACGACCACTGGAACGTCTACGAGGTCGATGTCCAGCCCAACGAAGCTCCCGCCAAGACCCGGAAGTGCCAGACGAGCCGGATCGGCACCGAATGCGGCACACCGCACTGGCAGTTCGACAACGCGCAGTTTGCGGTGCACAATGAGTGAGTTTTTGCAAAGCATTAACGCATTTTCTTTAGTCAAATCTTCTACCACTTCAACGACGGCATCCTGGCCCTGGGCGACGTCGACGGGAAGAAGTTGCTGGAAGTGCCGTCGGGCACCGGCGGCTACACCCACTACTCCCATCTCCAATATTGTGGTACGTCAAAATTCTCGGCTTCAAAAAAATTTGATTTAGGCAACGGGCTTGCTTACGCTATCGCCACAGGACCCCGAAAAGCCCAATCGATCGTCAGGATCACCGTCAAAGGGTTGGTTTTGTTTTGTTTTTTGCTTTGATTTCATCAATTTTCTTTCAGTAACATTGACGAGCAGTTCAAGTCATCGAGCACCCTGCAAATCGAACCCATCCGCGTGCTGGCCGCCGTGAAGTCGGACGAGGAACTGCAGGGACTGCCCCTGTCCGTGGCTGAGGAGATTTGGGTCGACGGGCCCGCGGGGATTCGTTTTCCTGGGTGGTATTACCCACCTTCGGTACGTTTCAATTTGATTTTACCGATTTTTGAAATTTAGACGCGTCTCTCTTTAATTATTTTTTTTTCGAACCCGGATCGGGACGAGAGCGCGCTGCCCCCGACGATCTTCCAGTGCCACAGCGGCCCCACCGCCCAGGCGCACGACGGGCTCGACCTCCGGAAACAATTCTTCACGTCGCGCGGCTTCGCTATGTTCGACATCAACTACCGGGGCTCCACCGGCTACGGCAGCAAGCTCAGGAGAAGGTAAAGGCGACTTTTGCGTTTTTACCTTAGTTTTTTAGTCTCTACGGCGCGTGGGGCGACAACGATCGCGAAGACCTCGTGCTGTCGGTGAAGAAGCTGATCGCCGACGGGCGCGCCGACCCCAAGAAGATCCTGCTGAAGGGCGGTTCAGGTAAAAAAAACGTCTTTTTTCCGCCAGTTTTACAATTTTACAGCCGGCGGCCTGGTGGTGATGCGCGCCCTCCGCGCCGAGCCGTCCCTCTTCACGGCGGCCGTGATCAACTACGGCGTGCTGGACCTGGAGCGGATGGTGGCCGAGACGCCCAAGTTTGAGATCGGCTACAACCGGCAGCTGCTTGGCGCGGACCCCGCCATTTGGGCCGAGCGCTCGCCGAAGAATCACGTGGAAGCGTGGGTTTTGTTGATTTTGTGATATATAGGGAAAACGTGCTTGAATTATTTTATTTCTTGTTCGTAGTACTTGATTATTATTAGTTTAGCTTTGCTTTTTTAAATTCAGTATCATTTATCCTTTTCAGCATCACCACCCCAGTCTGCTTCTTCCACGGCTCGAAGGACCCGGTGGTGGCCCCGGCGCAGTCCGAGGAAATGCACGCCGCGCTGGCCGCGCGAGGGGTGAAGACGGCTCTTCGCATTCTGGAAGGTTCGTTTTATTTTTTAATCTGCTAAAAACCGTTTTTTTTTAGGCGAAAGCCACGGCTACCGCACACGCGAAGGGGTGACCATCGCCAATGAGGGCGCCTACTCGTTCTTCTGCGCCATCATGGGCATCCCGTGCGCCAGCGAGGTTGAGGTAATTATTTTCTGCTAATTTTCAGGGTATTTGTCTGTTAACAGGGGGGGGCGAACGGTTTATAAGACCTGGAAAAGAAAATTTATGCAGTTTATATATGCAAGGATAGGTGGAAAAAATAAGCAATGTTTTCCCGTCTGCGAAAGCCCTCGCCCCTCCGCTAACAGTCCAGTACCTAAAAAAGCCCCCAGTTTTTTGATTTTGGCCATTTCATGTTTTTTGACATCAGATTAAAATTTGGAAATTTTATGAATTCTTTAGGTCTTTCTTACCTTAGAAAATGAGGGGTAAATGTTAAAAAACATAGCGTGCACTTCATACTCCAGAACAGTAATCCTAATTGTTCGTTTTAGTTGGACATCAAGAATCTGCACTAGCCACTGCGAAGCGCCCAGCAGCCACGCGCCGACAATCGACTCGAAGCGCCGCCCGTGATCCCAGAGATTGCCCGACTCGAGCCGACCTTTAAATTGTTTCCACATTTTCACTCTGATTTTCTCATCCTCATTTGTTTAATGTGCCTAAATATGTCCCCTTTTTATGACTTGTTGTGCCTAATTTATTACCTCATTTCCGGTCGTTTTGCGCAAATCGTGTAGCCGAATTTCCTAACTTTTGCGACTAGCCGCTCCCTCAAACATTTTCAATTGTCCCTCGTTACTTTTATACCGGTACTATGGTCCTTTCCGTTTCTATAATAGTCTCTGGCTTCATCCTGTCGACACGTTCCGATCGCACGTCATGTATATGGATAGTAAAGTCATCACCACTGCCTGCAACTTTGCGATTGGCGTCGTTCGTGCAATTGCGCCAACCACTGTGCACCATTTTTAAAAATTTATTCGCTTAAAAGCCCACATAATTTTTACATTAAAACGGATCAAATGGCTTTCCGGTGAGGCGGGGTTGTAGGTGGTGGATGGGGAAGAACTTGCGGGGGCGGGCGCATTCCTTAAAATCACAGCACAGCATGGAGGGAATAGTGTGGGTAGGTGGGGCGGGTTGAAGCAGGGAAAAGCCGAGCTTTTCCTTCCTTGTTTTCGGGGGTAGTTTAGCACAGTTCGACGGCGGCCCTTAAGTTAAACGGAGCGTTGTGTGATGGGTGGTGTTGGTGGTGGTGGTGGTGGCGTTGTGGCTGATGATGATGACGTTTTCGGCTGGTTGCTGCTACGGCCCGCTGGGGATGGGCATAAAGTCACCGAGGGTGGGCTGCTGGTTCTGGAATTTGGGGGTTTAGCGTTAGTTGGAAGTATTTAATTGCCTAATTTCAACTTGATTTTGAGGTAACCGCTGAGGGTTTTGTTTGTTAAACCAGCGCCAAATGTTCGTGAAAAACAGCGCGCTGTCTCTTCTTTTTCATCTAGATTTCAGGCTTCACTTCCGTGAACAGACGCGCCATTTAGTAGAGATAAATCTGTGACGTTACTTTTTATTTCTAGGTAGTTTCCCGTGATGTCGGGCTTTTTTTTGCTACTTTCGAAAATATTTGCTCTTTTTGCCCAAAAACTGCGCGTAGACTCTCGCTTTCTAGGCCGATTTTAGGATTGAATTTATACGATTTGAATTTCGCGACGCGTGCCGGCTAGCGAGGCAGGCCAGCCAGCAGAGACCCTTTGCCACGCGCCCCGTCACGCACCCGGTGCCCGAGCACGCGCTGCATCTCGTCGGTCCAGTGGTTCAGCTGCGGGTCGCGGTCCACCGGGTCGCAGTAGCACTTCCCGCCGCAGAACGGGTGCCCGAAGCCGCAGTTGTTCGCCTGGAATTTTTGGGGTTTTTAGCGGGGGAGTTCTCTTCCTTATCCTGAATAATCTCTGCTAGGCTGCCCATTACTTCCTCAAGAATCTCCGCTAGGCCTCAAAATTCAAATTCTAGCCCTTCAAATTCCTCAAGAATCTCCGCTAGCCTGCCCCTCCCAATTCCCCAGGAATCCCTGCTCCTTCTACCTCATGAGCGCAGTGGGGGTAGAAGCGGCACGTCTGCCGCGGGTGCCACAGCGTGCAGCCCGTCTCGTTGCGGTGGTGTTTCTGCTCCCAGAGGACGCACTGCGGGGCCGGCTTCCGGAAAGGCTCGCGCGTGAACTCGAGGCCGTTCGGCTAAAAATAATGCGCTTTGGCTTAGCTTAACTTAGCTGCTTAGGCTTGGCTGAGCCTTAGGCCCGCGTCGATTCACGCTGTACCTGTTGAATTCGTTGCGGGGGCACCGTCTCCCCGCTGGCGCCGTTCGGCTGGTAGAGCGGGCTAGGAGGCGGGGGTGGCATCTGCTGCTGCTGCTGAGGCTGAGCAGCAACGGGCGGCGTCACGATGGTGGTGACGGTGGGTGGAGGCGCGGGCATCAGCGGGGCGATGGTGGCGGTTGGTTTGTTGCCTAAAAAATCGCGGCTCGTATGCAAAAAAATTTGGGCTTCGGCTTAGGCTTAGACCACCCACGCTGCGGACGCGCCGGCGGCTGCTGCTGGATGATGGCGTAGTCGTCCTGCTTCTTGACGGCGCCCGGGGTGACGATGATCTTCTGGTGGTGGCCGTTCGGGTTGCGGTGGTCGACCTTGGGCGCAACCGGGTCTTGCTGGTTGCGGCGACGCTGTTGCACGCGTCGGCGATATCCCTCCTCGCTCTAAAAATGGTGGCTTAGCAGAGATTCGTTAGGAAGGGGTGGGCTAGCAGAGATTCTGTAGGAAAGCTCGACAAACCCAGGGGTTCTCGGGGAAGCCGTTTTTCGGTGGGCCGTTGTTGGTGTTGTTCGCGCTGCCGTTGTTGTCCTGGTAGAAGGTGGTGGTGTTGTCGGCAATTTTCGGCGGGGGCGCATCGGCGTCAGGCTGAAAGGCGAGGTTCCTTCTCACTCTCTCTCGCTCTCTCTCCCTCTCTCTCTCTATCTCTCTCTCGCTCGCTACCCACAATATACAGCCCGCCGACGAGCGCATCCCCATAGTGCGGCGGCGGTGGCGGGGGCGGCAGCTGCTGCGGGGGCGGGGGCGGTGGCGGGGGCGCGAAGCAGGGCGCCGGGGGCGCCATGGGCGGGGGCGGGGCGTAGTCGCGGTGGTGGCGCTGCTGTTCGCGCTCGCGCAACTGCTGTGCTCCGACGGCAAACGGGTTGTGACCGCCGAAGGGGGCAGGTGGCGGTGGGGTATTGGTGGCGATTCCGGATCCCAGACCGCCGCCGAAGCCGTTGCAGCCGCCCATCCCGATTGGTCCGTTGGACGCGCATCCGGTGCCGAGACCACCGCCAAAGCCGCTTCCGATTCCGCCGCCGAACCCGCCCATGTTGTTGTTGTGGAGGGGCGGTGGTTTTGCAGCTCCGAAGCCGCCCATTCCGGGGCCGCCAGCTCCCATACCGTAACCTGAAACGAGCCTGCAGGAGAGAGAGGGCGAGAGAGAGAAAGCGAGAGAGAAAGAGAATAGAGAGCGACTGAGAGCGAGAGAACCCACCAAAGTTTGGCCCCTTGCCCGAGTCGACGTTGAACGCGTTGGCGGCCGGGTTGAGGGGCATCCCGTCGAATTCGTCGATGCGCGTCCCGCTGGCGGCCGGGTTGTAGTTGTTTGGTGACGTGTTGGTGACGTCGGACAGCCACGGGTTTGACGGGAAGCCCTTTTTGTCTGAAGCGAGATTCTTTAGGAAAGTGCACTTAGAAAACTCACTTTCAAAACCATTTCCGCCGAAGGGCGAGGGGCGATAGTTGACGCCCAGATCTTCGCAGCTCCCCTCCGACGACGACGTCGTGATGTCAGGCCATCCGGTGGCTTCTTCCGGCTTCCGCACCGCGCCTTGTCCCGTCGACGGCCTGTAGAGGAACATTTCCATCGCCGTCATCACCAGCGAGACCACTCACCAACTCATTGACGACGACTCCCCATTGGGTGGCGGGCGGACGACGCGCAGCGCCTTTTTCGAGGCGACGCGGACACGTTGGATGAGCATCTCCAGGCTGAAGATGTGCCACATTTTCCAAATGGTCTCTGCTTGCCCCCACCTGTTCGTCATGAAATCGGCCGACCCGCCGCCGATGACGATGAAGGCGACGCGGGTGGCCTCGTTGAAGTGGGCGAGGAATTGGTCGGGGCTCAGAAGCTGCCACAGGATCGAGACGGACAGGGCAGAGGCCTAGAAACAGGGCGTTGGCAGGCTAGCAGCTTTTGGGCTTGGGATTTTGAGCTGGGACTTTGAGCTGGGAATTGAGCTTGAGCTTGAGCTTGAGCCTGAGCGGAGCTGGGGCTTAGGTTTACGAGGTAAATGCGCGCCAGTATACCTGAAGCAGAAAGCAGCGCGACACGTGAATGGGCAGCGCCGTCTTGAGCTGCAGCTCCTCCTCCATCTCCACGTGGTAGTCGTCGGCGTTCTTCGACTTTTTCTTCTCTTTCCAGTCGTCCTCCCCGCCGCCGCCGCCGAGCAGCACCTCGGTGATCGTGTACGCGTGGTCGGCGTAGTCGCGGAAGGCCGGGTCCGCGTCCGCCGGGTGCACAATCTGCAGCTTCCAGTACTTGCGGGCGAGCTGGGTCAGCGTCCGCGAGTAGCTGTCCGAATCTGGAATGAAATTTGGGGTCAAACGGTCTTTGCTAGCCTGCCCTGGGCCTCAGAATTCCACAAGGAATCTCTGCTAACCTGCCCCGCCACATCGATTCCTCAAAAGGTCTTTGCTAGTCTGCCTCCTCCCGTAAATTCCCAAAGGATCCCTGCCAGTCGTCCCCTTACCCGAGATCAGCACGATCAGCCCGGGGTCCTCGTCGTCCGACAGGCGCTCCATGGCGCGGCAGATGCGCTCGACGGCCAGCTGGGCGCGCGTGTGCAGCATGGTGGCAGACTGTAGAAGCGGAATTACCGTAGCGGAAGGGTGGAATTCAGTACCGTGCGCTGCTCGATGATGTTCAGCACGCCGGGGTCGGTGGTGCGCGCATCGCAGTAGAAGGCCAACTCCATCTCGTTCGGGTGCCCGGCTTGCACGTGCAGCTAAAAAAGGAGATTGACGTCGGGAAGGAATCTCTGTTATCCTGTTGTTTCCTAAAAATCTCCGCTAGCCTGCCCTCTCCTTAAGAATCCCCGCCACGCACCTTTAAGAGGAAGTCCTCGACCTGCTCCAGGGGCAGCGGGGCCGTCAGGAAATTCCAGAAGACGTGCACGCGTCGCGGACGCGCTCCGGACTTCATTCTGCAAACCGGAATACAAAATTTGAATCCAGAATCGTCCTGGAAAATCGCGCCCAAAAAAACTCACAAATTAAGGGTAGAGGACCGTTGTGTAATGAAGTTAATTTGTCGAATGATGGGATTTTGGGCCCGTTCGGCTCTTCTCCGTTTTCCGGATACAGTACCCGGATTGAAAGTTGCATTTTAGAGGGAAAATTCATCCTTTTCCGCCGTGATTGGGAATCTGAAAAACTCCATGTTAATGCAGTGTTGGGGAGCTAATATGGAAAAAATGGAGATTGGGAAAGAGCAGGCTAGCAGAGATTCTTTAGGAAAGGGCAGGCTAGCAGAGAGCCTTGAGGAAAGGGCAGGCTAGCAGAGATTCTTTAGGAAAGGGCAGGCTAGCAGAGATTCCTTAGGGAAGGGCAGGCTAGCAGAGATTCTTTAAGAAAGGCTGGCTAGCAGAGATTCTTTAGGAAAGGGCAGGCTAACAGAGATTCCTTAGGAAAGGGCAGGCTAGCAGAGATTCTTTAGGAAAGGGCAGGCTAGCCGAGATTTTTTAGGAAATGCGGCGCGTCGTGATTTGGCGCCTTGTCTCGCCATTGATTCCTAGCGGTGCCCGGGGATATTTGGCAGTTTGGCAGATGCGGCTGGGTCGACAGCATCCCAAAGAATTTTATTGCATCCCAGCTATCCTAAACCAAGCACATGGCGACGCAGAACGAACATTACTACGAAAACTACTGTTCCTATAGTTATTTACATATTTTCAACCCTCCCCGGTTCAAAATCAGCCACCTGCCTACTAGCCTCGTTTCGGCCGTGCTCGTTCATCTGAACGTCCAGGAGCTGATCACGTTGCAGCGGGTCAACAAATCTCTTAGGTTTGTATTTATCCAATCTAAGCAATCAAAAAATTATTATTTATGCATTCTGCGTCTTGATTAGAAAGCTATACTCTAATTTCACCCTCTTCCCCCGTTGAGCCTAAACTTCGTCTTTTCACCTAAAATTTTATTTTTGTTCGCCATTTTTGGCAGAAATATGATGTATTTTAATATAAAGAGGAGAGGAGTCTCAAGTCAAGAGAGTTTTTATTATTCTTAAGTATAATTTTTTTAAAATTTCATTAAAGATAAAAAATATATAATATAAGTTCATAATTTTCATGGTATTTGACGTCAAATTTCACTAAAATAGTTAAAAAACACTGACTATCACGTTCCTAGGCACTACTGGACTCAGAAAAAAATATTAACCCCAAGACGCCCCCCGATAATGCTAAAAAGCCGAAAATTCATTTAGAGCCGCCGTCAGTGCGCGAGGGCTCTTTCCACGCAAATGCGCCAAGGTCGCTTCGACGCTTGTGGCTTGCTGCTGCGCGAAACGAGCCTTGTACGATGACGTGGAGAGCCAGGAGGTAATTTTGATGCATAAATTACCGTAGTCAAAAAAACAATGTAGTCATCGATTTTCAGATTTGGGCTCATAGCCTGAGCATCACCTTGCATGACTCGCAAGGGTGGGCTATCGAGAGTGGCGTTGCACCTAATACCATATGTATCTGGAATGAAGCCCGCCAGCCAATTAGGTTCGTTTTTCCGTAGTAGACGCTGGTCTTGAAGGAACACTACAGGGTGTCCCAAAAAATCCCCCCCTAGCCGACCGCAGACGGGTCCGATTTTTACGATTTAGGTATCTATCGAAAGCCTTCGGAAAGGCGAGTCCAGCACGTCTTGCGGATTTGCAAAATGTCGAAATTTTTTGCTCGATTTTTGGCATTTTTCAGGCCAAAAGGCCCAATTTTTTGTTCAAAACGCAATTTAACCGGTTTAAGCGCTGTCCAAGCTGTGTTTTGGCAAACGGTTTTCAAAAAGCTGTCCTTGGGTTGCCAGGAAAAGCGTAAAAATTCTTAAATTGCGATTTTTGTAAAAAACCCCCTGGTCAGAACAACATCAGAAAATCTGCCCATTTTGCAAAAACATTAGTAACTGATGGAAAAATTTCCAAATTATGAAAATCGAAGAGACGTGCTGGACTCGCCTTTCCGAGAGCTTTCGATAGATACCTAAATCGTAAAAATCGGACCCGTCTGCGGCCGGCTAGGGGGGAATTTTTTTGGGACACCCTGTATGAAGACCCGCAGCATAAAAATACCATTTGACGTATATCGAAGTGGAAATTCGTTTCGTCACATAGCACATCTTGCGCAGAATTTTTCGCTGGCTCGGAATCCGTTTTCAAAAGTTGCGGAACCCCTCAGATTAAAAAGTTACAAGCGTTTTTAATACCCAAAATGCCACAAATCGCACTTTAAAAACTTTAAAGCGTTCTAAAAATTTCGTCAAGGCCTTCTGGAGGGATAGTAAGGCATTCTCCGGGGTAGAAAAACGTGCTCTTTCGGATGGGCTACCTCACGAACTCGTAGTTCGAAATTTGAAAAACAGTTTTTATCGGGGGGCTTGCCCAAGATGGCCGATTTTCGAAATTTTAGAAATTTTGATCTACGGGTTCGTGAGGTAGCCCATTCGAAAGAGCAGGTTTTTTGCCCCGGCGTACGCTTTACTATCCCACCAAAAGTCTCTTACGAAATTTTTAGAACGCTTTAAAGTAAGCGATTTGTGGCATTTTGCGTATTAAAAAACCTTGTAACTTTTTAATCTGAGGGGTTCCGCAACTTTTGAAAACGGATTCCGAATCAGCGAAAAATTCTGCGCAAGATGTGCTAAGCCAAGTATAAGCCTTTGCCCAACCCTAGGCCAAGCCTAGGCCTTTGCCCAACTCGAAGCCCAACCTTTAGCTTAAGCCTAAGCCTAAGCCTAAGCATAAGCTTTCTCTTAATCTTGAATTATTGGTCTTTGCAGGCCCGTAGGAGGCCAGTAGGCCCGAATTCTTTAATATCTCAATTTTAGCGTCGCAACAATCCCCTTCAGTCGATTCCGCAAATTGCTAACGGCACTGAGGCCGGTTTTCACTGAATGGATCGAGCTCTATATCAACCGCATTGGGTGCAACAGCCACCACCACTGCTGCGATTTCTATGAATTAATGGAGGTACAGGCCGAATGCCCGAGCAAAAAACTTCGGTTCTAGGTTGTTAGCGGGGGGGCAACCATTTTCTGTTTTCCAGCAGCTGAGGATATATTAGGTCTTTTTATGGTGTTTTTAGCATTTTTTTTTTGATTGATAGACGGTTCTAAAACGATCTTGAAAATTTTGAAAATTCTAAAATTTTGATCTTTTTTTGGTCTATTGAAGAATTCATTTTTATAGTGTTTTTTGGCAATTTTCGATTGCTAGAACGTTACAAAAAATTTTAATTTTCAAAATTCGAAAATTTTGATAGTTTTTGGCCCTTTTCACACATTTTGACCAAAAATTTAAAATTTTCTTATTTTTATATAGTTTTTATAGTTAAAAACTATGTAAAATGCAATAATCATGGTTTAGCTTTTGCCATAGGGCCGTAGAGAATCACGGGAAACCCCCCCCCGCTAACAGCCCAGAACCAAAACAACATTAAACGTTTAGATCAGCCCTTTTTACCGGTGGCTCGGGGGAAGCGTTGATACAACTATACGGGTGGAGACGATCGATCCAAAGACGTGGAATCTATTGCGAAAAATTCGGCTCAACTTTCTGGGCGACGTCGGCGATCTTGGCATCATGACCGAGGTTCTTTCGCATTATCGGGGGGGAACTTTATTTTCTTAAGATCCAATTTTTCAGATATAAATAGTGGAAGCATTTCTACAGTGTATTTCTATGCATATGAAAACAAGCGGAGAGTTAAGAAAACACGCTTTTGTCAGAGAATTGTGGACGCAGCAGTTCCATGGGAGGTGCCCGGCAAGACAATACACGATTTTTCGCGTGGCCAACGGATTGGAAGGGAAACCGATTTCCATTGCAAGTACACGTTCGAAGGCGTTGCCCTGTTGACTGATGTAAGTATCGGAATCGATCAATTCCGGCCTAGTCCCGACAGCCAAATCTCGACAGTCAAAATACTGGGCTGCTACCAAAACGGAGAATGGATCTTTCCTAAAGAATCTCTGCTAGCCTGCCCTTTCTTAAAGAATCTCTGCTAGCCTGCCCTTTCCTAAAGAATCTCTGCTAGCCTGCCCTTTCCTAAAGAATCTCTGCTAGCCTGCCCTTTCCTAAAGAATCTCTGCTAGCCTGCCCTTTCCTAAAGAATTTTGGCACTGGACGGTTAGCGGGGGGGGGGGTAGGATTTTTAGCAAGGGGAAACCACTTTCTATTTTTTTCCACCTATACCGACCTGCCGATAATTGATACTGGATTTTTTTAGTGTTTTTAGTAGTTTTTGATTGCTAGAAAGTCATAATAAAATTTTTATTTTCAAAATTCGAAAATTTGGATCTTTTTTGGTCATTTTTCATAAATTCATGAACAAGAAGTGAAAAAGTTTTGAAATTTTTTGATATTTGTGATATCGTTTTTATATCTGAGAACTATGTAAAATGCTACAAAATGGTTTATATTTTGTTATAGGGCCGTAGAGAATCACAAGGAAAAATTTGGTTCCCCCGCCAACAGTCCCGAACCAAAATACCGGCAGCCAAAATCCTTCAGAATAGTTTGTTCGAAAAAGCCTAACTTCCGGGATTCTGGCCGGCCGGAAATTTGGCTGTAGGTATTTTGTCGTTTCCCTGAATCTGCCTATACATTTTGTGCTAAAACCCCTGTCTAGATCGCCCTCTTCCCGAAAAGGGTCTCACGAACTGGGCGGGCGCTCTACATTGAAGCAAGCGACTATCCTAGAGGCGAGCCGGAAAATTTCGTGGTAAGTTTTCCCTTTCAGGAATCGGACGAGGTCTAGTCTCAGGCATTTTTGACCAAAAGTAATGTTTATGATTTTTTTAATCAACGTTTACAGGGTGCGGAGAGAGTTTTCGGTGGGGCAAGTAACTCTGTTACCCGAAACCTAGAGGTGTTATTCAGATTTTATGGATTCGAGGCTGGAAATTGAAGACTCATGCGTCATATTTCACGACTGGATTACCCAAATTCAAAGACTTTACACGATTAGAACGACCGAAAAGATCATCTTAGAAACGCCCCCGGCACGCGACACGCGGCTGTTTCGTTGACGTTACAGTACCCCCGTGAGCTAGCCTTGGTCAAAAGGCACAAAATTTTGCAGAGAGATTTCCTTGTCACCTTCCAACATTTAGAACAAATTCGCGGCACGCCTCCGCCGCCAACACAACGGCATCGTGGAACGTTTCGATGAGTGGGATGAAACACTCGAATTATTTATTTTGAAGGTAAGGCTCTACCATCGCTGTCGTGTCTTATTTTTATTGGCTAGACTTGAAATTCCAGTGCATTGACACTTTGACCAAATGATGTTTCCACATAATGAAATTTCCACCAAATGATTTTCAATAAAATGGATTTCGACAAAATGAAATTCGACAACCCCCGTTAACTTCCAGCGCAGGCTTAACAATTCTTTTTTTTTCAGCCGGACGATGCGCATCATTTTTTGCGCTTCCACGCATCTGGGAGATGTAGGTTACCTTCACTTTAAAACTTTTTGGTACACATAGGATGGCAGAGAGGGTACAGATTTATTTTGTTTTGAGGTTACATCATGGCTGCTGTATGGGCATTCGGTGAGCGTCTCGAGCTTTCAATTTTCGACAAATGATGCCATGATAAAATTTGGGAGTATTTGCTCCATTTTTTGATGAAATAAAATGTTTATTGTTTATTGCTGTAATCATTTTTGATTCTTGCCTTCGGGAGCTGCATTCCGAAATAAGCTAGGAGCTAAGTCAAGCTAGCAATCGAAGGCTTGGGCTTGGGCTTGGGCTTCGCTCAGGCTTAGGCCTGGACTTCGGTCAGGTTTACGCTTACAAGCTTGGCTCAGGCTTGTTGGGCTCAGGCTTGTACCTTGGCTTGAGCGTTTACCTTCTCCCTGCTTTAATTTGGGCTTCCGCTCAGCTCGATATAGAGGTTTCAGCTTAAGTCTCCCTCTGAGCATCTGGCGCAACAAGGTATCCCCTACCTTGAGAGCCCTTCTAGGGCCCTCGACTCAAAATGTATACCTTCCCCCTCTGGGGTCCCGCAGCGATCTGCCAACGAGGCTGTCGGCCCGGGTCTTTCAAGTCATTATTTGTCACCTCCAAACAGTCCTCCCCCTGGCAATGAATCTGGCATCCGTTTGTCGGGGGGTTGGGGTGTGGCCATTTGGGCCCTCACCCCCCAAAGGGCCCACCGATATGCCCTGAGGACACATTTGGGTAAATATAAACATTCGGCACTCAACCCCCCTCATCTGCTGTCAATGCATCGGATATTTGGGCGCGGACAATCGACCTTTATTTATGGACCATTTACAGTAATCCTTCGGACACCGCTGGGGCAGGCTAGCAGAGATTCTCTGGAGCCTGTAGCGACGGCTAGCGGAGATCTTTTGAGGAATCCGAGTGCAGGATAGCCGCAACTATTTGCGGATCTTTGAAAGCTGGCTAAAAATTCTTTTGGACTGGTTTTCAGGGCGCGCTAGCAGAGATTCTATTGTTTTTAGATACCGTATCCCGGAAGAAAGCTAGCAGGGGTTGTTGGGCATCCTTGGGGGCAGGCTAGCCGAGATTTTCCCGGTTCTCCTGGTCCCCAACAATTTTTGACGAATGACGGGGGGTGATTTTAGGTGCGGCGTAAAGTGGTCTGGGGTTGCGGACAGCTGGCGCTTGTGGTTTTTATCGCCTGCGGGATAGTCGAGTGGGGAGGATGAGTTATTGACTGGACTTTTTGGCCCTCCGGGTACATTGTTGCAACTCGTCTCTGCCCTTCCCTAAAGAATATCTGCTAGCCTGCCCTTTCCTAAAGAATCTTTGCTAGCCTGCCTTTTCCTAAAGAATCTCTGCTAGCCTGCCCTTTCTTAAATAACCTCTGCTAGTCTGCGTTTCCTAAAGAATCTCTGCTAGCCTTCGTTTCCCTAAAGACTGTTTCTCGCTTATTTCGCTCTCTCTCTCTCTCTCCCTTTCTCTCTCCCTATTGAAGCTTAAACATTTTCGAAATTCACCCCAAAGCCCCATTTTCCAATTTTGTCTCATTTTTCTCGACCCATGCCATCAATTTTCCTCGGGGCACACTAAGATCGGTATCTACCTAGATAGAGGCTCGTGAACGCGAGAAAAAATGTCAGCAAGATACTCTGCGCCCCAACGCCTACTTAATGATCAATCTTAATTTTTCCATCGCTTGGAATTTTACGAATTCACGTAGCTGTCAGCATTGATTAGATAGAACTTCGGGCACCACGCTTTCCGATGGACTAGATTTGAATTTTTTACGGTCTGCGATTGATTGACTTCCCAGTCCCTTTAAATCGAGAAAAAAGTCGCTGGAATCCTTGAAGAATTTGAGGAGCGAGAGGGGGGGGGGGAACAGGGGGGGGGGGGGGGGGGGGGGGGGGGGGAGGAGAGAGAGAGAGAGAGAGAGAGAGAGAGAGAGAGAGAGAGAGAGAGAGAGGCGCGATAGAGGGAGGGCTAGCTTAAAAATGCTAGATCAGACGCTATACGCTTTTTAGGAAATGGCAGGCTAGCAAAGGTGCTTTCGGAAAGGCAAGCTAGCAGAAATTCTTGAAGAAATAGCACCCTAGCAGAGCTTTTTCGGTGTTTCGACGTTTTTCGCGATCCCCTCTTGATGGTCTGATGTCCATTAGCAAAGCTGCAGGCCCAGAAATTTGCTCGCCCATTAATCTAGACGTTTAAGCGTCTTTTTTGTATCTAGGTCTCTCTTGTGCCGAGCCCGAATCTTCACACCTTTTTTGTTCAGGGTGTGTGGATTAATTGGGGGAGCTCGTTTCGATGTGCCGATAATAGAGACCAGCGCGCGCAATTTATCAGTTTTACCGTATGATAGGGGCGCGAAGGATGCCATTTCCTAAATAATCTCTGCTAGCTTACCTTGCTCTCTTTCTCTCTTTCTCGAATTCAAACAATCCCCAACGCGTTCATTCAGCACTTCCGGCGGCAACAAATTCGTCCCCCAAAAGAATGTAGAGAATGCCCGCCATCCGCCCATCAGCACTAATCGACAGTGATCGGCTGTGTGTGCCCCCCGCTAATTTATGCCTCGAATTCTTCCCACTGAATCACCATTTCGTCTACCCCGCGGGTTTTTCATGACAAATCGCGTGCGGGCAGTACGAGACTGTACGGCCGTACTTTCAATTACTTTTGCGCTGCGATTTTTGTTATGCAATTTTGAAGAATTTTTGGGAAAATTGACATTCAGGCTAGCAGAGATCCTTTAGGAAAGGGCAGGCTAGCAGAGACTCTTTAGGAAAGGGCAGACTAGCAGAGACTCTTTAGGAAAGGGCAGGCTAGCAGAGATCCTTTAGGGAAGGGCAGGCTAGCAGAGATCCTTTAGGAAAGGGCAGGCTAGCAGAGATCCTTTAGGAAAGGGCAGGCTAGCAGAGATTCTTTAGGAAGGAGTAGGCTAGCAGAGATTCTTTAGGAAGGGGGTAGGCTAGCAGAGATTCTTTAGGAGAGCACGGGGTAGCAGAGATTCCTTAGGAACCCCCAAAAGACACCTGTTCTCGACCCACTGTTTTACTACCGGCTCATTACCACGCGCAATACTTTTAGGGGGTGTACGGAGGAGTGCGGTGTACGGGAGAAAAGAAGCTTCTGGGCCTGGGTCCATATTGCGCCAGCCCTGATCAGAGGCTGACCGCCATCTACTGAGGACTCGGATCTGACACCCACCCCTTTACCTAGATTGCGCCATATCCGATAGATGCTCGAGGAGATGGCAAATTGGTACTAAGGATTAAGTAAGAGAGAGAGCCAGAGAGAGAGTGAGAGAGAGGGAGAGAGAGAGAGAGGGAGAGAGAGTGAATGAGAGCGACGATTTGGAAACGACATGTACTAGGCAAACCAGCAAGGATCTATTGGAAGGACCTCGATCAGGCAAGTAAGCAGAGATGATTTGGGGAAGATTTCGATGAGGCGAGCTAGCGCATAATTTTGCCTTCCAGGCCCTTTTAAAGCTGGCTGGCAGACTGGCAAAGACCATTTTTCATTCTCTGCTAGCTTAAATCATTCTCTGAACTATTTAAGCTAGCAGGCATCATGAGCGGGGTACATTTGCCTTCCTAGTCGCTTTAAAAGCCATAGGAGGCAAACAAGCCCTTTCCTCCAGAACCTTTGCTAGCCCGCCACTCCCTTTAATGCTCAATTTTTCTCGACCTTTTTCTCACGCCTGAGAAGCCACCGGGCGCCTTTTCATAGATGTAGCCGGCGGCTACATATTGCCACCTGGCTGCTGGCCTCGCGCTCATTATCGGCCTGGGTTGGCAGGGCAGGTGGTCATTCTAGAGGCGTTAATAATGTATTTTCTTTTGAGTTGTCGCCCATTTTTCTATTTTTTTACCTTACCTTTTTCAATCTGAAGGGCAGGCTAGGAAAATTCATTTAGGAAAATTTTCTCGAGTTCCCCTCCTTTCACCTTCGTAATTAGGTGCTAAACGTAGCCCAGCTCTTCGCCCTGTTTTTGAGGGAGTTGACTCCCCCTCCCCTCAACAACATCGTGCTGCTGTGCGGTTTTGGCTTCCGACTGTGAGCTAAATTCGCTTTTTCGGTTTATCTCTCTCCCTCTCTCTCTCCCTCTCTCGCTCTCTCTCTCGCTCTATTCACTTATCTAACTCCAACCATCTTGTAGGCGCCAAAAAGTATGCTAATGGCCTGGGGGCCGGGGCGTAAATCGCTGTTGCGCCGCCCCTTTTTATTCGTGCCTCCACTTTGGGAACCGTAATTAAGAGTATGGAGTAGTGTAGTCAATTAGGCTTAGGCTTAGGCTTAGGCTTAGGCTTAGGCTTAGGCTTAGGCTTAGGCTTAGGCTTAGGCTTAGGCTTAGGCTTAGGCTTAAGCTTAGGCTTAGGCTTGGGCTTAGGCTTAGGCTTAGACTTAGGCTTAGGCTTAAGCTTAGGCTTGGGCTTAGGCTTAGGCTTGGGCTTAGGCTTGGGCTTAGGCTTAGGCTTAGGCTTAGGCTTAGGCTTAAGCTTAGGCTTAGGCTTAGGCTTAGGCTTAGACTTAGGCTTGCATTAGGCTTAGGCTTGGGCTTAGGCTTTGACTTCTCGGCCTCTCGATATTTTTTTCGTGCCAAAGTAACAATACCCCCCGAGGCGCCAGCATGTCCCATCTTTTCCGGGGGTATGTCCCATCATCTTTTGAGATTGAGCGTGGGCTGACAGGCAAATTGCCTCCTCGATTTCCGAGCCATTCCACTTTACGGGCCGCCGAAAGGCCTCATCACAATTCTATTGTCTGGGTAGACATCGAGACAGCAGGGTGCATCATCGTTGGGTTTTGAGGGTTGTCAAGAAAATTCATTTTTGCCTCTACCGTATCCCGGGGATCTCAGCTAGCAGCGATTCTTTAGGAAAGGGGCAGGCTTGCAGGGATTCCTTGACACCTTCCCACCAATCTTATCTCACCAAAACCAAACATTTTGGGCAACCTCTTCTCGGTAGGCTAGCTAGGGCAGACCCCCCTCTGATTTATCGGCCCCTCGTAAATGGGCGCATCGCGTAGGGGGTTAGAAATGGTCAGTACAGCCCCCCATCCTCCGAATTTATTCCCTCATTTTATGTGGCCATTCCATCGCACACAGCACCCCCACCACCATCCCCCTCCACCATCACCCCCGGCATTTATGGCCATCTCTCTCTCTCTCTCTCTCTCTCTCTCTCTCTCTCTCTCTCTCTCAGAATCCAAGATTTTCCCCAGCTTGGCAATGTTGCAAAGCGCAATCTACGGTATTTTTTGACCAAAAACCTTTGCTAGCTTGCCCTTTCCTCACCCCAGCCATTCCCACCCTCCAGGAAAATACCAGCAACGATTCCGTTTTTCCGCGTTGCTCCGGCCCCACAAAAAAACCCTGAAAAAGTTCATGGGAACCCCGCGATTCTTTGCTTAGCTTAAAAAAGGTGAAAGGAGGAGAGACAGAGAGGGAGAAGGCGAGAGAGAGAATGAGAGTGAGTGAGAGAGGGAGAGAGAGAGAGAGAGAGAGAGAGAGAGAGAGGGAGAGAGAGAAATATCTGACTGTAGGACCCGTAGCCCGAAATCTAAAATACCCATCAGAAATATAATTTTTCTGCCTTCCCAATAGGTTGGGCTTTGGCTTGGGTTAGGCTTGGGCTTGGGCTTAGGCATAGGCTCATGCCTAGGTTTGGGCGTGGGCATGGGCTTGGGTTTCGGCTTGGAGTTAGGTCTACGCTTTGGCTTAGGCTTCGTTTTTAAATATTTGTCACTCTATTTCGAATCCTAACCTTTTCAAGCACCTGTTTTTCACATCCCACCTACCCAGAAAGGCCACGCGAGTATCGGGTTGACCCTTGTTAAATCCGGTTTTTGCTGATTTTTCACGGGCAGGTCCACCCCCACACCTAACTCTGTTGGTTGGCCAATTCCCAGAAGGCCCAGAGGAGGGAGGGGGATTTGGGCCCAAACCCGCCCCGCACAGATAAGACGGATTAATATCCGGGGGCCACGTACGGGTAAATACTCATTACACCCCCCACCACCCCCACACACCGACTCCAAGCGCCCACCATATCTGGCTGATACGGTGATATCATTCAGGTGGTGCCCCCGGGGTACGGTAGGTGGGATTTCGCGCATTTTGGTTTTGATATCGCTCCTTATTCCTCGTCCCAAATAATTTCGGCTAGTTTACCTTTGCTTTGACTTTTCAATGGAGCACTGCTGGCTGGTCCTTAGCTTGAATTCCTCAAAAATCTTTGCTATCTTGCCGCTTGATTGAAATTCTTAGAGAAACCCTGCTAGGCAGCCTTTCAAGTAAATTCCTCAAGGATCCCTGCGGGTTAGCCCCGGCCTCTATTTCCTAAATGGTCTCTGCTAGCTTGTCTTCTGTTTTAACATTCTCAAAATTCGCTCCATGCTCATGTTTCGTGAATTTCCGCAGACCCGCTGAGCTTAGGCTTACGAGGCTTAGACTAAGACTTAGGCTTAGGTCCACGATTCCGTTTAGGCTTTGGCTTTTGCTTAAACTTCGCTGAGGTTGAGGCTTAGGCTCAGGCTTTGACTTAAGATCTGGAAACTCGTGTACTCTTTTTTATGTTAGCCCGAGGAAACCCGGTGATTTCTGGGGGTTTGGGGGATGGGCAGGTTGGGGAGCAGGAATAGGTGAACGCGAGGCTCTCCTCTCTGATGCGGGTGAGTGGCCAAATCCGATAATTGCTCATCGCCCCTCCCCCTTTCCCGGCTAGCCCGCCTTCTACGGCTACAACCACTACCTAGACACACGCACGATCCTGTTTCGCGTCTTTACTCGATAGAGGATTTGGGTTTAAAGGGGCTGGTAAGGAAGGTTTTGCTTATCTCTCTCTCCCTCACGCTCTCTCTCGCCCTTTCTCTATCTCTCTCTCGCTCTCCCTCTCGCCCGCTCGAATTCCTCAGCGGTTTCTGCTAGTGGCCTCTTCAATGGAATTTCCTGGTTCCCTAAAGGCCCTCTGCTAGCTATCCCTTCCATTCGAATTTCCCCAAGAATCTCTGCTAGCTGCTCCACTTCATAGTACCTTTATAATTTCCCCACCATTGGCGAGTTCAAAAAGTTTGGCTTTCGATCGTTTTGGCGACGTTGCTGGGTTCTGAGGACGAGGAGGAGCACGAGATGGATGAGTCGAGGCGTCGAGCCCGCTAATCGCGTCTCATTCTCTCTCTCTCGCTCTCTCTCTCTCTCTCTCTCTCTCTCTCTCTCTCTCTCTCTCTCTCCCTCTCCGAGCTACACGTCTTTCCACAAGACGCCCAAAAATGATCTATTAGCCCCCTCCGAAAACCATGCACCCCTCCTCCATGCTTCGTTCGGTGATGACGAGCCGAGATTTTCTAATCTGATCGAGTTTGTGTGGTAGACTAGTCTAGCATACCCAACAATCTCTGCTAGATTGCCCTGCTAGCTATTTTTTGCTTAATTCAGATCTAGCGGCAAAAAAATCTCCCAGCTGGCCAATCGGTGCACCGAAAAAAGTCCGAATCCCCTCTTTTTGCCTCTTTAACTTTCTCAAACGCAAATTTCCCAAAAAATCTTTGCTAGTTGTTCGTTTTACCTGACTCCTGCAAGATCTCTGCTAGTTTGTCTTTTCGTGAATTCCCCAAGAATCTCAGCTAGCTTGCCCTTATCCTGAAATCCGCAAAGATCTCTGTTAGCTTACTTTTTCGACGATTCCTCAAGGATCTCTGCTAGCCCACCATTTTTTCTATTCCATAAAAATCTCTGCTGACTTGCCTTTTTTCATGAATTCCTTAAGGAACTCTGCTGGCTTGCCTTTTGGTTAACTCCTTAAGGAACTCTGCTAGCTAGCCTATTATTGTAAATTCCTCAAGTGCTAGCTTGCTCTTTTTCTTTGTTCCACAAAGTGCCCTGCTGGCTTGCCCTTCCTCCCTGAATTTCTCAAGAATCCCTGCTAGCTTACCCTTCTCGCTTAGTTTTTCAACGATCTCTGCTAGCTTGCCTTTTCGTGAATTTCTCAAGAAACTCTGCTAGCCTGCCTTCTTCCACAATTCCTCAGGAATTCCTGCGAACCTGACACGAAACGATTCCTCAGCGCTCACTGCTAGCGTACCCTATTCCTCAAGGATATCTGCTAGCTATTCTTTGAAAACCCCGCAATAAATGGTTAGACAAAAAAACCGTAAAACCCGACGCCAGTTGGCTCAGTTTTTACGGTTTTTATTCGACTTTTTACGGGTAAAACGCGCCCCCCCGCCATTTTTATTTGGACTTTTTACGGCCAGGGGTACTTGCTGGCCCAGGGCCGAGTAAAACGAGCCCTACTTTTCTATCCCCCCCACCATCCCTTCTAGTATCCAATAAATCCCCCCTGCGGCCCCGTTATGGCCCATCAGATCGTTCGTCTTTTTTATGACGCGCGCTGCGTGGCCTCACCACCCTCGACCATTCCCCCTTTTTTTATTATTCCAACCGGGCGGGTTGCTGGAAAAAAATTGGGCTCGAGTTTCCTAAAAACTATCTGCTAGCCTGCTCTTTCCTAAAGAATCTCTGCTAACTGCCCTTACCTGAAGAATCTCTGCTAACCTGCCCGTTCCTAAAGAATCTCTGCTAGCCTGCCCTTTCCTAAAGAATCTCTGCTAACTGTCATTTCGTAACGAATCTCTGCTAGCCTGCCCTTTCCTAAAGAATCTCTGCTAGCCTGTCCTTTCCAAAAGAACCTCTGCTAGTCTCGTATTTCTCCAAAACTCTCTGCCATTTCAGATGCACGACTGCGGTCCGTCCACCTCGGCCTCTTCGGCCAGCTACACCTCTTCGAGTCTCCGGAAAATTGACCAATTCCCGAAGGAACTTTTAGTCCAGATTGATTCAAATTTGTCCTACGAGGATTCAAGGACGTTTAAGGTACCGTATCCTACCATATGACCATTTTTTCGGGCTACCGTACCGTGCTAATTCCCAACTTTAGGAATCCGCCCCTGAAATCGCGAAAGCCTTACGCGACAATTTTCTATCGTACGACCAGTTACAGGTAAGGCTTAGGTATAGGCTTACGCTTAGGCTTAGGCGATTGCTTGGGCTTAGGCTTTGGCTTTGGCTTAGGCTTAAGCTGACGTTGCTTGACGAAGCTCAAAAATAATTTTCCTCCTTTTTAGCTTTCGGATGACCCGTTCGACTGTTTGTTAAAAGCCACGAATGGCAAGAAGCCGAACCGAAGGATACGGTACGTGGAAATTTCCTGGCGTTCGAGATTACTGTAGTTTTTAACCTTTTCTGTCTTTTTTTCAGCGACTCGTCGATAAGCCACCTCTTTGCCCATGCAAATTCGATCACGGAGGTTTTTATCAATTTGAAAGACGTGTATCTGGATAAACGGGACGGCCAGTCAGGTACGGGAGGGATAAGGCTTAGGCTTAGGCTGAGACTGAGGCTTGGCTTGGCTTAGGCCTAAGCTTAGGCTTAGGCTTAGGCATAGGCTTAGGCATAGGCTTAGGCTTAGGCTTAGGCTGAGGCTTGGCTTGGCTTAGGCCTAAGCTTAGGCTTGGGCTTAGGCTGAGGCTGAGGCTTGGCTTGGCTTAGGCTTAGGCTTAGGCTTAGGCTTAGGCTTAGGCTGAGGCTGAGGCTTGGCTTGGCTTAGGCCTAAGCTTAGGCTTAGGTTTAGGTTGAGGCTGAGGTTTGGCTTAGGCTTAGGCACAGATTTCGGGTCAGGCATGGCTTTGACTTGGCTTAGCCTTAGGCTTACAGCTTACAGCAGCAGCTTAATGTCTATATTTTCAGATCACTCTGTCTACGCGATGGGTGGTTTATTAAATTCCTTTATCGGCCCCTGCCTCCACAATATGCGAAATATCCAGAATCTGCATGTGAACGTGGACATGATGTTGGAGCGGTTTCGGGATGTTTGGTGGGTTTTCAAGCCCGGGCTTAGGCTTAGGTTTAGGCTTAGGGTCAGGCTTAGGGCTTAGGCTTGGGCTTAGGTTTCGGCTTAGTCACGACCTTAGCTGGTGTTTTTCTATTTTTGTAATCATCAGGCCAATTTAAGAGCTCATAGAAATCTTCAAAAATTCCATGAAACTTCGGCTTAAATTCATTTTTCTCTTTCAGGTACCCCTACCCAGCTGGCGACCTCTATTTTGCCCTCAATCTACTCGCCGACGCTCCGTTCGAATCGTTGATACAGGTGGGAAAATTATTTTTCAAACTTATCTATTCAATTACGACATCTAAAACTTTTTAAAGGAACCGGGAAGTCAAAAAATTCATTATATTTTTAGCTCTCCCTTTGCTGCGTAGAGTACAACGATCAGGACCGGCAGGCGCGAGATTTTCTCATCTCCGGCATGGCGCACGCGTTGAAGGAGGTCACCTCGAACGGGATGGCACATGGCGAATTTACTGTTGAACCGTCGGCTGGTTGGTTTTGAGTTCCTCCAGGGGTCTTTGCTAGTTGGCTCTCTAGCTTGCACTCTCTCACACTCTCTCGCTCTCTCTCTCCCTCAATCTCTCGCTCTCGCTCACCCTCTTTCGCTCGCTCTCTATGTCTCTCTCTCGCTCTCTCTCTCTCTCTCTCTCTCTCTCTCGCTCTATCTCGTTCGCCCCTGCACTTCCTGGCCCCTTAAATTGGTCAAGATCTGATCACCGGATCCAGAAAGACCAACGACTTCAAAAGGGTCCCCCGGGGGCCAATTACCAACTCATCTTCCCCTGGGTGGTTCCCCCTAAAATGATTGCTACTCGGGGGGAAATTGGGGATGGACAGGTGTCTAACACTCAATTATCCACCCAGGACCATGCCCCGGGGCAACTTTGTTCTCCCCTAACCCTAGTAGATGCGCCGGATGCGCGCGCTCAGCCCCACTCCGGAGGACACCCTAATTACAGGGCCATTTCTGCACACCCGCGCTAATTTTGGGCGCCAAGGAGCCTGGGAAATTCTGGGGGTAATGGGAATGGGAAAGGAGCTGTATTTTGATATTTCTAGGCAGGCCGTTCGCTCTCTCTCTGTGTCTCTCTCGCTCTCCCTCTCTCTCGCTCTTGGCTAGCGGATAACCTGCCACGCTCGCTTTTTTCCTGAAGGATGTTTCCTAGCTTGCCTGAAATCTGCTGAGAAAGAGAGACGGAAAGAGAGAGAGCGAGCGAGAGAAGGAGAGATAAGAGAGAGAGAGAGAGCGAGAGAGAGAGAGAGAGAGTGCAAAATCGAGAGCCTAGCAGAGACCATTAGGAAACCGCAGCTACTAGTAGAGCAGCTACAAGCGCTAGCAGAGATCATTTCCAAAAGCCTCGACATGAGGAGGCGAGCTAGCAGTGATTCTTAGTCGTAAAAATCTTCCATCAAAGTCCCGAAGTTGAAACAGGCAAGCTAGCAGAGACCATTGGGGGACACCTCCAGGCGACAATCGTGCAAAAACCCTTTGACCCGATTTTTCCAGGCTTCGTCGACATCACGGCACAACGGGGCAAGATGGAGTACTCGTTCGCCTTCTTCTACTACAACCCGTCGATCTGCGACCCGGCCAAGGAGTTCAGGAATCGCGGAGGCGCACCGGGAGCTGCTGATCAAGATCTCCAGCTAGACGAGGATGAGCACGACGTCGAGGAGGAGGAAACGGAACAGGAATGGGGCCCGTACCCGGAAGAGGGGAAGACTGAGGCAGCTGTAGATGATCTCGCATCCCCGCCTAAGAAAAGGAGACTAGTCGAATAAAGATTTAAAGTTGTGATTTTTCTGATTTTCCATCCTCTTTTTGTCCTTTTGGTCTTTCGACGACTTCTTTTTCTTGAAATTTGTGATGCCCTTTGACGTGAGATTCTGATTTTTGGAGGCATAAATGGATTTTCGCAAGACGTTTTCGAGGCGGAAATCCAGAGCGTGCAGATTAAAAACATACTATCGGAAAGAGCACAAAAAACGCATCAGAATTTGTTGAAAAAAATATTTTTAGCCTTTCAAGGGTCTTTAAAAAGGTTCCGGAAGAAGCGGGTGCAACACCCACTCGCGACATGACTTCTAACCTTATTTTACAGAAAAATATAGCAAATCGTCAATTTTAAGTGTTACCATCGAAAAGAGCATCAAAAACTGCATCAGAATTTGTTGGAAAAATATTTTTTAGCCTTCCCAGTCTCTTTAAAAACGAACGGAAGGGATTCTGATTTTGAAGACGTTTTTGAAGGAAAAATTTTCCGAGCTGACGAATGTAAGGTATACCATCGAAAAGAGCATCAAAAACTGTACCAGAATTTGTTGAAAATTTTTTTTCGCCTTCCCAATCCCTTTAAAATCTAGCAAAACGCCACCGACGGCGAGACAAACCCATTTCTCCGGATCTGCATATCCATGTCATCTCCACATATCTCCGGACCTTTCCCGATTCCGCCCTCAAGGTCACCCACACCATTTCAGTCCGACTCATTCCTCTATACACCCTTTTTGTCTAGGACGAGCGGTACCCCAGGGGTGACTCATAATCAGCATCGACGATTTCCACTGCAAAACTGGATGCACGATCGGGGCGGCGCTTGGAATTTTGATTCGGTTGATTTTGTTCGCATTGGCTTCCACATTTTTGTGGAATCTAGGTTTTTTTGGTAGCTTTCTCTCTATATTTATCTCTCTCTCGCTTTCTCTCTCTCACTCTCGGTCTCTCTCTCGCTCTCTCTCTCTCCCTCTCTCTGTTTCTCTCTATCCCTCTTTCTCTCACTCTCTCGCTCTCATATCTCTTATAGCTCTATCTTAGCTTTTGCTAGACTTGGCTTAGACTTAAGCTTGCTTAGGCTCAGGCCGATGCTTAGGCTTCGCTTAGGTTTAGGCTTAGGCTTAGGTTTAGTTCAAGGCTTAGGCTTCGGCTTCGGCTTAGCTTCGGCTCAGGCTTTGGCTTAGGCCTAGACATTGCCCAAAGCTTGTTGCTCCTAAAAGCTCCCCACAAAATGACGTACTTCCTGGGTCCAACCCTAAAAACCCGCGCCCTAGGTTTGATCAGATGGGTGGGGTCCGCATCTTTACTCTATCTCTTTTTCCATCTCTTGTCTCTCCCTCTCTCTCGCTCTCGCTCTCTCTCGTCCTCCATCTCTTTCTCTTTCTTTTCATCTTACTCTCGCCCCATTCCATTCCATTGCACTCCAAAAGACGCGTGTTCAGCCCCCCCCCTGCCAACACTCATTGCTCGAGAGGGGGCCCACTGTGGGGCCCAACACCCGACGACCCGAAATCAGTTCGAAAATGATGGGTAGACCCGATATTTGGGTGTTTCTTATACTGTGGTTTTCGGCAGGTGAGCTATTATTCGTTTTCTGAATTTTGCGCTAGTTTTAAAGGAGCCGCAAAGTAGTTAGTTTTTCGGGCCTCTCTCGCGCTCTCACTCTCTCGCTCTCTCTCTCTCTCTCTCTCTCTCTCTCTCTCTCTCTCGCTCTCTCACTCTTTTGAGTCAGGCTTAGGCTATCTAGCAGAGATTCTTGAGGAGTTGAAATTTCTCCGCCTGGGAAAACTACGCCTCTTAGTCTCCGCCCAGCTACTTCCGTGCCCCACCAACAACTGCACTAATGGCGGGACGTGTCTGTTAGCGAGTAGTAAGTTTTTGTAGTCCTTAGGCTAGGCTTAGGCTTATGCTTAGGCTTATGCTTAGGTATAGGCTGAGGCTTAGGCTTAGGTTTCGCTAGACTAACCCCATTCAGCCCAAATTGCCTCGCAACAATGCCGAGACGGTGAGACGTTCTACGGTAACCGCTGCATCCGCTATGGTGGTCGGGTCGACAATTGGGACGCTGGGCAGCGTCTCTGCCGGGGTTACGGTAACCGGGACCCGTTTTAGAAGCGACCGAACCATTTCAGGTGGCAAACTGTTCATCACCACCAACCCGGCCGACGTGCGGTGGCTCCAGAACTTCACAGGTGGCTTTGCGCAGCAGCTGGCAGGTAAAAATTCCACGGAAACTTGACCGTAAATCAGAAAACTTTATGCTAGTTTTTGGGCACCATAAAAGTGCATTTTTGGCTTTAAATCAAATAACGAATTTTGATGGTCATTTACGAAAGTTCATAGACGCGGAAAACCATTTTTTAGATCCGGCCGTCATCGGCACATGGCTGGGGATTCGAGCAGTTCAGAAGGATGGCAATCCGGTCGTGAGTTTCTTTCTCTCTCTCTATCTCTCGCTCTCTCTCTCTCTTTCTCCCTCGCTCTCTCTCCCTCTCTCTCTCTCTCGCTCTGTCTCTCTCTCTCTCGCTCCCTCCAAAACTCCAAATTTTTAGTGGGCCGAGTACCCGGAGATGTACGAGGTGCAGCAAACATTCTGGAAGCAAGGCGAACCGAATATCTATCCGAATTACGACGGTACCCGCTTGAGGATTTGCCTTGAACGGTCCTTTAAACTCCAGATGTTTGCGTGGCGATGTCGAAATCGAGTCCTGAGTGGATCTCCTCGCTTTGTAGCGCCGTGAATTTGATCGTTTGTGCGCGAGATGTGCAGCGTAAGTGAGAGAGAGAGAGAGAGCGATAGAGAGTAAGAGAGTGAGAGAGAGAAAGCGAAAGGGAGCGAGAGAGATTTTCAGCCCAATCCGCGGCCTACCAATCGCAATGCCAATGCGGAAGCGGATTCGAGGGTCAATTCTGCGAGCAGCAAGTCGGACTTGGTGAGCTGATTTTAAAGGAGCACGACAGGCCCGTATCTGACGATGGCGAACTAGCAGTGATCCTCCCGGATCCCCTGCTGTCCCAACCCCTTTCAAAATGCCGAAATTTTCCTAGATGACAAATCCCCGGTGTTCTGCGCCTCCAACGAGCAGCAGCAACGAGAATTGAGCTGCACCCAGGGCACCACGATCACAATCGATTACGCGAGCTATGGGAGTACGGTAGGGTGGAATTGGATGTGTTTTGTAGCCCTAAATCATAGACCGGGACCACCTGCAACGGACAGGCAAGGCGATACGACTGCGAAAATGTGCATTCACTGCAAACCATCGTCAATTTGTGGGATTTTGAAAAAAATTTTGGGGAATTGGGAAGCTAGCAGAGATCATTTAGAAAAGGGCAGGCTAGCAGACATTCTTTAGGAAAGGGCAGGCTAGCAGAGATTCTTTAGAAAAGGGCAGGCTAGCAGAGATCCTTGAACCTGTGTCTTCAGATGCCAAGGCCTGACCACCTGTCAAATCGGCCCGCTCCAAACTCTATTTCCGGATACGCCATGCGGAGACGGAAGCCCAAATCAACTAGGGTTGCAGCTACGGTATCGATGTGTTAATGGTACGCTTTGAGAGAGCAGAGCGAGAGAGCTAGTGAGAACGAGAGAAAGAGCGAGAGAGAGGGAGGGAGGGTGAGAGAGGGAGAGTGAGAGATATTTCCAAGTTCCAGATCCACAAGCCAGCTGCCCCAAGAAGCAAACGTTCTACCAGGGCCGCTGCTATGAAGTGACGTTTGAAAGTAGTGACAAGAAGAAGCAGGATTATATTGGAGCGGCGAACGCTTGCATGAAAGGGGTAGGGCGGGCTAGCAGAGAATTGTTAGGAAACGGCGGGCTAGCAGGGATTCTTTAGGAAAAAACCGTTTCCAGGGCGGCTCCCTTTTCGACCCGGACACCGGCAGCCTTGAGAAGCTGACCGAGCTGGTGAAGGATAAGGCCAAGAAGAAGGTGGGTGCATTAGGCTCAGGCTAGGTTTATGCTTCGGCTTAGGCTTAGGCTTAGGCTTAGGCTTAGGCTTAGGCTTCGCTTAGGCTTAGGCTTAGCATACACCTTCCTCAAAACCCCCATAAATTTTAGCAAGCCTACTTTTGGGTCTCCGGCCAATCGGAGCAGACGGCATGGTCGGACGACATGATGGATGGGTACGTCCTGAAGCCAGCTAGCATGCCCTTTCCTAAAGAATCTCTGCTAGCCTGCCCTCATTTCTGTTTTGCAAAATTTCCTGATCCTTCCGAGGTCTTTCACCCCTATCACTGCCCGGAAAGTTTCTAAACTCCTCGGAAAACAGCCGCTACGAAATTGTTGGCCCGTGGGCCCCCAAACAAACGGGCCTCAAAAAGGAGGCCCAAGGGCCCTATTCTTTCCGGTGTGTCTCTATTTGCTCCCCCAACCCACGTATATTTACCGGCACTTTTGAGAAGACCCCCATCTTTTTTTGAGCAAAATTGAGTCATCATCTGGGATTCGGGAAGTGGAACGGGGACTTTATAAAAATTAGAGGCAAGAGATTGGGCGTAGGCTTAGGTTAGGCTTTGCTTCAAATTTTGGCTTAGGTTTAGGCTTAGGCTTAGGCTTTGGCTTAGCCTTAGGCTTAAGTTTAGGATTGGCTAGGCTTAGGACTAGGCTTAAGTTTAGGCCCAGGCTTAGGTTCAGGCTAAGATTAGGGATAGGCTTAGGCTTAGGCTTTTCCATACCTTCCCTGTGGGATCAAGTAATCACTGCTTGTTTGCCTCCTCTCCCATCATCATTCCCATAAAATCAGCCAAGACAAGCTAGCAGAGCTTCTTCCGCAAATGGGTAACGCTTGGCGCAACTAGCAGCGATTTTTGGGGCAACGACTTTCAAAAGCAGGCTAGCAGAGATCACTTGGGAATATTTAACCGTCATCGAGCAGCTAGCACCAATTTTCCCGGCAACAGGAAAACGGCGTAAATTTTTTGAGAATTTGATGTCAGAAATAATCATAATTCTTTCAGCTCCCAATGCCGTGCGCTCAACTACACGCCCTCGGCCGCCCAGCTCCAAGTCGTCGACTTGCCCTGCCAGAATTCGGCTTCGTGGATCTGCTCGTCTGCTCCCTCTTCAGCTACCATCATCCGTCCCCTCCAGCGCTACAACAGCACCGACACCACCCGGCCTACCGTAGCCCCGCCCAAACGGTCGGTTTTTAGCCTTTGAAAAGTTTTTCTGGCCCAGCTTGATTGGATTTGGTTCCTAAATGAATTCTGCTAGCTATCGATAGGCTTAGGCTTAAGCTTAGGGCTTAGATTAGGCTTAGGCTTAGGCTTGGGCTTAGGGCTTAAGCGTAGGCTTAGGTTACGCTTGCGATTAGGCTTAGTTAAACGATCAAAATCGGCGGCACCAGGTGAATCAGCCGACGATTACGTGCTGAATTCACGGTGGGACTAATTGGGGCGTAGAGACTCGAAAAATAAAGAGAAATTCGCACAAAAAGAGTGAGCCGATCGAGTGCCGGGGTTCGTTGGCACATAGCAAATAAGCTAGTCAATCGGCCCGGGCCCGACCCCACCGCGCGTGAAAAAAATTGGCATTCGCCGCCCCGGCCTGCCAAATTTATTTCAGTTTGGCATTTTTTCATTTTGTTTTGAATTTTTGGTAAGCTAGCAGAGATTCTTTAGGAAAGCGCGAGCTAGCAAAGATTCTTGAGATTTCCGTCACCATTTTTGGTTGCATTTCCGCAGTCGCATTTGCCACCATGAGTCAGCCAAGGCCCCCTGGTGCACCGGTTCCGCTCCTTTCCTCTTTGCAGCACCCAAACACCCGGTAGACCCCCGGCAAAAAATGGACGAAAGAACCCCCGCATCGACACGCATTGTGCTTTTCTGGCAGTGTGCCTTTTTCGTCTCTATTTTGTATCTTCAGTGATTTATTGGTATAGATTTGAGTTTTAGAAAGGCTCGAGAAAAAAGCTCTAGCCTCTCTCGCTCTCTCTTTCTCTCTCTCTCTCTCTCTCTCTCTCTCTCTCTCTCTCTCTCTCTCTCTCTCTCTCTCTCTCTCTCTCTCTCTCTCTCTCTCTCTCTCTCTCTCTCTCTCTCTCTCTCTCTCTCTCTCTCTCTCTCTCTTACTCTCTCTCTCTCTCTCTCTCTCTCTCTCTCTCTCTCTTTCTCTCTCTCTCAATTGGCCGAACCGAAAGGTCAGGCTCGCCTCTCTAGGGTGACGCATCAAAGAGTGCAGCAATTTTTTGGCTTCCTGATTTTAAGCTTTGCTCTTTCTCCCTCGCTCACTCTCTCTCTAACACTATCTCTTTCCCAATTTGCTAAATTCAAATTCCAATCCACTCTAGAATCCAAGCCTTCCCATTTTGCCTATGGAATTGCGGTAATGGAGTCGAAATTCCTATTTCCCCTGCTGTTACTGCTCGTTTGCCCGGTTCTTGGATTTCCGGAAAATGCTACGGCTGATCCTTCGGAATCAAGCACAGTGTAGGTAATGGGGAAGATAACAAAAATGCTTAGATACAATTAGAAATATTGGAACTCTCGCGAGGGGTAGACTAGCAGGGATTCCTTAGGCAGCAGCACGCATTAATGCCTAAATTTTAGTGAAGAGGCCACCGAGTCAGCATTTCCCGATATATGGTGCCCGGCCACGAAGTGGAAATCCCTGGAATTCCAGCGGACGCGTGCCTGTCAGACGGCCACCGTAAACTGTCCGGATCCGGAAAATGTGATCGGTAAGTCGAAGCCGAAGTCCCGGTCTAAGCTTAAGCCTAAGCTAAGCCTAAGCCCAAGCTTAAGCCACTTTATCCGTTTACTATTGTCTGTTTTTTATTCCCCCATTTTAGGCACCGTCACCTGGCGCTGCGACTGTGAGACCGGAAAATGGGTTGGCACACAGCCAAATACGACCGGATGCACGCATAAATGGGTTGGTCATTGGGACTTAGACTTCGTATGGGCTTAGACTTCGTCCTGTTAGGCTTAGGCTTAGGCTTAGGCTTAGGCTTAGGCTTAGGCTTAGGCTTAGGCTTAGGCTTAGGCTTAGGCTTAGGCTTATGCTTAGGCTTAGGCTTAGGCTTGGGCTTGGTCATAGGCTTAGGCTTGGTCATAGGCTTAGACTTAGGCTTAGGCTTAGGCTTGGGCTTGGTCATAGGCTTAGGCTTAAGCTTAGGCTTTTTCGCGTCCTAAATCATCCCCGCTAGCCGGCCTCGAAAACTAACCCTTTTTAGGTTGGCGAGCTGCGCACTCGCGTCCAAAATGGCGACCCTGCCGAGCAGCTGTCCACCTCGCTTAATGAGCAGCTTGGGTACGTTTCTGCGAACTTTGAGATTTCAAATTTTTTTAGGATAACCTTGAAAAGCCAGCTGTATGGCGGCGACATCACCGGATCTGTTGGGGTGGGTTTTTTGGAATTTTGAACGAGTTTTGAAGTGAAAAATCCCGATTTTAAACGAAGGCTTTTGCTTTAAGGACCTTTCCAAATTTCTAAAATTGGAATTTGGGGCTTCCAAGTCCGCTTAGTCGCGATTTCCACGTTATGTCGATTCAGGCGAGCGCTGACATGGTAGCCCTGGCTCGGAGCCAATTTGCTCAACTCTTCGATACTGCCGAAAAACAGTCCCGGAGCGCCAACTTTACGAAGGTAGTCTATGAGTCCTCTTTATATCTCTTATTCTCTCACTCTATCGCTCTCCCTCGCGCTCCCTTCTCTAATTCCTTCACTTTAGAATCTCGGCGGGGCTGGAGATCACCTATTTTCAAGCCCGGCGCAACTCGTCTGGTCAGGGTTGGACCCAGAAGAGAAGGTATTTCATTAATGCGCAATCCAGATCAAAAATTTTGATTTCGATGCTCCTTTAAAAGCCTCTTTCAGGTATCTATCGCCGCCAAGCTGATGTCAGTTCTTCAAGATTCATCCCTACTATGGGCCGACTACTTTTCGAAGTCTGAAGAGGACCTGAAATACACGGAATGGGGTAAGCCTAAGCCTGAGCCTTAGCCTAAGTCTAAATCTATGCCTAAGCCAACCTAAGGCCAATTTTTCAGCTGTCAATATCAAGGTCTCCCGGGCGCTTCAACCATCCCAGAATCCGACCGCTTCCGGCGCTGGCATGAATGATGCCACATTTTTCACAACAAATTCTGGAGGAGGAGGTGGAGTGGCAAGTCGAGGTGAGAGAGAGAGAGAAAGAGAGAATGAGAGAGAGATTTTTTCCAGTGCCGAACGCCCGTCTCTACTCCACCATCGACCAAAACATCTCGTTCGCCGGATTTTCGAATTCCCCGCAAATCTCGCTGCCCAGCATCAGCTCGTTGCGTGAGTTTCAGCTCATAATTTATCCTCTTGGCAGGCTAGCAAAGATTCTTTGAGGAAGGGATGGCCAGCAGGGAACATTTAGGAACTGGAGAAATTTGCTATTTAGAAAGCTCCATCTCCAAGACGCAACAATCCGTGATGCAGTCCCCGATGGTGGCGATGAGCCCGGCGGCGTTTTCAGGAGCTGCAGATGCTGCCGCGACGCCTACCGTGGATGACGGATCCATCAAGGTACGGTGGTGGCTGGCAGAGATTCTTTAGGAAAGGGCAGGCAAGCAGGGATTCTTTAAGCAATCGATCCTGTTCTTTCCAGGTTGCCTACTTCATCTTCACGGCCCTGGGAGACCTGCTGGTGAGCAGCGAGCACGAAGTCATCAACTCCCAAGTGATTGGAGCGGCTGTGAATGATGCGCAACGGTAAGCTTGAGCTTGAGCTTACGCTGAGGCTGAGATTTAGGCTAAGGCTTAGGCTTAGGCTTAAGCTTAGGCTTAGGTTTAGGCAGGCTTAGGCTTAGGCTTCGGCTTAAACATGGCCTGAGGCTAAAAATTCCATTCCCGTTTCAGTTCCGTTCCGCTGGAGAACAACGCGACATTCCACTTTCCGCATCTCCGCAGCGATGGCGTGAGCAACGCCAGATGCGTCTACTGGGACATCCATCGGGGGTACGGTAGCGTTGCTACTTTTTGAGCTTCGGAACAATTCTAAAGACACTAGTACGCGCGAAAATGAACCCCTGGATTGACTAGGTCTCGACACTTGAAACCCTCAGTTTTTTTGGAGCAACACCAAGTTTTTAGGGCCTGGAGCCAAGACGGGTGCTTCTTGGTCTCGACTTCGGCCACCGAGACGACTTGCAGCTGTAACCATTTGACGAGGTGAGTACTGTATTTTGTACACTACGTACGGTATCACTGTGATTCCTGTATTTGGGTCACGTTTTAATTTCCGATTTTCAGCTTTGCCATCTTGATGGACGTTTCTGGAAACGTGGGCCGGCTTTCTGGAGGGCTGGTGAATGTAGGTGACTTTCCCGTCGGCTTAGGCTTAGGATATGCTTATGCTTAGGCTTAGGCTTAGGCTTACGCTTGGGGTTGGCTTAGACTGGGCTTAGGCTTAGGCTCATGCTTAAGCTTATTCGGATGCTTAAGTTAAGCTTCGGCTTCGGCTTCGGCTTCGGCTTAGGCTTCTACTTGTATTGAAAAAATTCAGGCGCTCGACGTCGTCTCATCCATCGGATGCGCCTTTTCGATCGTTTGCCTGGCGCTCTCCCTGCTGGTCTTCACTTGCTTCAGGTCCCTGTATGGCCTGAGGAACACGATCCACCGGAATTTGTGTCTCTGCCTGCTGATCGGAAATCTCGTCTTTGTCATTGGGATCGATAGGTAAGGCTTTGGGCAAGCTAGCAGAGATCCTTTAGGAAAAGGCAGACTAGCAGAGGTTCTTAGCCGAATTCTCCCAACCCTCATTTCAGAACCGGAAACAAGACGGGGTGCTCGGTGGTTGCCTTAATCCTTCACTACTTCTTCTTGGCCGCCTTCTTCTGGATGCTTATCGAGGGCTACCAGCTCTACATGATGCTCATTCAAGTGAGGATGAGTTTTTGGAGCCAGCTTCTTAAATGATCTCTGCTAGCCTGCCCTTTTCTAGGTGTTCGAGCCCTCGAACCGACGGATGATTCTGATGGTATGCCTGGCTTACGGGACCCCGCTGGTTATCGTGATCATCTCGGCGGCGGTGCGGTGGAAGGACTATGGAACGGATTCCTAGTAAGGGGAGAGACCGAGGGAGAGAGCGAGAGAGAGAGAGAGAGAGAAAGAGAGCGCGAGAGAGCGAGAGAAATAGAAAGAGAGAATCTTTTAGCTGTTGGATCAACACAGCCTCTCCAACCATCTGGGCTTTTGTCGCTCCAGTAATCGTCGTCATTGCGGTTCGTTTTTCGAAATCGCTTAAGCTTCTCCACCGAGTTTCAAGCTTTTGAAGCTTAAAGCTGAAGCATAGTTAAAGTTTTACGAGCTTCTAACGCTTCGGAAGCTCGGTTTCAAGTAGCCGACCATTCTGAGGCTAATTTGAACGTTCCTAAAACTTCTGAGGCTATGCTCCAGGCTTTTGGAGCCTCGGAAGCTCCATACCAAACTTCTAAATTCTTGCGCTCACTTTTCCGAGCAAGCATCAAGCTTCTGAAACACTTTTCCAAGTTTTCAAGCTTCCCAAGCTCATCCTCAACGAGCTTTGTTCAGGCCAACATCGGCTTCCTGCTCATCGCCCTCCGCGTCGTGCTCTCGGTTCGTCGATCTGACAAGCCGCGCTCGCAACGAGTTTTTGGATGGCTTAAGGTACATCTATCGAATTGCATAAGCCGCCTAAGTCTCGGCCTAAGCCTACGCTTAAGCCTAAGCCCAAACCTAAGCTCATTCCGACTTCCAGGGCTCCGCCACGCTACTCTGCCTGCTCGGCATCACATGGCTTTTCGGCTTCTTGACCGCAGTGAAGGGTGAGTGGGGCGCTTAAAAGCTAGGTGAACTGCTCGAACTTGACGCAGATTTTCTGAGAAAAACTCGGCAATACGCTACGGTACTCTACTGCGGTTTCTAGGCTCCGGCTCAACCCTCGCCTTCGCCTGGATCTTCACCATCCTCAACTGCACGCAGGGCGTGTTCATCTTCGTCCTCCACGTGCTGCTCAACGACAAAGTTCGAGCCGTTATTGGAAAGTGAGTACATCAGCCGTGTTTGAGCCTGATCCTACGCTTAAGCTAAAGTTTAAGCCTAAACCTGAACTCACCATCAATTCCTAGATGGCTGCGCTCCGGCTCCTCCTCGGCAGCTGCAGACTACAACAGTCGCACTTGGTTCAGCAGCGGACAGAGGTGAGTGGAGAGAGAGATAGAGAGAGAGAGAGAGACAGAGACAGAGACAGAGAGAGAGAGCAAGCCACCGCTTTAGGGTGATCAACATGTTGCGCGGGAATACCACGCCCAACACCGCGTCCACCGACGACACGAAGGCAGGGGTTGTTGGCTCGTCATCAGCCACGTTATCCCCGGGTGAGCGAGCAGAGATTCTTTAGGAAAGGGTAGGCCAGCAGAGATTATTTAGGAACGGGAAAGCTAGCAGAGATTTTTTGCCAAACTCTTCCATCTAGCCGAATTGTTCAGGAAAAACCGACGAACTGCTCCGCCGGCTCTCTGCTTCCGCCTCGGATAGTCTACGCGACAAGGGCATGGCTTACCGGTAAGTTTTTCATGATTTATTATTGTTTTTACCCTATTCTATAACCCGCAAAACTTGGTTTTTAACCAGGAAAAACATTATATTTTTAGCCCATCCCGGGACGCGGCCCCGAAGCCCATCGTACTGGCCAGCCGGGTGGACGGGATTGAGAAGAGTAGCAGCACCGACACTTCGGATCCAAGGTACGGAAATCGCCCTTTCCCAAAGAATCTCTGCTAGCCTGCCCTTTCCTAAACAATCTCTGCTAGCCTGCCCTTTCCTAAAGAATCTCTGCTAGCCTGCCCTTTCCTAAAGAATCTCTGCTAGCTTGCCCTTTCCTAAAGAATATCTGCTCGCCTGCCCTTTCCTAAAGAATCTCTGCTAGTTTAACCTTCAATTTCCAGAGTCTCCGTCGAACTTGACGCCGACCTTCCCGCTGACACCCGGCCTCCAGTTCAGCGCCGAAAATTCCCGCTCGGGGCCCACCCGAGCGAGCGCGGTTCCAAGGGCCACTACGGGCCCAAATTCCGAAATTCCCGTGAAGTCAACGACGTCGATGAGGCGGCAACGACAGCGCCAAGCTCAGCTGAATCGGCCTTTGCGCTTGCGAGTCGGTCATCTACTTATATTGATCATTTCTAGACGTGTCTCTGATTCCTTTATCTTTCTCACGCTCTCTCGCTCTCTCTCTCTCTCTCTCTCTCTCTTTCTCTCGTCTCCAATCCCCAAATTTTCCTCTAGCCCATGACTACCCTACCGGCTCGAAGCAACCCCACACACGGATATGTACAAAAATGGCACTCGGCAATTTAGCAATAAATTATTCTTGAATTTGCCGTTTTACAACCCAAATTTGCATTTTATAGCCCGGTTGTAGTTTATAGTTTATAGCAATTTTCGATCGGCAGTATATTTACAATTTTATTGCGGCGTGACGCGTATTGGAACGCGCACGTGGCGCGACGACGACGCGACTGTACAAATTACGGAGCGTGGGAGGGACCTGTCTCATTGACACAGCAAGAAATGAGGGCACTGAGTGGGTAGGGTAGGGTAGACTTAGGCATCGGCTTAGGCTTAGACTTCGGCCTAGGCTTAGGATTAGCGTAAGCTTATGCTTAGGCATAGGCTTAGACTAGGCCTAGGCTTAGCTTAGGCTGAGGCAAGCTGAAAAATCGTCAAGGGTACACCAAAAAAAAATCACAATTCAACGTTACAACAAATAATGACTACTGACCCTTGATCAACACCAAATTATTGTTTTTGCTACAAGTGGATTACCGGGCAAAAAGGAAGGCCCCAAAAAATTGACCGATTTTTGCGCGGAGTTTGAGATATGCGAGCCGAGAGCGAAAAAAGCTGGGTGAAAAACCGATGAAAAGCACTAGCGACAACCGGTGATGGCCTAGAATTGAGAGAACCAGGGCGAAAGTACCCTTAAGAACGGACGTAAAGTACCGTAGCGTACGTAAGCGTACGTAAGCGTAGGAAGACGAAAATTCGTACATAAGTGGCGAGAGGAATCGGGGCGGCGATAGAGTATCCGGGGTAATGCGTCAAAAAAAAGTCGTTAAAAAGGAAAGTTGTTCGGGCTTAGGCTTGGCTTAGGTTTAAGGTTAGGCTTAGGCTTAGGCCTAGGCTGCAACTTAGGCTGAGGCTTAGGACGTCCAGATATCTATTCCAGGTGTCAGCTTCAGAAGTCGATTTCGGGCCCGGAAAGGTCGGTGACGTGGTCATGCTCCCCGGCCGTGTGGCTAAAATAGACGGTTTTTAAAACCCAAATTCCCCAAGAATCTCTGCCAGCTTGCCCCGACGTACCGATTCCAAATCGCGTAAGCCAGCGTCTCGAAGTCGGTGCAGAACTGCTTGACGTTGAAGAGCGTCGATGTGTGGCGCGCTTTCCAAACCCTGTTGCGCATGTGGAGCAGGCTAAAAATGAGGATTTTGAGGTGCATAGGCTCAGGATTGGGCTTAGCTTAGGCTTGGGAAAATGTGAAAACACTCACTAGTCGCGATCGTTTCCTAGCCGGACGGAAATGTCGATGTAAGCCTGTCGGTCCTTGGCGACCAGTTCGGGCACGCCGAGGGTGTAGAGCTAAAAAATAGGCTGTTACGCTTGTGCTTAGGCTTAGACTTAGGCTCAGGCTTAGGCACGCTTACCTGAGATGCTGCAACCCGGGAAGCCAACGTCTCCAGCGGCATTGTCACCATCGGCGTCCCCGACCACAGCACGTCCATCCCTAAAAAAGGTCGTCTACCCCTTCATGCTCATCTACCTGTGGTGTGCCCGTTGCAAAGCGGTGTATCCAAGCACACATCAGCCAGCTGACCTCGCCGAACATGCTCCTCCTTGACGGCGACGTTCCTAGAAAGAGATAGCTAAAGATAAACGTCGAAGCATTCACGTGAAACACAGCCTATTCGGGTTGATGCCCCGGTCCGCACAGTACTGCTTCAGGTTCGTCTCGCCGAGCACGGGGAATCGGAGCAGCCAGATGACCGAGTTCGGGACGCGCTTCAGAATCTCGATCCACATGTCGACGGTAGGAGGGTCGATTTTGTACAGCTGGTTGAAGTTGCAGTACACCACCGCGTCGTCGGGGAGGCTGAAAAAGCGAGGGTTTGATTCAGGCTTAGGCTTAGGCTTAGGCTTAGGCTTAGGCATAGGCATAGGCCTAGGCTTAGGCTAAGGCTTAAGATATTTTTCGCTCTCCAACTAGCCTGATTCCTCACCTGTACTGCTGCCGACTGGTCACCATAATGGTCTGAGGTAGCTGCTCGCCGCTGGCCGTCTTGAAGTCGCACTAAAACAAGAAAATCAAAAATTGTCGGAACCAACGCACCGAAACAGCGCCATTTTGCACAGGCACCCCGCCGACGTGCGACGCGTTCAGCCCCATGCCGATCATCTGCTTCAGGGGCTCGGTGGTAGGGATCTGGAGGGAAATGGTGAAAAATAAAAAATGGCGCTGACCTCGACGATCGGGACGACCATCTCGGTCTTTATCAACTCCTTGTCGGGCCCGTGCACCACCTCGACCTCGTGGACCATGCCCTGAACGTAGTGGTAGAACGCTGGTTAGGTTAGGCTTAGTCATAGGCTTAGGCTTAGGCTTGGTTTAGGTTTAGGCTTAGATTTAGGCTAGGCTTAGGCTGAAAATCATACCTTCAGTTCGACGCTCTTCGCCAACGCCTCCAATCCAGGGGCCATCGCGTTGACGAGGGTCAGGTTCTCCTTGCCGAGGGCGACGTTCTTCTCCTTCACCACGACACGCTCGGCGAGGTGCTTGAACATTTGGGCGTGGTCGCCTGAAAATGACGAATCTGAAGGTCTTCTCGATCAGAGAGAGAGAGCGAGAGAAAAGAGAAAGAGAGACAGAGAGCGAGAGAGATAGAGATAGAGAGAGAGTGAGAGAGGGGATACGGATCTCGAGAATGATAGCTAGATGACATACCAATAAAGTAAGTATGCGGCATGTAGGCGAGCTTCTCCGAGTAGGCGTGGGCCAACCGCAATGGAGACGTGATGTTGTCCGTGATGATGTAGTCCATAAATGGTGCGCCTGAGCTGCCCGGGTACCCCAGCCACATCACCTGAAGATGATTTTAAAGACAGCGTGACAGCAATTGGTGTAGCGCTAAGCCGAGGTCTAATACAAAGATGAACAGATCTCCCTCACCTGGACGGGCGCCGGCGTCAAGGCAAAAATTTCGTTTCTGGCCCCTTTTGTGTACCCGTTGAGGTTGACGAGAACGTGGATCTTGTCGTCGTAGATTTTCTGCGCGGCCATCATGTCGCAGGGCATCTGAAAAATCAGTTAGAAGTTGTTTAAAGGGGCTGGGAAGAGCAGAAACTACCCCACTCCCACGACTAGGTATGACAAGTACGCCGACCACTAGAGAGAGAGAGAGAGAGCGAGAGAGAGAGAAACACCAATGACGGATCGGATCCAAATACCTGCGACAAGTCGAAGTAGTGCTCCGCGCCGTCGATGATCCGCCTGTGGAAATTCGTGCCGTCGTTCGTCGCCAGGGAATAGCAGAAGATCTAAAGATGTTTTGAAGAGGCTTGCACGCTAAAAGCTACCTCAACTTTCGTTCTATCGTGGAACCCGGGTACGGATTGCATCAAATGACTGGTCGGGTGGTTGCCGAAGTCGCTGGAGACGTAGCCGATGCGTAGGCGCTCGCCCGGGTGGAGTACCTAAAAACGGGGGATTTCAATAGCCTTGGTTCATTTTTCAGATTAAAGGGACCACTTAGGTTTGGCTTCGTCTTAGGCTTGAGCTTTGGCTGAGACTTGGGCTTAGGATTAGGCTTATGCCTAGGTTTAGGTCTAGGTTAGGCTTAGGCTTAGGCTAAAGCCTAGACCTGCGCTTTTGCTTAGGCTTAGGCTTAGCGTTAGAGACCATAGTCTCACCTTCCGCGCAGGCGGATGTTGAAAAGGGCGGCGCTGTGCGAGGTTGATCCTTTGGAGGCAGAGATTCGCGTTGGCGGTCGCGATGCCGAGGCGCATCTGAATTTTTGTTGTTTATAGGATCGTATTTTCTAGGTTCAATTAATAATTATAGCACTTAAATCCATTAAAATTTAAAAATAGAAGACACGTACCTTGTGCGTCATCGGATAGATGATGGTATGATGGGGATGGATGGAGGGGAGCTTGCCCTCGGCCAGCTGCTTGTCAACGATGGTGTTGAGCTCTTGGATTCTGGAAAATTCGGAGAGATTAAGCAGCTAGTTTTCCAGAATTTCTCAAAAAATCTCTGCTAGCTGGTCTTGAATTCAAGTTTTTTAAAACTAGGCTCTGGCTCAGGCTCAGGCTTAGCTTCGGCTTCGGCTGAGTTTAGTCCTAGTCTTACCTCTGCTCATAACCCGTAAAGTCGCAAATGAGCTGCTGACAGTGCGCGGCGTTGCAGATCACGTCCGGCTGGTCGGGGCGCAGCATCAGGGAGCGCGTGAAGCTTTGCATGGCTTCAGGGTAGTTTCCGCTGTCCTGTAAGTAAGGGAAGAGGCTTGAGTTCATCTACAGGCTTACCTTGTAGGCCAAGCCGACCTGGAAGTAGAGATCATTGTAGGTGGGGTCGATGAGGAGCCCGCGCTGGTAGCAGGCGATGGCGTTTTGCTGGAAAAGAGTTAGGTTTAGGTTTACGCTTAGGCTTAGGCTTAGTCTTCGGCATAGGCATGGGCCTTGGCATAGGCTTAGGCTTCGCCATAGGTTTAGGCATAGGCTTAGGCTTTGGCTTAGGCGTAGGCGTAGGCTTATCCGACTTACCGGATCGCCCAGCTCCCGATACACATTCCCGAGGTAGTGGTGGGTCCTCGCAACGTTCGGCGCGAGTCTGGCGGCTTCCTGAAAATGATAAATAATCTTTCCTATACGTTTTCTGCACGGATACATTCCAAACAAGTAAAAAACGTACGCTGTAATGCCAGAAAGCTTCCCGGACCTTCTGCTCTTGTTGGTAGAGGATGCCGAGACCGCTGTGCGCTGGCTCGTAGTTTGGATCGAACTGGAATGATAAATTAGCTTAGGTTTAGGCTTAGGCTTAGGTTTGGCTTGGGCTTATCACTAATGGCAAAACGCACCTCAACAGCTTTCCCGAAAAAGAACTTTGCCTCGGCCAAGTTCCCCTGCACCTGCTTCACATTTGCCATGTTCGTCAGGATTGAGGGGCAGTTTGGTTGTTGCTGAAAACAAGAATATAAAAATAATCAAAAAAAATCAATACCTGTAAGATGCGCAGGTAGCAAATCTCGGCCTCGGCGATGCGGCCGAGCCGGAAAAGCGCATTTCCGAGGCTGCATTGGGCTTCCGGGTAGTCGGTCTGGATGTCGACAACTTGCTGGAGGTAGATCACGGCCATGTCGTACTTTCTGAATCAAATGATTGCTTCAAGCGTTTTGAAAATTCCCAGATCGAGAGAGAGCGAGAGAGAAAGAGAGCGAGAAAGACCGATCCAGAAAAGAGACCTAGCGAAGATAAGCGGTCGATTTTCGCGTTTATAGACTCGTTTCAAGGCAGGCTAGCAAAGATCCTAAAGAAAACCCCTAACCCCTGCTCCACGTAGATCTGGCCGAGCTTTGCGTGCACGTAGGCGTCGTTGGGAGACAATTCGAGGGCCCGGTTGTAGATTTGGATGGCCCTGGAAGAGAAAAATAGTTAGACTTAGGCAGGGGCTTAGGGCTAGGCGATTGAAAAGCCGAAACTCACCTATCATAACAATGAACCTCTCGGAGCAGATCTGCGAGCGTCACGTGCACCTCATGCACCGTCTGGTCGATGAGCAGCGCCTTGTCCGCGTAGTGGATCGCAAGCCAGGGTTCGTTCTAAAGAAAAAAATAGTAAATAAAACTTGCATAAAAATAAAGCTAAAACCTGCAAACGGAAAAGTTTAAAATTTCGTTTTAATGCGAAAATTTTACGATTTGACGCACCTGCGTCTTGTACAGCACGGCCATGTTGATCCACGGGGCGATGAACTGGGGGCAGAGTTCGATGGCTCGCGCGAAGCAGTTCTGAAGAAAAAAACTCTATTTATTTATGATGATTTATGAAGATCTACTTGTTATTTATTTTTTAACTGACCCTGGCCGCGTCGGTGTGTCCGCTTTCTCTGAGGACGTAGCCGATGTCGTTGAGTGCCACGTAGTTGTCCTAAAAAAATCTCGTTTGCGGAAAAATGGGGAAAACCCGTTGCCGATGACAAAGTTAAGCCTAAGTCATGCCTAGGTCAAGCCTAACATAAGCCTAAGCTAAGTCTACGCCGAGCCCAAGCTAGCTAATACTTACCAATCCCATCAACAACTCCATCGCCGTCTTGTTGGTGGCCGGCTGCAAGAATTGCCTGTTCACCATCTGCATCGGGTCTGGCGGGGCGTCATAAGCTGTCCGCGGAATTCCCAACATTTGCATATTATTAAGATAACTAAAATCTATATAAGTTTTTAATACTTTTTCTAACCTTTCAACATAGGGTAACATAAGTAGAGTCTCTTGCGTAACGGGGGCTTTTGGGGTCATCTAAAACAGTAGAATTAACGCCTGAATACAGTTATAAAAAATTCCCATCGACGTCAGTAACGACGCTATTAATGCAGATATACTTACGTAAGTGAGGTAGGGAATCTGCTGCTGCGGCTGTTGTTGTTGCTGTGGTTGTTGAAGAGTGTGAAGCAAGTTGGTGTCGTACATCGAGAGGGAGCGCATGGAGCTGAAATATCACATTTTTAACGATTCCCGGGAAGTTTAAAGGCTGTAAAACGTCTCAAAAAGTAGCCCTCAAACTAGGGAACATTAATATAACAAATTTAAACGAAAAACGAGCGCAAAGATAGAGAAATCCGCCTTCGAAAACCAGAAAATTTTGTCTAAGCATCGAATCTACTACGGTGAAGAAATTTGCGTTAGAAAACCGGAAATTTCGGGTAAAAATCGCGAAAACCGATATTTCCTTCTTTCTAAAAATTTTGGAGCTATTGATGTTGGGGGGCATTTTTTTTAGGCCTCCACCGGGCCCAATTTTCCGCGCTGAACATTTTTACGGTGTCATAATCGTTTACACATTCTACTAACCATGTTTCAGTAACAAATTTTATCTTAACATAACAACTTTAGAAAATATAACAAAAATTACTCGCATGGGTAAAACTCGGCAACCTGCGACCAAAAATGATAAAATGGATCTTGTGAAAATTGTTGGCGCCAAGCGAATTCGTCTAGGTAGTCCTGGTATCTCTCATTTGACCTGCAATTCATGCCATTCTTCGCCTTGATCATCTTCTTAAGTCGGTTCCACATTGATTCAATGCCTTGCGTGTGACAGCCAGTCCGGGGGTCGACAAAGTTACGTTGGTGATTCACCGTGTAATGTTGGAATGCTTGAGGAAGCAAGGTCAGACCCGTGTACGCTCTCCACCTATCAGAATGGATAATTGAGCCTGGACGAACATATTTCTGAAGAATAGGAATTAGCGTGGCCGCATCACGTTTCGGAACCAGCTCCAGGAATCCGAGGTGGGAACCCTGCTCGATTCCGCCGAAGAGCCACATGCGCCGCTGTCCCGGTAGGCGACCGACATTATATTTCCTCTTGCTAATCGCGGTTTCGTCGATCTGGACAACGATTCCGGGTCCGCCTATCGTTCGTGGATATTTGGTGAAAAACTTCGCAAAAATATCCCTAATCCATTGTGCCCATTGGTGTGCGCATCGTGTCGAGATTGAGCATTGGTATGCTGCTTCTTCAAGTGTAATCTTCATGCGTAGATAATAATAGGAGAAGAGCACGACTAGTTTTGGATCTTCATGGGCCTTTTCAAAATAGGTTCCCGCATAAAAACCCAATTTGTTCACGTTACCACGGGCACGGCATCGGCCCCTGTTGCACTCCCATTTTCGGACCGTTCCAGGGTGTCCTCCTGCATAGCGTTTCATATCATCGTTACCGCAGCTTGGGCAGGTGCGCTTCTGATGGAGGAGACCAATTTGCTGGAGCCATTTCTCAGTGACATCATTTGGGCCTTGGATGTGTCCGTGTAACTCTAACAAAGTTATGTCGCGCAGCGCTTGCAATCTATTGGCCATTATTGCCAAAATAACGGAAAAGTAGATTTTATTTCTCATTTCTCCTTTTATAGGCAGCGGTAGTGCGTTTTAGCAAACTAGCAACCGTAAAATGTTCAGCGCGGAAAATTGGGCCCGGTGGAGGCCTAAAAAAAAATGCCCCCCCCAACATCAATAGCTCCAAAATTTTTTATATGTTTCTAATCTCTAAAGGTTGATTTATATATTTCCATTTGAGAACAAGAAAACACCAAATCTCAGAGAAAAATCTCTTTTTAAAAAAAGTCAGTTTTTGCAAATCTGAGCCTCGATTAAACTATGTAAACTATTAACAAACAAATATTTGAAATAATGTAGATTTCTCCATTTCCCACCTGCTTAGATCCATGGCAATCGGGTCGGTGAGGGAGGGGAAGCGGAATTCCAGCAGCGATTCGAGGGAATGCGACGTGGGCAACACACTGGAATCGACCACGGACATCGTTAATTTCGAGAGAATATGTCGAGTTTTTGTTAATGGCTAATTAGGCATTAGTGAGAGGATTTTTACTCTATGAGGTTTACCACAGCCACCTGCCACTCTATTAGTGCACGTCTGCAACCTAGATTTGACTTTGGCGATCTGTGCTCGGGCTACAACTGGCTAAACATCTGGATAAGCGGATTTTCGTACCCTCCGATATAGAATTGATAAGATAGGCGAGAAAGTAATTATTCCTATTTAAAAACGGCTATTCTTTGCATTAAAAAGGCTAATTTGAAGACTAAAAAACTCACAAATAACAAGCAAATCAAAAGTTTCAAGTCTTTGAGGACCGGTCCACCATTCGCGTAGTCGGCGCCGATTTGTTAACGCCTCGCAACAAAATCCTGAAAAGTGTTTTGTACAATTAAGACAAGAAACAGAAAAAAGAATCGCAGAAAATGTAGCTTTTTCTGACAAAATTGTATTGGATTAAGCTAGTAAAATTGCAAACCCGAATTTGAGGGTGACCGTCACACAATCAGCGTTCTATTTTGGAGAATTCCAGACGTAATTCCATACAAATTTTCATAAAGTTAGTCCATTTTCAATAAAGCTACAGAAATAACAAAAAGAATCGCCTAAAATTGCCGCAGTTTTTTGAAGAAATCTGAGTCGATTAAGCTAGTAAATTCGTAAAAGCAATGCAACGACTGCGGTAAAAATTCGTCATTATATTTTAGCAATTCTAGACAAAATTTTATACAAATCAAACTATGAAAATTACACGATTAATGATCTAAAATGAATGAATTTATGTAGGTAAAATCGATTCTCAGTTCCTCGATTAGCAAAAATTTTCAAAACGTGAAAAAACGAGCTGGAAACCAAATTGATTTCACAAATTTGCACATTATTTTGTTTTAATTTAAAGCAGTATAAAAACACGAATGTTGTAAATAGCTGTAAAATAAATACAAAATTCGCCAATTCCGCAGCCGACATTGATCGCTTCGGTTCCGCGAAAATCGGCGTGCCAGACTAATCCAAACAATTTTAGATGTTCAGAGATCAGCCCCCTAGTGCCGTCATGGCAGCCGGCGAGAGAGCGAGAGAGCGGCCGAGAGAAGTAGAGCGACAAACATATGCGAAAAGACACTACGGGGCGCTACGCTTTACGTTGCCAGACGGGGGGCAACACAAAATCGGGCGAGAGAGTGGCCGAGAGCAAGAGGGCGCCGAGAATCTGGCGGCGGAAGTGCAGAAAAAGTGCTCGTAGTGGCGGAATTGTGCCCGGGAAGCTTCTAGAAATTTATTATGTACTGTTTTAGGGTCATAAACGGCAAATGGTTTGTTTTTGAGGGGATATGCGCGGATCTGGGCACAGAAAAATGCTTGCAAAATATCTTTGCTAAAGAGTTATACTTTAAATGGGCCGGCAAGCCAATATTACGGATCTTATTGGCCTGTAGATTTTGCGCCAGGATCCCTTATGCTATGCAAGGGCGGGTGCGCGTTGCGTGACGCGGGCGCGCAAACACCTTTTTTCTAAGGATCCGTTTCGTCTAATCTAAAGAAACAAGTATTTCTAAACCATTTTTACTACTCCTAAACTTTACAAAATTTGATCAAAACTACAAAAAAGTATAGATTTTTCGATCGAAAATGGCCAATTTTCGAGCAGAACGTTGTTTCCATTCAATCAAGTTTCTAATTTTTTTTGATTGTTTTTGGTAGGGAAATTTTACTGAAACACTATTAAAAGACTTACTATTGAGTAACCAGGCATTTCTGGGCTTATAGCAAAAAAAAGCTGCCCCCCCCCCTCCCAATAATGGGTAAGAGGCCTCTTTTTTAGACAATCGTGATCATAGTATCCCATCGTAATTTTTTTTGAAAAACAGGCACAAAATAAATTCTGTAAAACGACGCAGAGAGCCGAAACAGCCCACCAATCGAATTACTTTATTAAAACGCCACTGGATTGGGAACAAGCTGAAACTCTGAATTCAAGAGAAGGAGGGACCGCACGATCCCTTTACAAGCAGAAAAGACAATTTTAGAAAACATCGATGGCGGTACCAGTATTATCGAATTCTAGTAATGACAATTACTTCGGGCAAGCGTGCAATGTTTTGAAAATGACAAAGGGTGAGGTATTTGCGAGGGCAGGGTAAAAAAGCGCTTAATCGTCGGCGAAAAAGTCGAAGGACGAGAAATCTAAAAAAACAGGTGTTTTTGTGAATTCGAAACCATTTTTCAAACATAAATAGCGGAAGCGTTTGTAAACTATTTTTTTACTATTTACTATTCCTCAACGAAAAATGCTGCAGCTCTCTATTACAAAAAATACAAAAAAGGCATTTTTTTGAGCGAAATTTCGAGTTTTTGAAAATTTTTTGAAGGTTCTTAGATAGTTTTCCAGTCGAAATAGAGCCATATACTACTGAAAAACTCTTAGAAGGCCTCTTATTAAGTTACTAGGCATTTATTAACTTTAAAAAAATTCGTTTCCCCCGATAATGCACAAGAACCGTCAATTTTATCAATAAAAATTGGAGACTCAACTCACTTTGCAATTTGGATACGCGCTTTGCTGGAGCCGGGGCGGCATCGGCTTCTGCCACTTCATTGACCGGGCGAAGGGCGCTACCTAAAAATTTTTGCATAATTTGAAAATTCAGCGGGATGCCTCACCATGTTTAGATCGCGATGACGAATCGTTTCGGCTTTTCGGTGTGTCGGGTATCGCTGAAAATGGCACAAACTATATTATTAATAGAATTTATACTTTGAAGCCGACAAAATATGCAAAAAATCCCGACAAAAAGTGAAAAACACGAAACTCGTGAAATTTTTACCTTTTTCTTTCTCCGCGGCCGGACTTTCGCCAAATGACGCGTCGAAAGAGTCGTCGAAAAACGACTCTAAAATACGGATCCGTACGCGAAACCCAATAACTTACGCCGGAACCGACCTTTTGCTAGATTTTGTGGCCCCGAGCTTGAAGTTCCCGGCTTGTCATTTTCAGGCCTGGGAAATTAAATATTTTTAAAGGACTACGAAACGCCACCTTGTACCCGTCCTCGCCGTCGGTCCGTTCTTTGCCGGGGTACGCGATGGGACACGGTTCGTCATTCTGAAGGAGGATTTTATTCGAGCAATAAAAACTGACTTTTGTGTTGATTTGGGCATAAAGTCGTCGTCGTCGTCGAACGAGTCATAAACTAAAAAAAAAAACGCTATTTTTCCGGAAATTTCCGAACTCACGATCACAATCCGACCGTCGTTTCGGCGCTACCGTTGCTTGCGATTTTGCTGGGGTCGCCGTTTTTGCAGGATTCTAAAGAACAGAAATTTCTAATAAAAAATGTCACTATCAAATTTCACCAAAAATCAATTAAAAAACCTCAAATACCTTTTTGAAGGGGTTATTAGGCTTGGCAGGCTCTTTTAACATTTTCAACTTTTGCGGGGTGCTCCGAGGGAGAAGCTGGAACTCCTCATCGCCATCCCACGAATCTAAAAAATCTTTCTAATTTTCGCGCGGAAGAAGGCTACCGTAAGAAGTTCGAACAGCTGGCGCAGGTGGTGCAGCTGGTGCGGGGCCCGGCGGCTCACCATCCTCGTCAAACGAATCGAACGTAAAACCTAAAAAACTGTGCATTAGGGGTCCGGCACTACTGTATCTTATGGAAAACCGACATCTTTAACATTTTTTTAATAAAATTTTGTAGCATTTTTAGGATTAGGAATAGCAAAAAAACATTTAGAAACACTTGTGCTATTTATATTCGTAAAATTAGATCCAAACGAAAAAGAACCAAGAAAATGTACGCTTGGACGTGGAAGGCCTGATTTTTCCCGAGGCTTCCGATTGAAGGCAGCTGGTATTGGACGTTTTGCTGGGTGTGTCGTGATAGCCCAGGAATCGGAGGGCCCCAGTCGCATTTAATTCTGAAGCAAAAAAAAATACTTTAAAAGTCCGCCATTTCAACCTGTTTCATCGAGCCGTGACCGCGAGAACAGCTCGTGCCGGGAAGTGGAGAAAGGCGCTAAAAGGATCATCTTGAAACCTACGAAAATGAAGTTCACCTGGTGTGCTTGGCTTCACTATTGTCTTCGAAGGCAGCGCGCCATTCAGAGAGGAGCGGCTGGCTTTGCGGGCTGAAGAAGAATTAAAAGGCAGGACAAGCTAATAAACCTGGACTTGGTGCCTTTGTCTCAAACGAATCGTCAAAGCTGTCCCGTAGTTCGGGTTGCGCGCTCGGTGGTCGAGAATCTGGAGAAAAAAAAATCAAAACCAATAAATGACATCAGCAAAATCCTTCTTTCTAAGGTTCCAATTTTGCCAATATAAATAGAGTACGTGTTTCTAAACGGTTTTTATTATTCCCGGACGTAAAAATTGCACAAATTTCAATAAAGAAAATACAAAAATATCGAAATTCAACCAAAATTTCGCCTAAAAAATCATCAAAGTTTTTTCAACTGTCTTTCACTTAAAATAGTTGCATTAAACGGTATTAAAATATTTACTATTACCTTACTGGGCCCTACCGGACATAGGAAAACCCCGCCCCTCGATAATGCGAAGGAACCAATTTAGATATTTTCATATTTGAAAATAGCGAAATTTTGTATACAAAAATCAACAAACCCTGCTCCTCCTCAATGCGCGCCAAGCTGTTGAGCGCCTGCTCTCGTTGCCATTCCAGATATTTCGAGTCGGGGCCCGACGTGCACGTCGAGGCGGCAGTCAGATTCCGGGGCCCCGGCGAGGCGCTGGGGCCGGGCGGTGGGGTGTCGAGCAGGATGATGGATTCCTGGGAGACATTTTCCGCGATAGGAGACGGCAAGCGAATCGGCGGCAAATGGCGGCCGCCCAGCGGAGTTGCTAGAAAATGAATTTATTTTAAAAGGCGTTCCGAAAAATTACCTCTCAACGGGGTCGACTGGGCTTGCGGCGGCTGTGGCGTAAAGCCAACAAAAGCCCGAGGTTTGCTACTAAAAATTATTCGTTATTAAATTTTAGTAGTAACCAGGGTTGAAAAGCCGCTTCGCGACTTTTCAACCCTGGGCCCCGTCTGAGCCCATGATATCCTGCCCATTGCATAATTCGGCCGAATTTCGATGAGAAATAATGAAAAATGCACCCTTCCCTCCGTTATATAGACTGCCGCCACTTCCGGTTTATGCTAATTAATTCCTAACAAAATGGCTGCCCGATTTTTTAACAAAAATTGATTTTTAATGTCGAAAATAGCATAATTTGCAAAATCTGATATGTGTGCAGTCATCTCGGCTTCATTACGCACCTAATGACGTATCATACGTAGCCTAATACCCTTCCCCCCTTGAGATATCCTCCGGACACCCTGACGGAAGTTGCATGCAAATGCGCACACACACACACACACACACACACACACACACACACACACACACACACACACACACACACACACACACACACACACACACACACACACACACACACACACACACACACACACACACACACACACACACACACACACACACACACACACACACACACACACACACACACACACACACACACACACACACACACACACACACACACACACACACACACACACACACACACACACACACACACACACACACACACACACACACACACACACACACACACACACACACACACACACACACACACACACACACACACACACACACACACACACACACACACACACACACACACACACACACACACACACACACACACACACACACACACACACACACACACACACACACACACACACACACACACACACACACACACACACACACACACACACACACACACACACACACACACACACACACACACACACACACACACACACACACACACACACACACACACACACACACACACACACACACACACACACACACACACACACACACACACACACACACACACACACACACACACACACACACACACACACACACACACACACACACACACACACACACACACACACACACACACACACACACACACACACACACACACACACTATTTTTTTTATATATAGTAGGATACGTGGGAGCCGGAGTCCGGGCTATCGGCTGATGTGGTGCTGGTGATGGTGGCGCGTCAAACGAGGCGATAGACGCCGCACCATCCATTGTCGCATCCTCGGAAATGGCCAGGTCCAGCTTTGGCGATAAAAGCACTAAATAAAATCCTTATTTTTCCTAATAAAAACCCACAATTCGGCCCTTTCATCGATTTTCGTTTCCCGGGCTCGGCGACTGGGCCATACTGCGCTTCCAAATCAGCGGCCTAAAAATTTCCTCTCTTCAAATAAAAAGAGAAAATTACCAGTTCCGGATTCCTTCTCGTCAGCAACTTTACGTCTTCTGCGCCGACCGTTGTTCGTTTCGCGTGACTAAAGCAAAAATTAAAACCACGCAAAGAGGTGCTTTCGCAATACCGGGAGGAGCAATTTTTTTTGAATAATTCCAGAAATACTTAGTAAAAATTAGTAAGTATTTTAATCGTGTTTTTAGTAAAATTTAACTATATTTCAAGTGGTAAAACAATCAAAAAACTGAGAAAATTTTTGTCGAAATTTTGGTCAAAAAATCTTTTTTTAGTTGTATTTTTAAAAGTAATTTGTAATGTTTTTACGTTCGGGAATAGTAAAAGGACGATTTAGAAACACTTCCGCCATTCATATTAGAAAAACTGGATCCCAATAAAAAAGTTGGTCCCCGATATTGCGAAACAAAACGCAAAAGATTACTCAGAAAAGGTAAATGCATCCGGGCCCCACGACGCTGTCACGGCATCGAAAAGGATCGAGGTGACCCGCAGAATCACCTAAATTCTGCAGTTTACACCATCAAAGGTTCGGCCGAACCTCGGGATCAAATTTGGCGACAATGTTCGAGTCCTCCTTGATCGCGTCGGTGACGTCCTTGGCCGTAAGGATCGCCGAGTGGTGGAGGGAACGAAGTAATTCCTGAAACGCATTAATCTCTTCGAGCTATTTCTGCTGTTCCATTGTATTTGTGCATTTTCCGATCCCATCGCTTTCATTTTGACAAACTAAAAATTTATTTCGTACCCGACATGGCGTCAATTAAAAGCCTAACAAGGTCACACGGGATTAGCACAATTTACCCACAATCTTTCTCAACAAATACAGTTGCGGGACCTCTTGGTCGTGATCGACAAATTCAGGCAGATGCGGGACGAGCATTCTATCAAACTCGACACATTTAACGGAAGAGAAACGGGCATCAATTTCAAGTTGGTGCAAAAATGTTTCAAGGCTTTTCTTTCTTGGGGGTGAGCAGAGGAGGATGAGGGTATCCAGCGAGGAATTGGCAGCCAATGCTTCGATCAGAGCACTATGTGCTGCTTCAAAGAAAACACAGTCTGCCGCGAGAATCACGTCGAAATCGCCGAGTTTCTCTGGGCCCCACACGAATTTTTGGATTTGAATTTTTGAGGGGGTTTTCGCGGCAGTTTGGGTGGCTGGTTGTAATGGTTTGAAATCTACCAAATTGTTCTTCCTTTTCGGAAACGCGGCATCGAATACTAGCTCCAAGTTTGTCACCGATTCCATGTTGCCGTCAGTGATCATCAGGCTTTTTGCCTCGTCACAGCAAAGCGCGGGCAGCCCAACAAGCCCGGCGCCAAGCTCGAGGATGTCTTTATCGGCAAACAGCGCTTTATTGGCTAATAAATAGTAGCTCAAGGCCTCCCCTGCGCCCCAGATTCGCACGTTGCCCGTGTTGTCAAACCCCAGCAAATCTGAGGGGAGGTGCGCCTGCAGCGGGAGGTAGATGCGCTTGGAAAACGGCACTTGGCCCTCCGTCATTTCTCTCATTTCTACCCAAGTGCCCCGCGAATCGGAATCAGCAACGATAAAATTGAATAGACGGAGTGGGGATAGGACAGGCAAACGTCCGCTGCGTGCCCGCTTCAGAAGCTCTGCCATGCGGCGCCACCGGGAGTGCGGACCTTTCTGAAAACGAACCAAGTCATAAAATCAAGCGTGAGGCATCCCTGAGCATAAAGGACAACACGGCAAACAGCTAGGAGACGGGTGCAATCGTGTGCTGACAATGAAGGTGACAGCGGGCCTGGCAAACGAGTAGGACGCGTAGGAAGCGTTGATGAAGAGCTTTAGGTCAAGCCGTATTGACTCCTCCGTCGAAAATACAGCGCCGAGAAGCCGTCAATATCGCATAAAGAGGATAGCAGGTGATATAAAACATCTAAGGACAGAGAAAGCTCCGTGAAACTATTCGGAAAGGGGTTCTTTCGCAGTATCGGGAGGAGGGAGGACGCGAACGTTACTGTATATGTCTAGTAAATTAATAGCAAGTGTTTTAATAGTGATTCTAGAAAAAAATAAATATATTTCAACTTGAAAAATTATCTCAAAAGTTGTGAAAAACTCGAAATTTGGTCAAAAACGACTGTTTTGATCCAAAAATGAATATTTTTATAACATTCAAAAAATTGTCGAGTATTCACGTTTAGAACAGTAAAATACCATCTAGCAACAATTCCACGATTTATCTTTCAAGCATTAGATCCTATGAACAAAAGTTGACCCCCCCCCCCCCGATAATACGAAAGAACCGGAAAAGGATGTTAGACTCCGATATCTATCCATTCACGAACTACGGCTTGTCGACCTGCGACAAAGCCCGGAAATGGTCACGAGCTGCATGCAAAGACCGAAACTGCCAGAAGTTCAGCTCACCTGTTCATCAACAACACTAACTGTACTGGGCACCTTCTTCGCAGCCGGTTCACGTTTTCGCGCTGGGGCCTGAAAAAAGGAGATTTGACTGTCCGCCGTGCCAAAGTCCCACCTTAGTGGTGGGAGGCTCGGCATTCGAAGGGCCCGGCTCTTGGTCTTCGTCCCCTTTTTTCCGCTTCATCTAGTCGACCGACCCAGCTCTGATAGATTCCATTCAGCAAAGCTGTATTCATTCGCATAGATAAAACTTGGGTCGTGACCAATGGCGAAGCGCTCACGTATCCTTTTCATCCAAAAAATTTATCAACAAAGCAAAAATATCACAAGAAGCTGCAAAGGTAAATATGTAAAAACAAAAGCATTTAAAAAAAAACAGAAATAAGAGCCTGAGGAATTCATATTTTTGACGTATTGCGAAGGGCCATAATCTCGTCAATATCCGTTTCTTTGAGGCCGGCCTGGTGGAGCAGTTCGGATGTTTCCAGGAGTGCGCAGCCTGAAAAACTGGTAAGTACTTTTATTGTGGTCCAGCAAGCTGACACCACAAAAAGACAAAAAGGGTCAATCTGACCTTCTCTGATAATGTGGTAGAAGCCCTTCCGCGACAAATCGACAATCGTACTTCCGACAGCCTCCTTCCCATCACCAATCAGGCCTAAATAAAGAAATAGAACCGAAGCTGAATACGGAATTTTCGGAAGCTCAATTAAAGTTTACCTCCATCGACAACAAGGTCAATTTCCGGGAAAAGCTCTTCAAAATCGGAAATTTGCACCGGGGACGGGCCGCCAGATATATTCGCAGAGGTTTGCGCGAGCGGCACGCCGATTCGACGCGTTAGGGCCTAAATTCAAAATCATAGGCTATTGAAGAATTTGGCTTACCTGCACAAATCGGCTATTCGGCACGCGAACACCAACAGCGTGTACGCCCGGGTTGAACTTGACGGGAAGAGCGTTGCCTCGGTCGAAGATAAGGGTCACCTAAAAACAGGGGTTCTGGACTGTTTGCGGGGGGAGTGGGAAAAAATTTTTGTTTTTTGACCTGTTAATAATATTTAGTGTATTTTTTATAGCGCTCTTTCAGTTTTTGATTCTGAGTTTTTGTTAAACAAATATTTAAAAATTTTCAAATTATGAAAATTTGACCGTTTTTGGCGACTTTTTCATACATTTTTGACGAAAAAGTCAAAAACCTTCGAAAATTTGCATAAATTTTTAATACATAAAAACTATGTAAAATTCAATAAAACTGTTTATATTTCGCTACGGACCCGCACGGCATTACTGGGAAAGATTTGGTTTCACGCGCTAAACCTTGCCAACAGTCCAGAACCAAACCAGGGAGTAGGAAGCGAGCTTTTAAAACCTTCTAGCAAGTTTTACAAAGTTGAAAAACCAACCGGGCCAGGCAGCAACGACCGGAGCAGAGACACCTCAACCGTCGAGCACTCGGCGACGCGCGAAACGTCAGTCGCAGACGGCACAAAGATGCCCAGCGGCTTGTCGGCGGTCCGTTTCTTCAGCGCGTACCTAGACACAAATTTTGCGTGGTCAACGCGCAAATTGAATCTAGGAAAACCTGCTCACAGCTTGTCGGTGTGCTCGAGCACCGTCGTCACACCGTAGAGGGTGTCGGTGGGGAGGGCGACGACGCCGCCGGAGGAAAGAATTCGGCACGCCTGGAAATTTTTAAAGTATTCGAAAACCACGCCCTACCACTTCTACTATTTCATCCATAGTTTCGGTGGAAAGGCGCAACACTTTCGCCACGTGGGAGAGCGGCATCTTTGCGCTAAAAAAGGGTAAAAGAAACGATAAATAGCTCTTAAACCGTTATATGGATATTTTAGCTTTAAGATATTTTTGTTACAAATTTTCTTATTAAGCTTTTAATCTTTTAATCTTAATCTTATCAACTAACAGCGTCTACATATATAGCGAGTTAAGTAGATCTAAGTAAACCTAGAAAGTTTTGGTCACCAAGATCCAGAACTCAACAACTGAATTTGTAAAATAGGCCAACATATATAAAAATATCATCTGAATATGATAAAAGGAGAATTGAAAGCAACAAAAATCTTAAAGCCAGGATAAACACGTTGCAATCTTTGCTCTCCGCATAAAATACAAAGTAATGAACGTATACTTTTACAGTCATTAATCACTTTTCGAGAGTACGATTTCATAAAGTTTATCACGATCAACTTCAACCAACAACAATAACAGACAACGATAACAGACACCAAAGATGGATGAAATTATTCGTCTTGCTCCGCCGGCTCGTCCACCATATGATTCGGGCGCTGGGGCTTGGCGTTGTTGTGCTAAACGGGGCCAGATCTTGATCAGAAATCAAAACAAGGACGTACTATGATTCGGCGCTCCTCCTTTTTCTGTTTTGATGAGCGGATGACGCGCAGTTCGTTCGCTTGGCTAAAAGTGATGCAATTGGGTGCAAGCAAAAATGCGACTCACTTGTGCACCGATGACGGGACATGACGGTGACGCTGGATGCGCCTGATTTCTGGGTGTTCCTTGTACTGTTGGCGCAGCTTTTGCGCGTACTTGAGCGCCGCGTCTTCGCGTTTCGTTTTCTGAATTAAATGTGGGTTTAAATTATGTATAAAAATATAAATAGAAACAAAAAAATAAAATTAAATCTTCAGTAATTTGGGCGACGCCAATTTTCTAATATCAATAGAGAAAGAGTTTATGAAATGTTTTCGGTAACGGTTTCTTGACGAGGGGAGAGGCAACCTAAAGAACGCAAAAAGTTTTAAATAAAAATCATTGTAAATTAAGGTCGAGCTGAAAATCACTGAACATAAAAAACTTATTTTAGTTTTTAACGCTCTATCAGATGTCTGCCAAAAATAGTAGGATAACTTTTACAACACAAAATTCGTTTCCACCCCCGTAAAGCAACCTTTACCCAATTTTTCTATTATTCCTGAACGTAGAACTACAAATTTCGAATTTAACCCTTAGGAATTTTTTTATATTGATATTTTTTATAAATTCAAGGAAATCCCCCCGCTAACGCCAATGAGCCTAGTTTTGCCCTAGAAGCCTTACCGGGCCCAATTTCTCGGCCGGATTAGACTTCCACACGCGAATATTCATCTCGTTCGAGCCGGAGAGGACAAATTTGTCGTCGGCCGAGTAGAGCACCGACAGGACGTGCTGCATCCGTTTTGTGTGGAACACTTCCCTAAAATCGGATTTTCCACAATTCTGGAATGTTTAGATCTACCTCGAGCTCGCCGATTCGGTCCCAAATATCCTCATCGTACGGTCAAAGCTGCCGGTGACAATTTCGCGGCCCGTGGGCGAGTAGGCCACATCGATGACGGCCATCGTGTGACCCTGGTGCACCTTTGTCGGCTGCTGCAGGTAGCGCATGTCAAAGGTGTAGGCACTGACAAAGAAAAACGAATAAAAAAACTTAAATAAAATTACTTGTAGTCATCGTTGGCCACCGAGAACATGAACGGCTCCATGGGGTTCCAGGTGACCATGTTGGGGCGCAGCTTCATCGTAACCTAGCAAAAGCGCGTATTAAAGGTATCGAAGCAAGGAGTTGAAATCGGGAATCTATCCAAATCTAGAATTAGGATCTCGTCATCACCTCGAAATTTCAGAATACCGAATTTTCGGAACATCGAATTTTCAGAATCTCGAAATTGCCATAGTCCGAATCCACACTTGCACGCCTACGCCCCGTTTCTAAACTAGGTAAATTTTGCGTTACTGAAAATTCAAGGAGAATTCAAGAAGCTGAAAATTCAAGAAACTGAAAATTCGAGGCCTGATATGAAATCGCGGAAAACTTGGGAAAATCAATTTCCTTGTCGTCAAAACAAATTCAAAATTTTTGAAATTTAAAAAATAGAGGTACCTTCTTCAAAGGCGTCTTTTGCCGAGTGTCCAATACGAAAATGCTTCTATCCAAGGTAAGGCCGACAATCACGGCTTCTTCCACGGGGTTCGCGCGAGCACAGTGAATTGTTGATACGCCCAAGTTGTAGGTTCTGATTGGAGAATCCCTGAAAAATGGAAGAAATAAAAAATAGCCCTTCTCTACTGACCTCTGAGGCCGCCAGACATTCACCGTGTCGCCGCTCGTCACGAATTCCACCGAGTTGGCGATATGGGAGACGGAGTGCGCAACTTCTAAAAACGACAGGAAAAATGAGCGCTTCATAAAGGCTACCATCAAGTGGAATACTGTGCACCGGCTCGTCCAATCCATCCTCTTCGCCTGTGATCGGGACCTGGAAAGAAGTACAAGAAAAAGAAGGGTAACTCACCCTCCAAATTTTAATCTGCGAATCGCTGCCGACCGTCACCATTTGTGTGCCCTGCGATTGGTCGACAGAAAGCCCTAGAAAAATGAAATAAACTCGGGGTTCTTTCGCATTACCGGGGGGAGGGGCAATTTTTTTTGCATTTCTTGAAATGTCTAGTAATTTAATTGGAAGAATCTTAATTACGCTTTCAGCAAACCTAAAATTATATTTGAACTAGAAAAGCTGTCTAAACACTTTAAAAAAATGTTTTCCAAAGTAGAAATTTTGGTACAAAAATGCCCTTTTTGGTCGAAAGACGATATTTTTTAAAAACTTATAAAGTTTTCACGTTTAGGAATCGCAGAAAAAATCCGTTTAGAAACCCTTCTATCATTTATATTTAAAAATTTAGAACAAAAAAAAGTTCGTCCTGCCGATAATGCGAAAGAACCAAATTCAGGACACCATACCATTTATCAACCCTCTATGCGCTTGGATGGTCGAAATGCACGTCTTCCGCGGCAAATCCCAGATTTTGATCTGCCCATCACGCGCCCCGGATATGATCTGCCAACAAACTTTTAGTCTCTTAAAAAATGCAATACCGTCGACGATCGAAAAGGATGATTGGCAAGCACATTTACACCTTCTTGATGCCCATCCAGGGAGGCGACGAAGGGCTTGGCAAAAACCTAAGAAAGCCCCTTGAAATTCAGCACCACAACCAACCCGCTCCAATTTCGTGGCGTTCATCGCGCGCACATATTCCGTTTGCGTTTGGAACGGGTCCTTGTCAACATTGTAGTTACGCACCACTAAAATTAATGCTTAGTGATAGGCTTAATCTGGCTTACATTTATGAATATCGGCATTTGTTTCGCGCTGATAGTCGTCCGGGTTTCTGGAGATCACTTTGACCTTCATGGCCACCTGGAAAAAGTTAAATTTTTATTTAAGCTTGGATTTAAAACACGAGAAAAATTAGTAAATGTATGCGAGTTTCTCTAGTTTTTCCAACTTTGCAAAGCTGCACGCGGGGTTGCATTAGGCCCGGTAATGCCTGACTACACGGCGAAGCGTTCGTTCGGAAAAATAAAGGTTGAAGCTCTTTTTCAAGGTATATCAAGCCATTTTAACTTGGTTTTTGAGCATTTTCGATAAAAATATGTTTATGCAAAAATCACAGGATATCAAGGTAAGTTTGTTGATGGTTTTAGTGAGTAGTTGGGCGGTATGGTGGAGGTCCAGGGCCGGGCGGGATTTGTTGGAAAGCCGGGGGCGGGTGGCCGTAGATTGGCATCTGAAATTAAAGGAATATAGGGATTAGGCTTAATGCCACCTGATACTGCTGCTGGTACAACGCGTTGAGCATCTCGGTCGGCGGGGCAAGCTGGAGATCGAGTAGATTCACTCTGGGCGCGGTAGGCGTGGGCCGCTTATTGGCGGGCGGGGCGGCTTCTCGTCTGCCGGCCCCTCCACGGCGTCTGCCGCTTTTCGCGTGCTGCTCGGAGGCGAGGCGGAACTGCTCGGCGTGGGTCTAAAATCAAGAGGATAGTTGGTTCTTTCACATTATCGGGGGGAGGAGCATTTTTTTCAGGATCCAATGTTTCAAATATAAATTGTAGAGATGTTTCTAAACTGTTTTTTACTATTTCTAAACGTAAAAATTTCACAAATTTTTGCTAAAAATACAAAAAAAATAGTCATTTTCATCGAAAAATGGCTGAATTTTGACGTAAATTTCGACTTTGGAAACTTTTAGATATTTGAAATTTGAGAATTTATCTTCTACCAAGACACCAATAAGAACTTCCCATTCATTTATTACGCATTTCGAGACTTATACGAAAAAAATTGGTTCCCCTAATCAAATAGCTTTAAGGTTTTAAGTCTACCTCTAACGCCTTTTCAGCGGCGTCCATTTCCGCTAGCTGCACGGTGCTGCCCACCCCTTCGGCCAATCGTTTGTCGCTGAAAAAACTTTCTTTATTAGCAGCGAAAATCTACCGAAAAGATACAATAACGGTGTACAGTCTCGTATTCGTCGGGCCCGTCTCGGAAATTTTTCTGAAAAGTTTTTAGGTAAATCAGTTGAAGCCGGATACCTATAGATCGGTATCGGGGCATCCCCGGGGCATCGTAGCGCTAGGCAGGCTTGTTGGAGCCGCGACTTTGGGTCATTCCAGTTGTCGTTGCGGATGAAGTACTAAAAAATCGGGAACTTTGAAAATTGAAATTCGCGAAACCTTGAGTCTTGGGAAGAAGCAAACTCGGCAGATCACTCGGCAATAGTCCCATCCTCGGTCGACGTAAACGGCACCGATGAGGGCTAGAATAAAGATTTAGTTTTAGTTTTTAGCGATTTCAAGAATTTAAAATGTTTAAAAATTTGCTTTCAGTTAGTAAAAATCGCTTTTGATCGAAATTTCAGTTTCTCGAAACTTCGATACGCTGAAATTTGAATTTACTAAACGTTTGAGATGAGTAATCGAGGTGAAAAAGACCAGGAAATTTCGAGAAAATGAATTCCGACAGAATGAAATGTCGACACGTGCAATTTCGACAAAATGAAATTTCGAAAAATAATTTTCGACAAAAAGAACTAGTAAGAAACAGGTTTAACGAACCCTCAACGATATCCGCTTTATCCTTCGTTTTCAGGCTCGAATTTTTCTGGGATCGCCTCTGCGGCTCAATCAGAAACTCGACGAGGCCCAGGTCATCGCAGACGATAGACTACAATAAAAATATTTAGAAAAATTAAAAAATATTACCAAAGCATTGTTCGAGACCAGACAGGTCCTCAATAGCGACAGATGGCCCTCCTGATGGCTGGGGAAATGCTTGTAGAGGAAGTCGGAGACGATCAACTGCAGCACCGAGTCGCCGAGGAATTCGAGGCGCTGGTTGTGGCCTCTGAAAAAATAAAACCACAATAAAAATAAACAAAAAGCCTGGATACCTCGTTAAATCGTTCATCGGCACATTGCGTCTTGTAAAGGCCTTGGCGAGGAGGCGGATGTGTTGGAAATGGAAGCCCGACTGAAAACAACGAAATTTGTAACAAAAATTGTAAAAACCTTTTCTTCGAATTCGGCGAGTTTCTGAAGCGTTGGGATCGTCTGGATGAGGTGGCGATCAGTTTCTGGGTGTTCCACCTAGAAAAAAACTCAGAACTTGGTTCTTTCGCATTAGCGGGGGGGAGGGGAGGGCAAATTTATCCTAGAAGTCCAGAAATGCCTAGTAAGTATTTTAATCTATCTATCGAAATTTACTAACTTTCACGTAAAAAAAACACAATAAAACCCAGAAAAAATTGTCATCGAAATTTTCGGACCTTTCGAACCCAGAAATCGAAGATTTTCAATCGAAAAATCGATTTTTTTTTTTTAAATGAAAATTGCGAAGTTTTTACGTCAAGAATAGTAAAAAATTTCGAAACATTTCCCCGATTTTTATTAGAAAAATGTGATCTTCAGAAAAAAGTGCCCCCCGATAGCGAGAAAAACGCGCCAATCAAACTCCAAAATCAAAAATCCTTGATTTCGTCACTATAATTCACGTTCTATTATTCACTACAATTCCGTGCGTTAGATACCTTTAGCGGATGTTCCGGATAGTTGACCCATCGCTCGAGTATCACCGGATCCTGGGCGAACATCACTTTTGCGTAAATTCTGAAAAATTCGGATTCAAAAGCTTATCCCTAGAAATATACCTATCACAATGCTCCACGCCTCCGTCCAAAAACACCGCGGCCATGAAGGCTTCAAAGGCGTTGGCCATCGCGTGCTTCATATCCGCCTCGTGGCACAGATCACCGCCATGCGCGAACAGCATCCAGTGGTCGAGGTGGAGGCGCTAAATTGGAACTAACGTTTTTCTAAGCCTCTAAAATTTGGTCGATTTTCGAGAAAAAAGTGAAAAAATTTTCTATAAGTTTTTTTGGATTTTTCAATTTTACGAAAAATAATGCTAAGCAATTAATACGCTTAATCTTGCGCTTTTAGCCGTTACACCACCTAAACCCCCCCTCCCCGATATTGCAAAAGCACCCAAATCATCAAAATTGTTCATACGAAAAATTACAAAATGACATCGTAAACGGGGAATTTCAAAAATCTACAAAATCTGACCCCTGCCAGCTGCGCCAGATTCCGGTTCTGTACGAGCGCCGTGCGATACGTCGCCAACCCGCCCTCTTGAAGACGTGGGAAGCAGAAGTAGAGATGGACGGTCGTCATGAACTCCACGACGGCGTCGCCTGAATACTTCTATTGATCTACTATCAAATATTTTTAGCTTTCCAATCACTAAATCCATACCCAAAAACTCGAGCCGTTCATTCTGGCACATCACCGACTGCTCGATGCGCTTGCTCCCCTCGCGGGCCATCGTTTGCTGCAGCGTGGTGAGACCTAGGGGTGCTGTAAATCCCAGAAGCACAATTTCACCTTTCCGCCGTCCGCTGGCCGGTTGCTTCCGGTTGGCTTCAAGCGCTTGTCCGCGTACCCGGATTCCGAGGTTGGCTTGGGCGTTTCGAGCATGATCGGGATTTTGGCCTAGGATGCGTGGTGAGGTGTAAATCGGAGCTTACCGTAATTCTTGCGATATGACGAATGGGTGAAGGCGAGCTCGATGAGGGTGCGGTCCCGGAAGTGGTAACCGATTGCGGATTCGAGGGTCTGAAAGAAAGGCTTTTTGGGAAAGCGAGAGAGCGAGAGCGAGGGAGAGAGCGAGCGAGATAGAGACCCACCGCGAGAGACCAGTGATACCGGACATGATGCATGGCGAGCACGACGTGCAGGGCGTAGTGGATCATGTCACAGCGCAGCCCAGTGTCCCTGTACCCATCTATGTCGAGCAGCACTTGCTTGTCTCGTCGTTGAGCGCTAAAATACAAAATTTCCGAAATACCTCCGCTTTTCCCTACCTCTCATTGTCCAATCTTGCTATTTCACTCTCGAGCCGTGCGGCCAGTTCTTTTTCTTCCTAAACGCATAATGATGAAGCGTGCTTAAAAATGAAGTCATACGGTCGTTGGGGCAACTTTTCGATTCCTAAACATCTTCCGAATCCTCGCCAGCCGCCGCACGGCTTTTTGGTACTCTGGGCGCCCATGAAGCGTGTAGGCGGTGGGCCTAAATCGGAGAATTTACATTTTCGGTTTTATCGCAATGCCTACACTTCTTGTTAGGACCTAAATTTTCAAATTAAATTTTAAAATGTCTTATTACAAAATTCTTTAATTTTCAAAATTACCTCTGAGCAAAATGCGTGACTTTCCAGTTGACGGGCGTCTCGCCGGTGACGTCGACGAGATCTATCCGAAGCGAGGTTGGGCGCTAAAAAAAAATAGATTTCCAATGTTTTTTGAAAATCTACCATGGCCGGGTTGATGACGATTCGATCGCGGACCGAATACTTGGTACGCCCCAGAATTTTCTCGTCCAATTGCGCGGGGAGCAGGCTCCGCAGCGGGGTGTTGAACTGGGCGATGTAGTTGGACAGCACGAGGGCGAGTGGCAGGATGCGGGGACTGTCTAAAAAGTACGTTTTTTAAAGAATTACAATGCCACTTTTTAGAAAACTAATTAGCTCAATAATCATCATTCTTTTAGAGACCAAATTAAGGCCAGCGTTCTAAAAAGATAACTTAACAGAAAAATTCTTAGAATGATCTAAAAGCATATCTAGAAAAAAAAAGCATTTTGTAGCCTAAAAAACCCTCGATTTTCTATCCAAATTACATCAAAACCTTCAAGTAAAAATATTTTTAGAGGGTTATTAGCGAAGAACTAAAATATTTTTGAAAGGAACGAAACCAAAGAATCAAAATGGCTCCAAATCCTACTATATATAAAAAAATAGTTCCTGTGTGTGTGTGTGTGTGTGTGTGTGCATTTGCATGCAACTTCCGTCAGGTTGTTCCAGTCGTATCTCAAGAAGGGAAGTACTTAGGGGTATATTCGATACGTCATTCGGTGCGTAATGGCCTGGGAACGGCTGCACGCATATTAGATTTTACAAAATATGATGTTTTCGACATTAAAATTAAGTTTTTCATGGAAAATCGGACACCCCACTTTGTTAGGATCAAATTAGCATGCACCGGAAGTCGCGGTAGCCTATATAAAGGGCCGGCAAGAGCATTTTTCATTTTCGTCATCCGAATCCGAGAAAATTATGCAAAGCCAAGAATATCATTGGAGAAGACGGGGCCAGGGTTGAAAAGCCGCGAAGCGGTTTTTCAACCCTGGTATTTCTATAATTAATAAACTGAGCATAGCCATTTAAATGAATAACAGGCATTTATTAAATATTTAACTCTATAAAATCCACCTCCTCGATCCCTATTAATATAGCGTGGGGCGATGTGGTAGATTGAGCACGAGCTGTCCGCCGTAGTACCGCGAGGGTAGCGCCATTCGTCGAGAAACTCGAAGACATCGTCGAAGAGGTAATCCCGAATCAAATCCATCTCGTAAACGGTTCCGATCTAAATCCGGATCTAAACAACGAAACCCTCCAATCACCTTCAAATCGTCGTCCTCCTTCAAAAACTCAAAAGTGGCTTCTCCTTGAAAGTCGGTGACCGGCATTTTGGGTAGCGGATCGGGCAGCGGTTTGTGTAGGTAGATCGAAAAGCCCTCGAGCCGGTACCTGGAATCTTAGGTTCTGGGCTGTTAGCGGGGGGCGCGAAATTTTCCCTAGAAATTCCGTACCACTCTATAACGAAATATCTACCATTTTTGTAGCAGTTAACATAGTTTTTTTTAATATAAAAGCTTATAAAACATAAAAATTTTTGGTTCAAAATTGGTATGAAAATTGACGAAAAAAGGTACAAACTTTCGAATTTTCAAAAAATTTTATGACTTCTAGCAATGAAAAACTACTAAACGACCATAAAAATAAATTATATATGATCAACAGACTAAAAATCCCCCGCTAACAGTCCAGTGCCGAGAATTATCTATCTAGCATATTTCCTATCCTTACTGTCGATCCTCGTGCACCAGGGCTCCCGGATTTTTCAGCTGAATTGTGGGCAGTGGCGAGAGACTTAGCAGGTAGTGGTGAAGCTTTGAATTGCTAAAACACAAAAAGAATATTACAACACGTTACCACAAACCTGCTACATTTCGGGATCGCCGTCTCGCCCGCGAAACAGCCGTGCCGAATCCCGGCCTTGGCGGCGTTGATCGAGCAGCGACAGAGGGGCCCGTCATTTGCCTAAAAAATTTTTTTGTTCTATTTAATTTAATTTATCCTGCGCACCAGGCGCTGTATTTGGACTCAATACAACACCATACAACGTATTTGCAAATCCCAGAAAAACCGGAAGGTGCGCGTCCTTTAGGTTTTAAGGAATTCTAGAAGCCTCCAAAAACCGACTTGTCCAGTTTCGTTGAAAGCAATTTCCGGGGAAACGGCGGCCGGGTGATTCTTCTTTCGTGCAACCTAAAAAAAACACGGAAATTTTTAGTTTTTTGACTCGGGTATTTCCTTGTCGACTTTAAAATTTCGGTTTAACGAGATACCTCTCTTTCAATGCTCGATTCGGCTGAGCTCTCCGAAGCATCGTCTTCCTCAGGCTCCGATTGGTCGGACGAATCGTAATCGGAGCCTTGTCCGCCTGAAAAAAATGCATAAAACAAAATATGTATAAAAAACGTGCGCGTTTCAATTAATATTATTTACTTCAACTCACATTTACACTTCAAATGCAGCGAGGGTGATGGTGGGCGCGGCACATCCGGGCGATCCCTTCTAGCCGCTTCACAGACCTTCTTGACCTCGCGCTCGAATCTATCCAAAAATGTATAATTTCAAAAAGCTGTCTACTTTTCGACAATTTGTTGACCCAAATATGTAGGCAGCGTTGCGCCATCTTCATTCTTCACATAACGCTCAGCATTGACGAGAAAACACCTAAATCCCGGAAATCGGGAAGGTCCAAGCGAAACATACCTTTCATTAACGGCCCTGACCTTCATCGCCTCGTCGTCAATGTGCGTTTCCGTGTTCTCCAGCTCGGCGCCCCATTCCTCGTCAAAATTCGCGAAATCTTCTTCGGTCAGACGGCAAAACCCTGTTGAGAAAGTTAATGATGTAGCTGATTATAAGCTTACCGGCTTCTTTCTTTTCCTCGATGCCATCTTTCGAATTCCCCGCATCTTCCGCGCCGCCCTCATCATCCGGTGGCGGGGGTGGAGGTGGGGAAGATGGAGGCGGAGGCGGTGGGCTTTCCTAAAACACAAAAAAACCCGTTACAACATTTTTCTGGCTACCTCCTTCCTCTGCCTTTCCCGTCTCAGGCGCGCTTCCTCGCTGAGAGCGTACAAATTGGTGCCCAACGATTGCTAAAATCAATTTTGATAAGGTATTGTATATTTCCAAACCTGATCACTTGTCGTCTCGAGTTCCACCTTACGCTTGCGTTTCCGTCGCTTTTTCGAGTCTTCCGCCTTTTCAGGGGCTTCATCACTCGGGGCTTGGGGCGCTGCTGATGACGCTAAAACCAAAAGTTCAAATGTTCCAATTGCCGAACCTTGATACGGGTGTCGGGGCGGGTTGACTTGATATGTCTGATGAGGGGCCGGATAGACTGGTTGATAGCCCTAAAATTACTTGAACATCTTGCTAATTTGGTTTGAAAACCTGTTGCGGGTTGAAGGGCATTGGTAGTTGCTGGAACGACGGCATAACGGGTGGCATTTGCTACACAGCTATGTATTTTAAGCTAAAAACAACTACCGGGTAATAATTATTGTCCATCAGTCCCGGGATCGGACGTGGCGGCATTTGGTTGTTTCCGTTGTATCTTCTAAAAAACATCCGATGCCATCTATTTAGCTGTACTTACTGGCCCTGCTCGCCATATCGTCGATCCATGGCAACCTATCGTCTAGTCTTAGCTACTGCCCGCTAGCGTCTTGTAATTGTCGTCTCATAAAACATCTGTCGTCAATGACCTTCTAAACCTTATCGGATTTTCTTTTCTTTCTTCACTTTAATGCGCCGTTTAGCCACCAGAGCACAGTTAATCGTGTATTTTGACAAATATTTTAATCGTTCACTCGAATCCGCTAAACTTTTATTAAACCTCAAAAAACGACAACAATAACAACAGAGCTCAACAAAATCAACAAAGCAAAATCTATAAAATGCGGCCCTTCTTGCGCAGCTTGTCCATCTTCCGCTTCTTCACGTCGTCCTTGCGCTTTTGCAGGTTAGTGTCGCGCTTGTCTTGCTTCTTGGCTACCTTTTCCTAAAAGAAAGGAATTCGGGAACTAAATTGGAAAGCCGACCTCAACAGCAGTCGTCCGCTCGCCCCACTTCTTCTTCGTGCGATCCTTCGTCTTTTCCTTCCGCTTCATCGCCTTCTTCAGCAGGTCTACGTTGTCCTAAAATAAAATAAACAGCTGAGTAATAAAATGTCTACTTACACGAACTTTCTTCCCTTCAGCCTGCTGCAAAACCTTTTTCCACTTGATCGACTCCTCAATTTTTTCGGCCTTTTCGGGGTTTTTGGTTCTGAAAAATTATTAATAGCAGTTATTTTCAAATTACCTAATCGAATCGATCCTCTCTTGCCGTTTCTCGGCCTTTTCGAGCAACCGCTTGAAGTCCTTGCCGGTGAACTTGTCGCGCTTCTCGTTTTTCGTCAGCGGCTAAACACAAAATTTCACATTACAAGCGCATCGTCACCTTGTCGGCGTTTTTAACCAGGAAATCGAGTTTGTTGAAGCTAAACTCAGGATCCGCGGCCTTTGGCGCTTCCTTCTTTACATTCTCCAGCTTCACTGGCGCCTTGGTTGTGTCGGCTTTCGCGGCGGCTTCAGGTGCATCGGCGGCGGGCTTGTTTTCCTTCTCATCGGCACGTCGTTGCTTGAGCTTCAGCTTTGACATTCGACGCTTCAACTTCCGCTCATTCTCGAATTTAACGGGATCCTTTTTCCCTCTTCGGGCCACTGAATACCTTGTAAAAAAGTAAGGTTAAGCGTACCTTTCAACCCTTCCAGCTTCTCTTGTAATTTTTTAAGGGTAGCTTCGCGGGTGGCATTTCGATCGATTGTTCCATCACTGTTCTGTAAACATGATTCAATTCAGCAAATAAATTATACGCCTGACCTCGATTTTGATGAGCTTATTTTCAGTTGTCGAAGCACCAGCCGCTCCCTTCCGCTTCATGTGCTTCCCGCCAAATTTGCCCTTGCTAAATGCCAAAATACAGCACAAAACGGTGATAATACCCATTGATTTGCTGCAGGTCCTTATCAACGTCTTCTTCATCATGGGATTCCTCTGAAGAGTCGCCATCGTTGATTTTCAGTTGCGAAATTTTCTGAAAAAATGATGGTATTCATCTTGGCTCGCCAACTACCTGTTCGGCCGATGTAGGGACTGCATCGGTAGTGTCCATTTCCTCCGCAACCTCAGGCTCGGTTTTCTTAGCTTTGGTCTTTTCCGGTTTGCCCTTCACCGTTGGATTTTCGGGGACCTTAGCAGGCTTTTCGACGCTTGCTGCCGCTTTCGAGCTAGTGGCCTTAGCGGCTGGTTTAGCCTCTTCTTGCTTCGCTGCGGTGGCGGGCTTCTTCGGCTCTTTCTTAGCTTCAGCCTTGTTTTCCTTCGGGTCTGCGCCCTTCTTTGGCTGGGCTTTCTCGGGTTGCTTTGCCTAAAAGGTCGATAGCTGATCTCAACCTTTAGACAAACCTTTTCAGCCTTCTTCAACGCTTGCACATCTGGCTTGCGTGCTTCCGTATCCTTGAACTCTGTTTGATCGCGCATCCAGCCTATCACCTCGCCCACCTGGCAATATGGCTTAAAACATACAGAAAAGGCTTACCTTCTTTGGCACTACACCCAGTGTTTTTGCGAGTTGGTGCTTGCGCTTCTTCGATGCCTTCTTTTGTTCCTCTAAAAGATTGTGAATTTTTGACAAGTAATTGTTCATACCCTCAGGCATCGCCTCGGAGACAGCTTGAAATTTTCGCTCCTTCAGCTTTTCGAGGACATCTTCGGCAAAGCCCCAGTTCTTAAAAAAGAGTAAGCGTGTTGTAAAGGAAAAGAAAAAGTACCTCGACGGGAATCCGGTCACAAGCGTCCCGAACTGCTAGCAGAGTTGCGCGAATCTTCTCAATGTCGGCGCTCATCTGGAAAAGGTTTTGAATAAATAAATAACACAAATTAGTTCGATAGAAGGAACTTTTCTAAAGAAAGAAACAATTTTTAGGTTTTCAATTGAAAAATGGGGGAAAATTCATCGCAGAGCGGCGCCTGGGTAGCGTCGTCCGGAGTAGCCCCGAGTACTCACTTGCCCTTTGGTGTGTTTGTGCAAAAAGGGCCTTTCACAATTGTTTTTCAACTTTTGCACTCGCAGTTGGCCATCATATAATGGAGAATATCGGTTTTTCGGCACAGCCTCCGGCTTTAGTAGCTGCTCGTAAGTCCCGGAAGTCGGTTTAACGCCCAAATTACAGGATTTACGCACGTTACGATGCTCGGATTTCTGCTCTTCGCCACGGTCCTCTTCATCTACTACGTGTATAAGCGAGCGAAAATGTGGGTTTGAGAGTTCAAATCGTTGAGTATGGCAAAGTGCCACGAAAATCGATGGTTTCCGGAGGGCTTGAGCTTGTTTTAAAGGGCTGGTGACAGGGGGCGAGCCGACACAGTCGTGAAAGTATTGTCGTTTAGTAGTAATGACGTCATTAGTGCGTAGAGAACCTGGATTGGCTGATTTTAACTTTTAAAAGCTCTCCCAGCTGCAGAGATTGGCGATAAATCGAGACTTTGCAATAACCATACCTAGTAACTATACCTATCCTATTTACAAAATTTTTTAGTTTTTCAATCAAGCAATTTTGGTCAACTTTTGCGGCTTTCTCTAGATTTTTGGAACCTGTTTAAGTTTAGCAAACGGAACGAGTTATTATGCGCCTTGTTTTCAAGCTAGGTGACGTGCCGTTCGATTGATAGCCTGATAAAATGCGCTAATTTTGAGCATTCTTTTGATTATATTTCTCGTTCTTACTTTTATTACTTTTGTAAGACTTTCGGCATTATTTACTTTTGCTTAGCGAAATTTTTGCTGCCTCTGCCATGATTCTCGCCTTTTTATCACTCCTGGATCCCGGACAAACCCCGGCTTCCAAAAAAATAGCTGATTGTGCAGAAATTTTCCCCTAATCCCCCCTCTACTTCGTTCCTTGTACCCCTATCTTTGCTCGGGCAGCCCAAAAAAGAGATGGCTGGGGGCGCCACTTTCCTTGAGGCAGCTTTTCCCGCCTTTCCTGTGCGGCTTCTCCCCTTCCCCAGGTTATTCGACCACTGCGTCACCCTCAAAGATAAGCGAGGAAGAGGAGGGGATTGTTTTCGTAGTCGAGCACCGTCTCCACCGCGTAGGGATCGGTGGGGGGTTCGACGAGCCGGGCGTGACACGTGGGGGGCGGGAGCGCCAGGGGATCTAGGGCGTCAGTTCTGGTGGCGACGGTGGAACGAAGCCCCCGGATTTACACGACCATTACTTCGACTTCAGCGTGTCTTACTTTTTCTCTTCAAAGCTTCAAAGCTGGTGCTCGTGATTTTTGCGCGGAAGAGCAACCTTTTAGCGGGGGCTCAAGGGAGATTTTTTAAACGAGCATTGCCTGCGCTTTTTTAGTAGTTTCCGATCTATAAAACAGCATTAAAACCTTATTAAACATCCTCAAATTGAGGAGAGAATACATATTCTACTTCAAAAACTTAGGTTATAGTATACAATCTTTCAGCTTGAACCCCGATTTCTCCGAGTCGACAATGTTTTTTCGGCCGCCCAAACGGCGTATCTCCTTGGTCGACGCCGAGTTGACGTTACGCCCGGAATGCGTGAAGGTTAGTGACGTGAGGGGCTTCCTAAAAGCATGTGCTTTTAATTCGGTATTCGTTTATTACTTTTTTATGCTCAGATGCTGCCTGGATTGTTCTACAAATGCTTATTTTGTTTTTAACAATCTGTTAAAAAATTCAAGCGCCGAAAACATTACATTTTCCTTTTTTTGAGAAAAGGACTTTTTTGATAATTTTTACGGCGCTGCGCGTAGAAAAACAAGGGTTTTTTCGGGGCAGACACGGGCTTAGAGATCATTTTGTTTCTAAGAATTTTTGTAAAAAGCTAAAGCGCTGAAACGTAGATAAGAAATAATTGGAACTTTTTAAAGTGCTAGACACTGTTTTAAACATCCTAAAACTTCTAAAATATCTAAAACTTTCAGCGCCTCTACGAAGCGCGGGTATGTGAGGAGGTGGAGTGCCCGATTTGTTTCAGCGAGGCCAACCATGCTGTCATCACTGATTGTGGTCATATTTATTGTTGTAGGTCTTTTAGAAATGTGGTAGTTTGTATTGATTTAGCTTTTTTATTTAGCTTTTATCATTTTATAGTTGAGTTTTATAGCTTAAATATCTTAAAAATTACAGGCGAGTGCATCCACCGCTTCTGGAAGCACAGCGCGCCGCCGATCAAGCCGGTGCACTGTCCGATATGCAGGAATGGGGTGGGTTTCCCAAATTCTCTCTGCTAGTCTGCCTGAGAAGGCGGTTTTTCCCAAATTGCCTTTGCTAGCTTACCTGGGTGGGTGGCGATTCCTAAATTGTCTTTGCTAGTTGGCCTGGGCCGGAATGAATTCCTAGGTTGTCTTTGCTAGCCTGCCTGAGAAGGCGCATTTTCCTAAATTCTCTCGGCTAGCTTGCCATTTCTGAGATTACGATTTACCCAATAATCCTTGCTAGTTTGCCAATTTTAAGTTTACAAATTCCAGGTCCGTCTGCTTCTCCCGATCGCCTGGGGCGGCGAATCGTCAAACTGCGAGGTTGACGAGGATTTGAAGAAGAACGACGACCTGTTAAACGATTATAATTCTCGATTTGTGGGCACGAGAACGGTAATTTTTATCTTATGTAATTTTAGTTTGGATAGAATGTCAGTCCCTTTACAACGCCAAAATTTCCAGTGGGTCGACCTGCTCCACGACGTGCCCTCGGTTGTCCATTTTTCATTTGGAAATTTTTTTGAAGGTAAGCAGATCTAAGAAAATTGCAAAGCACTGTGGGCTACAGACTACAAAAAATTCCAACGAAAATTTTAGGCCTCGGATTACTGTCCCAGATCCGGACCGTCTTCTTCTTGGCCGTTATCCTGTTTCCGCTGGTACCATCGTCAGCATTTTCACAGCGTAAGTTGCAAATTTTGGTTCTGAGGGCAGGCTAGCAGCGATTCTTTAGGAAAGGGCAGGCTAGCAGAAATTCTTGAGGATAGGGCAGGCTAGCAGAGAACCTTGTGGAAAAGGCAGGCTGGCAGAAATTCTTTAGGAAAGTGCAGGCCAGCAGCGATTCTTTAGGAAAGGGGCAGGCTAACAGAAATTCTTTGGGAAAGGGCAGGCTAGCAGGGATTCTTTAGGAAAGGGCAGGCTAACAGAAATTCTTTGGGAAAGGGCAGGCTAGCAGGGATTCTTTAGGAAAGGGCAGGCTAACAGAAATTCTTTGGGAAAGGGCAGGCTAGCAGGGATTCTTTAGGAAAGGGCAGGCTAACAGAAATTCTTTGGGAAAGGGCAGGCTAGCAGGGATTCTTTAAGATCCTCTAATCTATTAATGAATTCAGAGCTCTATTCCGTGATCGGCCTCATTGACGACCTGTTCGTGCTAGCTATAATCGTGTACTACTGTGGCCGCGAGGTCCTGGAGCGATTGTCCCAAGACGACGCCGACGACTGGCCCACCGTACGCCGCTTTTCCCAGGCCGTGCGGGGGTTGTATTGATTTTTGAATGTGTTTACTGGATTTTAATGTACATTACCGTACCCCAGACGGGCTATACTGTAGCCAAAAATGTACATATTTGCACAAATTACCTCTGCAAAACATCTATGATTTTCGAAATCGGGTCCAAACAGTGCCGAATGAGGCTATTTTGTGTCTTCTTGCTGCTCTTTCCATTTCCTCTTTCGGGTATGCTTTTTGTGACTTGTGTAGGATTACTGTAATTTTTGTGTTATGTGGTGTCCGGACTTCCGGGTTTACTGTGTCATTGCTGCGAAATAAAGTGTAAGAATTTCCAAAAATTGCCGTACAGTAAAAACACGAGAAATAATGCGGGCAACATTTTAATTTGATTAGGAGTGGAATTTTGGTCACGAAGGGGCACAGAAATAGAGAGAGAGAGAGAGAGAGAGAGAGAGAGAGAGAGGGGCAGAGAGAGCGCGATAGAGAGAGACCGAGTGAAAGAAAACGCGAGAGGGTACGCGACAAAGCGAGAAAAGTGAGAGAAACCAAGAGAAAGCTAAGGGAAGAGAGAGGGACAGCGAGCGAAAGCGGGAGAAAGAGCACAAGTGATAGAGAGCGAGGGCAGGCGTGAGAGAACGAGTACGAGAGGTAGAGCGGGAAAGAGAGAGAGAGAGAGAGAGCGAGGGAGAGAGCGAGAGAGGCTTCCGCATCCCTTTAAAACAATCTCACTGGGTTCAGTAGTTCTCAGTTCCCAACAACCCGCCAAAAACCTGACAAAACCCCGATCAGACCGTGCGCTCAGCGAACAAACCTCGGAAATGTATATTTTGTGACGCTCCAACAACGTAAAAGTCATGCTCCCGTTTTGTCGGCGGATCTCTTTCCTTTTCCAGGCCGCTCAGTTTTTCTCTCGCTCGTGCTCCTCTGCTCTAGGCCGGTGATCAGAGCGGTGGGGCGTGCGAACTGTGCATTGTGACAATCGCATTTATATATAAGGCTGCCGGCTAGGTGCAGACGGATCTTCCTTTGATTATTGGGGGGGTTTAGGAATTCGTGTATTGGCGAAACCTCATGCTCGCTAGTCGGGTCTCCTCCTCGTTCGCGCTCTTTCTCTCTCTTTCTCTCTATCTCTCTCTCTCGCTCTCTCTCCCTCTCTCTCTCGCTCTCGCTCTTTCGCTCTCTCTCTCTCTCTCTCTCTCTCTCTCTCTCTCTCTCGTTCTCGCTATATCTCCCCCTCTCTCTCTCCCGCGTTCTTCATATTTTCCACGAAATTACGCAATATATTTCCAAGTCTCCAGCTCATCATGGTCGCCCAAGACCTTCAAAACGACGAGAATCTCGTCGACACCGCGATCACATGGGGAATGGTGGAGCAAGACCTTCAGAAGCAGCTCAAGTAGGCTTGGAAATCAGCTTCGGAAGCTTGAGATTTTTAGGACGAACGCGAGAACCGGGTCCGGTCGAGCTGTTCGGATTCTAAATGGTGGCTACGTGTCGAAGACGTGCTTTGTAACTTTCGACTGGACGGAGGATAGGGAGAGGTACAAGATCTCTTTATCTCTCTCTCAGTCTCTCACTCGCTCGTTGTTGCATAGTCTGGCTCTCTCTCTTAACTTTACAGTTTAGACTCCCCGCTGAAGGAGTCATGAAAATCACATCAAGCGCCGGCATGAAGCTGCTCTCAAAAATCAACAACGCCTTCGAGCGGTTCGATGAAATGGCCACTTGCGTAGGTCACTTTGGCTTTTCAGTTTTGGGCTATGAGCAGAAATTCATTAAAAAACCTGACCGGCAAGCTAGCAGAGACAATTTCGGAATTTTTCACTATTTGCACACTTTTTCAGATGGGCAACACCGAGTTCAACTTCCTGCAGCACGCCGAGGCGAGCGGGTTCGCCTCCGAGGTGCCGGTGTGCCGATTCATTGGGGGACGACTGTTTGGGGTGGATGGGATTGAAGCAGGTGAGAGTGAGAGAGAGCGAGAGAAGGAGAGAAAGAGAGAGACAGAGAGAGAGGGCGAGAGAGAGACAGAGGCAGAAATTTCCAAATTTCAGGCTACACCATCCTCGAAGCCATCGACGACATCCACAACCTGCACGTTTTTGACGAGCTCTCCGAGTACTCTACGATGGAGGGCGTCCAAATTTTAGCCCGGATCGCCGCTTACTGTATGTTTAGAGGCGTAAATCGTAGCGTCACGTAATTTTCAGCCCTCAGAAACCCGGAGGGAGCACGTACCTTGTCGGAAAACGAGGTGTTCGACGAGTTTTTCAGCGATTTCATACGACCGGAAGTGAGTTTCAGAAGCTAAGCCTAAGCCTAAGCCCAAACCGAAGCCTAAGCCTAAGCCCAAGCAAAAAAAACCGTTTCCAGAAGCTCGAAAAAGGCTTCGTGCACCTCGAGGAACGATTCCCGGACAAACTCCGAGAATTGGAAACGATAAAGACGCAGATGAAGCACTTAAAGTCGGTCGGCACCTTCAAGCGGTTTATGGATGCCACTTGTGGGTTTTAAAGGGATTTTCAAGTTTCCTAAGCTTCAGATAAGCTTAAGCTAGGCCTAAGCTCAACCTAAGTTAAGCCTAGGCCTAAGCCAAGTCTAAGCCTAAACTAAGCCTAAGCTAAGCCTAAGCATCTTCCTAGGTAAGTTCCCGATCATCGTCCACGGCGATATGTGGCCTGGGAATATTTTGTGGCAAAAGACTGAGGATGGAGATTATGGAATCCGGGTGGTGGCAGATTGGCAGGTACGAGAGAACGACAGAGAGAGAGACAGAGAGAGGGGGGAGAGAGAGAGATACAGAGGGAGAGAGAGAGTGAGACAGTGAGAGCAATCCATTATTCTATTATTCTAATTCCAGACAACCCACCTTGGCAACCCCCTGGAAGACTTGACGCGCTTCCTCTCGACGTCACTGAGCGCGAAGGACTACAATGAACGGTATGACACTCCCAAAATCACCCTTTTTCAAGCTACCTATTAAAGTCACTATCAAAATTATGGATATAATTTCCAGACGAGACCACTATCTCCACGCCTACTACGACACCTTGACAGAGCTGGCATCCGGCTGCGAGCTGCCGTGGCCTACTTTTGACGAGGTTTGCCATAACGCTGGCGTAGATCGTAGCTGTAGTATTCCCCAAAGAATCTCTGCTAGCCTGCCTGACCCCAGCAACAAGTTCTAGCTGGTCGAATGCTACGAGAAGGTCTTCACCCTAATCGTCATCAACTGGAGCCACGTCTTCTTGCAGACGCTGTCAGAAGAAGTGGTCGTCGCCAGCTCAGGTGAGTTTTCCGAGCGGTGTTAAGGGGACAGGAATGTACTGAAGGCTTAAGCCTAGGCTTAGGCTTAGGCTTAGGCTTTGGCTTGGCTTATGCATAGGCTTAGGCTGTGACTCAGGCTTGGGCTTGAGCTCAGGCTTAAGCTTATTGACCTTTCTCACCACGATCCCAATAATTTCAGAAAAAGAAGGCGCCGCCCGTCTGGAGATCCTGCACGCGAAGTACCGAAATATGTTCGACCGGGCGGCTTGCTATGTACAAAAGTGGGACGTGTAAATACGTGTGAAACGGACTGGAAGCTTTAAAAGTGTCTATTAATGCTTGAATAAATATCTAAAATTTTGCCATTTTTGAGCAACAGAGATTCCACAATGAAACCCCGCAACATCGCTCGAATCGTCAATGCCAACAGGTTCAACCGGATCAGCGGCCAATTTACCCGGGATTTTCGCATTTTTCGGCGCGCTTTTTTGGGTTTAGTATGGTCTGGGAAAGTGGGGTCGGCACTCATGTGAGCGCAAAATTGGCATCAAAAAACCGGGCAGCCTGGAGTCGGTTTTGCACCCCTTTACGGGGTAGACTAACTACAGACCGACCGCCCTCCAATCCCATTCAGCCATGTTAGACCAAGGCCAGTGGCTTGGGCAAATATCGCAGAAACTTCAGTTGCTTTGATTGACCAACCGTCTCCAAAAGAATCTCTTTTAGTCTGTCCTTTCCTAAAGAATCTCTGCTAGCCTGCCTTTTCCTAAAGAATCTCTGCTAGCCCGCCCTTTCCCAAAGAATCCCAGCTAACTTTTGACGTCGTAAATTCAGAATGGTGGCCGAAAACCTCGACCCGAACGAGCGGATCGTGGACACTGTGGTGACGTGGGGGCTTGTAGAAGCGGATCTTCAGAAGCAATTCGAGTACGTTAGCTTGCTGTAGTCAAGTTTTTGCCTCTAGTACCCTCGCGAAAATCGGGCCGAATCGAGAGGCACGACTTCTAAATGGTGGCTACGTCTCGAAGACGGCCCTGCTCACTTTTGATTGGACCGAGGAGGAGGCGAGGTGATTTGACTTGGATAGACAAGAAGAGGACTTACAAGGGAAGGGCACGCTCGCAGGGTGGGGTTTTTTTGTTAGGCCGTCTCGCGACTATCTCTTAATAGTGCGACTTCACAACTACCGTAGTGAATTTAAGATGTGATTCAGTGCATTCCCGAGCTCTCTTTCCCCACTTCTTATGAAAGGGAATGGTCAAGCTACTGCGACCGGCCCCCGTCCTATCCCCAATTAGAGAGGGCCCGCGCCGGTTCCACCTATTACGGCCGGGCCCCATAAATACTGATGGCCTGAATTCATTATTGTAGCTCACTAGCCTTATACCATCTTTACCGTGCCATCATAAAGGCTATCTGGGATCGACATTCTACACCGACACTATCTTACATCTTGCTACAGTCTTATTAGCTTCTAGCCCTACCACTGAGGGGTTTAGTTCGCTCAGGCCGAGGCTTAGGCTTAGGTGTAGGCTAAGGCTTAAGCTTAGGCTTTGACTTAGGCTTACACTTAGGCTTACGCTTAAGCTTAGGCTGAGGCACCGGCATAAACTTGGCTTATACAGCTTCAACTCTTCAGACTCCCAAAATGCGGTGTGATGAAGGTCACCTCGGCAGCCGGGATGAAGGCCATTTCCGACCTGAACGGCTCGTTCGTCAACTTTGAAGTGATGGCCACGTCGGTAGGTCCATCGTGTTAGGGGCGCTAAAAGCCATTTTTTAGTTCGGCGACACCGAGTGCAACTTTCTAAAGGTTGCCCCAAAGGTCGGGTTCAGCGCCGAGATACCGGTGTGCAGATTCATCGGCGGCAAGCTGTTCGGGGTGGACGGGGTGGAGGCAGGTGAGTAAGGCTTGTTAGGCTTAGGACAGGTTTATGCTTAGGCTTAGGCTTAGGCTTAGGCTTGGGCTTTGGCTTAGGCTTAGGCTTAAACGTACTTCCTCTAGGCTACACAATCATGGAGATGGTAGAGGGCGCCCATTACCGTCACGTCTTCCACATCCTCTCCGAGGCCCCAATGGTCGAGGTTATGCAAATGCTGGGCAGGATGGCGGGATACTGTAAGTTTTTGCGGTCCCATCCCGGTTTTTTAAGGATTATTTTCCCATTATTTTAAATTTCTGATTTTTCAGCCTTACGTCACCCAAACGAAGCCGGAATGCTAGCCGAAAATCGAGTTTTTGAGGAGTTTTTCGGGGATTTCGCGCGGCCACAAGTAATTTAGACTTGAGCTTGGCGTTTGGCTAAGATCTGTGTCTTTATTTCCTCTAAAATTTAATTTAGAAAATCGATGAGGGCTTCACCGCTATGGAGACACGATTCCCGAGCCTTCAAGCGGAAGTGGACGTCCTCAAAACTCAGAAGATCTACTTCGAATCGGTGGCAAAATTTAAGAAGCGAATGGATGAAGCTTGTAAGGCTTCCAAAGTTTAGCTGAAGGTGATGATTTTTAGGCAATGTCCGAACGATAGTCCATGGGGATATGTGGCCCGGGAATATACTGTGGAATATCGGAAAAGATGGGGAATATGGTATTCGGAAAGTGGTAGATTGGCAGGTGAGGGTTGGCTTGAGCATGGCTTCGGCTTGAGCCTGGCTTCGGCTTAGGTTGGGGCTTAGGCTGTCTTTGGTTAGGCTTTGGCTTAGGGTTGGCTTAGGCTTAGGCTTAGGCTTAAGCTTCGCCTTAGACTTAGGCACAGGCTCAGGTTTAGCTTGTGTTCGGCTTAGGCTTAGGCCTAGGCGTCGTCTCAAGCATACAAAGCCTGATTTCAGACGACCCATCTGGGGAATCCTCTAGAAGACTTGACAAGGATCCTATCGACTGGCTTGAGCGCTGAAGACCACAGAAATAAGTAACAGAAGTTTCAAAAAAAACTAGAAATTTCAGGAGGGACTTTTTCCTGAATATTTTCTACACGACGATGGAGGAGGAAGCGGATGGGAAGAAATTGCCTTGGGAGAGTTTCGAAGAGGTGAGGAGAGAGAGAGAGAGAGAGAGAGAGAGAGAGAGAGAGAGAGAGAGAGAGAGAGTAAATCAAAAATATCTTTCAGCTGGTCGAACAGTATGAAAAGATCTTCCCTCTCATTGCCATCGTCTGGGTGCCGCCCTTCATTCTTGTGCTCACCGATGAAGTCGTGATTGGAGGTGGAGGTAGATAACTTATAGAACGCTAAGCCCAAGCTTAAGCCTAAGCCCAAGCCTAAGCCTAGTTGCAGGAGAAGAAGGTGAAGCCCTATTGCCGGGGTTCCTCGCCAAATACGAGAATATGATCGCCGAGAGTGCCGACTACATCCTCAGATGGGGGCTGGATTCGGAGTGAAAACGCCAAGTCAAGCTTTATTTCTGGCTTTTTGTGTTTTGGAATAAAGATATAACTGAACCGTGATGCTTCTCTCTCTCTCTCTCTCTCTCTCTCTCTCTCTCTCTCTCTCGCTCTCTCTCCTATTGAACATTTTCACCTCCGGAAAACCTGTACCCGGACCAATTCCGGGCCCATCCCCCCTTCCGATCCAGTCAAGGCCCTTAAAATTCGACAAAAAAGGCCCCGCCGCACTTTACGACCAAAAATAATTGGCTTTTTCACGCGGCCAGCCGGCAATGGGTGTGATAATCTCGGTGTGAATAGGCTGATCGCGGAATTTCGGGGCTGGGGCGCGACAAGGAGAAGAGCGTGTTTAATAGCTTCCTGGGCGGGGAGAGATCGTTAGATTATTAAGGTGTTTCGGGACCCGGAACAGGGGACTAATTGGTCGCCGCCTAGATCAGAGACGAACGTTGTGAGATGGGAATCAGAATATTTTAGCACATTTTGTAATTTTTGTGACGTTTTCTTGCTTTTTAGGGTTGAAAAATCCCGTAGTTTCTCCCTATCTAGCTCACTCCCACTCCCCCCTTCCCACTCTGTCTCCATCTGCCTGTTGCTATGCCGCTCTCTCGTGCTCTCCTCACTTTGATGCTTACTCTCTCGCTCTCACTCTCTCGCACCCTCTATCTCCATTTGCATCTTGCTCTGTCTCTCTCTCGCTCTCTCTTTCTCTCTCGCTCTCTCTCGCTCTCTCTTTCTCTCTCGCTCTCGCTCGCTCCCTCTCTTTCGCTCTCTCTCCATCTCTCTCGCTCTCTCGCTCTGTCTCTTTCTCTTTCACGCCATCTCTATTTCCAGCCTAAATGATGCCCCGGATAGCAGCTACCCTGCTACTGCTGCTGCTCAAATTTGGCCCCTCCCTTGCCGACGTCATCAGGGCGGACGACGGAAAATCGGTTACGGTAGATACGCCTCGAGGACAGGTTACGGTAGGAAGTCACAATTTAGAAATTACAACAAAACCAAGGGTTTCCACTCCGATCTCGGCCACGACACTACGGCACTGTTCTATGGAAACGGAGATGTGTTTCTGGGGATACCGTACGCCGAGCCACCGATCGGGGAAAAGCGTTTCCAGGTGGGATTTCACTTGCAAGGCAAAAATTTGAGGAAGGGAAGCTATAATCTGCGAAAATTTTTGACGTCTCAGGACCTTGAAAATTAATTTCAGAAGCCCGTTCCGCTGTGCTCCTATCCACAGAATCCGTACGACGCGACCGCTTATAAGTAAGCCAAGTTTCGTTCTCTATATTTCTTTATCTCTCTCTCTCTCTCTCTCTCTCTCTTCAGATATCTCTCACTTACGCTGCTTATCGTTCTCTATCCCCCCTCTCTCTATCTCTCTCTATCTCTCTCTCTCGCTCTAAGCAGAATTTTCCAGGCACACCTGCGTCCAGCCCGGTGACTGTGTCATTAATGCTACCCAGAGCGAGGATTGCCTTTATTTGAACGTATTTACACCTAATGTAAGTCCTTGCGAGAGAGAGCACGAGAGAGAGAGCGAGAGACAGCGAGAGAGTGCAAGATCCATCCGATCAATTTTCCTTTCCAGGCGGCCTCCATCTATAAGTACCCAGTGATGGTGTGGATCCACGGCGGGTCGATGACGAGCGGCTGTGCCCAGGAGTTTGACTACAAGGTACAAACCGAGCGTTTGGGATGGAAAAACGTCTTTAGGGCGCCATTCGGAACCTGGTGGAGCGAGGCGTGGTCGTCGTCACACTGCAGTACCGCTTGGGGCTGATAGGTGAGGGAAGAAGCTGGTTTTAAGGGATGGCGACACCGAAATGAACTCTTTTAAGCGCTACAGTACCCAAAAAATTTAAAGGGGTGGTGACAGCTAGAAGACCTTGTAAACCTAAACCTAAGTCGAAGCCTAAGCCTACGCGTTTGACGCAAAAGTGACTGAAGGGTTTCATCAGGTTTCTTCACAACCTTCACCGATGAGTTTCCGCCAAATCGAGGAATGCTAGATCAGGTGTTTTTAGTCTCAAAGCTACAAGCTATAGAAGTAATCGAAAATCACAATCAATCTTCAGGTCGAAGCGATCCGCTGGGTGACGGACAACATTCAATACTTTGGCGGGAATCCGTATCGTATCACGCTTTTTGGAGAATCAGCTGGGGGAGCCTCAGTCTCCGCGCACACCTACTCGCCATTGAGCCAGAGTAAGCGAGACGGAGACATGGAGGAAGAGGGAGAGAGAGATAGAAAGCGAGAGTGAGTGAGAGAAACTATCGATTTCAGATCTCTTCCAACAAGCCATAATGCAGTCCGGAGTGGCACTGACTTCATTCGAAGGCTCACTCGGCTTCTCCGGTCTTAGCGAAGATCGAGCGGCTTCGGTGGGTGAAGCTAAGCCTAAGCTCAAGCCTAAGCCAAAGCCCAAGCTAATACACTTACTTCCAGCTCTGCAACTTCACCGACGACCAGTGGCAGAACAACCAGTGGCAAGGACTGAAAGATTGCTTGCTGTCGAAAACGATCGAAGAGATCAATACCGTTGAAGTGGTGAGAGAGAGAGAGGGAAAGAGAGAGAGGGAGAGAGAGAGAGAGGAAGAGAGAGAGAGTGAGAGAGTGAATGAGTGAGAAATAGAGCTTCTTAAGCTTGCCAATTCGATTTTTAGAGCAACCCGCTGGGCTGGAAAATCTGCCAGGACAACTACTTCATGCCGGGCGTGCCCAGAGACTTGGCCTCGGCTCGCCCAAACATTCCAGTAATGATTGGGACGATGAGGGACGAGTTTGCCGCTTATTGTAAGTCCAAGCTAAGCCTAAGCCTAAGCCAAGCTTAAGCCAAGCCTAAGCTTAAGCCCTTTTCAGTGCTCACCTTCATCCGCGTCGGCATCCTCAATCCAAGCTTCATCGGCAAGCTGGCCTTTGAGTTCCTCTTCGACATGTTCGCCAATTTCTTGGCCACCCGAGAGGCTGACGTGATGGCCATTTTGGAGAGGGTACCTTAATTCTAAGTCTCCGATACCCTAAAGTCTAGATCTACTCTGCGCCCGGGGTCGGCAACTTTGACCACGCCGCCTGGTTCAAGACGTCCAGCGATGTGAGTTTAATAGATTTTTTTATTGATTTATAAGCGCTAAAAACTTTCAAGTACCGATAATATAGCCAAATAAAAACTACATTGGGGGAAATGTTCTTTCAGGTGTTCACAGCGGCCGGCTTTACCGGTTTCGTAATCCGGGAAGCGAACAACTATGTGGCAAATGGGAACAAACAGGTCATTCAATAATTGATTCTAAAAAGCTGACAATATTTTGCAAATTTCTAAAGGTTTCTATATTTTTTTAGGTCTACCTCTACGAGCAAACCTTTGCCCCGAACGTGGCGACGGACTGGGGAAATATCACCGATATTCTCGATTATAAGCGTGAGTCATAGGCTTAGGCTTAAGCTCCCTCTTTTTAGCCGTCGGTCACACCGCCGAGCTGGCTTACCTGTGGATTTTCGAACAAAAGTGGAAGGATTCGCTGGCCAGGAATGTGGTGGGATTTTGATTTGAATGCCATATTTTGGAATGGGCAAGCAGAAAATGCCATTCTGTTTTTAAAGAAAGTGATTTAGTAAAATTTTATCGATTTTCAGGTGACCCCTTTCGATTATCAACTAGCTGATTGGTATGGGGAGACATGGACAACGTTTGCGAAATATGGGTGAGGAGAAAGAGGGTGTTAGAGAGAGAGAGAGAGAGAGAGAGAGAGAGAGAGAGAGAGAGGGGACAAGCTAGCAAAAATTCTTGAGTAGTCAGTCGCTCGTGGAGACTACGCTGGGTAAAACCTGGCAAGCTAGCAGAGATCATTGAGGAGAAATCTTGAGGTTAGACAAGCGAGCAGAGCATTTTTTAGGATGCCGATCCTCTCAAACGCTTGGACGCCAGTGAAAACCCGAGACGACAACGACTACTTCCGGATTGACGATCCGACGGTTGGCGGGATGACGATGCAACAGAAATACAGATATACTGACGATATTTCGTGGACCAGGGTGGGTACGGTGGTTTTAAAGGGGCTGGGAAGTCAGGGGAAAAAGATTGATGGGTTATGAAAAGTATCGAAAGCAATTTTGGATCCGGTAAAATGTGTTTTTTCCATTGGCTATTTTAATCTGAAGTAAATTTGAGCTAAACATCCACTTTTTTGAGTTTTAAAGGGACGGTGAGGCAAGAAAACGGCTTTTCTAGGTGATCCCCGCCCTGGCCGGAGACTACCCACCGATAAAACCTGACTACAACAACGGCACGAACCCTTTGCCGACCAGCTCTGCGATGAGAAGGGAGAGATGTAGGTCTTAGTCGCTCTAAAGGGACTAGTGGCTTCAAAATTCGACCCCAGCGATCCACTAGATCTCGACAACAACTCTGGACTCGAAATAGGCTCGAAAAATTGGGTCGTTAGATGTCGAGACCTAGGAGGTCGATGGGTTGATTTTTGGGCTTGCTGTGCCTTTTAATCGCCCAAAAACCGACCCCTACGGCTAGGTCTCGTCAGCTCCACGACGCTTCAGATGACGTCACAAAACGCATCTCATTTTGATTTCAAGTCCATAAATGGCTATGACAGTAAAACTAAAGCTTTTTTGGAGCTCCGCGTAGTTGTCGAGACCTAGTCAATGCCAGGGGTCGATCCTGGGGCTTAACAGGTCCTTGAAAACTAAAAAACCATATAGGAAACGACTAAATTGCAGTCGAAAATCCGAGATTACCGCGCCACTTTAGATTCGCCCTATTTCGAACCGCTTCAGCGCTGAGGGGAACGGCCAGCTTCAAAATTAAAGCATTATTTTCGACATTTTGTGATAGCGAATAAATTATTTTGTTTGAATCTGGCCGATCCTTGCAAAAAAATACAGAAAAATGGATAAATATACGCAAATTAAACTTTTTGCCCTTTCTCTCTCTCCTCGGTCTGTCTGTCTCTCTCCCGCTCACTCCCTATCTAACTCTGGCTCTCTCTCTCTCTCCTCTCTCTAAAGCCTCAAAAGTCCACATTTTACAGTAATCGTCTGCCCATCCGACAATCCGCCCATTAGCGGGAATTGCCCGAATCCTTCCGTCGTTCCACCACTTACAGTAGCTACAGTATCCACCGCGGCGCCCTCCGTCGCGTCGACTACGGTAATGGGACAACTTTTAGGGTATCCGGAAATTTTAGGTGACGACACCAACTACCGGCACCTCAACGATATCCGATGTCACGATTACCGTAACCCGAGCAGGATTCTCCAGCCTTAAATTAACGTTATTGGCTTTGGCGGTTGTGATTTGGTTCTGAATAGAAAAAATGTAATAAATTAAGATTTAGAGAACACGGCTATGATTGACCTGATCCGGCATGTCCTTTGTCTCTCGGTCTCTAGCTCTCTCTCGTTCTCTCTCTCTCTCGCTCTCTCTCACTCTCTCTTTCTCTTTCTCTCGATTACTCTCCCCTAAATCAATCAAAATTTCAAAACACATCACCCCGCCCTAAAATTCGAACCGATTGCAGGCGCGTCAGGCGGGCCCTCAGAGAGCACATAAAATCGACTCGTCCATTTGGCTATTCAAAGCCGTTTCGCTCATCTCTTTCTCTCTCTCTCTCTCTCTCTCTCTCTCTCTCTCTCTCTTCCTCTCTAATCGGGGCCCGGCATATATTTTGATGAGAGTTCCGGCCCCACGTTTGCAGCAGGTTATCATGCTGTTTTTTTGATCTCCTGGCGTGTGTTCTAGAAGTTTCATTTTTGGTTTCGGGTGGGTTTAAAGGCGTTGTGACAGCAGGGTTTTCTCTCACTCTCTCTCGTTCTCTCGCTGACTCTGTCTCTCTCTCTCTCTCTCTCTCTCTCTCTCTCTCTCTGCCTCGCTCAACTCATTTTCCAGATGACACCCGGTCATGGCATTCTAAAACGTAGCAAAACCATCGCGAAAAGAAGCAAGAGGGAGCTGGTCAGCAAGACGCTCGAGGAGGACTACCCAGGATTGGACTATCTAGGCTTGCATAGTGTACTCGTGGTAAGGATTACGGTAGATAAAGGCAAGCTAGCAGAGATTCTTTAGGAAAGGGCAGGCTAGCTGAAGATCTATAGGAAAGGGCAGGCTAGCAGAGGTTCTTTAGGAAAAGCAGATTCTTGGCCATGACCAGCACCATTTTTCAGGCGAAAAAACGCTGGTATTGCATCGGCTGGTTCACGCTGCTGTTCATCTGCGTCTTCGGCGGCTTGTTCACGGTGGTCAAGTAAGCCTATAAGTTTTTATAAGAAACAAATCAGAGTATTTTTATGATGATTTTGGAAACAGCTTTTTAGGGTAATTCAAGAATACAACGTCCATCCGGCCCTCACCAAAGTCGAAGTGAAATCGGTGAGAGAGAGAGGGAGAGAGGGAGGGAGAGAGAGAAAGAGAGAGAGAGAGAGAGCAGGAGAGAGACAGAGAGGGACAGAGCCAGTAAGACAGATCAATACAGATGGAAAGTCTGCCGCTACCCTACGTTACCGTATGCCCAACTCGGGCCACGACCCTGGACCTGGACAAAATCTACGAATTTTTGCTGCAAAACTACAGTAAGACTATAACGCGTCGGGATGCCCTCGATTTGGCCAATTTTATGGTCGGCGGAAGCGGATTTCAGGTGCCCTATTTTTGGGTAGAGACAAGACGAGATTTTGCAGAAAATCGACCCGGATGGATTTCAAAACAGAAATCAGACCGATCAGCTCTACTTGATCCTAAAGGGTGCTCAGGGAATACAGGAGTTTTTTCATAATGTAAGTTAGTTTGGGTGTCGATTCTTAGCTTAGGCTTAGGTTAGGCTTGGGCTTAGGCTTAGGCTTAACTTAGGCTTAGTTTTAGGCCTAGGCTTCGCTTAGCCTTGGGTTTCGACTACCTAGAAAAGATTTTTGACGCTACGGCAGTTGATAAGCGAGAGAGAGAGAGAGAGAGAAAGAGCGAGAGCGAGAGTGAGAGAGAAACAAGGAGCAAGAGTCAAAGCATACCCAACCCATTTTCGGTTCTTCAACCGCTTTGGCCTTCAATGCGAGGACCTATTCCATTCCTGCACCCTACGAAGCCATCCGATTGAATGTTGCGAGGTACAAAAATTCCAAAAAAAGTTTAATCAGTTTTTTTGAGTACTTCTCGCCCACATACACGATTCGACGCGGGCGCTGCTTCCGGTTAAAGGAGCAGCTCGTACAGGTCAGCCTAAAAAGTTCCAGAAATTTCTAGCAATTCAGACAACCTTCGACGAGCAAGGAAAGCTCACAATACGGCTCAATAATCATATCGATTATGCGCGGGAGGAAGATGGGCAGGTAGGGCGGCATTTTGTAGCTTGTAGTTTGTAGGCTCGAAGGGCGAAGCATGATGTTCCGTTGCATTAGTATCCGGATGTTGTTTGTAGCCTAGAGTCTGTAGTTTAGCATTATGCTTTTTGTAGTCTGTTTTTTAGAATTTGCTCGCATTCATTGGCGACGAGAAGCCGGAAATCGCACCATTCCCCCGGTTCTATTTATATGAGAACACGTCGATGCGATTGCAGGTTTGGCTTAGGCTTGGCTTAGGCTTGGCTTAGGCTTGGACGTAAGCTTAGGCGTATGCTTAGGCTTAGGTTTCCGCTTATGCTTAGGCTTAAGCTTAGGCTTAGGCTTGGCCTGGGCTTGGCTTAGGCTTAGGCTCAGGTTCAGGCTTAGGCTTAGGCTCAGGCTTAGGCTTAGGCGTGGCTTACGCTTGGCTTGGGCTTGGCTTAGGCTTAGGCTCAAGCTTAGGCTTAGGCTTAAGCCTACTCCTGGGCCTGTGGATAGCTTTTAAACTTTCAGATCAAAGCCACGCACATGAATCTGGTTGAAGAGGGAGATTCGGTAAACCCAAAGTCTAGCTTGGAAGCTTCTGGTTATAGGTATGCACCGAAGCGTACAGTAGCCTGGGGAAATCGACGTGCTATCTGAATAATTGGCTTCAATTCTACTTGGAGGATGTTTATAATTGTACATATCCGTATATGGATTTATTAAGGCGGACTGGATTGGGGAGGTGAGCGAGAGAGAGAGAGAGAGAGAGAGAGAGAGAGAGAGAGAGCGAGCGAGCGAGCTAATGTTACACCTTAAGCTGCAACCCAACCACCGTAATGGACAATTACATGGCTACGGTACAGAACGTACACTATCATAAGCATCAGGTATGAAAAAACCTAGCTAAAAGGGAATTTTCAATAGTGCATTCTACCCTGCAACCGTTGGGAGTACACGGCTGCAATGGAGAGAGTGTCGGTCCGGGTCAGTATCTTCCTTTCTATTATCTCTCTCCCCCCTCTCTCTCTCTCCCTCTCTCTAACTCTCGTTCCCTATCTCTCTATCTCTTTTTTCAGAACGCGGTCTCCCCATTCCGAATCGACATCTTCTACAATGACCTTCAGTATGAGGAATTTTCCGGGGTGTACACGACAACGTTAATGGGATTGTTGGCGCAAATTGGAGGGCAGGTATGTTCCTAAGGAATCTCTGCTAGCCTGCCCTCTCCTAAAGAATTTCTGCTAGCCTGCCCTTTTCTAAAGAATCTATGCTAGCCTGCCTTTTTCTAAATATTTTTCAGCTCTCCCTCTTCCTTGGTTCCTCCATACTATCTCTCGTCCAGTTATCAATTCTTCTCGTCGTCATCGGCAACCGGGTATGGTAACCATGCTCCTCTAAAAGTAATAGAAATGATATAAAAATCTTTTACAGGTCGTTAAGCATCGAAAGATGAACGTGAATATCCCGGCCCCACGTCCAGAGCCTCCACATATCGATACGTCGGTGTAAAATAGAAACGATTTCTTGATGAAATTATGCAAATAGTGTATAAAGGTTTAATGTACAAACTGCCATCACAAGAAAAAATTTTTTGGTCCGGTTTTAAAGAGACGGCCAAGGCAAAAAACCATTATATGACACCTTCTGGGACAGTTTTTGATGTTCTTTCGGCTGGCGTTACTTAGGATCAGTCGCGCTATAGATTTTAGCTTCAAAAAAGCTTTTTGACGTCGATTAATCATGGGTACGGTGCTAAACTACTTACAGTCACGTTTTAAGGGGACTGGCAAGGCAACAAATATTTTTCTTATACGTTCTCGGCCGGTTTTTGCTGCTCTCTTTGATGGGATCACTTAGAATCACCCGCTTTGCAGATTTTAGCTTGAAAAATGTTCTTGAACTCGATCCATCGCCGGTACTGAGCCAGCCTAATTCCCGTCAAGTTTTAAAGGGACTGGCAAGGTGACAAATATTTTTCTTATACGTTCTAGGGCAGTTTTTGACGCTCTTCGCGATGACGCCGCTTAGAAACACTCGCTCTCGAGAATTCCGCTTCAAAAACCGTCTTTTCCCTATGGCTATTCCGCGTGCCAGGGCCAGCCTGTTTCCGGTCAAGTTTTACGGGGAACTAGAAGGGCGAAAAATGTTGTTCCGAGCAATTCTGGCGTAGTTCTTTGTTCGTTTTAGAAACTGTTACGCAGAATCACTGACAGTGGAGTTTTTGGCTTCAAAACCAAGGTTCTTGTAACCGATATATTCTAAGCTACCAGGCACAAGCCAGAATAACTAAATTTCGTTTTTCCTCACTAGAACGGTCCGTAAGAAACACCCAAAAATATTCAGAGCTTTTCTGTTCAAAATCCATCTCAAAACTACGACATGCCAATTGCCCGGAGGCCATTTACGATCCAATAAATGTCACCCAAAGGGGGCGCGCCGTCCTTGTTGTACTTTGTACTCTGACGCGAATTGATAACCCGGGGAGGGGAGGCCAGTTTTTCTTAGCTATCAGCCCCGGGCTGGAAAGGGTGAAAAGTGGGCGGGTGGGGATGATCTATGGGGGATGAGGGCAATGGATAGACATCGCCGTTTATAGACCTACAGACGTTTCGCGGCGCGCGTTTTCACGCCCTTGGAGTGGTGATAAAACCTAGCTGATTTATTGGATTTTTGGCGAAGGGCTGGGTACTGTTAATCACTCTCTCGCTTCTCTTTCTCTACCTCTCTATCTCTCGATCTCCACTCTGTCTCTCTCTATCTATCTCTCTCGCTCGGTTTCTCTCTAGCTACTTCACTCACTCGCTCTCTCTCGCTCTCTCTGACTCTCCCTTCTTTCTCGCTCTCTCTCTCTCACTCACTCCCTTCTCTCTCCCTCACCCTCTCTCGCTGTCTCATTTCCTAGCTTTTAGTTCCTTCTCATTATCTCGCGCTCTCTGGTCCTCACTCCCTCTCTCTCCGTCTCGCTTTCTCTCGCTTTTTTTAATCACTATATCTCGTCCTCTCCTGCTTTTATTCTCTCGTTTTCTCGCTCCCTCTGATTCTCGCTCTCTAGCGGCCCCATCCGCCCCGTTCACTTTGGTTCGCTCGCTCTCTCTCTCTCTCTCGCTCTCTCTCGCTCTCTCTCTCTCTCTCTCTCTCTCTCTCTCTCTCTCTCCCTCCCTCCCTCTCGCTCTCGCTGTGGCTCTCATTATCTCCCTCTTTCTCTCTCTCTTTCCCTCATTGTTTTCCCCTAGTATTTTAAGCTTTCTCCTCCTTCCCATCCCCTTTCAAAACAACCGATCGTAAACCAGAATTCCGACGCTATTCTTGATCGCCCTAATCACTGGAATCTTTTTCATTTCCTACTTGCTTGCCGGGCCAGAAACCCCTTATCAAATTAGGGGGCTCAATTGGCAGCATTGCCTCGTGGTCGGGGGATCAGTTCCGATTGTTTTCCGGTCGGAATTGAGTTTAGTTTGGGGCTTAGGGGATTAAATTATTTAAAATTAATCAGTTCTCTCTCACTGGCTCGCTCTCTCGCTCGCTCTAGCTCTCCTTCTTTCGCTATCGCTCTAGCGCGCTCTTTCTCTCGCGCTCTCTCTCGCTCTCACCCACTCTCTCTCGCTCTTTCTATCTCCGTCTCTGTATCTTTCTGTCTTTCTCGCTCTCACTCACTCTCTCTCGCTCTTTCTCTCCCGCTCGCTGCCAGTCTTTCTTTCTATCGCTTTGTTTTTCGCACTCTCTTAACACTAGCTTCCCTTTCCCCATTTTTGCTTTCTCATGCCCACTGTCACTCTCGCTCCTCAATATTCTCTGCTAGCTTGCCAAAAATTTGGTATTCTCTACTTTAGAAAATGCCAATAAAATCCGAGCACCCCGATGTCCCCATCGTCAATCAGCCCTTCTACTCGCGAGTGATCGCCAAGATTACGGAGCACCACCTCGCCAGCCCGGGCCGGGCGGCTTTCGTAGGTTTTTTAGGTAGCTTAAGCTGTGAAGCTCCTTGTCGTGCTCCCTTGAAACCGAAATTTTGGTATACTTGTTTTCAGATCAATGCCGAGAATCCCTCTGATCGGGTCACCTGGCTTCAACTGCTCGACTTCTCCTCCTCCCTGGCCAACTTCTTTAGGCAGCGCGGCTTTGGGAAGGAGCAAGTCTGCTGTCTGGTGAGTCGAAAAATGCGTATAGGCCTAAGCAAAGCCAAGCCGAAGCCTAAGCCTAAGCCCATGCCCATGCCTGAGCCTAAACCTAGTCCTAAGCTAAGCCTAAGCTTAAGCCCAATCCTAAGCTTAAGCCTCTCTCCTTCAGGTCCTACCCAACTGTTGGCAGTATGCCGTCGGATTCCTCGGCGCCACCCTGGCAGGAGGAGCCATTTCTGGCGCCAGCGCCATGTTCACCGACTGTAAGTTGGAGCTGAATTTAGCCCGAATTTTCTGAGTGGCGACAAGATGGAGCAGTTCAAGAGCGGCAGAAGGGTATTGTTGACATTAAATTTAAATAGTCCTACGATTTTATACAAGTTCTGAAGGGTGACTTTCGATCGGTACTTTAACCGAGTATAACTTCGCCAAAAAGGTGTGCAAATTTTATGTTTTTTTTTGGCTGTCGGAGCATCTACTTTTCACTATCTTTCAAGCGATATATCTGAAATCTTACGAAAATTACAAATTTGGGACAGATTAGGACGACCTTTAGACGAGCTGGGCCGTCAATTCACCGATTCGCAAGCCACCTGTGTCATCACCGACGAGACGCATCTTGGTCGTGTCCTCACCGCCGTCGCCTCTGCTCCAAAGATCCAGGTTTTAGCCTTGTAATTGTTTAAAGTACGTTACTGTTCTTCAGACGATCATCTGCATCCGATCGTCTTCGAACCCACTTCCCCAGGGCGTTCAGGACTTCAAGCAATGCGTGTCGGGGAGCACGAAATTTGTTCCGGATGAGAGGAGCTTTAGGTCGGTTGGGCTTAGGCTTCAGCTTAAGCTTAGCTTGGGCTGGAACTTAAGACCCCTCTTCCAGCCCTGACAACCTGCTCCTCCTGCCCTACTCTAGCGGAACCACCGGGTCCCCGAAGGGAGTCATGCTCACCCACCGGAATTTTGGGACGATGACCGACGTCGTGATGAGGTAAAAGCTCCGAAATTCTGCGCTTTACAGCCAACATTGTTCAGCAACTTCTACAACGTCATTTATCCGGACGTGTTGCCCGACTATGTGCCGGCCAAGGTTCGGAAGTGTTTCTGGCTTAATTTTTTCAAAAATAGTGTACAATACTAAGTGTATTCGGTGCAGAATTTTGCGCTAATTCCAAATCTGTAACAAATCAAAAGTTATATTAGAAAAAGCCATAAACCTCAAGTTAAAAAACCCGACAAAAAGTACAAAATTCAAGGCAAAACGTTGTAAAACCCTTCAACAAACCATTTTTCTCCATTTTCAAGCCCGGATTCGGATCCAGCGCAAAATTCTCGACAAAATGCACTTATTTACGAGCTCATAGAAGTTTCTACAGTATGACAATTTCCAGGAAAACACCCTTCTGCTCCTGCCCTTCTACCACATCTATGGGTTTGGGATGTTGATGAGGAGTCTTTTTGAGGGGACGACTGGCATTATTTTTGGCAAATTTGACCCGGTGTTGCTTTGCGAGAAGATTCAGGAGCATAAGGTCGGTTTTAGGCTTAGTTTTCTTTTTACCCGAAAATTCAGGTCCAACAGCTCTTCGTAGTGCCGCCGATCGTAATTTTCCTCGCCAAGCATCCGGTTGTCGCCAAATATGATATTTCTTCGATAAGGATGGTAAGTTGAAGCCTAAGCCGAAGTGAAGCCCAAGCCCAAGCCTAAGCCTAAGCCTAAGCGAAGTCTAAGCCTAATCCTAAGCCTAAGCCTAAGCAAAGCCTGAATCCATGCTTGTAGATGTTCTCCGGGGCGGCACCATGCGGCAAGGACATCATCGACGAGCTGATGAATAAGCATAAGCATATTCGATTCTTCGGGCAGGGTAAGTTCCTTAAGAATCTCTGCTAGTTTCCTCCCTCCGGTCCCGCGCTCATCCTGAAAAATCCCCCCCTAGCCTGCATCGCTGTAGCCTGTGGTCCGAAAGGATCTTTGCTAGCTTGCCTCATCCCAGTTTGCCCTCCTCAAAGATTTTTGCTAGCTCGCTTCGGCCCTGCTCCTCAAGGATCCTTGCTAGCCTGCCCTCTCCCAACTCACCAATTCCAGGCTACGGCATGACAGAGTGCGGAATGGTGTCCCACCTCCCTGTGCCCCGCGCAAAGTCGACGATCTCGGCCGGACGGTTGGCGGCTAATTTTGAGCAAATGGTAAATTCGTAAATTATTTTCAACAAAAAATAATTTTAGAATTTCAAAAAGTGACGTACATTACTTTTAGATAATCGACCTGAAAAGCGGCAAAGAGTGCAAGCGAGGGGAACGCGGCGAGATCTGGGTCAAAGGACCAACGGTGATGAAAGGGTAAGTCTAAGCCTAAGCCTCCTAAGCCTAAGCCTAGCCCTAAGACCAAGGCTAAGCCTAAATCTAACCCAAAATCTTTCAGGTACTTGAACCGTACGGAAGCGACCGCCGAAACCATCGACAAAGACCAGTGGCTACACACAGGTAGGAGAAGCCAAGAAAATTTGAACCATGACTTTTATGAAATAGTGTTTTTGTGATTTTTCTGATTCAAAAACTGTCATGGGTATTGCACGTAGTCCCCTAGATTTTTAGATATAGGCAGGTTTGTGAACCGTTTTATAAAAATTCAGGCGACATCGGCTACCTGGACAAGGACGGGAATCTTTTTGTTGTTGATCGACTGAAGGAGTTGATAAAAGTCAAGGGATTGCAGGTAATCCTGCTCTCGCTCCCTCTCTCACTCGCTCTCGCTCTCCCTCCCGCTCTCTCTCTCTCTCTATCTCTCTCTCTCTCTCTGCCTCTTCCACGACGTCTCCGAATCCAGGTCCCGCCCGCCGAGCTCGAAGATCTTCTCCTGTCCCACCCTAGAGTACGCGACGCTGCTGTTATCGGAATTCCGGACTCGAGAACGGGTTTGTATACGCTATTCGGTTTATCAAGAACCTGCTTTTCAGGTGAAGCCCCAAAAGCCTTCATCGTCGCCGCCGACGACAAACTGAAAGCCCAGGATATCGTAAATTTTGTGAAGCGTGAGTTTTAGCAGCTGGCTTAGGCTGGGGCTTGGACTTGGGCCTAGGCTTATGCTTCGGCTTATGCCTAAAAACGTTTGAAGTAGACTAAGAACGACCTAATAACTTAGTTATTTCAGAAAAAGTCTCTTCCTACAAACAATTAACCGGCGGTGTGGAGTTTGTCGACGAGATTCCGAAGGCGCCATCTGGAAAAATTCTGCGCCGATTGCTACGCGATGCCGAGCAGCAAAAGATGAAATCCAAGCTTTGATGATCTCTTTTAGGGATATTTTTTGTATAAAGAAAACATATATACTACTCAAATAAATCATTTATTGGATTAAATGGATCTGAAAATCCGGTGGTTAATTGGTAGAGTTCTCTCTTGTCAGGAAAGCGACCCGCATTCGAGTCCCGTCTGCAGCCGAGGTTTTGATTCCTGATTTTTTACTTTTCGCTGATTTAAAATTAGTAGGAAAATGACAGAAACCTGCAGACCGTACAGAGCGAGAGAGAGAGAGAGAGAGAGCGAGAGAGCGAGATGCGTATTTTCTGCTTTTTCGTGCCCACTCAGCCCGAAATCAGCTGTGAAAGCGTGTGTCTGGCGGCAGCCGTTCCCACAGAAGCTCACTCAAAAGCTTTTCCACTCTTTTGATCTGTGAAAACCCATTTCGTTTGTTCTCTCTCTCTCTCTCTCTCTCTCTCTCTCTCTCTCTCTCTCTCGCTCTCCCTCTGTCTTCGGGTAAAAGCCACTACATCTGCCCGGAAGTTCGATCGATCAATTCCGCGCTTTTTTGCACTCCACCGCCAGCTGTGGAATTTGGGCCAAAGAATGGGATGGGGCACTCGCACAGGAAATGACGGTGGGCGAATTTTGCGATGAGTGGAATTGTGCAAAAATGGATTTTGAATAGGTTTCAAGGGAGCTGCTTGGGTTGGGAGGGCATACCAGCAGAGATTCTTTAGGAAAGGGCAGACTACCAGAGATTCCTTAGGAAAGGGTAGGCTAGCAGAGATTCTTTAGGAAATAGCAGGCTAGCAGAGATTCTCTAGGAAAGGCCTGACCGCAGAAAAATTTTCCGCATGCTATTTTCTCACAGGAAACCCCCTATAATTAGCCTAGTTCAGAACAAGGATAACCGTTTTTCGTTCACTTTTTGATCTAGCGAATTTTTCGGGGCATCCAAATGCTTTCAATTCGCGGTCTCTAATTGATGGCACAGGTCGGCTGGAGAAGCCGGCCCGGGGGTTCTGTGGAAGCTTCACTGCAACTCAAATTCAGCAGGAATTTTTCTCAAGCATCTCTGCTAGCCTGCCCTCTCCTGAAGAATCTCTGCTACCTATCCGTAGCAGATTTTTAGGCTTCCCCTCACTTCCTTGTTGCGTCTCTTTACACCCGCCGCTTCCAACCGTATCGGCTTCTTCTTTTCCTTGATCTCTCTCTCTCGCGCTCTCTCTCTCTTTCGCTCTCTCTTTCGCTCTCGCTAACGCTATCTCTCGCATTCTCCCTCCATCACTATCATCCACCCGAAAAATTGTTGTTCTTCGCCAGCTATACCCGGGCGACAGTTTCGGAGCGGCCCGAACTGTTTACGCCGATTCCCCCGAATTTTCCAAAATTCATCCATTTCCCCCGCTAAGAATAGGCTTTGTTTTGGGCTTGTGCCTAAGCTTAGACTGAGGCTTTCGCGTAGCATGGGCTTAGGCTTAGGCTTAGGCTTAGGCTAAGGCTTAGGGGTTTTAGGCGTATGCTCCCCGTCCCTGTCTTCAATTTGCATTCAGCCAACTAGATAGCCGGCCAAACTTTTCCAGAACCATCCACCATTACACGACCGAAGTGCAGGTGGCGGTGGGGGTGTCGAAAAGCCAAATGCGGCCCTTGAAAAGTCGGGCTGACCATCACAGAGTTTGGCCACAGCTGTGCGCCCAGACAGCCGAAAAAGTCGTATTTCTCGAAAGTTGCCTGGCCTACGTGAGGCATCTATGGGCGTCTGGGGGTACGGTAGAGAATTTCCAAAACGGCCTTCAGCCGAAACATTTTCGATGTCACTTTTCGAAAAATCCTGAATTTTCCGGATTTAAAGGGCAAGCTCGAAAATGGACCCGTCGTGAGAGAGTAGGCCTAGACGGCTACGATCCGCACCAATTAACGCATACAGCTAATCCTTAAATTTAGGCGTTTATCGGGCGCTGGCGGACAAAGCTTAAGCACTTACGCCTAAGCAAGCCAAGCTAGGCCTACCATCTATCATTAATGCTTCAACGCTGCGGTGACACGCGTCTAGAGAATTACGCGCCCCGTGCCATTCGCGTGCGTGCGTCCAATTACGTAGCCCTGGGGCAGCAAATCACGCCGATTTCCCAGCGATTGAGTAGACATGAAAGGAGTTAACCGCTTTCTGTCTAGGTATAATTTTTGGGGATTGCGATCCCTCCTTTTCGTCGCGATTCGATGAGTCTACTCGATTGTCCGATAGTCATTAGCATGCCTCCCTCCCTATCTATCTCTCTCTCTCACTCTCCCCTCGCCATCCGAGTCCCATTTAGCTAACGACCCAGCGGACAGTCTCTCTGTTTTGGACCCGAAAAGACAAGGACTACACCCCCAATTGATCGGCGCAACGATTTGAATGGGGCAGCCGTCAATTCAGTTGCGTTTGGCCGGTTTAGGCCCTGGATTAGGCTGAAGCTTAGGCTTGTGCTTAGGCTTGGGCTTAGGTTAGGCTTCGGCTTCGGCTTCGTTTAGGCTACGCTTAGGCTTCGGTTTATAGGCTTAGGCTTAGGCCTAGGCTTAGGCTTTGCTTAGGGCCAGACTTAGGCTTATGTAGGGTAGACCTAGGGCTAGGCTTCTGTTCCGGTTTAGGCTTAGGATCTTTCTTAGGCTTCGGCCTAGATTTAGGCTTTGGCTTAGGATTAGATCGTAGGACGTAATCCTAAGCTTACCTTACGCTTATGCTGAGGCGTAACGTAGGCTTAGGGTCAGGCTTAGCTTATGCTTGGCTTAGGCTTAGGATCCTCCTGAGACTCAAGAATTAGAATCTTTTTAAGGAAGAGGCTTAAGCTTAGGCTTTGGTCACGTACTTGGCCTGTCGGCTCCTTTAAAATTTTAAAGAAAAGATGCTTACCCGTTTCGAAGCCTGAGTCCCGCCCCAAATTGGGCGGTGCCTCGATTTGGTCATTGGGGTTACGGTGGATGGGCGCTCGACCCCCAGCTGCGCATTCTCCACTTTTCCCATTTCCCGATTCGCGAGGAGTTTCCACGAGTTTCCATTTCCATTCAGTCGCTCGATTCCAACTGCATTCCATTTAAAGTACTTCTGAAGGCAAATGAAGCGTGATTTCCATAGATTTTGGCTTCCATGGAGCCTAAAAACCGTGGATCAGGGCTCAACATTGACATTCAGGCGCTCTGGTTTTCGAGCCCACCAGCCGTATAAATAAACCCAAAGCCTACAGCTGCCTTGTTTTCCTGATCGCTATCATTGGGCGCTTGCGGCGACTGCCAGTTTACTTGCGATTCCCCGAAATTCACGCACACGAAAAGCTGCAATTGATCGGGTTTGTTTTCGAAGATATTAGCATATTTTGATATCTAGCTATCTCTCCCTCGCTGTTTCTCTCGCTCCCTGTCTCACTCTGTCTTTGTCTCTCTCCCGCTCTCTCTGTCTCTCTCGCTCTCTCACTCAGTCAGTCCCCTTAGCATCGCCAATTTCCCAATTTTTCTTTGGATCTTTACGAAATGATACTTTGTACGTTCCCAGACACACTGACTCATCGTCTACCAGGTCCCGAATCGTCAAATTTCCGGTCTCCGTCATTTTCCAATTTTCGATGTGCTACGGTGGCCGCCCTGTCCTTATCACTGGTTCCGCAATGGTACCCCCGAACGTCCGCAGACTCCCTGATAGACGGCTAGATAGGAATATATGAAAAAATCGGGGTGACCCCCCCGCCGCTACCGCCCCCCCCCCCGAAAATGTCAGACGCCAGAGCCCGTCTGGAATCATCTAGACAAACCCTAATCTCTGATTTTTTTCGGTTTTGGTGGTTCTAGGGTTACGGTAAGGCCCCAAAGTGCTTTGCTTAAAGATACTGTACCTTTTTAAGCTGGTTTAAGGTGGATTAATTTTGGCTATCGCGTTAATGCCAATGTCTTTTCGATTCGGTACGTATCGGTACGCCAGGCGCTGGGTTTCCCTCACGCTCTCTCTTTCTCACTTTCTCTCTCTCTCTCTCTCTCTCTGTCTGGCTCTCTCGCACTCGCTCGCTCTCGCTCACTCTCTCTGTCTCTCTCTCTTCCACCCGACGAGGGTCTAGGGCACCATTGGCACCTCAGAAGAAGCCAAACAGATTGGCAAGATAGCACGATATATGAAAAGATTGTCGGCGTAGCGTGTGCCTCGAAAAAGGTCATCTGGCCCGGGCCCCCCGCGGCTCCAAACAACCCCCCGCCCCGAGACCCTATACAGACACTATCTATGTCTACGATCTGGTGGGCCGAGGCCAACCGTCCGCCCGGAATATTCATTTCGGTGAACAACGGCACGTCGGCTTTACCCACGAATTTTCGCAACTAGTTTTTGTGCAAAAGTACGATATTTTGGCATCCATCTGCGGACATTTCCCTAAAATTCCTCGCTAGCTTGCCATCAAATTCCGGCGATAATCCCGACAACGAAAATCTCCGCAGCCAAAATGTGATTTTTGCGGTCTGGTTGTCGAGGTTTTGGCTGTCGGGATTATGGCTAGGATTCCGTTACGCGAACTTACGGACAACTCCGGGGTTACGGTAGGCAACGGATCAGCCATCCCAACCTAAAAGTTTTTGCCTGCAAAACCTTATCCCAAAATTATTTTTGGGCCGTTGTTCCGCGTGTTTACCCCGCTCAGCAGGGTTGTTTTTATGCAAATAAGATCTCCGCAGGCGATTATGATTTTTTGTACTTTAACGGAGCGCTCTGGAAATCGAAAAAACACGGCTTTACCTTACGCTTTTTCTACAGTAACCCTGAAACCCGAAAAATGACATTTTTTTTGTACCTTTGCACCCAAATTTCGCAACCGAATCTGCATTACACAACGTCGGCCGGAAAAACACGAAATTCGCGGCATAGGCTATCGATTCCGAGCATTTTCTGACTCACCAAAATTACACAATTGTTTTTCTGGAATTTCCATTTTATGATGATTGAAAATTTATGCAAAATTTATGTAAATTATACAAAACAATTTATGCAAATTGTGCAAATTGCAGGAATGGCCGCCCTATCGCGATCGACGAGGATATTTGCCGTAATCGTCTTTTATGCCGTCTGCTGCCACGGGATCACGTTTTGGCAATGGGTACGGTAGCGGTGGCATTAAACTACGCGGGGAAAAAAACATTAAAATTAAAAGTACAAAGTCGGCGCTACCGTAAAAAATAAAAATTTCCAACTTTTCAGTTCGGCCTCGAGCCCAACCCTAACGCCCCCACACACCCCAGCACGTATCCGGATTTTCAGGAGATTGTGAGTGATTCTTTTGGTTTTGGGTACTGTAGCTCTACCGTAACCTACAGTGGCGTATAGTAGGCATACCGTACCCTCAAAAAAACTTTTTTTCTAGTCAAATGAGGACTTTCTGAAGCGCCCACTACGCGACTTTCCGGACCCGGGCAGGGAGACGATAGGTTGGGTTTTTTGGTATTTGAACGAGAGAGAGAGAGAGAGAGAGAGAGCAAGAGAAAGAGAAAGAGAGAGAGAGAGCGACAGAGGCAAATCTCTATGCAAATTTCCAGATACCAACGTCAACATGGAGCCCGACGACGAGGAGTACAGGATGTGCTACGTTTGCATGGATCGCGCGGGTTTGAGGGTGGGTTTTCCACGTTCCTAAAGGGTCTCTGCTAGCTTGCCGCTGGCTGGAGATTCCAAGAATTTGGCTTGCCAATCCCTTTAATGCCAAAACTTTAGACGGGCCCGTACAACCTGTACCCGTGGGTGTTCACCAATATGCGGATGCCGTTGCCACCGCCTTGTACTGATGCGCATGATACGTAAGTAGTGAGAGAGGGAGGGAGAGGAAGAGAAAGAGAGAGAGAGAGAGCGAGAGAGAGAGAGAGGGAGAGAAAGAGAGAGAGAAAGAGAGGGACTGAGAGAGACGCATAAATATTCTACAATTTCAGCTGGCAAGTGCTGTGCAAAGGGCCCTGCATCGCCGCCACTTTCCGCCAGATGATGATGGACGGAACGCACAAATTCGCAGGTAATTATCAAGGGTTTAAAGGGATTTGGAAGCGTAGTTTCTTGCTTATAATTTTCTTTCTGTGCTTTGCGCATCCCTTGAAAACGAGAATCCTCTGCTGTCCCGCTCCCTTCAAAACCTAGGATTTCCAGGAAACCTCCGCGATTGCGCGGCGAACCTGGGTGTCCGCCCGGAAGTCTTCTCGGAAGACGTCATCGACCGTAAACTCCCCTGGGGCGTCACCACCGTCAATCTCGGCTCGGGATTTCGGGTATCCACTCGATTACGACAATAAAGTTTTGCTATAGGTCCTGGTCATCTATTGCCGCGGGGATTACTGTAATCTCGACACTGCTAAGCCGCTCCGTGAGTAGAAGGGATACGGTAGAAATGGTGTCGTTTAGGAAAGGTCCGGATGCCCTACAATCGGTTGACGGCAGAGCTGCAGCAGAATCAGGTGGGTTTAGGCTTAGCTTAAGATTGTTAGGCTTGGGCTTAGGCTTAGGCTTAGGCTTAGGCTTAGGCTGAGGCTTAGGCTTAGGCTTAGGCTTAGGCTTAGGCTTAGGCTTAGGCTTAGGCTTAGGCTTAGGCTTAGGCTTAGGCTTAGGCTTAGGCTTAGGCTTAGGCTTAGGCTTAGGCTGAGGCTTAGGCTTAGGCTTAGGCTTAGGCTTAGGCTTAAGGCTTAGGCTTAGGCTTAGGCTTAGGCTTAGGCTTAGGCTTAGGCTTAGGCTGAGGCTTAGGCTTAGGCTTAGGCTTAGGCTTAGGCTTAAGCTTAGGCTTAGGCTTAGGCTTAGGTTTCACTTCGGCTTCGAACTAGATTTCCATTTCCAGGTGATCGAGCAGCAAAACGAAACCCAGAACGCCCTGGGGCTGCCCGAGTACCACGAAAACCTTCCCCTCGTCACCATCTCCTCGGCCTCCACCCTAAATGTTGCCCTCGTCATGGTCCTTACCGTACTGCTGTCCCTGCACCTTTAAATTTTCCTCGGATCGCGCAGGACCCCATTCCCGGCTTGGCTACAGATAATATGCTCATTAAAGGAACGGTGAAACATCGAAAGTGAAACTAGCAGAGGCAATTTAGAAATATTTTAACTAGATGATGAATAGAATTTGGTACAGATTACGGTAGTAACAGCAGTAAATAAAAGCCGCAATTTTTTGCGACGACTGCGGAGCTTTGAGAAATTCAGAAAGCTGGAAAATTGACTTCACCGTTCCTTTAATCTCGATTCAGAGCAATGTGTTTGGTTTTTTTAAATGCATAATTCAGAGATCAAACGAGCGAGAGAGAGAGAGTGTGTGTGAGAGAAGGCGAGAGACCGTAAGAGGGAACGATAGAGAGGAGGGAGAGAGAGAATAACTTTTTTCCTTCCCCCATCTGGCCATTTCCTAGGCTATCGTTTTTTTGCAATTCGCATTCATCCCCTTATTTTCTTTCTATCTAGTATTTTTAAGGTGCTAGAAAATTTATTTTCCCATTTTTCCCCATCCATGACTTCCCGGCCCCTTAAAAACCAGGTTTCCAGTTTTGCCGGCCCCCAAATCAGCATAAATGTCATTTTTACAATTTTCACATTTTCCATAGCCGTCGTTTGTATTTTGTCGCCCCCCATTCAATTTTCCACCCCCAAATTCTAATTCCGGGACACTCCGAATCCCAGGTTTTCCGGGAATTTCACTGCATTTTTCATCTGTTCTTTGGCGCTTTATGTACTCACCAATATTTCCCTGTCACTTCCACTCCCCTTTACCATACACATTATACAAAATAGTGTTTGATCTCCAAACGAACCGTCCTTTTTAGGTTATAAAAACCCCGAAAAACCCACAAATTTGCATTAATTACAAAAAATGGTGTTTGTCATTTTTGTGTTGCCTTTTCGTAGAGCGTTGCCTAATAAAGTTTGCATAGAAAAAAACATGGATCGCTACACAGGACGCAATAACTTTCTCTCTCTCGCTCTCTCTCTCGCTCTCTCTCTCGCTCTCGCTCTCTCGCTCATCTCTCTATCTCTATCTATCGCTGTCTCTCAACTCTCTCGTTTTCACAAAAAAATTTTCTAGGCTATGTAGTTTTTGGTGTAGATTAAGAAAATCATAATGAGAACGGCCCAATTTAATGATTTTGAGGTCGAAAGCTACATAAGCCAATCCGCCTAATGATCTACGGTTCCCGACAACCTGTTTTTGATAAAATTGATATTTGATCGGGGAGGAGGGTGTCTTTTCTATTGTGTGCCCTGAGGGGACAACAGCTGAGAAAGAGAGAGAGAGAGAGAGAGAGAGAGAGAGAGAGAGAGAGAGCGCGAGAGAGAAGGAGAGAACGAGAGAGAGAGCGAGAGAGAGAGAGAGAGAGGGCGAGGTCGTCTTCCTCACCCGACCGGGACGCTTTCTCCTCATATCTGCGGCTGCTGAAATTAGGAAAAGCGGGGGACGACATGGCAAATCTTAGAAAACACTCGACAAGGAGGAGAAAAGAGTGAGAAAGAGATAGAGAGGGAGGGAGAAAGGGAGAGGGAGAGAAAGATGCGGATCAACAGCTGAAACTACAAACAATTGAAGATCACCGTCTGTGGCAGGCCGTTCATTTTTGGTCTCTCGCTCTGTCTCTCTCTCTCTCTCTCTCTCTCTCTCTCTCTCATTCAGTGTTTGCTCATCTGCTAGTTGTTTTTGATGCCTTTCTCACTTCAAAATAGTCTGACTCATCTAGGAGGAAGTGAAGTAAAGAAGCACTTAAATTGACAAGACTGAAGTCGTAGATAAACAGAGGTTTCTTTTAGGCTTGGGTTTAGGTTCAGGCTTAGGCACAGTTTTAGGCCTAGGCCTAGGTTGAAGAGTCGGAGCTACTTTTATCTTTCTCACCCTTCGCAGCCCCCTGAAAGTTACGTCCAAAAACGTCAGTGAACACCTCTGACAAATACACAGTCACACGCCCGATCACCCCGCATCGACGAACTTGTTCAATTCGCCGGAAAAATCAACCCGTATCCAGCGGCCAGCTGGTTATCTTGGAGACCCTAAAAAAATTCCCATTCCTGGGCATTTGTTCGCCAAGTTGCAGGCAAGAATCACTGGTACCGTAGGCTGGTGAGATTTTAGCGATGGGCATGGGAAAACCATTCCTAAATGATTCCTGCTAGCCTATCTTGCTTAAAGAAAGGCTGCTAGCCTGCCCTTTCCTAAGTAATCTCTGCTACTTCTCCTCCTCCCAACCAGTCTCTGCTGCCCCCTTCCTTCCAGGTCCCTTTAAAACCACGTTCGCGACCTCAGAATCACCGACCTACTCCTCGAAAGGCTTGTTGTTGTTGCCAACCCGACTCGTCAGAGTCTCAGGGGTCCAAAAAACCTGTCGTAAGCCGTAAGCCGGGGCAGGGATTGACACTTTCGAGGGTTCGCAGAAGTGGAGATCCCAAAACAACCCCGTGTAGAAGATCTATATCTTGAATTTGCATGATTTGATATCTTAGGCTTAGGCTTAGGCTTAGGCTTAGGCTTAGGCTTAGGCTTAGGCTCAGGCTTAGTCCTAGGAGATTCTCCGCCGTGTCTCCTCCCAAATAGCAAACAAACAATACCCATTTTCCTCCATTTTCTACGGCTTAGGGAATATCTGAGGCAGAACAACAAAACAATACACAGCACGGTACATATAATGGGATTACTGCCAGGAAGGAGGCTCTCTAAAGATCGAGCGAGCTGATTTATTCCCGAAAAGTTGATCGTTTCTCTCTCTCGCTCTCTCTCTAACTCCCTCCTTCTCTCTCTCTCTCTCTCTCGCTCTCCCTCTCCACGACATGGTAAATGGGGGAAACGAAAAAAGGTTATTTGAGAGAAAAGAAGAAGCTCTGTTCCGCCATTCCCCTCTCTCGAGCTCCGCCCTGTTTTCCCTCAGGGCACAAGGACACTGTTCGCTCAATTTTCATTTTCTTGCCAGCCACAGGGGGCATGGCATTCCAGATTTCTCGGCTCAGAAATTTGGGGGGTATCGATCCCTAGATTTTAGGCTTAGGTTTGAGCTTGGGCTTAGAATTTTGAAGTCGCGAGGCGACTTTACTTGCTTTTTAAGCTGCTTGCTTTACTTTATTAGCTACAGTCTATTTAAGTGACACCATTAAGTTCCAAAAATTGGATGCCAGTCTCCAAAAACTGACATCAATCCATCAAAGGCTGGCTCTACCGGAACTTGCTGTGCTTCTCATATCATAGGCATGAAGCCGAATTCTTCAATCGCTGCTATCTTTTAGACCCGCAGCCGAAGCCTATGCCTAAGGCTAAGCCTAAGCCCAAGTCTACGCATCAACCTAAGACTAATCCTATGACTAAGCCGAAGCCTAAGCCTAAGTCTAATCGTAAGACTGGCCTGACATACCCAAACCTAAGCCGAAACATATGCTTATGCCAAAGTCAAAGCCTAACACTAAGCCAAAGTGTAAGCTAGCCTAAAGCCTGGGACCTACGCAAAAACCTAAGCTTAAGTCTAAGCCCAACCTGAGCCGCTGCCAAACCCGAATTTCCCGATCTAGCCAGACCTGCGACAGGCTCAAGCACCCTTGCACCCAGCTGATCCCGCGTTTCCGGCGGAAATTTCGCATACCGCTTCGTGAGCCCCACTTCGCAAAAACCCTTAAACCCCTTGATCCTGAATTTCTATCGCTTTGAGGAATTTTCTAGGGTTGTTTGGCAATGGTGACCGTCAAGTGGGGCGCGGTGTGACCACCGGGATCCTATTATTTCGTCGTTTGTCTGTCAGTCTGTCTGTTTGTGTCTCTGTCTGTAAGTCTATCTTTCATTTCCGGAAAAATTCTCCTCAAGGGTTTCTGCACGCTTGCTTTAGTGGCGCTTCAGTGATCCAACTACAGTTTATCCCAGGCTTAGGCTTAGGCTTAGGCTTAGGCTTAGGCCTAGGCTTAGGCTTAGGCTTAGGCTTAGGCTTAGGCTTAGGCTTAGGCTTAGGTTTAGGCTTAGGCTTAGGTTTAGGCTTAGGTTGGCTTAGGTTTGCTTAGGCTTAGGCTTAGGCTTCGGCTTGGGCTTAGGCTTGGGCTTAGGCTCGGGCTCTCGTCTCTCGCCATCGTCGCCAGCCTGCCATCCTCCTCGTCATTCGAGCGCTGACCGTTCGTATTTCTGTGTCAATTTCTCTAAAATTTCTTTCTCTCCCTCTCTCTCTCTCTCTCTCCCACTCTCTCTCTCACTCGCTCTCTTTCCTGCCATTGAAGGACAGGGCATTCTCAAGTGTGGCTGCTTTGGACGACGAGGTCTGGCGCATCCCCGAAATATCCAGTTGTATTTGAGGTAGCGGCAGGGAGTGACCCGGTTGATATTTCGAGGAGCACCACTCCCTCTCTCTCGCTCTCTTTCTGCCTTTCGCTCTATCGTCTACTTGAAGCATCCCGTGCCCTGTTCCTCCTGACAATCCGCCCCTTTCGAAAGATCCACCCTATAAAGTGACCCCCGCTGTCGTGAATGGCAGGTATTTTGAGCAACAGCAACACTGACAGGCCAGTTTTCCGCAAGGATCTATGCTAGCCTGTCTTTTCTTAACAAATCCCTGCTGTCCGCGCTTTTCCTAAAGCATATCTGCTAGCCTGCCCTTTCCTGAAGAATCTCAGCCAGACCGCCCTTTCCTAAAGAATCTCTGCTAGCCTGCCCTTTCCTAAAGAATCTCTGCTAGCTGGCCCAGCAATCTTCATTTCCAGTTTTTCTGTATCATTTCACATAAAATATTTCGATTTTCACGTCTTCGTTTGATTTGTTGGACGGGAGAGTGAGGTAGAGAGAGCCAGAGCGAGAGAGAGAGAGAGAGAGAGAGAGAGAGAGAACTTTACAAATGCCAAATTTTAGCCTCCCCACCTCAGGCTCGCCCTCAGGGTTCCGCTCGGCTCCTCTGCACACAGACACGAGAAAGGCGCGAGAAAAGCGAGCCACTCCGTGATACACCTGCGAACAGTCAGCCACAGCCAACCGCAAGGGGTCAACCCCGCCATTGTTTTGACCCCTAAAAGGAGCACCAGCAGACGAGTCTACAGTACCGCTTCGGAGGTCGATGCGGGACCCAGCGAAAGGGCATCATGAGGGCCAGGATACGTTATTTATTCGAGGTATATTTTTCATTTTTTTCCTGAGAATTGCTTACTTTTTGCATGGCAAGGCCAACTAGCAAAGATTTTTAGGGAATTCTATATACAAAAAACAAACATTTTCAGGAACCCAATGGTTCTTCGCGTGGGTGGGAGACTCGATTTGCAACCGGCCATGGACCTATATTTTGGTAGTTTTTTTCAGGAGTCTTTTGATTTTAGCATTTTTAGGTGAGCTCACTAATAGCACTCGGCCTCTCCCTGGTCATCCCGTTCCGGGAAATGGAAAACAACATTTCGGATTTTACGCCTTATGGAGCGAGGAGCCGGCAGGAGTTGAAGGTAAGTATGTTTTTAGGCTACGGCTTACGCTTCGGCTTAGGCTTAGGTTTAGGATTAGGCTCAGGCTAGGATTAAGCTCTTAGGCTTAGGCCCAGGCTTGAGCTTGGGCGTAGGCTTGGGCGTAGGCTTAGGCTTAGGCTTAGGCTTAGGCAACAGCTTACCTTATCTATCGTATATCGACATTTTTCCATTTTTCCTTCCTGTCACACCCCCTTTAACCTGGCGTAATCGATTCTGAAGCCCCGGGACCGTGTAATTTGTTGTATTCCGTGTCTTGTTGCTCATCGCAGCCCCCCGGGAGTAGAACTGGTCCAATTGACGGGTAAATTTGTCCCCCCCCCCCCTGGCATCAAGACCAGTCAGGCAGTCAGGAGGGTTTTGCCGAATGTTTTCAGGGGATTAGAGTTACTGGGGCTGGCTAGCAGAGATTCTTGGGGAATTCAAGGAGGAAAGCAAGCTAGGAAAAACCCTTTATCGAAAAAATTGTCCATTCTTTCAGGTCTACGAAAGCTTCTTCTCTGATCGCGGGGAGCCAAAGGTTGTTTACGCCTTCATCCGGCCGAAGAATGGGGATAATCTGCTTAGCGTGGCTGCCCTCAACGAGACTGTACAGGTACGGTAATTGGGGAATGCTGAGAAAAGCGAGAGGGAGATAGAGCGAGAGGGAGAGAATGAGAGAGAGATAGAGAGAGAGCAAGAGCTAGAGAGAGTACCTTTTTCAGACCAAAGCTACTTGAAAGATTTTACACCTCAATTCCGTCCGCTTTACTATCAATTTCCGGGTTTCCTGCACGGTATCTGGATTGCTTGTTTAGCAGACAGCGAGAGAAAGAGAGAGAGAGAGAGAGAGAGAGAGAGAGAGAGAGAGAGCCAGAGAGAAATGGTGTGAAGGTCAAGGGGTCTTTTTTATGCTCTTCCCCCCCGAAACCGTGTCGTCATAACATTTTTCCGGGGAAAAGAAACGGGTCACCCCAACCGGATCGGGCGGTCAGGGCAGGAAAAACGGAGGAAGAAGAGAAATATTGAGGTTTTTTTTTGCAAAAAAATCTAATCCTGGCTGAAGCAACCGGAAAACCGGACCAAAATCAAAATTCGCTGGACTGCTAGCTGTCATGCTCCCTTTAAAGCCGAAAAAGCCACATGTCAGGTGCTGGACAAAATCAACGCCGAGATCCGACTCGATACCCCCAACGGCCCGAAGGCGTTCCAGGACTTTTGCCGTGGTTTTTGCCTCGTCAACGAGCCCGTCAGGAATTTTGCGGTAAGAGAAAGAACGAGAGCAAGAGAGAAAGAGCGAGAGAAAGAGAGAGAGAGAGAGAGCGAAAGTATCGAAATTTTTTAGAAAGGGCTGTTCTTAAATAATGGTTCAACCGGCGGATCCCCGCACGTCGACCTCGGCTACCCGGTCACTACCGTACTCGGCCGGAAGCTCTACATGGATCCGAACTTCTTTGGGGTTAAGGTGGGTGAGAGAGCGTCAGCGAGAGAGAAAGACGGAAAGAGAAGGAGAGAGATAAAAACCTTTCAGATCGCGGTTCCTGGAGAAAAGAAGAATTCAGAGCAGCTGATGTCAGTCGCCGAGGCTGTGCAGGTGATCAATGAAGAGGTAAGCAAAATTTTCAAGGATATCTGACGGCCCGCGTTCGCTAAAAAATCCCTGCTAGCTCCCTATTTTTAATGCTCCCCGATTCAGGACCAACTGCCCAACAACCTCCGCCAGCTCAGCCTGATCGTCCTCCATTTTCGAGCGGAGATTGGGAAGGAGATCGACCCAGAAGCCCTGAAGCGCTACGAAAGGGCGATCGTCGAGTATTCGCATAGGTTGGAAAATCTCTACGACGTTAGCCTAAGCTTAAGCCTAAAGTTAAACCGAAGCCTAAGCCTAAGCCTAAGCCTGAAGTTAAACCTAAGCCTAAGCCTAAAGTTAAACCTAAGCCTAAGCCTAAGCCTAAGCCTAAGCCTAAGCCTAAGCCTAAGCCTAAGCCTAAGCCTAAAGTTAAACCTAAGCCTAAGCCTAAGCCTAAGCCTAAGCCTAAGCCTAAGCCTAAGCCTAAGCCTAAGCCTAAGCCTAAGCCTAAGCCTAAGCCTAAGCCTAAAGTTAAATCTAAGCCTAAGCCTAAAGTTAAACCTAAGTCTAAGCCTAAGCCTAAGCCTAACCCAACTTCTTTTAGCACCGAATACTCTGCAATCAGCGTAAAAGTGCTGACCGACAACTTCATCACCTCCGAGATCGTCAGGGCCGGCCTCAGCTTGCTGCCGTTTTTGGGTAAGCTAGCAGGTTTCTTTAGGGGATTCGGGTAGTTTGAAAAAGTGTGCAATCTAGCAGAGATTCTTGAGGGCCAGGTGCTTAGTCAAAAATATCGTTCAGGCGTCGGCTTCACCATCATGGTCATCTTCACCTCCATCACATTCTTCTTTTCGGCCAGGGCCCTAAATCAGTGGCACATTTACAAGGTTGGTTTAGGCTCAGACTTGGGCTTAGGCCTAGGCTTTGTTTAGAGCTTCCACATCTCCAAATTCAGATCCCACTGGCCGTGATCGCGTGCGTGATGCCATTCATGGCGTGCGGCTCGACGATGGGCGCCATGTTTTTGCTTGGCTTTCGGTTAGTGTCTTGGTCCCTTGAAATTCCAAGCTGCTGACGTCGTTTTTAGCGTTTTTGCGCCATTTTAGACGCAAGCCAGGCATGCTCAACTTTAGCCAAAAACCGCAAAAACCATTTAAATTGGTGTTTCAGGTTCGGCTCGATCTTGTGCGTGACCCCGTTCCTCGTCCTGGCCATCAGCGTTGATGACGCGTTTCTGATGGTCAACTCCTGGCAGCGGATTTGTCATAAGCGGAGGTATTAAAATTATTTCTTGCCTTCAATGGTCTTTTAGGAAGCTAAATCCGGACTCGGAGGACCCGGAAGCGGATTTGAGGGCAAGGCTGAAGGAGATGCTGGTAAGCCTCATCGCTTTGAGAGAGCGAGAGAGTAAGAGAGTGAGAGAAAGAGAAAGAGAGGCAACAAATGAGAAGCAATGTTTGCAATTCCAGATCGAGACGGCCCCCTCGGTGACGATCACCTCCCTGACGAACATGCTGGCATTCGGAATTGGCGCCTTCACGCCGACCCCTGAAATTCAGCTATTCTCCGTCGGGAATGCGGTGGCGGTTACGGTGGACTGGGTTTTCCAGGTGGGACCTTGCCGACAAACGGGACTCCTGGAGAATCTCTGCTAGCTTGCCTGGCGAAGAATCTTTAGGAAAGGGGCGGGCTAGCAAAGAGACTTTAGGAAATCGGCAGGCTAGCAGAGATTCTTTAGGAAAGGGTAGGCAAGCAGAGGTTCCTTGGGAAGAGTCAAAACAACCCAATTTTCTAGCTAACAATCATTACTGCCCTAATGGTCATCATTGGCCGCTGGGAGATCCGGGATGAAAGGCGCAGGGCCAAGGAGATCGAGCAGGACTTTGAGAAACGGAGACAATACTCGGAGAACTCGTTGGACTCCTCGAAGTTCACTGGAACCAAGAAGTAAGGATTCTCTCTCGCTCTCTCTCTCTCACGCTAAACGCTTTCTCTTCCAGAATGATCCACATCTACTGCAAAGTTCTGACCGACAAGTGCACCATTGTGTCGTTGCTCGTCCTCCTCGCCGCGTATTGGTACATCTCCATCACCGGGACGCTGAACATCAAGGCCGAGCTGGACCCGCAGAAGCTTTTCTTGAAGTCAAGTGACATGCAAGAGGTGGGCTAGAATTTCTTAAGGATTCTCTGCTAGCCTGGCCTTTCCTAAAGAATCTCTGCTAACCTGCTCTTTCCAGATCTTTGACGGTCGACGCCAGTACATCGCGCCAAATTACGCGACCTGCTGGGTGTTGGTGAACAACCCGGGGAATATACGGTAGGATTAATGTAATTTTATTGATTCCTATCTTTATTTTAGCAATTTCGAAGATCGACAACGCTTGAATCGGCTCGTCGAGGAGTTCGAAGGTCTGCCCCCGGCTCTAGGCTCCTATTCTACAAAATTTTTCTTGCGGTAGGTTAGGAAAAGTCTTTATTTTTTCTATCTCTCTGTCTCTCCCGCTCTCTCGCTCTTTTTTACCTTCTTAAATACCTTGTAAAATCGTGCATTTTTCAGAGACTACGAGGAGTTCCTCCAGCAAAGCGCCGATCTGCCCGAGGATATGGAAGAGGAGTCGGGGTACTGTTTTTTCACGTTTTTGGATTGTACTATTTTCAGGCCAATCCAACCGGCAGAAGACGAGCTCGGAAAATTTTTGACGTGGCCCGAGTTCGCTTTCTGGAATGGCTTCTTGCAGACAAAGAACACCAGCGAGGGGTAGGATGCTCTCTCTATCTCCCTCTCTCTCTCTCTCTCTCTCTCTCTCTCTCTCTCTCTCTCTCTCTCAATCGTCCCTTTAGCTCAACAACCCTACTCAGGTTGACCGTCGAGCGCTTCTTCTTCATCACAGCCTTCCACGGCCCCGAGTTGGTCGACTGGTCGGCGAGGGCGACCCTGTTGAACATGTGGCGGGAGGTGGCGGATCGGGTAAGCTAGAAGAGATTCTTTAACAAAAGCAGGCTAAGAGCGTCTATAGGAAAAGCTAGGCTAGCAGCGATCATTTAGGAAAGGCGGGTTAGCAGAGATTCTTTAGGAATCCTTCCATCAAAATTGTTTCTTTTAGCATCCTCACCTGAACATCACCGTTTTCGAGGACGATGCCCGATTTTTGGACCTGATCGAGACTTTGGTAAGCTTTATTGAATGTTTGAGATCTTGACGCTCCAAATAAGCGCGTATAAAAATGCGAGAACTACTGTAGATTGCTAAGCACACTTTTTAGGTGCCAACGACTTGGCAGTCCGCCCTCCTCACCCTCGGCTGCATGTTCTGCGTGACCATGTTGTTCATCTCCGATCCGCCCACGCTTTTCGTGGCCACCTCGGCGATTTTGTCGACGTGTGTCGGTACGTTTTCAGTGTCCCCGCCCCTTTAAAAGGGCTTGCAATTGTGAGAACCGACCATTTCGCCCGACTAGGTTTAGACAAGCTATGTATGCGCCAAGCAAATGCAGGCTTTTCGCGCTTCCAGAGCGTTGTTAAACGTCTTTTGGCGTAGTGCGGGGTTGTCTACGCCCGGTTGTTTGCAGTGGTCACGTATTGGCCTTCCTACTCTCTTTAAAGAGACAGTGACAGCTATACTCTCCCCTAAAATCTCGCTTCCAGGTGTCTTCGGTCTCGTCTCGTGGTGGGGAGCCGATCTGGACCCGATCCTGATGTCGGCAACAGTGATGTCGATCGGCTTCTCAGTGGATATTCCGGCCCATATCAGCTATCACTATTTCCAGACTGGTATGGCCGGATTATGTAGCCTGTAGCTTGTTGGGTTCAGGAAAGCAAGGGCTGACTGTGGCACAACGATTGGAACACACATTATCTGCGGTTGGGCTGCCGATTTTGCAGGTGAGAACGAGGGAGAGGGGGAAAGCGAGAGAGAGAGAGAGAGAGAGAGAGAGAGAGAGAGAGAGAGAGCAATCGCTAGATACGAAATTTCTAACTCTTTCAGGCGTCCATCTCGACAATCCTCTGCGTGCTCAGCCTATTTCTCGTCGATTTGCACATGTCACAGGTATATTTTTGAAGTTTTTTGCCGGAATTCGAGGTGGTTTTTAGTGCAATTTCGAAACATTGTATAGCTCAGCCGATGGAGCAAAAAATTCTGGGGAAACGCACCGATTAAAAACCACAAAATCATTACGTTGCTTGACAAAATCAGCCTCGAATGGCCGGATTCCGGTTGTAAGCCATTTTATCCATTTTTGACGGCTACCGTAGTCATGTCGCATTTTTTAGAACTCAAAATCGGTTAAGAATTTTTAGCGCTTTCGAACGAGCTCTCTATCGCTCTAAAAATCAACGTAGATCTGTAATCCACCGTCTCCAAAACTAGATTTTTACCATTCCGACCGGGGCGCTAGAACTCCTTGAAAATCCCGGCTTCCAGGTGTTCGCCAAGACGATGCTGCTCGTCGTGCTGATCGGGGCCCTTCACGGCCTGATCGTGATGCCCGCCCTGTTCAGCTTGACCTCGTGGGTCCCACGACGAAGCAAGAAAATCGTGCCCGCCTCCTCGTCGTCGTCCCTCGAGAATCAGCCCCATATTCTGACGATTACCGCGCATTAATAGACACCTTTATATCAAAAATTGCTGTTACTTTTATGCACTTGTTACAGATTTCTAGGCCCTTTTTTATAGTAACGAATCTTAGACGTCTTTTTCATTTTAAAGGCAATTGGAAGGCAACTTCCATAACTCGCCTGTCACTATGCCGTTAAAATCGGCTTTTTTTTAATATGATCCAGCTTTTCAGTTTTTGAAGGGTCTCGAAAGCTAGCCTATCACCGTCCCTTTAAAAACCTCTTTCGTTACCGTAACCCCGTTTTTCGTATAACTGTTTCCAAGCTCCAAAAAGCATTCTAGGACCCGAAAAATGAGGTGTGACTGTCCCTTTAAAGCTAAAATTGATTATTTGTGGAGACCGTAACCCTCAATTCCTACCGTATGCCCTTGCAGCTGTTACCAAAATTCTCGAATTTCCGGTGTTTTTTTTCAGAATTCACCAATTTTCGCTTTTTTCCTAATCTCGTTCGACTACGGGTACAAAATAAAATATTCACTTGTGTATGTTGTAATATAAATGTATAAATATGTAAAAATTGATTTTGTAAAAGTTTTTAAAAAACTCAACTACAGTAAACAATTTATGCATACGCGGGAACACTATGTACACAGTTGGCCACGAGGGCGTCACTACAAGAAAAAACACGCACAAAAATGATCCGGGGCGAAACGGAAAGTCGCGGAAAAGCGGAAAGTTTCGGAACCGGCTACCGTATCACAGTCACGGGTTTGGGTTTTGGGGGAGGGGAGGGCGAACAGTGAGAGGTTATTGGGGAGTGTGCTCTAGACGATACAAGTGGATAGGAGCGAATCGGAATATATAGGGGAATTGTCAGAAAACAAGCTTAGGCTTAGGGCGAGCTTCAGAAACAGGTTAAGCCTAAGCCTCCGCCTAAGCCTAATCCCAAACCCAAGCCTAAGCCTAAGCCCAAGCCTAAGCCTAAACATTGCCAGGGCTACGGTAGGAGGGGATTACGGTATGTATTTATCTTTTTTTTACTGTCGCTGCGCTTCGGCGACGAGCTGCAGAATTCGGATGAACAGGTTGATGACGTCCATGTAGAGCGTGATGCACGCGAGGATGTAGTCCTCGGCATTCATGTGGTTCATGATCAGGTCGAGGTCGATCATCAAGAACAGGCAGAACAGCGCCGCCCCGCCGACGTTGACGAAGAAGTTGAAGGCGGGCGAGTGGAAGAAGATCTGGAAAAACCGATTACATATTCCGAACCAGCGCGAAAAATTGCTCCAGATCGCTATCTTTTACTTCGAAACTGTGCCTTGTAAGCTACACCCCGACCTGGAGCTGTTCAGTAACGAAACATCCGTAAACCCCTTCAAATTCGCACCTGGAAGACGCTGGCCATCAGCAAAATACCGAGGAACGAGTAGGCGATGGCGTAGTGCTTGACAAAGTCCTTCTTCGACTGCAGCGTGTAGACGAACAACGAGAAGACGATTACTGTAGAAACAACACGGTAAATTTTTAGAGCTCCTGCCTACCTGTCGTCAGCAGCGCCGCTTCAAGGATGACGTCGACCTCGAAGAGGGACACTAAAAATTGGATTTAAAACGGAGTTGCGACGTTAGATGGGCAACGTCACCAACAGGTTCAACCGGGGGCTTGAAAAAAAAAGGCGCTTCGACTCACCGAGTGTCCCCAGCGTCAACGCCTGCACGACGGTGAACGAGGCGAGGAGGATGTAGTTTGTGGGGACGTTTCGGGCGTGGATGTGCATGGCGATGATCAGGCCGATCGAGCCGAACAGGGTCATCAGCAGCACCCAGCCGCTGGAAAAATGTGGGTAAGGCCGCGCAAATTATATGTGGTAGTTTGCCTTTAAAATGGAAAAACCTCGGCAAAATGAGCGTCCTAAAGCATCGTTAAATGGTTTTTACTTTGCGCTGCGAGAAAAACGTGCTGATTTTGACGCAGAACAGCCACAAAACTTTTTTGTTTTTCGCTTAACACGTCAAAAAAGCCTTTTTTATAGGGCTAGCCCTTCCCAAATAATCACCGCTAGTTTGCCCCAGAAATTTACCAAAAACCCTACTTATTCTGCACGAATCCCTTGACTCCGGGCGTCATGTAGATGGCGGCGCAGATGGCGGTGGTGAGCACGATTTGGAAGGAAAGGATGCCGAACACCTTGCGCAGGAATGCTAAGGTTTTTTGGACGATAAAAATTGTATTTCCAGCACTCACCCATGCGAATATGGACGTGGGCCGAGTTGACGCTGCCCTCCTTCGCGTCGGGGTTCATCCCCTCGATGTCCTTGGGCCAGAAGTGGGGACGCTGGGCTTGGGTCGGTTGGGCTGTGCGGGTGTTCCCGGCCTGAAAATGGGGGTTTTGGGGCGATTTTCGTCAAAAACTTTTTCAAAATAGTTGCTAAAAGCCCAGAAACTTTTCAAAACTTCATTGAACGCGTTGCGGACGGGTTGCGGCTAGGAAAAGCGCTTACCCAACGCGACGCACGCTTCTAACATGCTTTTAAAGTAGCAGAACTTATCTTGAAAGCCAGTTCTTTTGTAAACTAAGATATCCTGGTCACGCTTTGCTTTTTAAAAGTTTTTACTTTTTAAAAAACCTTTTAAAATTCCTAAAACTGTTCAACTAAATCTTCATCTAAACCTCACGTCTCCATAGTGAGAAAAACCGTTAATTTGAAATTTTTACCGTTTAGAAAACCTTTTAAACCTTGAATCTATACTTTTAAAACCCACATCTTCATAGTCGGGCAATAGCGCCTCCTCATCATCGCGGGGCATCCGAATCGACGCCATTTTCAGGTGAAAATACCCTGGAAAAAAACTGGTAAACTCAATTTCTTGGCAACACGAAAAGAATCAGAATTCAAAGTGTAAATCGATAAGCGGCGCTGCTAAACTTTTGACCGCTCATTTCATGTCTTCGGCAAATAGCCACCTGCGCACCCGGACTCGATTGAGGGGTGTCGAAACAGCGGCGCGGTTCCGCTCTCCGCGACGTCAACCCTTCTCTTTGGTTCTTTTGCCATCCATGCCCCCGGTCCCACCACGATCGATTGCCCACGGTCTGGACACCTATTTTCCTCTCGTCGCTGCTGTGTTCGCTCGCGTGTCACCGTTTCCCCTCTATTGAAAATCGCTACGAAATCGGGTCAGCGCGAGAAGAAGCCACCCAGTGGAGACTTGGGATACTATTTTTTTTTTGGGATATGAAACAATGTCCTATTTCTGCGTTCGCTTTTTAAGACGCTCCACACAAAAATTTTGTCGATCTAGAAATCAACATTCCCTGGTGAATTCAAGCAAACAACCTATTCCCTCAAGCAAGGGGAATAAGTTCTTAATCATTCAATGGCAAAACTGAGATACCTTACTAGCTTATCTCTTTATCTTGCTACTCATTTCAAAATCTATCGGTTGAAAAACAAACCTACATGCCCTGTTGAAGCAACATGTATTATCGTTTCCCTCAAGAAAAGACGTAAAAATTTTTATTTCAATTACAAATACGCGATACGCTATGTTTTTACTTTATTTATTTTTCATCAAAAGTTGTAAAACTGCAGAACTTTCGCACCACCTGTACGCCAACTTTTGCTTTACGGATTCCGGAATTGTAATCATTCGGAAACCCCTTATTTTTAAACTTGCAACTTCAATGTGTTAAACCTGACTTTTTCATTTTAAAAGTTTTGTATACAAGAATTGTACCGCAATTCAGCGAAGCGCTGAACTAAACGCACTTCTCGACTCTTCAAATATGGCTCCACGACGAAAAAAGGTAGCCAATGTATTTAATTTTTCGGGTTTTGGATTTGATTCGACAATGTAAGCAATAGATTATCTCATCGTTCTAGAATGAAGAAGAACAACAAAACGCCACCCTGGACAAGGAGGTGGAGGCGATCGCGAAGTACGTCCGCTTCAACACGCCCTGCGACACGTCGCGTTTCGAGGGGAATGATGTCAGCTATTTTCAAGGTAGAAAAATGTCTTGTTGCTCCTTTTGATTTTGCAAAAACGATCTGCTACGCTTTTATCTAAACGAAACAAGATTGAAAGAAGTCTTTTCTAGGCTCGAAAGCCGTCGACACGCTCCTCAACTCGAAGTATGGCCTGAAAGCTAAAGGCGAGCCGCGGTTTCCGGACAGAAAGGCTTGTGTCAGGTTTGTTTTTGGAAACCGTTAGTGATTCCCGTTTTTTAGCTTTATGGTTGAGCTCTACGTGAATCGGCTTTTTTTCCGCGTACGCAAGCTCGTGAAAAAGGACAAGAAAGACGAGAAGGACAAGAAGAAGGGTAATGAGAGCGACGCCAAGCAGAGCCCCCGGCCCGAGGCGAATAAGAAGAAGGGGAAGAAGGTTTCATTTATTTTGTAAAAATTAAAAACGAATTTTTAAGGGCTCCGATGACGGCAACGAGAGCGTCAACGACACTGCTGCCGAGGAAGACGACAAGAAGAAGGACAGCGACGATAAGAAGAAAAAGAAGGTGAAGCTGGCGGTGCACGAGGTCCAGGTTAGTGCAAGCGCATTAAATTTAGTTTTTCTTTGAAATTAGAGCTTCCACGATGCGAACGACGTGTACGTTTGGGTGTACGACCCGACGCCGTGGCACAAGAAGGTCATCGGGCTGATGATGGGTGAGTTGCTCTTTACAGAATTCTAGAAGTTGTTTTTCAGTGCTCGGCACGATCGTCGGTTGCTTGTTCCCGCTGTGGCCAATATGGCTGCGACAGGGCGTCTACTACGTGTCACTCACCGGCATCGGGGCGTTCGGCGCCATTGTAATCATTGCGATTGGTAAGTTTTAGTCTCCAAAGCGGTGTTTTCATTATTTTATGAAGATTTTATATCTAAAAATTTGCTAAGCCTATCCCCACTTTTTCAGTACGTACGGTCCTCTTCGGCATTATCTGGCTCGCCTCTATGGGCAAACACCATCTATGGGTGCTACCGAACTTGACCGAGGTAGATTTTTATCGAATTTTTGTAAAATTCCATCTAGGACTGCGGCTTCTTCGAATCGTTCAAGCCCTTCTACACGTACGAGTACCGCCCAGTGGGCAAGGCGCCGAAGAAGGACAAAAAGAAGAAGGATAAGGATTCCGGTTAGTGAATTCGGAAGCTTTTTTTGAATCAGCATTTAGACGCTGAACAAGAAGATGAGAAGGCCGGTTCGGACGACGAGGCGGAAGCGGAAGCGCGGAAAGTGGAAGAAGAACGGGAAGAGGATGAGGAAGCCGGAGACGGCGAAAACCAGAATGAAGAGGATTTGGACGACGAGGAGGAAGATGAGGACCAGGTTTGTGTTTGATCGGAAGGCTTTGAACTTCCGGTTTTCAGAGCAGCAGCGGCACGAGCGTCGAAGAGGTCCAGGCTGCTGGTGGAGATGTACAAACGGTGCCAAAGGTTGTTTTTCTCGATATGTGTTTTTTGGCTTCTTCATTTCGAATTACAGCTTTAAAACTGTTTGTTTTTCAGGTGCGACGCCGCGCGCGTAAGGACGACGACTTCGTGGTGGTCGACAAATAAGCCTCGCAAATATCTATACACTATCCCTTTCAGTATTTCATCCAAACCCAGAAAAAACAGTTGTGATTCCCCCAAAAACCTATGTGATCCACCTACACCAGTCCAAAAAGAGATCGTCCATTCTAATGTGTTTTTGCGTGCGGGATTTCGGTGTCGCCGACCGTTTCCCGCCCCGGAGCTAGTCCATTTTAGAAAATACCCGGCCCCCAGTGTCTGTTCATAGTATAAACGTGGCCCCCGCGACGGCCGATAAACCAAAAATGAATTTTTGATGATGCGCTAGAATTTCCTGTAGAAGCGCGGGATCGTACTGGGTGCAAACTTGTGCTTTTTGTCATCTCTTGCTAGTGCTCTTTGTGTCATTGATAATTTCCGGGCGTTTACTGCCCGTGTGTTTTTCTTGGTGAAAACTATCTATCCCCCGGCATTTCCATTTCATTTCCCCCCGGCGAGCTCGACCGTTTTGCGGAAGTTGGTGTCTGTAATAAAGGAATTTTTCGGAAGTTGGCGTCAGGGGCGTTTGAGGAGTAAGGCAGGCTAGCCGAGGTTATTTGTGAAGATGGACAGCGGAACAGGGGTGTTATTTCGATTGACGTGCACTGAATAAATTTTTAGAGCGCTTGGAGATCTCGAAGCGTTTTTTTTTGGGAACAGCCTTGCATGAAAGAGAGGGGTAGACTAGCAGAGGTCATTTTAAGTTTTTTGAAAGTGACGGGTAGCAGAGGCGATTTCGGATCTTTTTCTGCAGAACCAAATGTCGATTTAGCCTTTTATTTTTTTAAGCGAGGGGTGAGCCAGCAGAGATTATTTGGGTTTTCTCTGAGCTCGTATCTATGGTTCTCTTTTTTGAGCGTTTTTTGCTTTCCGGGGAGCTAACAGAGACTTTTTAGCAACTTTTGCACTTTTCAAACAATTTTAACCCGATTTTTAGACGACCCCCATCCTGCCAAATCTTCATCCCGTAATCCCTTTCAAAGCCCAAAGGGCCCGAACTCGTCTCGCCCAACCATTATTTGCGTGTGTGACATAAATCGACAGGCCGCGCGGCGACACCTGGTCATCGCTACCCTCGAGGCTTTGCCCTGGGCAAGGCGCACATCGTGTGTGCCCTCGGGGCAGATCGGGACCTCGGGTCAAGAAGTGGCCCGGGGCCACAGCGAGCGCGGACGGCGCTGGCAGATGGCCAACCCGCCAAAATAACCGGGGCATCCATAATCGGAGCCGGGTCTCCTCGTTGCCCGGAGGGTACACACAAAAACGGCAGACGGCCCCGGGCGCGCGGGACAGTGTTATAGCTAATGACAATGGGGCTACCGCACACCGGGACATTTGAGGAGGAGGGTAGAGTCAATTCGAGAATGCCGGCAGCCATAATGTCCACAGGGCAAAATCCCGACTGGTCAAAATCCCGACAGGCCAAAATACCGACAGCCATAATCCCGACAGCCAGAAACCCGACATTTTACAGCCATTTATGCGTAAAACGGCCGGCGAAAAAAATGTCGGGATTTTTTCTGTTGGGATTTTGGCCTGTCGGGATTTTGGCGTTGCCACAGTCGATACGGCGACCTGTAATGCAAGAAAAGAATGAATTCATCCTAAAAAGTCTAATAATCGACATTGTGTGGTTTTTAGCACTTTTTCGGTGATGTGATTCTGCTTTTCGGAAGTTTGGTCTTTTTTTATATCGTAAAGCGGATGCATCTTCCTAAAGAAATTCCTTTAGCGTGCCCTCCAGGGCTTTCAGGAGAAATTTAACGCTGAAAAACGTTCTTTCGCTCGGTTTCACCATTCCGAAGTGATCTCTGCTAGCCAGCCCTTCTCCCCTGGTGCTCAATGGCCCCATCATAGAGCTCGGCGAGGCTTCCCCTCGCTGTTTTCAGCCCCCCTTGGTGGCGTTGCTCACGTGTCGGGTGTCGGCGAAACGTCCACAGGGCCGTGTGCGTGGGGTGGATGGGGGCGAAGGCCTTCTCCGGCGCCGCCGTCTACTCCAACACGCACACCCTCGCCGTCTCTGACCTCTCTGTAAAAACCCCGCTCTCTCGCCTAGTATTTCAGCCCTGGTCACCCGGCTTTTTGATGGTCCCTAAAAAGGGCCAGCCATAGTATTGCCCTTCCTTGCATTTTCTGTAAACTTCCTCCATATCGGCGTGTCTCTTGTAGATCTCTGCGCTCTCTCGACTTATTGCATTCTCTCGCGCTCTCTGCTCTCTCTCACTTCTCCGCGATCTCTCGCCCGAGCAAATCGGTCATGGCTGCCCTTATCTAATCCCTCGGCCTTTCCGGTGTTCTCTAGCTTTTCTCTGGGGTCTCCGGGGTCTTTTTACTCCCTCGCTTGTCCAGGACAGGCCAGCGCGGTCACTCTGGGGTCTCTCGATTTCGTGTAGTGCCTAGGTGTTCTCGCGTAGCTCCTTGAATTGCGTTATCTCTCCACATGTTTGGGATGACTTGGGGGATGGGGATGTTGTTTGCGTCTCTTGAGGAAAGCGGCACTCTCTCTCTCTCGCCTGGTCGTCCGGTTGTCTCGTATCTCTGCGACTCTAAAGACATACGCTCTCTCGTCTCCTTTTCCTCCTTTCCTCTCTGTACTCTGCGTCTCCTCTATCTTCACGGTCTCTCGCTTCTCTGCGTCTCTAGAACCAGACGCTCTCTCGTCCTCTTTTTGCCCTTTCCCCTTCGTTCTCTGCGTTTCTTGTCACTCCACGGTCTCTCGCTTTTCTGCGTCTCTCTCATCCTCTGCCTCCCTCGCCATCTGCGCCTCCGCTATTTCTCCCAACGATTTACCAATGGACAGGCTTCCCCCAAGGATCTCCAAACGTCTCTGCGACCTCATAGACAACCCCGCTCTCTCTGCGTCTCTGCCCCTCCTCGAATTCCCTGCTCTCTCGTCCCCGTCCCGATCGTTCGTGGTGGACGGGGTGGTGGCGAGGGAGGCAGACCGATCGACCCGAAGCAGCAGCACAACCCCCTCCTCAGGCCACAGCATCACCACCCAGACCCCCCGAGGGCTGACGCTGCCTCAGAAACGGACAGACAGACAGACAGACGGAGATGGGAAGGACACACACAGACATACACCCCGCCCCGGCCCTGGATGGGGTGGTGGTGGAGGTGGAAGAGGTGGAAGAGGGTGCGTGGGTAGTGTTGTCCTGGCTGCTTGCCAAAGGCATATGAGGAAGTAAGGCAGGCTACCAGAGATCATTGAGGATTTGGATGCTAGACGGAGAAAACGCTGTACCCGGAGACAATCTAGCATAGGCCATTAGGGAAATCCGGGAACTTGTTTAGGTAGGCTAGCAGAGACCATTGAAGGAAATTAGACGCCCGCGAAGCTGCTTAGGCCAACTATCACAGGTCATTTGGGAATTTAAAGCATTACGGGCAGGCTTGCAGAGACCATTAGGGAAATCCAGGCCCCCGGATTTGGACAGAACCTATGAAATCTTAGCTAACTGGATAGCTAACTAGCAACGCTTATCTGGGAACTTCGGCTCTGAAAAACCGTTTTTTACCAACTTTTTCAAGTTATTTTTCAGGGGCGAGTTAGCAAAGATCCTTGAGGATTTCCAGGATTCGATTTTTTTCAGATGTTTTTAGGCCCTAAAAAGGCGCTACCGTAACCTTCACAGTCATACGTTGCACCTCCAAACATTTTTCCGCTTTTCCCGGCAACAGCCCTGTTTTCCCGGGGCCCCCGATCGAGCAGGGGCGCCGATTTCCGCCAAAATTCGAAAATCTCGCCGCCCTGCTACCGTAGCCCGGCGATCGAGCAGAGGAGCGCGCGTCGATTCCGGGCGCTTGGCGGTCACTTTCGGAGGGGCCCGCGCCCCTTTTTTCGGGCCTGGCGAGAGAGTGGGTGGATCGAGAGAGGGTGGGCAGTGAGAGAGCGTGGAGGAAGCAGAGAGGCCAGAGAAATTAGGGTGCAGGGGTGGGGGCGAGAAATAGAGATCCGGGATTGGGGGCACAAGGCCCGAGGAATCGTTGCTAGAGTTATGGGGGGAGGGGGAGACGCAGCGAAACGAGGGATCGTGTGGACTGGAGAGACGCAGAGACAAGAGAGAAGATGTACGCTAGAGAGGCGCAAAGAAAATAGAGAGTCGTCATCTAGGGAGACGTAGAGAAGGTAGAGGTAAGACGGCCTGATGAGACGCAGGAAGCGAGAGAAAACGTTTTTGAAGAGACGCAGAGTACAGTGAAGGACAGGGCAGCTGAAGCCACATAACCTCTAGAGGACGCGTTTTCCAGAGAAACGCAGACAACCGGGACGCAACGCAATCTCTAGAGACTCAGACAGCCCAGAGACCGCGCATCCCATAGAGACCCAGAGACCTCAATCAGCATCTCCCCAAAACCGAGCCCCCGAGCGTATATGGGCGCTTCGCGTAGTCGCAGCAGATGCGAGCAGGGGCGAGAGGGTGGAGGGCAGGGTGAGAGACGCAGGCACGTCGAAAAAGCGCGAAACCCCGCGGCGGCTAGTGGGCCGGGCATTAAGGGGATCGCGCCTCGGTGTGCGGGCCAGTTGTGGGATCTTTGCACCAACGGGTCGCCTGTTTCTTCATTCCCTCAAAAACGTTGTCCTTTCGGTCCTCTAGTCATCACTTGGTCCGGGGGTTTACGATATGCACTTCCTTGCGATTGTTCTCGGCTTGCTAGAGCTTAGGCTTAGGCTTAGGATTAGGTTAAGCTTAGGTTAGGCTTAGGCTTAGGCTTAGGCTTAGGCTTAGGCTTAGGCTTAAGCTTAGGCTTAGGCTTAGGCTTAGGCTTGGCTTACTGTATTCCACTTTCGTCCTATACACGCAAAGTTGTCATAGATAATTTCAATGTTTTTAATCGATTTTTAAAGTTATTTTCAGGGGTTACGCTAACTTTTCCGTGATCTTTTCCAGGAGTACCACCCGACCTTCTCCCCCCGAACCCGAAAAACCCCGCTGGTTTCTGGCCACTTAGCAAACAAACAAAAAGGCAGCGGCGGGCCCCTCCTCTGGCACCCGGCCAAGAGTCTATTTTTAGCTGAAGATTTGGGTCTAGCCGATTACGGCGTAAAATTAAAAACTTCAGTGGCTCTTAAGAATACGCAAAAAAAATGTCCCAGGCAATGTTTGAGTTAAAATAGTGGGTTTTTTAATCCAATTTTAGGCATAATGCCAAGTTTTAGATATATCACGATATTAGGGGGCTGAATTTCGCTTCATTGTTCCTTTAAAACTAGTTATTTGACTTCGATGGTCCTTTAAAACGCGTTCCCTCCGCTTCGATGGCCCTTTAAAACTCAGCCGATCAAGTTTTCTGCCCAAATTCTTGGCGTCAACAGACTTCAGTCGAGCTTGACTTTAACGGTCCTTTAAAGTGCATTTTCCCCGATTTTGAGGCAGACCCGGAACCTTCACTAGCCCTTTAAAACCCCCACTTCCCCCTATCGACCCCTATAGTCGATTGGTAGCGCCGCACAGCGCCGTGCTGAGGGTGACGGGTTCGGTTCCGCCCTCCCTCTTGCTGTGGTGGTGTGTGGATGTGTAGAGGCGGCGGAGGGGGAGGCAAGGCTAGAGATAGCAGCCGAGCGAGCCAGCCACTCTGTGTGTATGTCCCTGTCCGTCTGTCTGTCCGTCTGTCGGTTTGTATGTCGCGATGCGGCGGCGGCCTGGTCCCTTCTCGGGTAGTTGGCCCCGCCCCCCGTTGGGGTTGGGGCAGGCCGGGGGGTGGAGGGAGAGTGAGGGGGGAGGGCTCCACACCACCACCAGCCCAGCCCCACACGCAACCCCCGGACCACAGCGGATCTCCCCTAAAATTTGCCCAACCCGGGGCTTCTTGAGGGTATCTTACGCTTATATACCTGTAGTTTGATACCTATACTGCTCTGTAACATTCCGTAAACTCCATGTACTTCTCCGCCCTCTCCCCATCCCTCTTCGTCTCGATCCCTCTATCGATCCGAAGGTTTATGGTCATATTTTTCTACTTTTTGATTTTTTCATCTTTTTTTAAATGATTTCTAGTAGACACTAGGTATCGAATTTCAGTATCTCTTTTTTTCAGGAACATCCTAACTCCTAAACTCTCCCAATATGTCCGCTGCCGCCACCGATGATGCCGTCCGCGCCGAGAAGAGGCCGCTCGCCGACAAGGAGGAGGAGAACGGCATCGCCGAGAAGAAGGCCCACGTCGAGAACGGAAACGAGGTACCTTACATTTCTATACCTACGGGCCTCCCCATATTGACCGCTTGACCACTGCAGCGGCTTTTTAAATGGGCGCGCGGGTGTCGCCTCGCCGCCTGCGCCCTCTTGCCCTGCCCCACTCTCTCGCGCGGCTAGTTCCCGCATTTTTGGGGCGCTGGGGCCGCGGGGTGCGACGTCGCGGGTAGAGAGTGGGGGGAGGGGAGAGGGAGCAGACGGGGGGAGGGGCGGGAGGAGAGAGTGGGAGAGGGGGAGAGAGCGCGAGGGAGTGGGAGAGGGAGAGAGGGCGCAACCAAGGGCTGGCAGCCGGCCAGCCCAGCGCGTTGGACTCGAGCCAACCCTGGCGGGACCTCAATGGGGGTTAGGCCAAGAAATAGATGGCATTAGAGATAAGATGTCGAAACCAGAAAATATATCCTTATTTCCAGGTCGAGGAGAAGCTGAAGGACAAGCAGATTGGTGGGTGAAATCATCCGGTATTGTCTGTGTGTCTCTGCATGTCTGCCTGTCGGGCCGCGGCCTTGGGTACGGTAGCGTGCCCGTGTCGCGGATCAATTGAACAAAAAAAAAAGAGAAAAAGAACCAAGTACAGTAATTTTTGTAGAAGTTTTATAGAATTCTCGAGACCTTATTTCACAACTAAAGGGATCTTCAACCCAAAGGCCAAGATGACGAAAGCACGCCACAAAAGATGTCGAAATCTTGGGGGTGACTCATCTATGGAAATTTTTGGGTTCAACTGCCCTTTAGGAGAGCAGACTTTGGCCTACGCAGAGATACGAAAGTCCACAGCTTCTTTTATACCTTCGAAATGGCTAGCGCAAAAAACCAAACTTACCAAATCATAAAAAAACGCAGACCGGGAATCGAACCAAGACCCCCTAGCCGGATAATCCACTCACTAAACCACTGCGCCACAGCGACAATAACCAATCAACAACAATTCCGTAGTGCTCCCAATCTCGGTGGTGGCTGTTTATGGGTGCTGTCCGTCCACCGTGCGCTGCGCGCGCGCCCGCGCTCGTCCCCCACACACAAACAAACAGACCCACTTTCGGCTCCCCCGATGAAGCCACCACCACCAGCAGCACAACAGTGGAACCGCCGGAATCACTGGGAAAAACAATAGGCAATAGAGCTATAGGGTTTTTTAAAGGGGTTGGAACGTCAGAAGCGAGTACTCCTTGCGATTAGGCCGTTGACAAGTTGCCAATCAGCCCCCAGCGCCGTGGGACCCGAGTTGATTAAAATGTTGAGCAACTACCGACCACCTGCCTTTGATTGGCTATACGAAACGAGCCAAATGGGGCGCAGAAAAGCCTAATCGATCCCTAAAAAGTGGCCTTTTTGCGCGGGCGCGCGCACGGGAGTGGGCAGCAGCTGGCCAAAGGTTTACTGTACTTTGGGGATAGCTAAACTGCCTAGATCTTTGGAAAATAGGGAATTTTGATGAAGTATAGTAGCTACAGTACAATACTGCCGTAATCTATCCCTCAAAAGTCCAAAAATGACATTTTTCCAATGCTCTCTGCCACAGCACTCACTTGCCTGACTTCCCCCCAAGAATCCAGAGCTAGCGGACCGAGTCGAGGGGTTATCGCCCCCTTTAGCACGGGGTGACCGCCGCCCCGAGGCTCGGCGATAAGCGCGGCAAAGAGGCAAATATGGACATGGCGAGGGAATATTGCCCCTCTCCCTCGATGGAGGGACACTTCGTATCACATTTAGAGGCGCTGCCCATCCCCAACCGGGGTGAGGTCAGCCCCGGCGCCTAAAGTATGACCTAACCTAATGGGGCGTACGGTGGAGTTAGACCAGCGTCTTGCATCAGAAAATCAGCCTCTAACATACCAAAAAAAGCAAAAAGTGATACACCGAAAGCGGATTGAACCCTGGACTCAAAACTTGAAAGACGAGGCCACTAACCACTAGGCTAAAGTAAAGCTCGTGTCGAAAGTTTGAAATCAAGACAGAAAAGTAATTCTAAGAAAATCTGTCCGCGAATGGTTGCTAAAAAAGGTAAATGCTCTAGTATGCCCAAAAAATCGTTGAAATTAACAAAATTTGGTGCACGAACTACAAAAACCGCTATAAAAGTCAGAGAGTCTGTAGTTTGAAGAAATTCCAAACTTTTTTACTAAATAAAACATCATTTTTAATCGTTTGCCTTTTAGAGGAGCACCCCGAGGAGGCCGAGGGTGACGAGGAGGAGGAAGATGTTGATGAGGAGGAGGGCGACCACGAGGAATCGTCAGGAAATGAGGACTCTGAGGGAGATGTTGAGGGAGACGGAGATGAGGTGAGGACGAGAACATATAAAAATAAAAGAAAAGAAAAACAGAAAATAGAAAATTTAGAGCTAGAAAAGCAATATATTATTCTCGAAAAACTATCGTAACTGATCGAAAAATATGGCTAGCGCGCAAAAAAAACTAGATTTAGAGATCTATTCATTTTGACGAACAACAGAAAAAGGGAGGTCAGCAAAAAAGAAACCTACTTTAGCTAAATTCTTGAGCCACGTAAACGCAACGTCAGTTTGTTTAGTAAAACGAAGCAAAAAGTACTGAAAAATACCAAGTTTTACAAAAAAATCACTAAGTAAAGGCTGCGACAAAAACCAAAATTTGTTACCAAAACCCCCCGTGCCCAACCTTCCACCATCACCTTAGAAACAGCCGTTGCAGGACGAGGGCGCCAGCGGCGACGACGCCGAGGAGGGCGACGAGCCCGAGGGCGGCGAGGAGAGCGACTAAGCGTGCGGACTTCACAAAAATATAGTCTTCCCGCGCCAAGCAGCTTCTTCTATACATCAATCACCACCCACACCCCACCCCATCCACCCCGAGCTACGATCTCACGCCGAGTCCCCGTCCCAATTCATTGTGTGTGTTTGCGTTTTTTCGCCGACTTTTCATCTCCGGGCCGCCCGCCCGTTGCCTTGTTAGGGCTGCCCCCCGCTCGTTACACTACACACCTATCCACACCTATACACCCCCGACGTCCCGGTGCCCATCCTGGCGTCTGCCCACCTCTCAAGGTAGTGGGATAGCGACAGGTTTAAGCTAGAAAATCATGAAACAATACCTGAAATTGGGCTCTTGATGATTTCCAAAACTTTTACCTATTTCTATCCCCCCAAACCTCTTCGCCCCCTCCTCCTATTCGCCTCTACGGGCATCCCGCAGTCAGTACTATATATACTAAACACTACCCCTCAACATTTAAACATTGTAATACGGTGTCCCTTCCCCTACCCCGCCCCCCAATCTTTTTGGCCTCAAATGGCACTAACCACGTATTTACGCGCGTTTTTCTAAAGATGTTCCAATTTTGTTGACACCCCAACATCCGGGGGCCCCCCAACGCCCCCACGGACTTTTTATAAATTCAGGATTCTTATGGACTTCCTTTTTTGACAATAAATAATTTATTTATGAAAGTGTTGTGTGCTTTTATCAAATACACCGAACATGAGTACCAGCAAAAACGCACAAAAATAGCGCAAAAATGGCCTTTCAAGCGCATAAATGTCTGGCAAAATAAATCGAAACTTTCTAAGATAAAATAAAGCTAATTTGTAAAGTTTTTATCGTTTTTAGCAACTTTAAAAAACCGTTGGCCGTTGTTTGCAAAGAAACGTCGTCGCTGAAAGGAAACGGGACTACGACGCCCCGTCATTTGGAGCGGCATGTAGGCGACAGCCTGGAGCATCCTCATCCACTTTGGCAACGTTTCTTTACTTTTTTCGGCTTAAAAAGTTTAAAATGCCACAATAAAGGTTTAGGAGTAGATAATGTACATTTTAACTTTCGTTGGGACCTTTAAGACTCTTTTTTTTGCTCTGTTTCCTGCTTTTTTACTTTCAATTGCATCCAAAATGCATTTTTTAGCACTGCGAAAAACTGGGGTACTCGAAGACCATCACACAGGATGGCGGACGTCAATGTTGACGATTTGCTGAAGCAGATGCAGCGTTTGAAGGAAGAGCTGAAGAATCACAAGAATGCCGGAGAAGGCGCCGCGCCAACCGCCTCCACGACTGCCCCGGTGAAGCGCGAGAAGATCGCCGAGATGAGCTCCGAGGTGGGTTATTGTCTTTTGTTAAAATAAAATTGTCTAGGTCGTCGACTCAAACCCCTACAGCCGGCTGATGGCATTGAAGCGGATGGGTATCGTCAAGAACTACGAGGCTATTCGCGAGAAAACGGTTGTCGTCGTTGGTGTAGGAGGTAAAAAGAACATATAAGGTTTTCAAGGACTTTTTTAGGCGTGGGCAGCGTTGTCGCCGAGATGTTGACCCGCTGTGCGATCGGGAAGTTGATTCTATTCGATTATGACAAGGTAAAATTCTTTTTTCATATATATATCGTTTTTTTTTAGGTTGAATTGGCCAACATGAATCGTCTCTTCTACCAACCCCACCAGAGCGGCCTCTCCAAAGTTGAAGCCGCCAAGCATACATTGATGTAATTTTTGCGACTACATCCTAAAATTTTCTCTTTTAGACATATCAATCCTGACGTCGAGTTCGAAACGCATAATTTCAACATTACCACTGTCGAGAATTTCAAGATATTTGTAGATAGGATTAGGTAAGAATTAAAACCGTGATCTATCCCGATTTCTAGGCACGGTTCGTTAGCCGGTGGAAAAGTGGATCTGGTCCTGTCGTGCGTCGACAATTTCGAGGCCAGGATGACTGTGAATACGGTAAGAGATTGTTGTTTTACGTAAACTTGCTAGTTAATACATACTTATTCGAACTTTTCGAAACTTTGAAAATTACGAAGTTTTTGTTTTTTTTTCGTTTCCTAGGTTTATCAATTTCTTAGAGCTTTCTTTGACATAAACTACAATTATATTATCGTTTTTATGGTTCTTTCAGGCCTGTAACGAAGAGGATCAAACGTGGATGGAGTCTGGTGTGAGCGAGAATGCCGTCTCTGGCCATATCCAGTACCTGGAACCCGGGCGGACGGCGTGCTTCGGAGTAATTTCAGTTTTTTTTTGTAAATTCATCGACATTTTAGTGTCTCCCCCCACTCGTTGTTGCGTCAAACATTGACGAAAAGACGCTGAAACGCGATGGCGTATGTGCCGCTTCATTGCCAACGACTATGGCCATCGTCGCCGGGTTTCTAGTACAAAATACATTAAAGTAAGTATTTTCAACTTGTCCTAACAATATAATCTTCTCCAGATATTTGCTCCACTTTGGCGAAGTTTCGATGTATGTAGGCTACAACGCGTTGCTCGACTTCTTCCCCCGAGAGGTGGGATTAAGAGTCTTTTTCTTGAGTCATTAATTTTTAGGAGATCAAGCCCAACCCTCACTGTGATGACAGCTTCTGCCGGCGGCGGCAAAAGGAGTATAAGGTATTTTTTTAGTTTTTTTTTTGTAACTAGATTCTTAGGAACGAAAGGCAAACGAGCCGCAAGCTGAGATCGTGCTCGAAGAAGAAGAGGTCGTCAAGCACGAGACCAACGAGTGGGGGATCGTGTTGATTGACGAGAGTGAGGTCAGCAATTTTTTTAAAAGTTTGTTAAACGATTTTTTTTTTCAGGTGGTCGAAGACCAAAGCCGAAAAGTTGCCGCCGGGCTCGAGTTCCAGTATGAGGCCGCGAATACAGTGGAACCGGTACGTTTTCACTTATTCCGTTCGTCGATATTATCATTCTTTTTTCTAGGAACCCGAAGAAGAGGAGACCTCCGCCGCGCCGGTCGACGTCGCCGCGCTGATGGCCAAGCTGAAGGGGCTGAAGAATTGATTCTACTCATGCATATCCATTCCAAGTTTTTTCTGTGAATTGTGGTGATGAAGGATAAAGTATTTATGAGTTTGAAAGTTTGGAGAAGGGCCTGTAGCGCTGGCACGAATTTTGGGATTTCGGGGTTTCCCGCTAAACGTCCACTCCCATTGGCATCTCGTTGCGTGTCTCGAGAAGGAAGGCGGAAAATGGGCGTATTGTTGGCGGGCGACTAATTGGGTCAGTTTTCTTATGGAAAAAATATCGCGGTTTGAGTATATCTATGTGATTGTTCTGGACTGTTAGAGGGGGGGGATTTTCCCTAGTAATTCCGTACGGCCCTATAATAGCTGAAAAAAAACAAAATCCCCCGCTAACAGTCCAGAACACGCAAAATCCCGATTTACCCTCCGGAACCTATGCGGCTACCCGTGGTTAATCGCGGATCGACTCATGGGTAAATCATCACCCGAGAAGTTTCACGTTCTGCGGCCACCTGCAGGTCAAATTCTCGCGCCCCGCGACCTCACCCCCACGACCAGCCACCATCGACGCAATCGGGATGAGGGTGGCCCCCCGCGGTCACCGAACACCCCGTGGGGTCGTGCAACACACCGCCTCCACCATTCCCAATGGCCATAGCCCCCTGGCTGGCATTGCCCGAGGCCAGGGCAGTTACGGTATACGGCTTGGGGCTGGCGAGAGAGCGGGGAAGAGCCGGAGACGCGAGAGACTCGCCCGCGATTCAAATGAGCGGACCGGGAGGGCGAGGGGATGCCCCCCAGGCCCCCGGCCGTTCAAATGTCTCCCTTTTGCGAAGCACACACACCCACCCCCATCAACATTATTCACCCGAAATGAAGGTCATTTTTGAGGATTAGTGAATAAACTTTGTACCGGGCCCTTGTATCTTCCCCTCCTTTGCCTACTGAGCTTAAAATCGAGCTTTTGGTCACGCACCTATCGAGAAAACGTATGTATCACCCAATCATTGATAGTATTGAGCTTCCAATCAAGCTCTTAATGTTATAAATCTCTCCATTTGGGGTATTATACGCCAAATCCACCTTAGGTATCGACCAGTCCTTAAAATTATCTGAATTTGATGGCAGTTTTGAGCCTAAAACCGAGCTTCTTCGCCTTCCTTCCTTGCTTCTCTACCTCTTATTTTCATCCAAAGCCTCCCATAACAAAATTATCGGTTTTCGCCGCTTCAAATAAATTTCCGGCGCGGTTGTAAGGCTAGATATTACCGCAAAAACGCTGCAAACACGTAGGATTGCGATTTTAAAGCGATTTTCGAAAACCGTTTTCGTGATTTTTGTGTATTTCCGGTAGCAAAGCCAAAAGCGGAAAAGCCGAGAATCAACTATAATAAAAAAGTAGAGACGTCCGTCCGTCCGTCCGTGTGTCTGAAGCCGAATTCAACTCGAAGGGGAAAGGAGCTAGAGCTTAGCTCTCTTCGGATTCGGATAGAGCGCCGTAAGAAACCCCCAAACTGATAAAAAAATTATGAAAAAGTTTTTGTTTAAATTATTAAAATTAACTTTGAAAGTGGCGCCTTAATAAAACGAGTGGGGGCCCCTGTCCCGGGAGGCCACGCCCCTTTTCTCTTCGCCCCACTTTCCCAGGCCCCTTCGCGCGCCAAGATAGCTTTCTTAAGTTACTTTAATACTTTTAATATTTTTTAATTATGTTAATTTATTATTTAAATCATTTAAAGCCATCGGGAAGGTATTTAGGTAGTTTTTGAAGGGGATTTCGGCTAGGGGAGCTATCTAAAGCCATCAGGGAGGTATCGAAGTAGTTTTTTAAGGGGATTTCGGCTAGGGGGAGTATCTGAAGCCATCAGGAAGGTATTTAGGTAGTTTTTGAAGGGGATTTCGGCTAGGGGAGCTATCTAAAGCCATCAGGGAGGTATCGAAGTAGTTTTTTTAAGGCGTTTTCGGCTAGGGGGAGTATCTGAAGCCATCAGGAAGGTATTTAGGTAGTTTCTGACGGGGATTTCAGCTATGGGGGTATCTGAAGCCCTCAGGAAGGTATCGAAGTAGTTTTTCAGGGGGATTTCGGCTATGGGCGGTATCCGCAGCCATCGGGCAGGTATTTAGGTAGTTTTTGAAGGGGATTTCGGCTAGGGGAGCTATCTAAAGCCATCAGGGAGGTATCGAAGTAGTTTTTTAAGGGGATTTCGGCTAGGGGGAGTATCTGAAGCCATCAGGAGGGTATTTAGGTAGTTTTTGAAGGGGATTTCGGCTAGGGGAGCTATCTAAAGCTATCAGGAAGGTATTTAGGTAGTTTCTGACGGGGATTTCAGCTATGGGGGTATCTGAAGCCCTCAGGAAGGTATCGAAGTAGTTTTTCAGGGGGATTTCGGCTATGGGGGGTATCCGCAGCCATCGGGCAGGTAGTTAGGTAGTTTTTGAAGGGGATCTCGGCTATGGGGGGTATCTGAAGCCCTCCGGAAGGTATCGAAGTAGTTTTTAAGGTGTTTGAAGCTATGGGGGGGGGGGTATCTGAAGTGGTCAGCGTGGGTATTGATGAAGGTAGAGGTGTAATGTGGTGGTGTGGGACATGGAGGGTAGCCCGAAGGCCAGCCGATTACAGTCGCGAAGCGGCTGTAATCGGCTGGTCCAAAATAGAACGAAAGGTGGGGAATAACCTACCATTAGTGCCGAAACCACTCTACCGTATGCCGGAATTTGAAACGATTCCACGCAACAATCATTACGGATTTTACTCGATTTGCTCGATTTTGCCGGAGCTCGGATTTTTGGCGTTCGGCCGGTTTCTCTTTTTGCGAATTTTACTCGTTTAGCTAAATTTTCTGTATCTTTCCGGTCTCTCTTGTTCTTAGAACGTTTCATACTTTCTCTTCACATCGTTCTCCACTTCACATTTCCATTTTCCATTCCCACAATTCATCCTCCACTTTCAGCGCAAACCGCTGCAAGAACTTGGTCGCCCACAACCACCACACAGAATGATGTTGCGCAGCCGGAACACGAACGTCCAGCAGAACGTCCAGCAACCGGCCGCCAGCAAGAACAATGGTGGAGCCGACGTGATGAAGCGCACGGCCAAGCAGCAGGTTAGCTCCTGTGAGCCCCAGCCAAAGCGCGCCGTCCTCTCGGAGATCAGCTCGGTGTGTTTTGGGGAATCCCCTTTCTCTTATTGCATATTTTTGCTTTTTCTGGGGTGTTTCATTTACCATTTGGTCCATGTGCTGGACTGGCCTATGCGTGCCCCAACCCCCCTGTTTAAACCAGCCGCCTGTTTGGGACGCCACTAGGGCTCCTGCGTTGTTATGGCCTTGTCTGGCGTTGCCATGTCATTAATTGGCGTCTCGATACAACAAAATTTTTGTCTCGCACCACAGTTTAATTTCTCAATTTCAGGGAATCTCGAACTTCCTCATCGACTCTACAAAGAAGCCTGACCTGCAGAAGGTCATCCCGCGTCGCAGCGTTTCAAAGTAACGTTCTTCCGGATTTGCCAATCTTTTGTTTAGGCAAGAAGTCTCCAGTACATCCGAAAATGCTCGCGTCACACGCTCGAAGTCGACAGCCCCGAACGTTGATCCGTGCCCCGAATACGACTACGACGCTCAGTGCTTGGCCCAGAAGGACGAATTCGCCATCCCGGAGTACGCCTTCGAGATATTCGCCTACTCGCGAAGCCGCGAAAAGCTCTTCGCCGTCGACGAATACCTGCACAAGTTTTCGCACTTCACGCCGCAGATCCGCACCAAAATCGTCGATTGGATGGTAGCCCATTATTAGGTTGCTTTTAGGCAGTTGATTTTCAGGTCGAAATGCAAGAGACTTTCGAGCTGAACCACGAGACGTTGTACCTATCCGTCAAGCTTTGGGACCTCTTCATGTCAAGGACAACGAACTACGACCTGCACCACAAGAAGGGAGAGCTGATCGCCGCGTGCTGCGTCTTCGTCGCCAGCAAGTTCGACGAGCGCTCGCCTCCATTGATCGACGACTTCCTCTATGTCAGCGAAGACAAGTTCACGCGTCAGGAATTCATTCATCAGGAGATGCAGGTATATATTTCTTGGTGGGTTTTATTATTTTCCTTTAGCTGCTCAACACGGTCGGCTACGACCTCGGATGCTCTCTTTCATACGTGTACCTTCGTCGCCTGGCTCGAGTAAGCGAAGATTGTGTTTTTGTTTAACTTTTTTTAGGTCACTTCCTCGTCGATGGCGGTGTTAACACTTTCGCGCTACATTCTCGAAATGGCCATCTGTCACTATGAATTCGTCGGAGTCCGGGAATCGATGTTGGCCTCTGGAGCGTTCTACCTTGCTCTTCGCATGACGCAGACCGATCCCGAATGGTAACTTTATGCCCTGGTCACGTTAGTTTCTTTAGGTCCAAGGTCCTGCACAAGTACTCGGGCTACACACAGGATGAGGTCGAGCCGTTCGCTGAGGAGCTGAACCTGATGCTTCACCGGCAGCAGGAACGTCGCCACACGGATGCCAAGACCGTCTATGCCAAATATAGCCATCCGTGAGTTTTCTAATTATTTTACTGTATCCTATTTTTGGGTTTTCGATTCATTATAATTTTACTTTCAGCGTCTTCCACGAGGTGGCTTTGATCAAACTGGTGCCATGCAAATTTGCCGTCGAGCGCGAGCTGATGAAGGGCAAGCCGTTCAACTTCCAGTCGCCAATCCGCCACTGATCGATGATCATCATTTCTAACTTCTCACAAAAGCCCTGTGGTTGCCGCGGCGGTGCTCAAGCCATCTCTATCGAATAGTTATCTTATTTCAAAACTCGTCTTATTCATTTTGTCATTTGGCGCGCTGGGCACGTAGTGCCATTTGTTCTCTCGTTTCATGCCCCCATACTTCCAGCCGCATAACGGCGTCGATCTCCCATTAACCTGATTGTATTCGAACATTCCCATCTTTCAATGTTTCAAAAATAAAGCGTTAATGCATACCGGGAATTGCGGGACACGGAATCGGACAGTGTATGCCCACTGGTGGATATTGGCAAATGGGAATTCATTGGAAGAAATCGAGAAATACAGCCATCGCGGTTCTTGGAATTGGTACATTATTTGTGCTTTCCTCTGCGCGAAGCCCTAGCGTGTTGAGTAGCCCTTTTTCGCCTTATCGCCGCCTAATCCCGAAGCCCTACAATTTCTTCATTTTTGAAGAGCAGCGCTTTTTAAGGATTACAAACGAGTTTTTCCTTCAGCCATAACACCACGGGAGCCGGTCGAGCGGTTGGATGCCCTCGACGAGGCGGCTCGTCCTGCTGCTCGTCGCGCTCATCGGCTTCTGGGTGATCGTCGCCTACCATTTCCTGAGGAGCGGCGAAGAAGATCCGACCTACAATGCCGAGGTCATTCAATTTACAATATAACCGAACCTTATCATTAGGTTGACGAGCTGCTCGCGAAAATCCACGATCTGGAGCGGCAGCTCGACATCGAAAACGTGGCGATCAAACGCTTACAAGCCGAAGTGGAGGCTAATTCCAAACTGGTATGTTGAGATCATTTTTGACTTCTCCCTGCTTTAGATCAGGGCGAACCGAGTGAACTTGGAAGGGCAGGAGCCACATGGGCCCTGGAAGGAGCCGATTCCGATCCTGGTATTCTCCTGCAACCGCAAGGATGCTGTGAGGTGCGTCTAAACATTCAGTTTCTATCAAAACTGGATTCTCAGAGCCCACGTCGATCGTCTCATCTCGCTCCGCCCATCGGCTGAACGCTTCCCGATCATTGTTTCTCAAGATTGTGATGACGAAGCAACCGCCCAAGCAATTAAAAGTTTCGGGGATAAGGTAACGATATTACATCCTATTATTTAGCCAACTATTAGGTCACCTACGTCAAACACATCGCCGGAGACAAAGCCAACCTGACGATCCCCAACGAGCACAAACGCTGGACGACCTATTATCGAATTGCCAGGTATAGTCACTTTAGATACCTCAGCTTCTTCTAGGCACTACAAACTCGCTCTCCATCACACGTTCCGTAACTTGGGCTACAGCACCGTAGTGATTACGGAAGACGACCTCGACGTGGCTCCGGATTTCTTCGAATATTTCTCGGCGACAAGGTTAGCATTATTCTTTTTATGTCAACCCTTTTTAAGGTATCTTCTCGATGCTGACCCCACCCTATACTGTGTTTCGGCGTGGAATGACAACGGCAAGAAGCATTTGATCAACGAGAATGTATGGAAAAACGATGTTTGAAAACCAATTTTTAGGCTCCTGAGCTACTGTATCGCTCCGATTTCTTCCCCGGGCTTGGGTGGATGATGAGCAAAAAGCTTTGGGATGAGGTATGAGGTATAGTTGGGTATGACCACTTTAGTAATTGTTTAGTTCGAACCGCGTTGGCCCCAAGGCTTCTGGGATGACTGGATACGCGAGCCGGAGAATCGAAAGAACCGATCTTGTATTCGGCCAGAGGTAACGTGGCATGTTAAATTTCAGCCCCGTTTACTTTTTGCAGATCAGCCGCACAGCCATGTCGGCCTACGGCCAAAAGGGAGCCTCGGAAGGCCTGTTCTTTACAAAACATTTGGCGAGGGTTGTGCTGAATCAGTAAGCCATTGCGTAAAATTGAGAAATTAGCTTGTTTTAGCAAGTCCGTCGAATTCACGAAGCTGAACCTCGACTACCTGCAGAAGAACAACTACGACAGCCTCTTCATCAAGACAGTCTACACCCAGGCAGAGCCGATCCGCATCGACGAGATGCTGGGCGTGCCGAAGAGGTATTCGTTTTTTTGAAGGGACTCGAATTTTTATATTTAGCGGCTCGGTAAGGATCACCTACGACGCCAACCTGGACTACATCAAGAAGGCCGACAAGCTGCAGATTATGCACGATTTTAAGGTGGGGTTTTGTGACATCATTTTTAAAATTGCGTTCAAGGCTGGCGTCCCTCGCACGGCCTACCAAGGGGTCGTCACCGCGTTCCTCAACGGTCTCCGCGTCTACCTCGTCCCCGACCCGGCGAAGGTGTCCGGCTACAACAAGAAATGGGAGGTGCCCGCAGGGATCGACTAACCTTTTTCACGCTTTTATTAACCTTGCAACTATACATATGAACCGCCTAAACTTGCATATCTTGTCTTTGTCTATTTTATTACTTGTGATATTCTATTCCCAGCCATCATGTGAGTGCCCTGATCCTTGATATGTACCCTAGTCAAATTGTTCCCATATTTTTGCACCAATGTTGGGCTTGTCTTTGCAGTTCTACAAATGCTTTCCAATCCTCTTGAGCCCCTTGCTCTGCACCCAGTCCACCGAAATATGGGTCTCCCAGCTGTGATATTACCGTATTCTTGTCCTGCGTCCTAATAAAATATATCTAACTGGATATGACATAGACTGTAGAGTTTTTATCACTGATGCTGGAAATTATTGGATTAGCAATTACTTATCGTTAGGATGGCGGACAAAGTGGAGAGAAAGCGTGCAGAGATGTTGGCCCGGCTTCAGCAACGGCACGGTGATCGCGACAAGCCGGTGAAGCGGAAGGACGACGGACACGACCTGGACCTTGTACTGGAACGAGCCGCGGCCCTGGCAAGTGATTCGACAAGTGATAGAGAACAAACGGTAAGCTTTGATTAATATACTTTCACATGACGGGTCTGATAAAAAGATTTGCTTTTTAGATCCAGCTCCTCGAAGCTCAACTGCAACAAGAGGAAAACTCGTACAAAGTGACGCAGATCCGGAAAGCCCTTCTCGAGCTCAAGCCCAAGCCACAGGCCTCGACGGCCCCGTTCCAATTCGCAGCGCAACCACAGAAGCCGATAGGAGCTTTCAAGTTTTCTGCACTGCCGTCTCGACCTGCTGCTCCCCAGGCCCAGGCTTCTGGGCCCCTGATCCCGAATATGCTTGACGGCTCCGATCTTTTCAAGATTGAAAACATCGACGGCGAGGAGCGGCGCTTCGACGAGGCCACATCAGTCGATGGGGAAGTCGAGCTTCGGATCTCGAACATCAAGAACAGCACGTTGCGAATCTCTTTCCCAACGCACTCGGTGCGAATGCGGGATATTCAGGATTCCACCCTAGTCCTCCACCCGAGCACAAGCTCCATCTCGATTGATGACGCGAAAAATGTGAAGCTCTTCTGCCGAGGGGACCAAATTCGGATACATCGCTCGTCTAACACGACGCTGTACTGCGCATTCAAGACCGGGATTATCATGGAGCATTGTCGAGGGATCAAGTTAGCGCCCTACCGCGTGCTTGGCATCGATGGCGAAATGATAGAGATATCGAAGACCGATCTAGAGATGGCAGCACCCCAGGATATGGATCAGCTCGGCCTCGAGGGGCCCCGGAATTGGCACGTGGCCGAGGAGAGCGAATGGATTACAGAGAAGCTAGGTAGGGCTTTTTCGGTTCTTTCGCATTATCGGGGGCGGGTCTTCGGATCCAATTTTTCTAATATAAACGTGGAAGTGTGTTCTAAACTGTTTTTACTATTCCTAAAGGTAAAAACTTCACAAATTTTTATTAAAAATTCAAAAAAATGGCTTTTTCGACCGAAGTTTCAACTTTCGAAATGAGGGTTTTTTGCTAGTTCAAATATAGTTTGATTTTACTCAAATATAATTAAGATACTGCTTATTAAGTTACTAGGAATTTCCAGATCTATACAAAAAATGCGAATGAACCTATTTTTCATTTGCTGGTTTATAATTTCGAAATAGTAATAAACAGTATTAAGATAACGATTTATTTTCAGGCCCATTCGACGCGTGACCATCCCAACATCGACCATCAATCTGTGTGTGAAAGAATCTATCGGGTTTCGCTTTTTTGAAGTGCTGCATAAATGTCATGTCGCAATCAACATACAAGAGCATTGAGAGCACCTTAATGCACGACCCCTGCACATAGGCTTATTAATGTTTTTGGTCTTTGACACTGGGGCTTCAGGAACTAACAAAGTATCTGGTGGTTATATGCTCGGCCGGTGTAGCCTGTCGCCCAAGGTCTAGTTTAGATGCCGTGTAGCGCTTCCGGCCTGACCCTAAGGGACTTGTAGAATTATTTTGATGAAAAATATCTTATTTTCTTTGCTTTATAACCTTGATTGACTTACTAGGTATTGCAGTAGTCCTGAAAAAAAAACAAGAACATTGATTTTCAGTGGATCTGTTGACCTAGATGGCCGGAAACTTTTGGCAGAGCAGTCATCGGTATTTTTCCCATCCGAGCATAAATATTATTTTTAGTGAGCAATGGATTTTTTCAAAAACGGCCCTCTGGCGCATGCGGCAAGAGGATTTGAAAATCTACACTGAAGACGAGTATCAGAAAGTGATGATTTTCTTCTGTAATCGTAAGTACCTATAGCCAAATATAAACGAATTCTATATATCATTTGGCGAACTTTTTAGATATAAAAAGCTTATAGAAATTATGAAAATTTTCTAAAATTGTGGATTTGTGGGTCCAAAATGATTCAAATATCACCAAAAGGGTCAAAATTTTCGAATTTTTAATTTTGTTATGACTTGCAAACAATCAAAAACTACTAAAAACATTATAAAAATACATATTGATAACAGATAGGTATAGGCAGCTATAACAATTTTTATAGTAATCCAGCAAATCGCGCTCGACCCCTCGCAGACGCCAAAAGTTCGAATGCAGGTTGTAGCGGCGGCTTTTGCCTATTTCAAGCGGTTTTATGCGAGGTTGGAGGGACCTGAACGCTTAACATAATGTTAAAGGAGAAGCTTCAAAGATATCGACCCGTTTGTGCTCGCCCCCACTTGCATCTACCTGGCATGCAAGGTCGAGGAGTTCGGGATGATGAGCACGAGCAAGCTCATGAGTTCTGTTGCCTCCATGTGTGAGTTTTATTAGAAAATCTGGAGAGAAAAAAATTGTTTAGTAAAAGCCCGATGGGACTGGATTCAAGTCGAGGTCTCCCAACGCGTCGGCATTATCCACGAGGCCGAGTTTATCTTGCTGGAGATGATGGACTGCTGCCTGATCATCTACCACCCCTACCGAGCGATAACCTTCTTTATACAGGTGGGTAATTGTGAATGCCAAAAAAATGCGTCATTTAAATTTTTCTCATTAATTCTATTTTATAATCATCGCAATACTATGAAATTTAGAAACTTAAAAATCAAAAACAAAAAGTATAATTGTATTAAATTAAAATAGAAAGCAAGATACTATTTAGGAGATGAAGAATGCGCAAATCAAAGACTTGGACGAGATCGAGTGTACGGCTTGGAAAATTTGCAACGATTCGATTCGAGGCGACTTCAACCTGCTCTACCCGCCACATTTGATCGCGCTAGGTAAGTGAGAAGCAAAATCAGATGACTCCTTCTAGTTAGCTATACATAATGAGGTTTTTTAGGTTGTCTAATCCAAGCCGCGCTTATGCACAATCGCCAAAACGACATCAAAACATTTTTGACCGATTTAACGGTGGACTATGACCAACCGCTGACCGGATGTCCAACTTTTAATCGGCGTGCAACGGTAGGCGGATCAAAATTTGATTACTACTGGGTTTTTAGGTAACCGACGTGCTCCAGGACCTCCAGAAGCTCTACCACCTCTGGGCGAGCTTTGACGAGAAGGCCGAGCTGCAGGGGCTGCTTGATAAGTAGGTTTTTTTGGATAAGTCCAGAAATGGTTAGTAGCTGAAAAGTAAGTATCTTAAAATAGTTTTTAGTCAATAAGACTATGAAAACTATTAACCAAAAAATGACCTAAAGATCAAAAAGGCGAAATATTTGTCAAAAACAAATAATTTTTGGTCGAAAAAAAATAGTGTTTAAAAGTTTTTTAATAAAATTTGTAAAGTTTTTACGTTTAAGAATGGTAAAAACATCTTAGAAAGCTTTTCGATATTTATAGTTGAAAAATTAGATCCTAATTAAAAATCTGCCGCCACCCCCACGATAATGCCAAAGATCCGAAACTTGCTCATTTTAGACTACCAAAAGCCAGTGCGACCGTCACGGTGCCGGTTGTCACCCCGCAACAACACCAGCAGCTTCCGGTACGTTTTTAATTTAAAAATACGAATAAAAGAAAAAAAGTAGATAAATATTAAGAAATAAAAATAAAATAAAATTGAATTAACGATACAAAGAGATATAAAAATAAGCAAATAGGATCTAAAATTATTTAGCAACAAATGCAGCAACAGCAAATCCAACAAGGCCAAATGATGAGCAGCCACGCGCAGCTACAGCAGCAGCAACAACAACAACAGCAGCAGCAGGGCCACCTACCCCAGCACTTACAAGGTATAAAGATGCTTAAAACTGAAAATTTCAAACTTGTTCCAGCCCGCGGACTACCTCAATACCACCAGCAGCAGCAAATGGCCCAGATGGCGCAGCAGCAGCAGCAGATGCACGGTCAGCAACAACAGCAGCAGCAGCCCATCCATGGTCAGCATCCACAACAGCAGCAACATCATCTACAACAACAGCAACAAGGACAGGGATATATGTAGTTATATGTTTATCTATATGTTTATCTATTCTGGATTGTGGTAAATTCGGGCCCTTTTGCCATCTTTATTGCATTCCCGGTTCTTTCACCTTATCGGGGGGCGGGGGAGAGAACTAACCTTGTTCTTAGGATCTAATTTTTCAAGTATAAGTAGTGGAAGCATATTCAAATCGTTTTTTACTATTCCTCAACGTGAAAACTTCATACTTATATCGACCAAAAACGGCCGATTTTTGGCCAAAATTTCGACTTTTTGAAACTTTTAGATAGTTTTTCTAGTTGAAATATAGTTACATATTACTAAAAACACGATTCAAACACTTTATTTATACAAAAAGTTCGCCCCCCGATAATGCGAAAGACCCGCATTCCCAATATCACTGTTATTTTCTAAAACTACGTTACAGCTACCTTTTTAAATGCGGTTGCCAGCCGGCGACGATTTTTATCTTTAGTATTAATATTCGATTGCTTACATAATACATGGTTCGCCGCGTGAAGCTTGCCAAGCTTGCGGGCGTGTTTTAGTCTTTCCAATCGCTGTAAAAATGTCATTTTTGTTTTGGGTTTTCCTATTGTCTATTTTCGTGTCATTCCATCGCTTTATCGCATCTTTCCTCCCACGGGTAAAGGATTTTTGTAAAGTTTATTGTTTGGAAGGCACTACAAAACAAGGTAAAAGCTGAATTCAGGTTTTTAGGCCTCAAAACCCCGAAATTCGAAGGAAAACCGGGAATCTGTTCATCGAACCAATTCACGAATTGCCCGGTTTACCACCGGTTGATTCCTGGCGCGGCATTTCGTGAATTTTTGGGCGTGAATCATCGCGATATTTGGCCGTTTTTTTTTGTTCTGATAACAGGGCACGGGGATGAGGGTATATAAAGAAGTGGTTAGGATCGTTCAAAAACCACAATTTTGCAGATTATTAGGACATCTCTGGCGGGTTTTAGAGCTAATTTAAAATTGTTACACCGGACCAACCGTTTTTACTAGATAAAAGTAATAAAAAAACAATTATCAAACTTGATAGAAACATGCCAAACGGACAGGAAAAATACCCCCCCGATAACGCGAAAGAACCGAACTTTTTCTGCCTGCAAAACCTTCAAATTCCGCGGATTTACACGCTTTATCGGGTTGTAGAGCGAATCGAAAGGGATTACATCTTCATTAAAATGTTTTTTTAATTAAAAAACCATTCAAAACTAGAAAATTTAATTTGTTTTTTATTTATATAAACCCTCTAACGATCAGTAGATCAAAAATATTGTTGATATTTTCGCAGGGAATCTCAGGCTCATTTCGCCTGGAGGTCACATTCTCAGCAGGCCAGTCCAAGCGTGCAAATATGCCCCCTCCCCAAGAAAACAGATGACGATTTGAGCGTTGTTTTGAAGGGCCACTAAAGAGATCGACCAAGCTTCTTCTTCTCCTGCTCGTCGGGCTAGTTATTATAAGGTGGACCATATTTTGGCTCGGCCACTTCTGCGGGTCCGTTCACCCGCTCCGCTTGGCAAATAAAGCGGGCGCGCGCGTCGGAGGAGGAGCGGACAACATACGGGGTTCTGTAATTTTTGATTTCTCTAAAGTATCTTCTTAATTTTATGTAATTTGTCAATTTACGAAACTCCTTGCAAATTATTTTCACAACTTATTCTAGCAGAATCGTCCATTTTTTTCGGCTTGAGAATGGCTTCCCGGCACTTCGGACTATATAGTGGAATTTTTTGTTATTTCTCTCCTTTTAAAACTGTTTTTTTTGAAAACTCTAGGAGTTTCTAAATGTTATAATTGCCTTTCTTAAAAAGATTTTTCGACTGAATCTCCTCTTTCTACGTTATTTGCGCATTTTTTCGAGCCTCTTGTTTGATTGGCGAGAAAATAACACATTTTTATAATTTCTAACTTATTTTTAAAAATTTCTACAAGCATATGAATAATTTTAAATGTTTTGAATCCGATCTTTACGCTGTCTCAATCAGTCTTTCCACACTATTTGTCCGTTTTTTTAGTTTTTTTAGTACTGGTATTTTTTAGAGCGTCTTGAGGCTTGGCAAACAAGTTTCTTGACTTCCCCATTTCGCAACGACAACCACAAAATAAATCAGAAAATCGCGGGGCATCACATTTTCTGTGCCCTCTTCCGGCCGGTTTCTTCGGATTTCAAATTTGGGCTTTTCCGCAGCGGTTTCCGCTCTCCAAAATCTCGAAAATTGCGCGATATTTGCTGAGGGGGTTCCACGCATCCTGAGATTATCATTATTATTTTCGAAGCTGTCCTTGGGGCGCTTGTCCTTTATTAATGGGTGGGCGGGCGTTGGGAGGGCGTTCTTGGAAATGGGAAAATTCAGAATGCTAGTAGTTCTTTGATAGCCTGCCTCCAGCGTTTCAGCGATACTTCCTAAAGGATCTCTGCTATCTTTCCGTCTTTTGGTAGCTTTCCTAAATAGTCCCTGCTCGCCTGCCTTTTTTGGTTTTTCTTCCTAAATGATCTCTGCTAGCCAGAAATGACCTCTTCTAACCTGCCCTCTGTGGATCGGTTTTCGAAATGACCTCTGCTAACCGGCTACCTTATATTTGGCTCCTAAATGACCTCAGCTAGTTGCCCGTCAAGTGCCTGCTTCCCAACTGTGCTCTGCTAGCCTGTCTTTTCCCGGTTGGCTTCCTAGGCGAAATTTCCTAACCATCGTACCAAATTTTTTCTTCCTTAATGATCTCTGCGAGCCTACCATCGCGTCCTCAGCTTCCTAAGGAATTTCTGCTAGCTTCCCCTCAGATTCCAACCGTTTTTCGACCTGTAAATAATAGCATTCCACCCTGTCCAAGTCGAGCGCCCCCGGGACACTCCACAAACACAACATTCAGCATCCCCATCTCTTCTCGAAGTGTGACCCAGCGGGACAGCACTACCAGCAGCACTACCAAACCGACTAGCGAGTGCGGGGCCCATTTCCGGTTTGTTGGGGGGGGGGGGGGTGAGGCTACCGGCACGACCCACGGAATCTTCTTCACTTTACCTTCAAGAAGACACGACTCCTTGCTTAGGCTTTGGCTTAGCTCAGGCTCAGGTTTAAGCTCAGTTTTAAGCTTGGGCTTAGGCTTAGCTTAAGTATATTCGGCAAGGCTTTGCCTGCCTTTGCCCTACTCTTAGCTTAGGCTTAGGCCTAAGCTAAGCTCAGGCTCTCTATCTCGTCATCGCTGTCTCTGTCCCTTTAAACCCCACATTCCCACAATCCGGAGCATCAGGAAGTGATCTTGGATCTCATGAATCTAGGCTCCTCGAGCTCTTTATTAAACCCCAGACGTCAAAAGAAAACATGGTTGCTCGAAATAAGTGGCCTTATCAAAAACCTGCGTGCGCCCCTGCAGGCCAATTGTCTAATGGAAAAGAACGCCCTCTAGGACACGTAGGCAAATAAATAGGAGGCGGATGTGTTGAAAAGTTAGCATGCTAGCAGTCATTTCCGAAGCCTAATCCTAAGCCCGCCCCCCCCCTTACCCATTATTTAATTTCGAATTTGTATCCAACTTCCGGCTCAAATACAAGCCCATTGATGCATAAACAAAACTCTTCCGAACCTTTCCACCTGACGATGAGCAATTTAGTCCCGTTTCTTTTCGTTTCCCCCTTCATCTCTGGAGGGGATGAAGGCGAGAAATCGAGAGAGACAAAAGCGGCCAAATTTTCACTCCCTATTCACTCGTCCTTGTTGGAGATGGGTGGGAAGATGGGGGTGAAGAGTTCCTTGTTTTCCGTTACACGCCTCCTTTCAGCCGCCAACCCCCAGGAAAAATACCACAATGATTTCCCGACATTATTCCCGATACACTCTATCGTGCTTTTTGCCTAAAAATATTCTTTTAAGCTGGAGCACCGTAATCTTGGCTACGGTATCTTTGGATTACCTATCATTATCTCGAAAATCAACATCTCGAAAATCAATATCTCGAAAATAAACATCTCGAAAGTTGATTATCTCGAAAGTTCATTATCTCGAAAGTTCATTATCTCGAAAGTTCATTATCTCGAAAGTTCGTTATCTCGAAAGTTCGTTATCTCGAAAGTTCACTATCTCGAAAGTTGATTATCTCGAAAGTTCATTATCTCGAAAGTTCATTATCTCGAAAGTTCACTATCTCGAAAGTTCGTTATCTCGAAAGTTCGTTATCTCGAAAGTTCACTATCTCGAAAGTTGATTATCTCGAAAGTTCATTATCTCGAAAGTTCATTATCTCGAAAGTTCATTATCTCGAAAGTTCATTATCTCGAAAGTTCATTATCTCGAAAGTTCGTTATCTCGAAAGTTAATTATCTCGTATTATTATCTTTCTACTCGAATACGAGATAATTAACTTTCGAGATAATTAACTTTCGAGATAACGAACTTTCGAGATGTTTATTTTCGAGATAATGATCAATCCCCGTATCTTTGCGATGTTGTATGTTTTGTATATGCGAATTTAATCAGTTTAAGCGGGTTTCAAACTTTAAAAAGCTGCTTCCAGACCTTTAAAAATGTGAATTTTTTTGATAAGTGCTTGATTTCAAGCTTTTGGCTTTAATTTTCACAAAAGGTTTCTGCTATCCTGCCCTAAGTACTTACAAGTAGGATTTAGCTAGTTCTACTTCTCTCTCCCCTCTCTCTCTGTCTCGCTCTCACTCTCGCCCCCTCTCTCTTAGAATTAACTTAAGAACCAAGCAACGGACGACTATTTGCAGCTTTATCTCCTCCTCAGCTCATTTACGACCCATTTTTTTGGCGTCGCCCCAATTTATGGCCCCTCCGGTTGCACAATATGTGGTCGAATGGACGCAAAACTTGTTGCTTTCGTTGTTCTGTTATTTCGCGCTTATGAAATTCACTAATTAGTATTTTTAAGGCGTGATTCTCCAGAAATTATAATTTTCTAGGTGTGGCGCCCCCGAAATGGTACAGTACCGGCCCTTGGACGACCCGAAATTGCCGGCAGAGATGCTGAAGGTGCCGACGGTGGTGCTGGAGATTAAACGTAAGTATTAGCATGAACCTTTTTTGGAAAACTTCCCCAAGAATCGCTGCTCGCTTGCCCTTGTCTAAAGAATCTCTGCTCGCTTGCCTTTTCCTAGAGAACCTCTGCTAGCCTGCTTATTCCGAGAAAATATCTGTTAGCCTACCCTTTCCTAAAGGATCTCTGCTAGCCTGCCCTTTCCTCGTTTTTCCTCAAGAATCCCTGCTCGTTTGCCCTCAATCTAAATCTAAATTTGTGTCAAAATGAGGCAATCTAGCAAAGGATTTTCACTTGAATTGACAGGGCAACCAGCAGAAACCATGCACTTACGATCAATGCGCTGAAAAATCGAAAACCAATTTATTTTCAGGCAAATGCTCGCATGCCCAATGCGACGGCTCCTGCGAGGGGACGTCCCGAGGGGCAGTCTCGCGGAAACTCAAAATTATTGAGGTAGGATTTGAATATTTCTTGAGTCGTTGAAGTCGAAGCCTAAGTCTCTCAAGCTAAGATTCAGGTATTGACATAGACCAAATAACAATTTTTAGGCCCTCTGCGCCGGCTATCTGGGGCTGTCCCTGCTCTTCTGGCTCGGCTCGGTGTTCTACTACTTGTACCTGCAGATCGCGGTCTTCATCGAATAGAAATGTGTCTTATCGTCGATTTTTCTCTGTTTCTCTCCTCGATTTTTGGACGTTACCTATTGCCTTGATTCTCACTGAATAAACGGGTGTTCCTTGAAATTTTGCTTTTGCTGGAAGACTTATGCACAGCTGGCAAAGCTAGTCGTAATTTTGAGAAAACGGAAAAATGGCTCGAAGGGCAGGCTAGCAGAGATTCTTTAGGAAAAGGCTGGCTAGCAGAGATATGGCCGTATTTGGACTCGAATTCCCACCCTCGACCCCTCACTTCGTGTGCCCTCAAGCCGCTTTAGGCGATCGTCAAACATTTGGATGGGCATGCGATGGTATGCACTGACCCTAGCCGAAAGCGACGATTTCGAATTTCCTAAAGCATTCTTTAGAAAGATTTTTCGTTCACTATGGTTTTTTTGCTGGTTTCCCACGGGCTGCAAAGGAAAAGGGCAACGAACGCGTAAGTCAAAGCCTAAGCCTAAGCCAAAGCCTAAGCCTAAGCTTAAACCTAAGCCAAATTTAAGCCTAAACCTAAGCCTGAGCCTAAGCCAAACGTAAGCCTGAGCCAAGCCTAAGCCTAAGCCTAAGCCTAAGGTATCTAGCCTATGGTGCTAAAATGGCTTGAATCAGCGGCCTACTTTTGAAGGTACTAGTAAACCTGAAATTTGGTCTGTTTTGTCGACTAAACATCGATAAGTCGAAAATTCGTTTCCTGAAGCTTTTTTGGATCTTTAGCAAGCTACCGTACCCAAAAAGTGCTTTTTTTCAACCGGAAATATCCTGGTTTCACGTACGTTAAGCCCGTCCACGTGCCATCTATTTGCATAGCTTCGTTGAGAGAAAGGGGCGAGAAATGGCATGCCGTTAGTTTGTTCTAGCTAGTCTCGGCTAGACCTACACCTAGCATCGAATTTCGCCGGAAAACCTTCAACCCGGGCAGAAGCTTTTTATTTCGCCTCCTAGCTTCTAGAAAATAAAAAACACGCTTTTTTGCAAACAGGATTTTTAGATACTGTAAGACGGCTTTTATGCTAAAAATCGCGTTAGATGTAGATTTTTGCTTTCATAGCTCCTTCAAAAGGTAGAAAAACGAATTCCCAAAGAATCACTGCTAGCCTGCCATGTTTTGCATCCCATAGTCCCAAAGAAATTTCACAATGATTTCTGCTTGCATGCCAGAGGAGAGCGAGAGAGAGAGAGAGAGAGAGAGAGAGAGAGAGAGAGAGAGAGATGGAGCGCGAGAGACCCAGACAGTTCAAGCATCCAATGAGTAATTCGCATGAGCGACGCTCGTGGAAGTGGAAACTATTTGCACAAGCTTTTTTCCTATTTTTCCTTCCCCACACTTACCCGGGCGTCGACCCCGATTCTCGAGCTACGCGACACTCCGCTACCTGCTTTCTCACATTTCACTTGCAAATTTTACCTAGATTTCCCTTTTTCGATGCAAAAGGCCGCTTCTCGCGAAGATTTCGTGAAATTCGTGTGCTGATTCACAGACCAAAATGAATAGGCTGGGGCGAGGGGGTGGGGATGAGTCAGTTCTTAGGGTCGCCGCTTTTCCGTTGAAGGCTTTCGTCATCGATTCTGGGCTTAATACTTGTAAGAACTATTCGTATCTATGCATTTTTGAAAGTCTTCTTCGTCTCTGTCACATTTCGTTGACTCACTCTGTTTCTCTCTGTTTTTCTGTTTCTCTCTCTCTCGCTCACTCTCTCTCACTCTCGCTCCCTCTTTCTCTCCCATACCATCTTTAGATGCACATCCACGAATCATCCGAGCGAATAACGTCCGAAACCTTCGTCACTCGATCCTCTTCTGCCGGCTCGCAGCTGCTTGGCGCCGAGCCAAAAAATGAGGGAATCCTGAAAAATTCTCCGCGACATTCCCCACGCCAAGCTACGACATTTCCGGTGGAAGCACAAGTACGTTAAGGATCTCTGCTAGCCTACCATTTCCTAAAGAATCTCTGCTAGCCTACCCTTTCCTGAAGAATCTCTGATAGCCTGCCTTTTCCTAAGACTAACCTAAAAAGGCGTGACAGGCTAGCAAAGAACCTTTCGGAACTGGCTTCTCCAATATTCATCACTTCCAAGCCCCTTTAAAGTTCAAAATTTCCCAATTCGAATGTCGACCTGCCGGCTCTCACCTAAAGTCAACAAACACACCCCATGTCTTCCTCCCTTTATTTTTGGGGTCAGGTGGGCAAACAGAAAAGAGTCTGGGCAGCTGATTACTACAACAGTTTTTATATTTTTAAAGGCACTAGCAAGGCATGGCTCTGTTTTTTAGGCTCTTGGCGACTTGCCAAACCTGATTCGCAACCTTTCTAGACCTAAAAATCCTCATCGAAATGTCATTTTTGAGATTTCCAATGGCATACTGCAACCATGATTGGCGAGCTTCCAAAAAAACACACACGTAAAACGGTTTTTTCCTGTCCCTTCTCACGATCCAAAATCTACTGAATCGCTGCCGGGCATCGATTTTCGATCCAGGAAACATTCGCCATTTCCAGAACACTACAAACAGCTCCTCGTTCCACTCGGAGACTTTCGGGGCCTACGGTGAAGTGGAGCTGAGCAGGAATAATTCGAGGTTGGTCGGAAATTAGGTATCACCCTTTCTCTCTCTCTATCTCTCGCTCTCTATTTCTCTCTCACTCACTCTCTCTCTCTCTCTGCTAGACAGCCTCGAATTTTTGCAACAATTATTTCATCCTCACTCTCTATTTCTCGCTCTCTCTCTCTCTCTCTCTCTCTCTCTCGCTCTCTTGTTCAATCTCTCTCCAAACTTCAGGAGCTACCACCAAACCTGAGTAATCTCCCCGATAAGCTGAATGGCCCCCCAGAAATCGCGAAATCACAGCAAAAACCCCCAGGTTACGCGGAGAATTCGGTGATTTGAAGAGCTTCATCCCTCCCGTTATCATTTCTTGTTGTGCTTTTGCCGGGTCCGAATCGCTCGGCTTCGTCACGAGACGCCATCGATCCGGGTCCCGGGTGGAAAAGGCAAATATTGTCCCGGTAGCCTCACGTTTCGCTTCCTCCTCCGTTCATACCTTGCCTCCCCCCTTGCTCTAACTGATCTGTACATATACCTAGCTGCTAGCTAATGGCTTCATTGGTTACCTCTTCCGGATCGGCCAGGTATCGGAATTTTCGGGAATCCTGAATGATCTCTGCTAGTTTGCTCTCGCTTTCGGTCCCTCGTTCTCTCTCTCCCGCTCTCTCTCTCTCTCTCTCATTCTCTTTCTCTCGCTTTTTCTCCATGCATGTGGAAAGGGAAGCTCCGAAGCTCCGCTAGCTGGCCTTTCTAAAGAAACTCTGCTAGCCTAACCTTTCCTAAAAATTGTCGCGTTCCCCAATCATCTCTGCTAGCTCTCCTCTGTTTTCAATAATCCTAAAGGAATAAAAGCTAGGTTTTTGCCTTACTAGTCCCTTTAAAAGCCCTTCCTGTCAGATTTAGCAACATTGCAATCCATCTAGATCGTGACTCGAATTCCGACCATCTCGCCGAAAACCATCTCGCCGAAAACCATCCCGCCGAAAACCATTTCGCCGAAAAACCATCTCGCCGAAAACCATCTCGCCGAAAACCATCCCGCCGAAAACCATTTCGCCGAAAAACCATCTCGCCGAAAACCATCTAGCCGAAAACCACTTCGCCGAAAACCATTTCGCCGAAAACCATCTCGCCGAAAACCATTTCGCCGAAAACCATCTTGCCGAAAACCATCTCGCCGAAAACCATTTCACCGAAAACCAACTCGCCGAAAATCTAATTTTGCATGCAAATTTTTTCGCGTAGTTGCGGTCATCCCCCAAGTCACAAAAAAGTAAAGAAAGTTGCTGTTTTTCAGGGTTTCTGTGCCCAGACACTTCCCCTATGATTTGAGGCCGAAAACCGATTGGCTCAGTCATGATCAGTGTTTTAGACCAAAATGGAACACGCCTGAAAAAAAATTTGCATACAAAATTAGATTTTCGGCGAGATGGTTTTCGGTGAAATGGTTTTCGGCGAAATGGTTTTCGGCGAGATGGTTTTCGGCGAAATGGTTTTCGGCGAGATGGTTTTCGGCGAAGTGGTTTTCGGCAAGATGGTTTTCGGCGAGATGGTTTTCGGCGAGATGGTTTTTCGGCGAAATGGTTTTCGGCGAGCTGGTTTTTCGGCGAAATGGTTTTCGGCGAGATGGTTTTTCGGCGAGATGGTCCGATACCTCGTGACCAGGGTTGTTCACCGATGGACCCGGATCGGTAAGGATCCGGATCGGATCTGGATCCGGATCCGGATCGGATCCGCAGTAGGATCCGGATGCAGATCCAGATCCGGATCCGCTCGGATCCGGATCCAATGCGGATCCGAGGAAAAAAGGGACCGGAAGTAATATTCTCGATTCTGATGCTGATTCGGTCATGTTAATCGCAAAAATACATAGCGCAGAGGCAGAACTGATCTTTGCATCTAAGAATTAGCATTTAACTCGGTTGCATGAGCCATTTCCTTGGATCCGGATCGGATCGGATCCGCGCTGGATCTGGATCCGGATCCGGATCCTACCGCGGATCCGGATCCGGATCCGATCCAGATCCAGATCCGGATCCAGTCCGATCCGAAAATGACCAACCCTGCTCGTGACTCATCATTTTTGGTTGGTTGCCAAGAGCCTTAGCCTGGCGAGGCTTCTCGATTACGCATCTTTCAGCAATGATTAGTCACCCTGACCCCAAAAACGTTTAAAAAATTCGAACCGCTTTTCAAATCCGCCAAATTTACGGCCTTTTACTGCTCAAAATGTCATCGCATTAGATTTGCAGAAAATCTTAAAATTTGCACGTTTTTGCAGAGCCGATCGACTCCCCGACGGTTCCGTCGCCATCCAGCTTCCGCCCTACCAACCCAGAGCCGACTCGAGGCCAAAGAATTTCGAAAACAGCCAGCCCCTCCTTGGCTCGAGGCAGCCGACACCGCAGTACTTTAGCCCGCCACTGTACGCAGATATGGCACGGAATGAGAAGGTGTACATGCCCACCACCCAGCCCGCATATGGTAGGTGGCAGAAGAAAAGGGAAGGTCGCGTAAAAACGGAATTTTTGCACCCAAAACGGATGGCATATTGGAAATCAACGCAAAAAAATTTATCTGGACAGGCTTAGGCTTAGCTAAGGCTTAGGCTCAGGCTTAGGCTTAGGCTTAGGCTTAGGCTTAGGCTTAGGCTTAGGCTTAGGCTTAGGCTTGGGCTTAGGCTTAGGCTTAGGCTTAGGCTTAGGCTTAGGCTTAGGCTTAGGCTTAGGCTTAGGCTTAGGCTTAGGCTTAAGCTTCGCTTAGGCTTTGGCTTAAGCTTTTAACGCCGGCTCTTCAAAGTCTCCAATGTCAAAGACCAAGGTCGCCGCATCTAATTTCCATCCGATTCCAGCGATGCAACCGCCCCGTTCGACGACGCCTCGTCACTACGATGGACTGAACGAGGTGTACAGTCAATCGGGGGATACGGCCGAGTTTGCGCGGAATATGGGCTCGTATTTGAACGACAAGGTGCCGCCGCTAGCCTGGTTCGGGCTGATGAGCATCACCTGTTTGGTCGGCTTCATCATATTGTTGATAGGTAGGCAAATAGCTTTCCAGTCTCTCTCTCTCTCTCTCTCTCTCTCTCCCTCGCTCTCGCTCTCCAACACTGTATCTCCTTGCAGGCGCCTTCAACATCCCGTTCTGTAATGTCCAGCCAATGATCCCGATCTGGCTGCTCGTGCTCGGGGTGTTGATCATCATCTCGTCATGCGTCAGAATCTACGCGGCAATTCCGATGCCATCCAGAAGACGTGCGGCCGCACGCGCTGGAGCCCCTCAGCAAGCCTCTAGGCTATCTGCCGATCTATGCCTCAAAGGAACGGAGCTGATCTTCTTCCTCGCGACGATCATCTGGATTATTCTAGGTGAGTCTGGGCAGGCTAGCAGAGGTTTTTGCGGAATTAGAATTTAGGTGCGGAAGCCTGTAAATGTGGGGGGATAGCAGAGATATTTGAGGAATTGTAAGGCAAGAGATTGCGAGAGAGAGTGAGCGAGAGAGCGAGAGAGAGAGAGGGGAAGAGCTGAGCACGATATATATCTTATTGAACATTTTCGACCCAGGGCAAACTAGCAGAGAGCATTTCGGAGCTAAACCTCCGCTTTCCAGGCTGCGTTTGGGTGTACGGCTCGAAGTGGTACGTCCACTTCGAGGAGCACATGTTCGAGGAGCACTACTGCGATCAGGGGCTGTACTGGACGGCCTTCTCCGTCTGCACCGGTTCCCTCGTCTGCGTCGGCCTCATCGTCGTCGGTAGGCAATTTTAAAAGGGTGGTGACAGCAAGGTTTTGATCTTTTTGAAAGGGAATTTCATCGGTAGGTTTTAAAACCTTTCCAAAAACAAATAAAGATTGAATTTTGACTTGGTTTTACATATATTGAACTTTTTTAGCCGTTCTCTTCATCATGATGGGCGGCGCGATGCGGGACAGTTAAATTGAGAATTGGCCTCAAGCATCCCAAATACAGTATTTTTACAGCACCCGTTTTTTGTATGATTTCTCCGATTTCTGATCTACATCTACTGTATGCTGTAGATGATCAAAACAAATACATTACTGCCCACACGACTACGATATTCCTCATTTTCCTAGTTCTCCCACTCTCTCTCACTTTTTCTCATTTTTCTTATTTGAAACGGGTTCGGTGTTGTAACTTGATATTTGTGATTTCGTAAATGTCATTTTTGTATTCTATGACTATCATATTTTAAAGGGGCTAGCAAGGACGCTTCTTACGGCATTTTTCGACGCTAAAATCAGTGTTTTTCCGTGCACAGTCCTTTTCAAACCAATTCCCAGTTTTGTTAAGATAGATTTTTATCAATTTTTGACAACTTTTGAAAAATTTTTCGATTTTAGACTAATTCCAAACATGTTCTTTTGGCTAATTTTCACCTACTGATGAACGTAATAAACGCATACGTCTTTTCACGCCCACCGGGGCACCGGAAGAGATTATTTTTGGCTGCGCCCGTGCCTGGTCAGGTTTTGATACAGATAACATTAGCACAAAGAAGGAAAGGAGGCAGAAGCCGAACAGTTGATACAGACAGATACAACCAACGGTCAGTCCGCAGCTATTTTTGGAGTTTTAGTCCTGGTGATGAGGTTCTTCAAATTGCAAAGAAAAGTGGGCTATACGTTACATTAGATCTACCTTCGGCTATCACGTCTCTCACTCTCTCTCTCTCTCTCTCTCTCTCTCTCTCTCTCTCTCTCTCGCTCTCTCTCACTCTCCCGCTCTTTTTCTAGTTCTCTAGATCTCAATAACTAGCTCTTTCTCTAGCTCTCCTTCTCACTCTCACTCTCTGTTTCTCTCGCTCTCTCGCTTTCGTCTCTCTTTCTCTCACTCTCTCGCTTCTGACATTCAATAATCACGATTTTCTATAAACCTCGAGTTTGAATCTCTGAATGCAGTATTTCAGCTTTCTTAGAAATTGGTCTTTAGGCCCCAGAGTTCATTTGTTTGAGTGACGGGATAAATCTGTAAACGAAAGCGACTGGTTTCTCGAGTTTCCACGATAATACTGCACTCACAATGACGTGAGGATGGGACCGGATCTGAGGCTGTTAGTGGGGAGTGTTTAGCCGATCTGGTGCGAAGAAAAGAATATTTGGGCCCGAATCTTTGTTCAGGTCGGTTTGGGCTGCTCTCTCTCATTCTCTCTCTCTCTCTCTCTCTCTCTCTCTCTCTCTCTCTCTCTCTCTCTCTCTCTCTCCCTCTCTCTCGCCGGGAACCATCCCCACCCTGTCGGCGACAAATAGCGAAACGAGAGCCCGAACACGCGCGCCCCTTTAAAATTGTTGGGACACCTGTGCTCAGGAGAATTATTACTTTTTGGATTATCCTGTAGTTCACCTGAGCCTAAGCTTAAGCCTAAGCCCAAGCCTAAGTCTCAGCCAACCGAAAAGCCAAGCCTAATCTTAAGCCCAAGCCTAACCTCAACATCAGCTATTTTTATCTAGGTTTTCGAAATTCCAATCGCACTATTGCCAAATTCCAGTCGGGACCCGTTGCCAAAAATACCAACTTGTATTTTTCATGGATTTTTACAAGTTTCCGATTTTTCCGGATGTTGCAGGCAAAAACTCTAAAACTATCACACATCCCTGAAAAATTCTGAGTCCGGCCACAGTACAGCGGATTCGACGCTTTTAAAAAAACGGGAAACCCGCACCTAGTCCGCGCGAAATCGGCTTATTCACGCTGTTTTTTGGTGGGGGCCATTCGGCCACCACCAAATTACCTGCGAGCCTCGCCGGGCGGAACCGGTCGGGATTTTTGAGGGACGGACACTGGGGGTAGGTAGAATCCGGGGATTGTTAGATGTTCTCTCACTCTCTCTCTCTCTCTCGCTGTCTCACTCTCCAGACCACACCTTTAAAAGTACTAGTAATTTTGTGAGTTCCGGCTGTCTGAGATTTTTTGAAGCCCGGGCTTAGCTTAGGCTTAGGATTCGCGTAGGATTAGGCTTCGGCTTCGGCTTAGGTTTAGGCTTATGCTATGTCGCCTAGGTATCGACTTATTAAATAGTCTCTACTAACTTATTCCAACGCGTGTTTCCTAACCTAAACTTTTCCATCACCCAAAAATAGTTCGGTGATACGGAGCAGCGGGAGACCGTTCTCCGCGTGCAATCCCATTGTTGTCGGCAGCCCTCCAAAGGTTTTTAGATGTTTCTGGCAAACATTCCGCCCATTTCCGAAGGCAATAATAACACATAGCAATATCAAAAGCCAGCCAAGGCGATAGAGTTTGAAAAATTTCAGATTTGTTAGCGTTTTCTCTCTCTCTCTATCTCGCTCCCTCTCTCTCTCGTGCGTGTATTCCAGAACAGGGCCCTGACTGTCCTTGTTTTGTCCCGGAAAGCCCTCATGTTTTCCCCGTGGCGTTCCTGGTCCTCGAACGAATTTCGCCTCCAAATTGTTCCTGAACAAGCTATTTCACTCGGAATCTCTGCTAGCCTACCCTTTCCTCAAAACCTCTGCTACCCTACCCGTTTTCGAAACACCGCTACCGAAAGGTTCTCTGCTAGCTGTCTTATGATCCTGGAGCGGATTCCTTAAGCGTCTCGGCTAGCTTGCCTTGTTCCTGAAGAATCTCTCCCAGTTTCAGTGTGGTTTTTCCTGAATAATCCATGTTGGCCTACCCTAGCCTAGAGAGAGATAGGGAGAAAGAGAGAGTGAGAGCGTGAGAGAGTCCGCAGAGCACAAAGCGCAAATCCCCGGCGGTGCCAAGCCGGAGCCCGGGCCGCGTTTTGAGTTTGTGCCGACGCGCTGGTGGGCGCTTTGTCCCGGACATGTTCGTGTTTGGCTGGTCGGATTGAGGCTGTTCGGGGAGAGCGGATAGATATAATGCCCGGGTTACGATCCAGGACATGTCAGTTGCTAGAAATTCTGCACCGGCATTGAGAGCTCATGCCCTAACGTTTTGGTGTTGCCTAAAGAATCTTTGCTAGCATGCCCTTTCGTAAAAAATCTCTGCTAGCCTGCCCTTTCCCAAAGAATCTATGCTAGCATTCCCTTTCGTAAAAAATCTCTGCTAGGTTGCCCCAATTTGATCTCCGCGATACTCCTCTATTTATTCCGACTTACTACAAAACACACCTATCGTACCTAGACGGGTGGCATCAAATAATGTCCCTCTGTTTGTCCACCAGCTCGCCGATTCCTGTGTCCTTGTATTTACCGCATCAACGCATTAGTTTCTCGGGAAAAACTAATCCCACCCTCGCCTAATTGACCTCTATTTGGTTTCTCTATGATCTTTCGGGAAATTGATATCGAGACCTATATGATGGGATGGAAATCGCAAAAAAACTCTGCGAGCCTGCTCTTTCCTAAAAAATCTCTGCTATACTGCCTTTTCCTAAAGAATCCCTGCTAGCCTGCCCTTTCCTAAAGATCTCTGCAAGCCCCTCATTCTCAATTTTTTGTTCCTATGACCCCTCGATATCAATTCGGATGACGATTGGTCTCTCCCTGCTCTTCCCGTCCGATCGGGGGAAACCCCCATCAAAATTCGTGGCGGGACCACCACGGCACCGTAATCCAAAATCTGAAAGTGACGAGGGGCACCGGGGTACAAAAGCTATTTGTTGACATTTTCCTGTTGAAGCTATGTATCTATTGGTACTCTAGGCTTATAAAAGCCGAAGTGGAAACGGAGTTACGGTAGTTTCTCCTAAATAACCGCTGGTCCTCAGTAAGTGGCTGGGGTTACGGTAACTTTCTTCGAATGAGAGTGTCATTATTTTTTTGAGAAAACGGCAATATCGGGAAAGAGAAATTTGCGAGAAATTTTATCGGGGCTCCCCGGGTTTTGGCCTGCAAATTCCGCAACTTTTCCCTGCACGAAAACTGGGAAATTGCAGAACTGATTCACTGCATTTCAAAGGGGCCTTTTGAATAAAGTCTTTGATCTGGCTTTTCCAGCATTTTCCAATAAAATTGGGGTTCCGCTTTTCAAGAATTTTCAGGCTTCAATCTTTTCGAAATTTAGTGGGAACTGCGAGGGTAAAATCGCAATTTAACTGCCCCCTCTCTCGCTCGTCTCTCGCTCTCTCTGGCTCTCGCCCTCGCTTGAGCTCAGGTCTAATTTTCTCTGTCATTACGTCTCTCTCACTCTCTCGCTCTCCATACTCTCTCACTCTCTCGCTCTCTCGCTGTCTCTCTCTCTCTATTTCTCTCTCGCTCTCTCCGTCGCTCTCGCTCAGAAATCACGGGCGTTCTTTAAAAATCGCGATGACTCATGGTGACGCGCCTGGTCAGAGGCTGGTCCCCCCAATTATCTCACTCCGCTATGAAATAAAAGTCCGCAACAAGGGCATTCAAACAGGCCGTCCAGAAACGCGACAATACCATTGACGAACAGAGGGACAAACAGAGAGAACGCAAAAGCGGTCGCACTGTTTTCCCGCTTTCTTGTGGCGAGATGGGTATAAATAAGGCGCCCCGGGTCGGGTCATGCTTATTTTGATCTTTTTGGTGCTCATTATTTTTTATTCGCTAATTTCGTCAATCTCGTAAAATTTGTTAGTTTCGCTAATAAATTCCGTTTTCAAAGATTCCTGGCTTACTGTAAAATTTCTCCTGGCTTTCAAAATTCAGTTTCTTTCCCTCAAAAACTTCTGCTAGCTTGCCCCGCTGTACACCCCTGGTTTAACAGTTTCCGCAAAAGATCACTCCTGGTTGCCCTCGTCTTTCCGGCCCATTTCCTCAATAATCTCTGCTAGTTTGCCCTGACCCAATCAAAATTTCTCGAGGCAATTCTGCTAGCTCGCCTCGAATTTTTGCTAGTTCGAATTTGAATAAATTTTGCATGTTCCTTAAAATCATTCCCATTATTTTCAAGTCTGCCTGCAAATGTGGCAGCCAGGATGTTGGTGAAAAATTATTATCGCGTTTTCCATATTTTGGTTTTTCGATATAACAATGTTTGTTTCAGAAAATGGACGTTATTACCTCAACAGCGACAGCTATTATATTGAATAATGTGAGTATTTACGCCCAAACCAAGCCTAAGCCTAAGCCTAACCTAAGCCTAAGCCTCAATTTCAGCCCCACACGCTATGGATTCTGATCGTCGGCTTCGTGTTGGCCTTCATTCTTGGAGCCGGGATGGGCGGAAATGATGTGGCGAATGCATTTGGTAAGCGGGAGAGAGCGAGAGAGAGAGAGAGAGAGAGAGAGAGAGAGGAGAGAGAGAAGGAGAGCTAATTTTATTTTCTCATTTCCAGGCACATCCGTCGGCTCCAAGGTGGTCACCATCATCCAGGCCTACATGCTGGCCACGGTGTTCGAGACGGCGGGTGCGATGCTTGTCGGTGAGTGGCAGATTGCAGGGATTCTTTCAGAAGGGGCAAGGTAGCAATGATTCTTGGGGAAAGGGTGAAAGCTAGCAAATGCCATTTGCGGAATTTTCAGGCTCCTTCGTCGTCGACACGATGCGGAAAGGGGTGGTTGACACGACGCTGTACGACCAGGAGCAGCAGCTGTTCATGCTTGGCCAGTTGGCTATTTTGGGAGGTACGTTATGCGCCAGGTTCCGGTCAAGGTGGTAGGAGGCTTTGGGCTCAGGCTTAGCCATAGGCAGGGACGTTTTTTACGTTTTTACGGCGATTTGTAGAGCTATGCAACCTTTTTTTTCAAAAATTTTTGCCTGCGGCGCTGTTTTCTCGTTCATCTTTTGAGTTTTTTGGAAAAATTTTTTGGGGGCCCCCCCGAAATTTTTTTTCTGGCTACGCCCCTGGCCATAGGTGAGGCTTACGCTTAAGCTTAGGCTTAGGCTTAGGCGTATCTTTGGCTTAGATTTAGGCTTAAGCCTAAGGCTTAAAAATCGTATCTTTATAGGCTGTGCCGCGTGGCTGATGATAGCTACAGTAATGCAAATGCCCGTCTCGACGACCCATTCGATCGTGGGGGCGACGATCGGCTTCTCCATCGTCTGCAAGGGGCTCGAGGGGATACGGTGGATTGAGATTGGAAAGATTGGTGGGTAGCTAGGGTCTTTAATCCTCAGGTTTCCCCGCTAGCTTGCCTATCCTGCTAACCCTCGTGCTCCCCAAAAATTTTGCTAGCTCACCCATCTCGTCTCCGTTTTCTCAAAAATCTCCGCTAGCTAGCCCAATTCCACATCGCGTTTTTAGTGTCATCCTGGTTCCTCTCGCCCGCCCTATCGGGCTTCCTCTCATCCTCCCTCTACCTCATCGTCGACCATACCGTACTCAGAAAGGTATCCTTTATACAATCCAGGCTCTCAAAGCTTTTTAAAGGACGCGTGACACCCCAAAATTTCAGCCAAACGCCCTCGAAAGTGGCTACATCGCGCTGCCAATCTTCTACGCCGTTTGCGTGGGCGTCAACGCGTTCATGGTCGTCTACCAGGGATCGCCAGGTACTTTTAAAAATTAGATACGTTCAAAAAACATCCTTACAATACTCGAAAACCTCATTTTTAGCCCTCCACTTCGACAAAATCCCCTGGTACGCGGCGATCCTGATTTCGGTCCTAATCGGGCTGCTCACCGGTTTTGCCGTCCATTTCCTGGCCATCCCGAGGATCCGCAGAAAAATTCGAGGTGCGTTGAGCGTTTTTAAAGGTACCGGCAAGACAGAGCCTATGGATTCTTGGAAGCCCCCTTAAAACCTGAATTTAGACAGCCACTCGACGTCGAGCGGAACGAGGAGCAACTCGGACGGGGAGCTCGTCAACGAGTCGACCGTCGAGAAACGTGAGTTTGTTGGTTAGGCTTAGGCCCAGGGTCAGGCTTATGCTTAGGCTTCGGGGCTTAGGCTTGCGAAATACTGGAATTTCAGGTGTCGCCGCCTGGGAATCACTAGAAGGCACGAAAACGATGCCCGCCCTGACGATGCCCGGCCGGCCTGGTAATGCCACTTTTCCGGCCCTTTAACATTCGGAAATTCAGCTTCTGAAGAACCGAGGACAGGCTTATCGTGGCTTCTCCCGAGACCCGGACAAATCGAGGAGACGGCCGTGCTCGAGCTGTTCAAGTACATCCAGCTGTTCACCGCCTGCTTCGCTGGCTTTGCGCACGGAGCAAATGATGTTAGGTAGGGCGGGGCGGGCTGGCAGAGATTCTTGGGGAATTGTGAAAGCTAGGAAAGCTTATTGAGGAAAAGCTAGAGCTTGATTTGAGACTAGGCTTAGGCTTAGCTTAGATTAGGCTTAGGTTTAGGCTTGGGCTTAGGCTTAAGCATGGCCTAATGTAAGCCAAGCAAGCAAAGACCTTTTTACGGATGTTTTTCCACATCAATTTCAGTAACGCTATCGCCCCCCTCAGCGCACTTTGGGCCATTTGGAATAAAGGAAATCAGGTAGGCGGGAGAGAGAGATAGAGAGAGAGAGAGAGAGAGAGAGCGAGAGAGAGGAGACAAAAATCAAAAACATCAATCCCTTCCAGGAAGCCCCCGTCGACTGGTGGATCGTCCTCTACGGCGTGGCAGCCATCTGCGTCGGTCTGTGGCTGCTCGGCCACCGCGTGATCAAGACGGTCGGCACCGAGATGAGCGAGATCAACCCGGCGTCCGGCTTCACCATCGAGTTCGGCGCGGCGATGGCCGCGTTGATAGCTAGCAAGCTCGGACTGCCGATTTCGACGACGCACTGCTTGGTGAGTCGAAGTCCCTACCAGCTTACCAGTTGGAACGCCGTGGGGGGTTAGTAGGGTTCTTTAGGAAAGGGCATGCTAGCAGAAGTTCTTTGGGAATACATAAATGCTGAACATCTACAGGTCGATTACCTATCATTATCTCGAAAATCAACATCTCGAAAATCAACATCTCGAAAATAAACATCTCGAAAGTTCATTATCTCGAAAGTTAATTATCTCGAAAGTTCATTATTTCGAAAGTTCGTTATCTCGAAAGTTAATTATCTCGAAAGTTCATAACCTTGAAACCCGGTCCTTACCATTCTACTCCACCTTTTGTTATCAACTCGATATTGATGTCACAAATAAAATAAAAAGCATTTATTCCGATATATCATTTAATCAAAGGTCTGGGCAATTAACTTGACGAAGTTAATGGTTTCATAAGCATCATAGCTCTCGCAGAGGGCTTGTTGCGCCTGGTAGTCGGGACGCAGCTTTTTAGCCTTGTGTCCTTGTTGCTGCATTTCCAGAATTCGACTGTTCGAGATATTTAACTTTCGAGATAATGAACTTTCGAGATAATTAACTTTCGAGATGTTTATTTTCGAGATGTTGATTTTCGAGATGTTGATTTTCGAGATAATGACAGAACCCCCTACAGGTCGGCTCCGTGGTGTGCGTCGGCTACTTGAGGTCACGAGAAAATGTCGACTGGCGAATCTTCCGGAATATTGCTGTTTCTTGGGTCGTCACTCTGCCAGTTGCAGGTGAGAGAGAGCGCGGGAGAGAGCGAGCGAGCGAGAGAGAGAGCGAGAGAGAGAGAGAGAACAAATTCCTCTATTTCCAGGCCTAATCGGTGCCGGCATCATGTTCCTGCTGAAAACGGTGGCCCTCGACAAACCCAGTTAAACTTTTCGAAAATTATTTATCGCCATTTTCACGCTATTTTGTTTTATACTGTACCCTGGCTCTTCCCATTACCGGTATCTTCCATTTCGCAATCAATTCCTCTAGAGCATTTCCATGTCATTCCCGTCTGTAAACTTGGTAGCTATTAATGCACGCTCTTCCCCCAATTATATGTTTTTCCCCGTTTAGAATTGCATTCGAATGTGTTGCTTTTATATGATTAAGATGCATTGCTTTAATAAAGCCTGATACTCAAAAATGACGCGTACCAGGCTTTCGGGATTTTTGTAGGATTTTGGGCGGCACTTTTTTCTTACGATCTAATTTTTCAACTATGAATAGTGGAAGCGATTTTAAATGATTTTTTTACTATTCCTGAGCGATAAAACTTTACAAATTTTTCATAAAAAAATAGCAAAAATATTGATATTGGACCCACATTTCCATTTCTTAAAAGTGTTTGGATAGTTTTCTAGTTGAAATGTAGTTACATATTACTAAAAACACGATTAAACCCCAACTAGGCATTTCGAGACGCTTACAAAAAGTTCGGTTGCTGCGATTTATCCACTTTTCCCAATAAGAAAACCTCAAAAAACGCTTTATTCCAAAAAGCAATTCACAATGCAAGTCCATCACAACAAGGCAAAAATTCGGTAAGCAAAATTAAGGCTTAAATCGCTATAATTGGGGGTGCTCAATTCTCGACGGTGGCCGGCTCCCAGTTGTGGGCCTGTGTGGCGCAGTGCTTCTCGTAGGCGGCCACCCATTCGGTCAGCTGATCGTTCGGGATTAGCTAAAAATTTGTATATCACTCTGTCTGTCTCGCTCTCTCTATCTCTCCTTCTCTCGCCCTCTCTCTCTCTCTCTCGCTCTCTCTCTCCCGACCTTCCTGCTGTCGGCCAGCGCCATGAAGGAGCGCGCCAGGTAGAGGTACTGTGTGTCCATCTGGAAAATGTCGGAAATGAGAATTTGAAGCCGCATTCCGACCTGAACGCTTCCGTGACGCGCCTCACGCAGCTCACGGACCACCTAGACCATGAAAATATCGATAACGGCTTAGGATTCGGCTTAGGCGTAAGCTTAGGCTTATGCACTTACCGTGTCTAGCACTGGTGTTTCGCCCTTGTTCAAGTCGCTCAAGATGATGTCGGTGGCGACGAGGGTCCCGGTACGGCCGACACCTATTTGTAAGTTGTCTCTGTCCCTTTAGAAGCGAGAGAGAGAGAGAGCTCCAAACCCACCAGCCGAGCAATGGACTACGATAGGTCTTCCGGGGGATAGGCCGGTGAGGAAGCGGATGCAGATGAGCGGATCCGCGGGTACGCCCCGATCGGGCCAGCAGCCCCACAGGTTATGCTCGACGACGTGCGGCTTGGGGTTCCCCTGAAACTCCGTTAAGGGTATGGAGATGTTCCTAAAGAATCTCTGCAAGCCTGCCATTTCCTCAGAATCTCTGCTAGCAGGCCCTCGACAGATGTCCCGCTCCCATTAAAACCCACATCGTACTGCAAGATTGTGAGCCGGACCTCGAGCCGGCTGCGCTGGATTCGGGGCTCCACCTCGGTGACGCTCACGCACTTGATCGTCAACAGCCCGGAGCGCATCTTGGGGGAGATAAATAGAAAAAGGACGCTGTCGGCATTTATCGGCATTTTTCGTGAGTACATACCAAAAACAGCTCTGCTACCTACCGTATCCCCTGGATTCTGGGGCCAGTACTTTTCGCTTTTCGGCTTCCCCTTTTCGAATAAGCCACAAAGCATCACGATGGTCGGGCATTTTTCTTGCCAAATCTGGAAAAAAATCGGGGTAAGCCGAAGCCTAAGCCGGAGCCTAAGCCTAAGCTTAAGCCTAAGGTACCAAGACGCCCCCACCATTCGCCAAAAATCGTCGACGGTCGACTTCTTCGGGGCTTGCGTGCAGATGAAGCTGAAAACGCTTTGTCTACGCTGGCTAGCATTAATCCACAGACCGCTTCTTCTGCTCGGGTGTGTCGACCCAGTTTGCGTGGATGTAGTCGGGCATAGCCTCTGGCCATCGGAGGTGGACACGCGTCGCGTCGAGGCAGTAGACGCCTGAGAGGGACAGACTAGCAGAGGCACTTTAGGAAAGGGCGAGCTAGCAGAGATTCTTTAGGAAAGGGCGGCTAGCAGAGATTCTTTAGGAACGGGCAGGCTAGCAGATATTCTTTAGGATCCGTACCCGTCGATCGGTTCTTCTCCTTATTTTTGGTGTAGGTGGCCTTTTTGTCGGCAGCGACCGTCTGCGTCTGGCACTTGATCTCCAGAAATTCGTCAAGCAACGCCGGGACGTCAAGCTAAAAAAAAGAGGTAGTTTAGTCGTTAGATTCCAAGAATACCGTAACATTGTTCTGCACAAAGTCGACGAGTGCGGTGTCGAAATCAGTTGTCGGCTTCTGAAGATTTTAGGTCATCCGGAAATGCCCTGAAAAACTGACATTTCCAGCCTCATCTGCCATTTGGGAAGAAGAAGGTGGCAGAGGGCGGCATTGAGAGTGAATTGAATTTTGGGTTCGGTTTATGGAATTATGCTAATTACGGTGAAACGCGGAATCCGTATGGAGACATGGAAACTTTCTTTGTTAGGTCGAGGCTTCGGCTTAGGCTTAAGCTTCGGCATAGGCTTCGGCATAGGCTTTGGCATAGGCTTTGGCTTAGGGTAAGGCGTAGGCTTAGGTCTAGGCTAGGCTTAGGCTTTCACTTAGGCTTGGGCTTGGGCTTATTGTTAGGTGTAAATGAAGTGTATTTTCTCGTTGTCAATATCACTTTTACAATCTTCACTGGTTTATCAAAATGACCGGCATCTTAAAGGGCATAGGAATCAAACAACAACAAAAAAAAACACAAAAACACGGTAAAGCGTACGGATTAATAGAAATATTTAAATGACACAAAAATCACTGATTAGACAATATTCATATTGGCATCAAGCTTCCTGGGAGCGAGACGGACCGCGTATTTCTGAGGGGATACGGTGAGCCTGAAAGAGCTTGTTTTAGCTCGTGCTCTCTCTCTCTCTCTCTCTCTCTCTCTCTCTCTTTCGCTCTCTCTCTCTCTCTCTCTCGCCTACCCCAGCGTCCGCTGCCTAGAGTAGTTTTCCCCGGGCACCGGACAGACGTCGAACTGCTTGAGGACGTTGGCGAAAATTAGGAACAATTCGGCTCGGGCCAGCGACTCCCCCAAGCATTGCCTTTTTCCTAAAAACATCCTCCAGTTTTTGGTGATGTGCAATACCTAGCGAAAATGGCATGAATTGCTCGACCCGCTTCAGCTTGCCTTCTTCGTCTAAGAAGCGTTCGGGTCTGAAAGATGACAATTACAGAACGCTTCCTAAAAAATTTCTGCTAGCCTGCTTGTTCCTAAAGAATCCCTGCTAGGCTGCCCTTTCCTAAAGAAGTCTGCTAGCCTGCCCTCACCTAAAATCACTCGGATCCTCGAACACGGTCTCATCATTCAGCATCGTGGCTATTTGGGGGATAACCATCGTCCCTAAAGGGGCAGGGACACTTTAAAAATTCGGAAAATGTGCTAACCTTTTGGATAAAAATATCCATCGATCCGGACGTCCTCAGATACAGTACGCAAAAGATTTATTGGCAAAATATTGGCGATGCGCTGGATTTCCTGGAATTAAGGAGTTTTCACCATCTCTCTCTCTCTCTCTCTCTCTCTCTCTCTCTCGCTCTCTCTCTCTCTCTCTCTCTCTCTCTCTCGTTCGCTTTCTCCCTAGAACTCACACAAACTGCCGCCTGTGTATATGATGCTCGCGACCTATCCGCCAGCCCGATTTCTTCGACGTTGAGCCCGTCAAGTTCGGCCTGGAATATGCAAATTTTGCCTATTGCGAAAGTTCCAAAAGTTCAAGGAGTTCAAGGAGTTCAGTGCCAAACGGCCAACACCACAATTTTCTTCAAGAAATGAGCTTCACCTGTATCCGGCGCATCACTTCCGGCTTGTGGACGACCAGCAAAAATGCCCATTTGAGCGTCGTCACCGTCGTCTCCATCCCGGCAAAGAACAAGTCGAGCAGCAGCATTTGGAGTTGCCATAAGCTAAAAAAATGGGCCTTGGCTTGGGTTTAAGCTGAGGCATAGGCTTAGGCTTAGGTTTAAGCTTAGGCTTGAGCTTAGGCTTAGGCCCAGGCGGTGGCTTAAGCTTGGGCTTTGCTTCAAAACCCACTCGAAATGCCCGGGATCTCCGCTCTGTTTCCTTCTCTCGATCTCCTCGAGGTAGGCAAAGGTGAAGTCGTCGACCGAGTGTCCCTGCTCGAACAGGGCGACGTGGTCCTGAAGCGAGAGAGTCAGAGAGAGCAAGAGATAGAGAGAGAGAGACGAAAACTCACGTTGACCTGCCGTCCCAAGAACTCCCAAAGGGCATCGCGATGTCGGATCAACTCCTTCCAGGGCCCATCCAAGAGTGGCATTTTTGAGGTGAAAGGGAAGGCGAGGTAGAGGCCTCAAAGCGAGAAATTAGCTAGAGACTATCTGTCTTTACCCATCAATGGATGAACCACTAGCCGGGACTGGGCGTCGAGAAGGGAGTGAAGACGCTTCATCTCGGAGGAGCCCTGGAAGCATCCATTATTTCTCCTTCTCCTAAAGAATTTCTGCTAGCCTACCCCTTCCTAAAGAACCTCTGCTAGCTTGCCCCACCTGCGGGAACGTAACGCCGAACAGCATATCGTTGATGATGTTGCCGACACAAATAGCTAAAGGTGTGCACAAGTCGACTTCTTCACGGCCTCGGAGATAGGCTGTCAATTGGCGCACCTGGAATTGCAGAAATCGTCAAGAATTCAGCTAGCTTGGGTCGGTTCAGAAAGCGAGAGAAAGAGAGAGAGAGAGAAAGTAGACACAGAGAGACAGACAGAGCGAGATATAGCGACAATCAGAGGGGGATTAGTGAGAGAGAGAGAGAGAGAGAGAGAGAGAGAGAGAGAGAAAGAGAGAGAGAGCCAGATAGACATCTCGACCAACCTCCGACAATATTTTCTTCTCCATCAGCTGCTGCCCCACCCCAAAGTCTCGCAGCACATGTAGAGAAAACCTAAAAGCTGACCCATCATATTTCATACAATATCCCCCACCTTCTCTGCTCCCTCCACTTTTCCCCATCTATCTGTATCACACCATTAGCCCCGCCCATAAACGAATCGGTGGCAAAGTTTCGCCACCGGTTGCTGAAGAGCTCGCCGTGCTGCACAAAGTATCTAAATGAAGCATCAATTATTGCAGATGATTCCCAATTTTTCTTCTGCTAGCTGTAGGGGACCAACTTCTTCATTGTGTGCACCTCGTTGACCATGACGAGGGGGAAGGGGCCAATCCAGACGGTGTAGATGCCGCCGTATTTTCGGCGCCAGTGGGCCATGATCTCGTCGAAATTCGCTGAAAAGTGGTAGGTTTATCTAGCTGTCTCTCGCCGGTCCTGTCTCTCTCGCCCTCGCTCTCTCTCCCACTCACCTGTCGCTAGTGATACCATATTCCCAACTGTCAACCATGGGGTCGGGCCGGGCGGCAGATTCCGACGTTTCCAGTAGAGCTCGTGGATCAGGAAGGGGAGCACGAGGAGGATGGTGAGGAGAAAAGGATGATTCTGAAAAAATTAGGTAAATCTCTCTCTCGCTCTCCTCTTACCTTCAACTGCAACAACAGCTTCAAACCGACCAGCCCCAAAACGAAGCCGATCCCGAGGAGCAACCCTCGACGATCGACCCTCATCATTGCCCTCTTTTTCTCTTGCCAGCTCTCTCTATCTCTCGCCGACACCCATTCACATTTTGCGCGGGCACCGCGAGGCGTATCTCTATCTGCAAGTTGCATTCAGAGATAGACATATCCGTTTCAGGGATTAGAATAGGTTGTGAATAGGAGTGCATTGGAAATCGAATGGGATTACAGGGACCGGAATGGGTTTAGGGGCCAACGGATTTGAACCTAGAGCGACTTAGAGAGAGAGAGAGAGAGAGAGAGAGAGAGAGAGAGATAGTGAAGGCTAATATTCTATTTCCAAAGATAAAGGGAAATTTCCTAATGAATCTCTGCTAGCCTGCCCTTTCCCAAAGAATCTCTGCTAGCCTGCCCTTTCCTAACGAGTCCTCAAGAAACCAAGAACCAAGATAAGCAGAACTATGCAAAAAATATTTCCGGCATTGCCGCGGGAAAACTCGGGCTGCCCCGGAAATGGGGGTCAGGGTTCAGGGGGCTTTTAGAGGCGCCCCTGTGATGACGGGCCGACGGTTTTTGAGGGGGGCGGGAGGAGGTGTAGTGAGCATGGACTCGGAAACTCGTTCTACCTGCCCCCAAATGCCCCCCGGGAGGCTCTTGTTTAACGGTCACACACGCAAAAAATATAGACAAAGAGCATGTGCAAACCGGGAATACAAAAAAAAATAACAAAGACAAATAACTGGTTTAAAGGGGCTGAGAAGTGCCAGAAATGAAGAGGAGAGAGGGAGGGAGAGAGAGAGAGAGAGAGAGAGAGAGAGAGAGAGAGAGAGAGAAAGAGAGAGAGAGGGGGAGAGAGGGAGAGAGAGAGAGACAGAGAGGGCCAGGGAGAGGGGGGGGCGAGAGAGCGCGAGATAGAGGGATAGAGAGAAAGCAAGGGAGAGGGCCAGAGAGGGCCAGAGAGAGAGGGGGGGGAGAGAGAGCGAGAGAGAGGGGTAGAGAGAAAGCAAGAGAGAGCCAGAGAGAGGGTGAGAGAGAGACAGAGAGAGGGAGAGAGAGCGAGCGTGAAACCTGCATGCATAAATTCCTTAAATTCCATAAAAACCCTTTGTCTACAGGAGACAATGCCATTGGCATGCAAATCTCGAGACAGTAGTATTTGAGCGGGGCTACTTGAGGACAGGTTTTCCGGGAATGGCGAAGAAGGGAAGGCCATCGGGAATAGACAGACATCGCTTAAGGACTTTTTCGACCCCCTGCGGAAAGTGGGAAATCGGTGAAACCAAAAAGGAAACGTTTAACTGGCCCGGGCAACGTTCAAAGGGACTATAAAGGCAATAATTTTATAAATTTTCGGAGGAAAATGACGCTGGCTACTGCTGCATGCTTAAAAAATCCAAAAATCTCATCGATTTTGGAAAATTGTCGGGGGCGAATAGATGTCGCCTTCTCAACCGTCTTAGGATCCAGCGCCGGCAATATGCAAATTTCTGCCTGTGTGGCATTGGTTTGGGCCGACGCTGGAACGGGAATAGAAGATTGCTCCAGTTTTGGTCGCTGTTAGCTTTTGATTAACAGGGAGCTAAAAGAGAGGGCAAGAGAGAGACAGAGAGAGAACGAGAGCGCGATAGAGAGATAGAGAGAACTAGCGAAAGAACTAGAGGGAGGGAGAACAAGAGGTATATAGAGCGAGAGAGCACGAGAAAGAAAGCGCGAGAGAGCGCGAGAGAGCGAGACATCAGAGAAGCAAGAGCATGCACCATTTTGCAGTGACCTCTCTCAAACAACTGAAAACCCGTTCAAAACCCTCTGAATTGTTTTGAGAAGTTCAGCCACGTAAAAAACGATGTCAAGTGCTTCCAGAAGTGCTTTTGAAAGTCTCGAAAAATGGCTCAATCCGTTCAAGGAGCGGGGCCCGCAACCAAAATTTCGGGACCGGCTTCTCACCTGGAGTGAGGTGGCGCCCCTTGTACCCTGGAGGGGAATGAAAGTGAGAGGGAGGCAGAGAGAAAGAGAGAGGGAGAGAGAGAGAGAGAGGGAGAGAGGGAGATCGAAAGCCTCCTCCCCGTAGATCTCGTATCTACAGCCGATCCGTGCTCACCTGTCCGCTGGACCGGATCCGCGGGAACGGTGCCCCAGGCCAGCCAGCCAGCCGGACACGCACTTTTTCGCGGATTCCGTGTGAAATGGCCGGAAAATTGAGGCGAATACGGTTTCGTGGGCGTTCAGTGGAGCGTTGCGTAGCAACTGTAAGGTGACTTACCGAAAAATTTAGAAAGCACAGGAAAGTAGGCTTAGGAGTAGGCTTAGTTTGAGGCTTCGCGGGGCCTAGGCTTAGCCTTGGGCTTAGTCTTAGGCTTAGGGCTTGCGGTTTGGCTTAGGCTTAGGCTTAGGCTTAGGTTTTCCGTAGGCTTAGACTTAGGCCTAGGTTAGGCTTAGGCTTCGGCATGGGCTGGTCATAGGTTTTGGTTAAGCTTTAGACTTGGGCTTAAGTTTAGGCCTGCCCTTGGCTTAGGCTTAGGCTTCGACTTAAGCACATTTCTACGACCTACCTAACAAATATTTCGTAAAATTTCGAGGGAACTATCATCAATGCTTCCTTTTCTATAATTTTTCTTTCGACCCTCTTGCCTTGCCAGTCCCTTTAAACCCCCTGCGGCAATGCTGTGTCGCCTCTCTCGGGGTCCCGCCACGCTCCCCTGTCTCTCATACCCCCTTTGGGGGTCTTCGATCCGCTCACCTTTCGCCAAATATACACGACGCGAAAAGGGGGGACAGCCACTGTAAACTATCCCGCCCTGTTGATCCCCATTGAGTCATCGGTTGGTTCGTCAGGGCTTCAAGAAAAATTCGCTACTTTTTGGCTTCGACTTGGCTTCACTGGCTTCGCTTCAGTTTTCCAATTCAACAATTAGGAAAGGCTTCTCAAGATGTATCTGCCTGAAAATCAGCCCGAAATAAGCGCAAAATGTAGTGTTTCGTGAGGAGTTTGTTCTTTTTTTTACTTTTTCGACATGGCTTAACTGGCTGAGCTTCAGTTTCTTAAGCTCGTTATCAAAATCGTCCTAGGCAAGCGGTATCTGCATCAAAACCAGCGAAAGTTAGCGCCAAAACTTAGGTCGAGCTTATTTTTCGAGCACCTTCGACATGGCTTGCCCAGCTTAGCTTGATTTCTTGGGGCATGGATCTTTAGAAAAACACTAGAAGTAAATACATAGCCTTTTTTCCTTTAATAGATGCCCTAAAGTCGGTTCGGAGAACAAAATACCAGTTTTTTTTTTTGGTTCTTCCGGCTTACCCTACCTGGCTTGGACAGCTTTCCTGGCTTGGCTTAACCCATTTTAGCTTGATTTTTAAAGCACCGATTCTAGTTAAATAGTGTCAGGATTGCCGCATTAATGGATACCCCAAGAAGGCCGAAGCCCGAAATCGACCTATTTTTGGATTTTTAAAATTGTTTCGTCGACTTGCGAAAAATGCTCATTGGAGAATTAATGGATTTTTTTAATCTTTCTCCACTTTTTAAAAAGTTTTGACGCCCGAAATCGCCAACTTTCAGGCGGGGATGAGCGGCGACGAGCTGTCGATCGGCGCCCACAACCTGCACGTCTACGAGGGGCTGTATAGAGAGGTGAGGAAGCTTTGGATATCGTAGGGTTATGCGTAGACTTAGGCTAGGCTTAGGCTTAGGATAAGCCTACTTAGGCGTTACTCTTACTTAAAGCTTTACGAAGATACCTCAAATACCTTCGGAAAACCGACTTCGCAGGTCCGATAGACTATAGAAGACTTTGAAGCTGCCTCTAAGACCCGAAATCTTTTCAGCTAAACCCGCAAGGAGCCCCATTAACCCCGGCCGGTGATGCCGCAGCTTTTCTGCGAAGATCCGGACTTCCGGTCCAGTATCTCGGCCAAATCTGGGAGCTGGCCGACTATGCGAAACGTGGGGCCCTTGATAAACGAGTGAGTTTTAGCATGCATAGGAACAGGGAAGGCAAATTTTTCCACAAATCCAAGAAGACAGGGATCAAATACAAAATACAAGCTACAAAATTTGATAGAAGAATTTTCAGGGCGCTTTCATCGCGTTCAAGCTGGTCGCCGCGGCGCAGCAGGGACACCCGGTTGTGCAGAGCTCGATCATGATCCCAGGTAGGGAGAGGCTTAGGCTTAGGCTTAGGCTTAGGCTTAGGCTTAGGCTTAGGCGTCGCTAGCCTCGAAACCCAAGCATACCAAGCCCTGTTTCAGGCCTGAACCCGCCGATGTTGGGCTCCAGAACTGCCACTCCCGCGGTTCCCTCCGGTCCGAGCAGCCTCCAGGCTTCTCCTTCTCGACAGAGCGGTAAGTAAAAAATACCTTTGCTAATAACTGACCCACCTACAGTACCCCTACCTCGATCTCCATCTGGTGGACGTGCCGAGTGGGCCATTCAACCGGTAGACCAGGCCAAGTACGACTCGATCTTCAACTCGCTGAGCCCGGAGAACGGGAAGCTGCCCGGGGCCAGGGTGGGTTTTCAAAGATCTTTGCTAGTTTACCTAGCTGCTCCTGAAGAATCTCTGCTAGTTACCCTATATTCTATTCAAAATCCATCTTTCAGGTCCGCCCCGTCCTCCTCAACTCGGGTCTTCCCCCAGGAGTTTTGGCCAAAATCTGGGAGGTCGCCGACCAGGACAAAGATGGCCAGCTCGATCGGGTGGAGATGAACGTCGCGCTGCACCTTGTCTACAGGTAGCCCACCTGACACCATCCCTTTAAAATCATTTCAGAGCGCTTCAAAACGAGGCCCTGCCAAATAGCCTGCCCCCGTCGCTGATCCATCCCAGCAAGGCGATGTTGTCGAGGAAGACGTCGGTTGCGTCGGCTCTGGATTATGGTAGCCAGTCGATAGGTACGGTGGTTGAGAAATGGGGACTTAGCAGAGATTCTTTAGGAAATGGGCCGGCTAGCAGAGATTCTTTAGGAAAGGGCAGGCTAGCAGAGATTCTTGAGGAATCATACAAAAGCTGTTTCAGGTCGTGGCAGAACCGGAAGTATGGCTTCCCTGGAAGGAGTCGGCTTCCAAGGTCCGCTTGGAGGCATGGATCCGCCGAGAAGCTATTCTGTGAACCCGGTTCAAGGACGACAGCCATCATTGGTAGGCTAGCTAGCAGGGCTTTTTGAGGAGGCTTAGGGTTGGGCTTAGGCTTAGGCTTAGGCAAGCTAGCAGAGCTTCTTTGCTTTCCAGAGCGGCACCCCGGTCCCAATAACCTCCCCCTCAAGCGAGTGGCCAGTCGATATGACGGAAGCGAACGCCGTCTTCCAGCGCTGCGACACGAACCGGGATGGATTGGTAAGTGGCAGGAACTACATAGCGTAACCGGTTCCATAGGTATCTGGAGGTGACGTAATGGGCGAATTTCTGCGCTCCGGCCTCTCCCAGCCGACGTTGGCCCACATCTGGACGCTGGCCGACACGCACGCCAATGGGACCCTCAACCCCGAGCAGTTCGCGTTGGCGTGGGTGTTTTGTCTTTCAAAGAAACTCTACTAGCTACTCTTAGAGAACTCTTCCTGTCCTAAATAATCACTGCTAGCCTGCCCTTTCAACCCATCATTTCCAGAATGCACCTCGTCTCAATGGCCCGTTCCGGCCATGATCTTCCCCCTCAACTTCCCCCTCATCTAATTCCGCCTTCAATGCGCCCGATGCAAGTCCAGGTGAGGGCTTTTAAAGGACCATTCAAGACAAATCCATAGGAGCCCGAGCCTCAGCCAGCCATGCCCAGCTCCGCCTCGCAGTACATCGCCTTTGCCGCTCAATCGGAGAATGCCGAGGTAAGCACGATGCTTTTCAAGAACCTCTGTTGTCGCCATCGATCTCCTCCAAAACCTCTGCTAGTTTCCTGTTTTTTCACAAGAACCTCTGCTAGCTTGCCCCTCTTGTCCTCAATACTCTCTGCTGGCACGCCTCTTCGTTTCCTGAAGGATCACTACTCGTTCTCCCACCTGCATCTCAAAATCCCAGCAAAAAAATCCAGCTTTTTGCTCATTTTTCATACATGGATTTTTGACGAAAAAATCAAAAATTTTCGAAAATTTTTTGTTTTTAGATCGTTTTTATAGATAAAAACTATGTAAAATGCTCTCAAAATAGTTTATATTTTGTTATAGGGCCGTAGAGAATCACAGAGAAAAATATGGTTCCCCCGCTAACGGTCCAGAACCAATTTATTTTCCAGCTAAAACAACTCGCCGACGAGATGCAGCGCCTGATCGGCGAGCGCCGCGAGACCGACACCAAGATAACGCAGCTTGAGGCGGACATGACCGTCAAGAACAGCGCGATCAGGAACTTACAGGTGAGGAGGTGCTCCTTTAAACGGAAAACCAATCTTCAATGACCATTTAAAGCCCCAACCTCCGGGTAAACCCTTTTTTTCAGGTCGAGCTGACCACGCTGGAGAATACCGTGAAGCAGCTGGAGCGCCAGAAGACCGAGGCCGGGAAGAGGCTCAATGATATGGATACCCAGATCGCGCAGCTTGAAGAGCAGTGTCTGATGCAGGAGGAGAAGGTACGGTGGTTGGGGCAAGCTTTAGAATTTTTGGAAGTTTAACGTGAAAACCGGCTCTCAAGAAATCAAGTATTTTCAGGTTGATGAGGGCCAGAATCGGCTCGATCGGCTGAAGGAAGAGACAGAAAATGGAGCCGCGAATGCTCAGGTATGCTTAGGTTTACGCTTAGGCTGAATGTTAGGCTTAGGTTTAGGCTTGGTCTTAGGTTTAGGATTGGAATTAGCTTAGGCATTGCTTAAGCTTAGGCTTAGGCTCAGACTTAGGTAAGCTTAGGCTTGGGCTTGGGCTTAGGCATCGGCTTTCCACGTGCTTCACGCCAGATTCCCTCGTGCAAAAGTTAATTTTTAGAAAAATGCTGAAACCCTCGGCGTGGCCCAATCCGAACTTGCCGATGCCGAGAATGAGGCCCGCCAGCTGAGTGCTCAGCTTCAGGCCGAAAAGTCGGCCATGGAGAGGGCGGTGATGGCGATGACAACGGTAAATTCCAGGAGTACGGTAACTTGTCCAAAATGTAGCTTGAACGCGACGACGAGTCCGCTACTCGGAAACAAGGTCAGATGGAGGCGGAGCGGAGGAAGATTGAGGAGACAGCTGAGAAGCTAAAGGTAAATCAGGGCAGGCTAGCAGAGACTTTTAAGGAAATTTGGCAAATTTTACGGCCATTTAGAAAGCTTTGGAGTCGGAGAATCCGGAAGAAGCGCTAGCCGGGCAGCCAGAGCTTTTCGCCAGCTACCGTACGCCGGAAATGGTACGGAATTCGCCGTTTCCCCCCCCCCCGCCTGTTCCTCCTTCATTCTCGCTCTCTCTCTCTCATTCTCTCACTCTCCCTCTCTGCTCTCGCTCGCTCTCACTCTCTCCCACTCTCACCGATCTGAAAAATTCCGAACTTTAGTTCACCGACGCTCCCTCGACTTCACATGCTCCACCGAGACCGGCAATGCCCAATGGTAAGTCTAGATTCTGGTGCTACGATAACTGGGCATCATTTAGGAGGCGACCCATTTTCCGGGAAAGATCCCTTCGGTGCAGCTGCTGCTCAGAGCCACGGCTTCGCCGCGGATCCGTTTGGCCAGGCTGCGCAAGGCGAGCTGGAGAGAGAGGGAGAAAGAGAGAGAGAGAGAGAGAGAGAGAGAGAGAGAGACGAAATATTCTTAAAAAGCTTATAAAATATTTTCAGGCAACAAGCCGGTCCCGCCACGACCGGCTCCTCCCCGTGTTAGCCCCGCCCCTGGCTTTGCAGCAGATCCGTTTGCTGGACAGTAAGTATTCGACAGTTACAGGCTTAGGCTTAGGCTTAGGCTTCGCTTAGGCTTAGCCTTAGGCTTAGGCTTAGGCTTAGGCTTAGGCTTAGGCTTAGGCTTAGGCTTAGGCTTAGGCTTCGCTTAGGCTTAGGCTTAGGCTTAGACTTAGGCTTAGGCTTAGGCTTAGGCTTAAGCTTAGGCTTATAGGCTTGAGCTTAAGCTTTGGCATATGCTTAGGCTTAAGTTCAGTAATAATCTGCTCAATTTCAGAGATCCGTTCGCCGGCACCGGGAACAACGCTTCCGGCTTTGCCGACTTCTCCAGCTTCGGATCCTTCAACTAGCCCAATTTGCATAATCGTCTTTTGCATAATAAGAAGCCAGACTTTAATTGATCGTTCAGGCCGTTTAGCCAATTTTCAATCGCCAAATTGCCCCACTTATAACTTGACCATTGCTGCTTTCCGTAGCCTAGCGTAGCTTCGTGTTCTCCCAAGATGCAATAATTATAATAATAATAATAACATTTTAATTTATATAGCCTCAAGGCCCGATTCCAAAGCTTCACCATCCCTTTAAACCTTAATTTATTAATTTAATTGCTAGCCATATTGTGATAGATGTTGGTCTGCTGCCCCCAGTGCTCCCCCAAAAAGTGTGTCATCCCTTTAGTGGCCAGTATAATTGTCATAAATATTGGGTTACGGTAGCTTACTGTAGCCTTGCAGGGACCGGGAAATCACGTTTTAGGCTGGTTAGAACTTTTCAAACGCTCCAAGCTGACTTGAAATAGTCTACCGTAGCTTCGAAATCTCTTTTTCGGTTTTTTTCTACCTTTTTCCTGACTTCCCTGTCCCTTTAAAGTACCGTAACCCATTGACAGCCTCGCGCGTCATCCTGTCAAAAACTTTGATTTCATACCGTAGCCAAAGATACGGTAGCCCCGACCCCAAAAAACATTCCCTACTGCCTCGACCCCAAAACTTTGAGAGCTCCAGAACATTACTTATTACCGTTTTGTGTATTTATTCGGATAGAAGAGAGAGAGATTTTTGTGTGGTAATAAATATTTAGAAGAAAAACAACAAACAACTCAAGGTTCAGAGAAGAAAAACTTAGGCTTGGGCTTGGGCTTGGCTTAGGTTAGGCTTAGGCTTAGGCTTAGGCTTAGACTTGGGCTTAGGCTTAGGTTAGGCTTAGGCTCAGGCTTAGGCTCTTTTACGCCTAAAAGATCACGCGGCATGCCTGGGCCTCAAGACAAAGGCCATTCTCCCGCCGTCCCTTCCCATGCCTTTGTGTGTGGGTATCGCCTCGTCTATGCCCTCAGGGCTTTTGGGAAGATAAGGTCTTCTTCTCCTTCCACTTCTAGGCTTCTTCTTCGGCTTCTCCTCTCTCTTTTCAGCCTCATCGGCTCGTGGTGGCTAAGGAATCGATGCCGGCTGCCCCCTCCTCGTCGGCCACGGTCTTTTTGTGGGGGGCCCAGGGCCCGCTAGGGCCCCAATTGGAGGCCACCCAACCACGTATTCCTTCACTCGGGAAATCCTGGTGCCCCCCCCACTCTCGGACTATTGGGGCCCACACACCCAGAGTTTTGGGGGTGTGGGTCTCCACTATTTTCCTCAAGAATCTTTGCACGTTTGCGCCTGTTTTCCTAAAGTATCTCTGCTAGCTTGTCTCTTCGGTTCCGAAAGAATCGCCGCTAGTTTTCCTAGGTCAAGCTCCGGTTCCTCAATGACCTTTGCTAGCCTGCCTTTCCAACCCTTGCCTTTCCCGCTTCTTAATAAAAACCCCTTGCTCCTTCCCGCAAATTAAATTCCGCCCGGCTGCTAATTCCGCTCGCACGGGTCCCGCGAGCTTGTACTTGTCATTCCGTGTCAGTCCTATCGACGGCCGAATTGATGAAGTATAGCGATCCTTATTACTTTCCTGACCTATTTACAGGGTGTCTCAGGATTATCCGGACAAACTTTCAATGCCATTTCTTCCTATTTTTTTCCTGTTTTATGCGCACACCTTGTAGCTCCTATCAATCTTTGAGGTATTTTTGAGGCACTGGCAAAGAAAATTTCGCAAGGCTATGACATATCGCTTCGTAAAAAAATCGAAGAAGTTTGAACGTAATTTCTCCCATCTGGCAAAGCCTCAAAACGCATGCTGTTTCCGACGCTATAAAAATCTTCAATATAACCGGCATAACAAAGAAACCACAAAAAGAGATCGGAAATAATAAGTCCATGCTCAGCCCGGCCCAAAAACGCCAGGTTTACTCTAGGAAAAAAATCACCAAGCCAAAAAGATGAAATCAAGTCACGCGCCGCCGTATTTACCTTGCAAGTTTTAGCCCGGAGGAACTCTAAAAATCCGATAAGATACTTTTCAAAGGATAAAAACCTAAATAGCTACAGTAACAATGATGTACAAGCAATTTAGACCAAGTTAGCTTTGATTTCTGAGGAGCTTGAGCACGAGCAAGCTTCGAAACACCCTTATCAGCAATGCTAAGGAAATTGATATTAAATGAGAAAATAATCATTGACATGACCAAACCTTGCCGCAAACACGTCCGTTTTGCCAGAAGACGTCATATCTTGCCCAGAAAAATATCGGAACACTTTTTGAATCTTTGCCCCAAGTTTCGTGGTATTTAAGAGGTGAAAAATCTTACCGCGTTCTACGCTTGATTCTGAAGCTATTATAATGTCTTCGAAAAAAATTTTTCGCTCAGAACATTGAAAACGCCTCAAAAACTCATATGAAAAACATTAGGTACGAAGCAAACAGCGTTAAAGGCTAAAAAATGACTTTTTCGTTTTGTCCGGATAATCCTGAGACACCCTGTATAGCTCCGTCTCTAGCTCCTGTTTTCCACCACCGTACTCAAAACAAATGCCCCAAAATGGCCCTTGAAAATTGGATTGTTTGTGTGGGGCTTGAATTTCACGGGCTTCGCATTTGGGGGGGAAGCCCCCCAAATGTACCCATTAATTCACCCCCCCGCGTGAAATTTCCCATGCTACAGCTTCTCCTTTGTCGCCCATCACAGGTTTCTTTTACATTCCAATGGCTTCTACGTTCTTAGGTGTATTTCGTACCTTCAGGTTTTAGAATTTCACGGCAGCAGCCAGCATAGAGGCCGAGAACGCGGCGCCGCAGCCGGCGGCGGCCTCACCGGCCCCGCCACCCGCCGCCACTGCTCCTGCTACACCGGTAAGCTATATCAGGCTTCGGCCTAGGCTTATTTTGGCTTAGGTAGTTCGGCTAATGCTTAGGCTTACCCTTGTGCTTGGGCTTGGTGTTGGCTTGACTCTGGCGTAGGCCTGGCTTGGACTTCGCTTAGGTTTAGCTTAGGCTTAGGCTTAGACTAGGCTCGGGTTGGGACTTAGGCTTGGGCTTAGGTTTCGGAGTGGCTTCGCTTAGTCTTTGGATTAGGCTTAGGCTCAGGCTTGGTTTTCGGCTTAGGCTTCCTCGGTTTCCTTACCTCGGTTTTAAAGGAACGTGAAAGCGTAACAATCAACCATGGTCTAGATTAGGGCTCGACAGCTACATTCACCCAAAATTTCGCAAGCGTTTTCGATAGCCACTGTCAACGTCTAAGAAAAATCCGGCTGCGCGGGATGCGTATTTTGGAGTGACTCGTAGTTGTCGAATTTCAAAGAAACTCAATTTTTAATTATTTAGGTGCCAGAAAATCCAGAAAAACACGTAAAGTTTCCAAAAATACCCCTCGCCAATCTCAAGACAAAGGCCTCACCCTCCTAAAATCGAAATTCGCACGGGTTCGCTCCTGGCGATCGACTTTCCGCGCCGGCTGATCGGGTGTGGGGCGTCGGGGCATCTTTTGGCAACACTTTCTTACTTTTCCATGCCTCTACCGGGCAGCTAGTCTCGATGTCGGTATTTCTGGACCTGTGGCACGCCTTTTGGGGAGTCGTCTGTTGGCCGGTAGGCTGGCAGAGGACATTTGGGAACGGGCAATAGGCTAGGAACTGATTTTCAGCCCAATCTACTTCAAAAACGTATTAAAAATTCGATAATTTGAGCAGCACTGCGCTCGACTTTTGCCAGCAGTCTGGATACTACGCTACGCTGCAATATACACCTCCTTACAGGCCCCAAAACCCAGCACGAGCCAACCCCCAAATGCCGCTCATCAAAGTGCCGAGACCTCCGACTACCGGGTGGCCGTGTTCGGAGCGGGTGGAGTCGGAAAGAGCAGCATTGTACAAAGGTGCGTAAAGTTAGGCCTTAGGCTTAGGCTTAGGCTTAGGCTTAGGCTTGGGCTTAGGCTTAGGCTTAGGCTTCGCTTAGGCTTAGGCTTAGGCTTAGCCTTAGGCTTAGGCTTAGGCTTAGGCTTAGGCTTAGGCTTAGGCTTGGGCTTGGGCTTAGGCTTAGTCTTAGGCTTCGCTTAGGCTTAGGCTTAGGCTTAGCCTTAGGCTTAAGCTTAGGCTTAGGCTTGGGCTTAGGCTTAGTCTTAGGCTTCGCTTAGGCTTCGCTTAGGCTTAGGCTTCGCACATTATGCTTCCAACTCAGCTGGAGCTTTATTCAGATTTGTAAATGGCACCTTTTCCGACAATTACGTCCCCACGATTGAGGATACCTACCGACAGGTACCTTTCAAAAAAATTCATGAGCCAAGAAATCCCATAGGTGATCTCGTGCAACCAGAAAAACGTGTGCACGCTCCAAATCACGGACACCACCGGGAGTCACCAATTCCCGGCGATGCAGAGGCTGTCGATCAGCAAGGGCCACGCCTTCATTTTGGTGTATGCGGTCACGAGGTAATTTTATGCCGTCACCGGACCTTTACATGGACGTGTTTTGGTGTATCGGGTAGCTGTCACGGCCTAGCCACCCAACCGGGGCCGATTCTGGCGTGTTCTAGCCCCTTTAAAGTACAAATATACGCCGAAAAATTATCAAAAAAATTTCTAGTCGCCAGAGCCTCGAAGAACTGGGTCCCATCGTGAAAATGCTGATGGAAGTCAAGGGGTCGCAGCTGTCCGAAGCACCGATAATGCTCGTAGGGAACAAGAAAGATGAGAGCCAGGTGGGTGATTGGTTTAGGATTAGGCTTAGGCTTAGGCTTAGGTTTGGCTTAGGCTTAGGCCTAGGCTTGCGTGGGGTACACTTTCAACTCAGAACTTTCAGAAGCGCGAAGTCTCCACCGAAACAGGGCAAAAGCTCTCCGGCCGCTGGGGCACTGGCTTCATCGAGACGAGCGCGAAGAATAACGAGAACGTCACCGAGCTCTTTCAGGTAGGTAGAATGGCTTAGGCTTCCTAGGCTTAGGACAGGCTTAGGGCTGGCTTAAGAGCAGGCGTCTACATTTCCAACTAGTTTTATCTTGAAGTTTAGACCCTTCTCTCGATGGAGAAGAAGCGTCAGCTGGCCCTGACCATGGAGGACCCCGAGGCGAAGAACGGGAAGAAGAAAAAGTGCTCCGTGATGTGACGCCCGTACGCCGGCTAACCCTCGATATTTGCATTGCCAAAATACCGCCAAAACGTTGCTAGTCTATTTATGTATCCCGGATAAAATGATTGCGTAATTGGATGCATGAAAAACGCGAAAAAATCATTTTTGAAAAAATTGGGTCCTCCCCCCCGCTAACAGCCCAGAACCGCGACGCCTTGCCAATCCAGAGCGAGCGTTTGTCGAAAAAAAAACCGAAAAATGGCAAAAATAGATAAAACCCACGACACCCAAAAAGCTGAGCGCCAACCTTCGAAACCGGGCTTGGGCTTAGGCTTAGGCTTAGTCTTAGGCTTAGGCTTAGGCTCAGGCTTGGGTTTTTTACTCCGGTTACTTCCGATTGATCTGGATTCAAACCGGCCAAAACACCCTCAGCTGACTCAATCCCCACGAAAAAGCTCACCCTAACCTTTGCCCAGGAAATGCAGCCAATTTCCCCATAGTTTCCCGTAGTAACCAGTCTCACCATAAAACGGCCGTCATTAGGCTAGTGCTGAACCCGGGTCCCATTTCTAATGCAAGACCCTGGAAATCACCTGCTAGCGGGCCACATCCGCTCTTTCTCACTTCCCGTCAAACTAAAATTGATATTCCTATTCTTAAAGTATTCCTGAAAGATGAGATTCTATACTTTCTCATTACTACTACCTCTAGGCTGCTTTGGGTACATTAATGTGCGCCAAACTATCCCGATGGGCACCCAGACTTTCAGTAAGCATTTGTGTAGCTAAAGATGACGTTATTACAACGTTAATGCTTACCAGGGTTGAAAAGCCGCTTCGCGACTTTTCAACCCTGGCCCCGTCCGACCCCATGATATCCCTCGCTTTGCATAATCCTTCCGCACTGTTATGTCAAAAAATGAAAACGCGTCCTCTCCCCGATTATATAGGCTACTCCCACTTCCGGCGTATGCTAATTTTTTTCCTAACAAAGAGGTTGTCCGATTTTTGAGGAAAAACTTAATTTTAATGTCGAAAACAATCGATTTTGCAAAATCTGTAATGCGTGCAGCCATCTACAGGCCATTACGCGTCTAATGACGTATCATACGCCTCCTTCATCCCTTCCCCTCTTGAGCTATCCTCCGGACACGCTGACGGAAGTTGCATGCAAAGTGGCACACACACACACACAGACACTATTTTTTTATATATAGTAGGATAATAATGCTATCTTAACGCGCAAAATCAGTCACGACTTTTAGGTCAGGGCCAATCGTTCACGATAAACTGCGCCGACACCACGACAATGTCCCAGGGCACCTTTGATCAACAACAAAAGGTAGCTAAAATTAATTAGAAAAACAAAATATCCTTTAACAGAAGCAATTCTTGTGATATACCTATTACCAAACAAGATATAAACGTTTTAAAGTTGTAAAAACCACGCAAAAATAAATAAAACCCAGGTCTGGCGCTGGAACAGCAACGAAATCACCGCCAATACGAATACTCGGACCATCATCAACAACTATCGACAAATGCAGTAAGGTTTTACACACAAAATCTTAAAAAAAAACAAATTATCAGGTTCGTCTCATTCACCCAAAATGATGCCGGCTCCTATGATTGCTGTATTTTACCTTACGGCGCCACCGACAACTATTACAACTGTTACAACACAAATGTGGTCTTATATGGCACTAGTGGGTAATTTTAAGATCGTTTATGCAAGCGAAAACCTTTTAAAATGTCTTATTTTAGATGGAAACACGCAATACCCCGGCCAATCAACTGGTAAGATAAGGTCCTCCCCCCGGAAAATTTCTTCCAGAGTTGAGCGTCGTCGCGCAGCTGCTGCTCGCCTACACTCGGCTGATTACCAACACTCAATATAATGGTTGAATAAAGATTTTCCCTCAAACTTTGCATCGAAACAAGGGTAGAAAAACTGGGAAGGCCTCAAAATAAACAATTTTTCCAACCTTACTCGTACCCCCTACTCGCCATGGTGGCAATCACTTTGAGTGGTCAGTTTGTCAGTATTTGTTACGTCGAATTTGTAGCTTTTCACACCTTGAATATAATTTCCAAACAGCAATTCACTATTTATAAAAAACGCAAAAAGGAAATTACGAAGCTCCGATAAGCGCCACATTACGGATCGGCTAGCCCATGGCGTCAACTGGAGCGGCGGGGAAAATTGCGTTATATGGTCACTAAACCGATTTTGGATTTTTATATACCAAAATGCTCAGCAGTTCGAGCTGGTTCAGGATCAGTTGAAAAAACTATTGGGAAACACTTCTGGAGCGAGATATACCGCTTCAAAGTTGGCGAGTGTCGTATATGGTCACTAAACGAATTTTCAATTTTTATATGTCAAAATGCTCAGCAGGTCGAGCTGATTCAGGATCAGTTGAAAAAACTTTTGGGAAAAATCTCTGTTGCGAGATATCTAGCTTACAAACCGTCCATTTAGCCCCTGAAGCAGTACGTAGTACACCAAAATACGCCAACTGTACATCGGAAAGAAACGGAATGGTGGAGAATTGCCGTTTCATGGGTAAAAAATCCATTGTCAGGCAAGGTGGGCCGTCGCTTCGGATGGGCTGCCGCTCCACTCTTTCGAAATGGGGGCGCCCCCGGCCGCTTCGCCGGCCTTGGCGCCCCCATTTCGAAACCCTGTACGAGCTCGCACCCATCCGAAGCGACTAGGCCCCGGGTGGCACGAAGCCTTATTTTTAGGCTCAGATCGGGTGTGTAGTTTCATGCCAAACCCATTTCAAACCCAACCATTCTTCGCAACACCGAAAACTGACTCGCCAGGGCGCCAAGTTATGTAGTGGGCCGGGGTGACGCCAAACTTTGTAGTGGTATATCTCGCTCCAGAAGTATTTCCCAAAGGTTTTTTCAACTGTTCTAGAATCAGCTCGGCCCGCTGAGCATTTTGACATATAAAAATCGAAAATCCGTTTGGTGACCATATACGACACTCGCCAACTTTGAAGTGTTATAACTCGCTCCAGAAGTGTTTCCCAATAGTTTTTTCAACTGATCCTGAACCAGCTCGAACTGCTGAGCATTTTGGTATATAAAAATCGAAAATCGGTTTAGTGACCATATAACGCAATTTAGCCGAGCGGCGCGTCGGTCCTAATATTTTATCCTTTTTCAACTTTGATTTTTTTTGTTGCTTTTAGCTTTCGTTTCACGCCAGCTGATAAAATCAAAAAATTGCACACTCTTTCCTGTTCCAGGTGTCACGATGAAGCTCTTCGGTCGCTCGACGGCCCTCCCGAAAAACCCGGGCGAGACGATCGTGACGCTCAAGGAGGCGCTGATCGCCCTGCGCAACAACAAGACCATAAAGGATGAGGCGAGGCTGATGGAAGACGTGCGCAAGCCGCTCAACACGCTCAAGTCGTACTTCTTCGGCCTCGAGCCGGGCCACTCGGTGGACGCGCTGCTGGTAAACTGCCTAAAACTACTCGAAACTTTTTTAGGCCCAGAAAGCTGCGAAGGAGCTCGCTGACAGTGGGCTGATTCGCATTCTTGTCGAGTTCTTCCGCGGCCTCAACCTGGAGTGTCGCAGCGAAATCTCGCAGCTCTTGGCCGGATGTCTTCGCTTGCAGGTAGTTTAGCATTTTCTTCTTTGTTCTTTTCTATCGTTGCTTCCTTTCAAAGCCCTAACCTTTTTGTTTTAGCCCCAGAACAATCCAGTCGCAGACGTCTTCTACAGGCAGCAGACACTTTTCGACATCTTGATCAAATGGTAGCGGTTTTGTTTTCGGCCAAAAACGTTCTTTCTTTAGCTTCGACGCTGGAGAAATTGCCTTTCAAGCGGGATCCATCCTTCGTGCGTGCTGCCCTCATCCGGTATCGAATGGTTTCTTTTTTATTATTTTTTTTAGCGTTTGACGGGTGCCATCCTTTCTTCCGACTACTTCTTCAACTTTTTTGAGCACATGGAAGACCCCTGTTTCGACATCTCGGCTGAGGCTTATTCCACCTTCAGGGTTTGTTACCGCAAACTTGTTTTTACTTTTTTGCAGGCCGTGCTCTCAACGTGCAAGCTCGAAGCCGCCCAGTTCCTCAGCAAGTACCACAAGGAGTTCTTCACCGAATACGACAAATTACTGCGCTCCACCAATTACCTCTGCAAGCGCCAGTCACTTCGTGTAACTTTGTTCTCTATTTTTTTTAATTGCAATTCTTTTTAGTTGCTCGGTGAACTGCTCGTCGAACGCTACAACTACGAGGCCATGCAGCGCGTCGTCTCCGATGTGGAAAACCTGAAGACTGTGATGAATCTACTGCTCAACCGCGCCCACTCCATCCAGATCGAGGCGTTCCACGTCTTCAAGGTGTTCATCGCCAATCCGCAGAAGCCGCCCCTCATTTTGGACGTGCTCATCCGTAACAAGTAAGCTTTCGTCATAAAAAATTTACTATTTTTAGACATCGACTGATCCGCTTTGTGACACACCTGAAATCTGGCGACGGCGTCAACTCCGCTTTCGAGGAGGACAAGCTCTTCTTGCTGGACGAGCTCGAGGGTCTCCCCGAGCGCGATCCGAAGGTAATTTTTCGTTTTTGTGTCATTTTCCTACCTTTTCAGACTCGCGGCAAGAACCCCGAGGAAGAATTGCTGAAATTCTGCAAGCAGAGCGCCAACTTTTGAATCGCCGTCACCCATTTGAAAAATTAATTGCTTGATATTAAAACTGTTCCTGTTCCGTGTTCGCTGTATTATCTTCGTCCCATTTGTGATTGCCCCCCTAGCATTTTTACACAGCTCTGAACGATTCGCCGCACGTTGATGCACGACAGTGTTGTTCCTTCGTTCTTGTAAATGGTGTTTTCCTTCATTGCTGTCTGACTGAATTTCCACTGATTTCACTTACTTGTAGCCTACTCGTTATTCATTGACCGTTGTAATTCTTGAAGCATTTAAACTGATTTGTCCTTGACCGCAAAATTTGAATAAAATTTTTGTTAAATCAAATTGGGTGTTTCGCAAAAGGTTGTGCAACCATAAATATTATCTTTAAAGTTTTCTAAACCTTATTATAATAAGTAGGAATTCTTCAAACTATTCAGGTTTTGTCGTGTTCGGTTTTGGTCTCATATCGCCTTTCGTATTCCCGCCGCCTATCTGGCGGCTGCGTTGCGTTCCCCCTTTTAGATTGACAAGTCGGTTCGTGTCTATTTGAAAGACAAAAACGTCTTTTTTTTACCCATGAGAATTCAACTTCTAAAGCTTGTTTAATCTCAATAATTCCAGGATGGCCGCTACAATGGCCAACCCGAACCGGCAGCAGCAACAAGATCAGCAGCAGCATAATGGGGCCTATCGATATGCGATGCCTGGGGTAAACAGTTAGTAACTTTTCAAGAAAGTTGTTTTTTAGCGTGTCGTTGACGAAATCTTGATGGGCGAGGGCCCGGGACGAAGGCTTAGGAAAAATGTCGCAAATGTGCGACGGCACGTCGACTATGTACCTTGTTGCTTGAATCTGACACAGGTAGCGTCCCCGAAAGTTTCCGATATTTTCTTTAGTCTCGACTAATTCAATTCGGTCGGCAAGATCGGCGTGCCGCCCAGCCCGATGAGCTCTACCAAAACACTCCTTTACCTCCAGCGGCCACGCCGGATAAGCCGGTACTAATAATGGATTAGAACCACTAAATACTGATTAGGTGGATTGCGTAAATGCGAAATTCGTCCGGGCCGCGATGAACAAAGTGAAGTGTCCCGTTTACACATTGGCGGTAAGCGTTCGAATTTTGTCTTCTAGACTGTGTTTTGTTTCAGTGGACTCCCGAAGGAAAACGTCTGATCACCGGCGCATCAACGGGCGAGTTCACGCTATGGAATGGAGTGGCCTTCAACTTCGAAACGATCCTGCAGGTGTGACATCCACGCGGAATATCCCTATCGCTGATTCTGGTTTGCCCGTTTTTGCTACGGCCCGCCGATGATCCGACAGCGGCCCGGGAAATAAATTGGCGTGTCGGGGAGGTGTTTCTCGTTTTTGGATGACCGCCTCTGCCTAGTAATAAATCCAAAAGGCAAGCGGGTTTCTTTGAAAAGACCATTTTGACCATTCTCCATTGCGCCACTAATAAATCCTGGGCGTATTTATCGATGTCAAGCTCTGGTAATTGATTTCTTCGGCGCGATAAATAGTTTTGAAATATTTTGGAGAGCACATCGGATTTCTTTGACGAAACATTTCATAGCGGCGGGTCGGGAGAAATCTAATGGCAAAAAACCAGCTCGCGCTTCACTATGTGGTCGAGAAGACTTCGTGTTTGCGGCAGCGACGTCGTCAAACCGTCGTCTTGCTTCTAGACCTTCTTCATTGCCGTCCAGTAGCTCGCTGCCTGAAACGCCCTGAAAAAAAATTAAACCATTTAGGCGCATGACGCTGCGATTCGTTCGATGACCTGGTCGGCGAACGGCCACTGGCTGATCAGCGGCGACGCCGGGGGTTTTATCAAATACTGGCAACCGAACATGAACAACGTGCACATGTTTCTCGCGCATAAGGAGGAAGCTGTACGCGGGCTGAAGTGAGTAGTTTTTAGAATATCGTGAGAAATTAGTTATTTGTGTGGTTTCATAAAAATTTAGATTCGGGCCCACCGATGCCAAATTCGTTTCCGGATCTGATGATGGAACCGCGAAAATCTGGGATTTTGCTCGATTCACAGAAGAATTCTCATTACGAGGACACGGCTCGGAGGTAGCAAGAAAAACCTTTGTTAATCCCCGATCCAGGTCCGCTGCATCGATTGGCACCCTACCAAATCGTTGATCTGCTCCGGAAGTCGAGACACGCAACAGCCGGTCAAGCTCTGGGATGCGATAAGTGGAAAATGCGTTTCCACGTTGTAAGGAAAAACGGGAATTTCGATAACATCACTTTAGACAACATCACAAATCGTCAGTGATGGCTGTCGAGTTCAATCGAAATGGCAATTGGTTGCTGACTTCTTCTAGGGATCAGGTATGGCTTTTTTGGATTTCCGGAACCCTCTTTTTCTAGCTGGTCAAACTCTACGATATCCGTACGATGAAGGTGCTGAAGAATTTCCGAGGCCACAAGAAGGAAGTCACATGTAGGGAGCTTTTCGCAGCTTCTCTATCCCTTTTTTTAGCCCTGGCCTGGCATCCGGTGCACGAGGGATTGTTCGTGACGGGCGGCGGAGATGGGTCAATTGCTTACTGGCTTGTCGATAACGACAAGGAGGTAAAAACACCCTTTTTTTGATAATTTTTCTGCTGCAGATCGCCCTGCTCGAGCACGCGCACGACCAGGCAATTTGGTGTATGCGCTGGCATCCGCTGGGCCACATCCTCGCCACTGGCTCCAACGACAACAACACAAAGTTTTGGGCCCGGAATCGGCCAGGCGATACACAGGCAAATTTGAACGGCTAAATAGAAAGTTGTTTTCTAGGAAGACATCTTCGGCTTGGCCTCCTATCAGACGACGTTGCTCGGCACATCCGATCAGCGTGAACAAAAGAACATGTTCAAGGACCAGGAGAAGAACCAGGCGGCTCCGATTATTCCTGGTGCGTTGGAGCTTATGCCCTCTAGCCGGTGATTTTTTAGGCATGGGACTGGACGAGGAGGTGTATCAGGAGATGAACCGCGACGTCAGCTCGGTGCATATCGGGATGTCGATCGACGAGTTCACGCCGGTCAGTGGAAGCTAGATCAAGCCCTCGTTTTTCTAGTGTCTTTTTTCGGAAATTACATCTTTTTAGGGCCAACACTCTGGCGCTCGCCGTACCCTGATCAAGCAGCCGCCCGCGAAGAAGGCCCAACGCCAATTCGAGCGCATGTGGAACGTGGCCAAACCCGGCACCGGTGAGGACAGCTACGACAATGATGCGCAGATGGACGAGGACCCGTATGCCAAGAGGTATTTTGGGGAAATCATTTTTCAAAAATTATAGTTCGGAAAAGCACTTTCCGAAACTCAAAATTTCGAAAATTCATTTTTTTTGTAAGGCAATATTTGCGAAAATCACGTTTTTCTGAACCCAGAATTTTCAAAAACTGGCGCTGCTTTTTTCATGCCTTTGCGGTCATTTCCTGTTGATAGATGGACGTATTTTTTGCAAAATTCTGATTTTCGAAAAAGATATCTACGTAAAAATTGGTTGCGAAAATGTGTTATGATAATCATCTTTTTTTTTCAGGGAAAAGACGAGCCTCCTGGGCGCCCCACCGCCCTCTGCTAGCATGCTCGGATCTGGCGGCGCTTCGGGTGGACGTAAGCTTTTCTTCCATATTTTTTAATTTTATTCTTAGTACCACCTCCCTCGAAGAGCACCTCGCTCCTCGGCGCATCTGGCGCCTCTAGAAGCTTCTCATCGGGTCGCCCCGCCCTCCTGGCCCGGCCGCCACCGATGAACCAAAATCCGGCCGAACCTGACAACCCGAATCTGCAACAACCGGCCCCGGGTGCCGGCCGGAATCTACCTCCGCAATTTCAAGCCAAGAATCAGTTTCCGCCAAACGGCGGCCCTCCGATGTGGCCACCAGGATTTCCGGTGCCCCCGAATATTGCTGGGATGCAGCCGGTTCCGGCGATCGGCAGCGCTGATGAGGTTCGGTTTTTAAAGCGTTGAAAATACGGTTTTCAGGATTATCGAAAAGCCGACGAGGACTATCGACAGCCCGATGAAGATTACCGAATCAACGTGCCCCCGGCTGGAGAGCAGTGGAACAGGAATGGAAGTATTCCTGAAGCGCCGTCACAATTTGGCCAAGCCTCAACGGCCCCACCAGTGCCTCCACATTTCCCGCGGGCTCACCCGGCCATGCCACCCCAATTCGAGCCGCAATTCGATCGACAACCCGCCGGGGAGCAGGTAAAAAATTCTCGTAAATTCCAACCATTTCCAGCACGGCTTCGACCCTCGGGATCCTCGTGGAGCACCTCCTCAGACTAATTTCCCGGCTTCAACTATGGTACCTGTCTCCACGTCTTCTAAATCCTGTTTTTAGCCTCCCTTCCCTCCACCTCCAAATATGCCCTTCAACACACAGCAGCAACAACAACAGCAGCAACAAGGTCCACCCCGTCGTGATGATGGCGGCTTCCAGCATGGCCGGGGCCGCGGACGAGGACGGGGAAACCAATGGCGACCCTACTAGCTTATTCCCCCGTCTTTTTAGACGTTACTTAGAAATTCCAAACGTAATTCATCCATCCTCTAGATATACTCACCATCCACTTGAAGCGGGTCTCTTTTTTGCAACGCTAATTGTTATCCATATTGTTATTATTCTCCCTCCCTGCCCTCCTTCTCAGATTGCCAATGTTACGTGATTGTTATATCCCTGGGAGATACGGAATAAAGAATTATGCTATTTTGGTGGTCAGGAACAAGGGCTAATCGCTGCACGAGAGTCCTTCTTTTTTTTTATTTATTTTATTTATATTATTTATTTATTTCCAATTTTTTGACTCGGAAGCCAAAAAACAAAAACTCAAAGCGCGTCTAGGAAGGACGGATTGATGATTATTGTTTTATCTGTATTTTTGCCGAATCCTTCCTTGATTCTGCTTTAATCCTTGTAGAGCGCTTCAGAACCGAAACGGCTTGAAAAATTGTTCTGATAAAGCGTAGCTCATTTCGGAATTCGACAGCTTAAACTGAATTAAGTAATTTCGGGCCAAAACCTTCATCTATATGTTTCGCTAAAACCTATGTGGTTTAACCCTGATTTCCAGCCTTCGATGACGGGAAAGACGCTTTTTCGAGATTTCGCCTCGAAGCTTCAGGCAATTCGACGAGTTTCGGGCTATGAAGGGAAAACAGACGTCATGCGCAAGTTTCTAACGGAGGTCGACGCTCCTCGCGGCGCTCACAACCCGTACGCGGACCTGTTGCTGTCGGCGGAAAATGAGGAGCTGAACGATTTTCGCGCCGGAGTGGTTGGTCCAGATTTAATTTTCCATGCTTTTGTATTTTAGGTAAAACTAAAGCAAATGGTCGCCAAATCGATTGGGCTGAAGGCGACGGACATCACATTTACGAATAGTGGGGTGATGATCAAAATTTAGCGTAATTTTGAGGGTTTAGAATGTCTACCAGAGCCTACGCGAGCTCATCGCCCCGATAAATGAGCGCTACACACCCCAGGGAGGCTTTTACGTCGAAGAGGTGCATGATAGACTGAAGCTTCTGATGGCAAAAGGCTCAAATAGTGAGTCTTCTAGCACTTTTCAGTTTGTTCTCCTAGGCGATCAAATTCTGCACGAATTCTACGAAACGTGCGACAGCAACGAGCTGTTGTGGATATTTGCCGTGGTGACGAAGAGCGTTGTGGTAACTTATTTTCTATAAAAAATATTTTGGTTCCAGACGGCGTTAAAATGGGACGTCTCCTCGCTGCGCGATGCCCTTTTCCCGGGCGGGAATCAGAAATTCAAGGTATCGCTGTTGTTGGAAAACCAAATTATTTTTGAGGAAAATCGCGACTACAAAAAACGTCTCCAATCTGAGCAGCCCGATTACCCGTTGATGTGTAACTTTGAGCCAATGCTGTTAGCGAGGTTGGATATTGGGGATTGGTATAAAAAGGTAAGCAACACTGAAAAACATAAATTCTTTGACTTAGATCGACGATCACGCGGGCTCGAATTTTCTGATGGAGCTCAAATTTGACGGGGAGCATGTGGTGATACACAAGGTTTGGCAAATTCCGGATTGTAACGCCGCGCTGCAGAAATTTGACGATTGGCGCGTTGTTACACGAAACGGCAAGGATTTCACAAAGTACTACAACGGCGCCGAGGGCAACAAGAATTTGATAGAAGCTGTGAGGCCGTATTTTCGGTGAGCAGATTTTATTAGCTTTAAATTTAAGCTTAGAAACGATGCGAATGAATTTGTGATCGATTGCGAGTTAATGTTGTACGACGAGGTCGGGAAATGCTTTGGTGGGTTTTTAAAGAGCTCTTGCTGTTCTCTCGCCGGAAAAAGGGGTGGTAAAGACCAAAATTGTATCTCCTTTGTAGTCCGGCATCACCAGGTCTGCGCCGACGGGCAAACCTACAATTTTCAACACATCAAACCCGCGGATCCGGTCCACCTGGCAGTTGTGGTACAAAAAGTTATATTTTTCAATTCGTGAAAAAATAGGTGCTTGATGTCCTCTACCTAAACGGCAACAATTTCATGGGAACCTCGTTTGAGAAGCGGATAAAAGTGCTCGAGAAGCTGCTGCTGAAAAAACAGGACCCAACCCTCATTTTCATCCCGGAGCGCAAGACCGGGAATACAAAGTGAATTTTCGCAGCTTTATTCAGTTATTTTATTATTGAGTATTGATTATCATGGTTTCAAACTTTATTTAGAGAAGACGTGCGGGCCTACTTCAAGCAGTCGATGGAAAATGGCGATGAGGGGATCGTGGTAAAGGCCATTTCGACGTTGTATACCCCGGGCAAGCGGCTGGCAAGCAATGGGTGGTTTAAGGTAAGAAAAATTATTTCTGCCTTCAAAACACCTTTTTTTCGCTGCCTTGAATCTACGAATGATTTTCCTCCAGGTTAAAGCCAATCTAACGGAGGGCGCGCATCTCGATGTGGCGATCGTCGGCGTGAAATACGTGGGAACCGCCAGAGAACAAGAGCTCGTCATTGCCGTAAAGAAACGTAGCTTATGGTAAAACGGTCAAATTCGATTTTTTAGCCTTCAACGAATACGCCGAGCCGGCAAATGATGCGACATTTGACCTGAAAGTGATCGGATCAGTTGGAGCAGGTAAAAAAATTTTTAACTTCTAAATTTCGGTCTATTCAAAATAATAATCATTGTTCATCTCCAGGTTTAACGCACGACGAGCGCCGCTGGGTGCTGGACGAGGGGCGGCGGATGGGCGCGCTACTTTCAGACCCTCCCGCCGGCGTCCAGGGCGCGCCAATCAAAGATGGGGGCTATTTTCGGGATTGGGATGATTTCAAGGTGATCCTGAAAATTTGCATCTGATCAAGCCCTTTCTTCAGGTGGTCGAGGTGCGCTGCGCCGGAAAGCAAAATGGCGCCCTACAACACGCCGGCCTCGTGCGACTCCGCAACGACAAGGACCTGAAGGACCTGGATACGTATCGGGATTTCAAGGAATTGGATGAGGTGATTTCCAAATTGTGCATCATTTTTTGTAGCGAATCCGATGCGGTGGCCTGCCAGAGCTTGACCAGGAAGCGGCCGCCTCAAGAAAGCGCCCCGCCAAGCAGCCCCAAATCTCTAGGGCAAAACTGGCGCGAGAAGGCGGTACGTCATTTGATGCGTAACGTAGTGTAGTGTATGCTTTCCAGTGAAACAAGACGCGAAAGCCGAAAAAATTGACGACGGCCTTGAGGGGCAATTCGTCTGCGTGATCCCGGGGCGCAGCGATAAGAAGCTGGCCGAGCTCGTCGAGATTCTGAAGGGCTTCGGGGCTACGGTGCAGGCTTTACCAGGTTTATCCGGCAGCCCATTTTCTAAGAATACAATTGTAGATGATCAAACTAAATTCCTCGTCGCTGTCGACAGGAATGTGCCGCAGACGAAGAAGCGTGTCAAGGAAGCTCGGTACTGTTCAATTGAATTTTTTAAATGTTCTTGTTTTCGCTGGACAATCGTCGCCGAAGCGTGGCTACGGAGATGCAAGGAAAGGGGCGAAATCGTTGAGTGGTAAGGGTTTCGCTGAAGCTTTACTTTTTTAATTTACAGGACCCCAGAAGAGACGCTCTACGATGTGGGTTCAACAACAAGTGACTGAAGACCACGCCCAAACTATGCACATCTCCAAATGACCTGTAAAATTCGGTGTATTTACTTTTTGTGATTGATCAATTGTGATAAACGACTCTAACCCTTTAAAAGTGACAAAATGGCCCCCGATTAACAACTCGGTGCTTTAAAGCCGATGGTAACAACCAGTTGTCAACAGTCTCCCCTAGGGGTTTGGCCCCTAGGCCTTCTGCTGGCCTTCCGCGATCTGTTTGCGCGCGGATCAGTGTGCCATCCCGATCCCAGCACCACCACCACCCCTCCCCCCTTTCGGATACATCACTCGCGGGGCCCTTCATCGCGCGGGTCACACTCTCTTAAAAAGGCGGAGGCGTTCGCCCCGGTTTACGGAACTTTTTTGGTCCTCTGTGATCCTTTAGATCAACTTTTCGACTATCTAAACCAATTCTCAGAGCACTTCTATTAATTTCCTAAAATCTCAAATTTTTACTTTTAGAACGATTTAGAGCGGAGTTCCGGAATGAGGGCTGAATTCTTATTTCTGGTCCTGATCTGCGTGGCGCAGGCGCTGCCAACCAGGGGTAAGTCAATGGAAACGAGACAGTTTTCTCAACAGAACATTTTTTTTGAAGAAAATTTCGACTTTTCAAACATCCTTCTAAGTTTTTTTACTTTAAATGCAGTTAAAATTTATTAAAAATAGCATAGACACATTTTGTATTTGATTACTAGGCCAACCTGGCCCTACAAGAAAAAGTTGATCCCCGCGAATCCCCCCCGCCAATACTCAAGCACCGAAAATGCAGTCGTAGATCGAAATCAAACTTACAAACAAGAGCTTGTTAAACTAAGTAGATTACAGGCTCAATGAGGCAGCAGCACCCTCATAGCTGGAACCACCATTAAATTTATAGAAATCTCCGGCCGACCCCCAACCTATGCAATGATCAACAACATGCCGTTTGTCCCCCGGGCCGATCTCACCCCCGAGAGTAAATAAATCATTTTTTTGCAAAAACTCGACTTTAGGATACATCCGGAATCGCCGTAGCTACACAATTCTAACTCCCGAATATTCGATTCTAGACGACATCTTCTAACCTTACAAAAATCAAGATCCCTTTCCCCAACAAGTATTATTTACTGGTATGCTGATCCGAATCTCAATTTTCGATACCTTCCATGTTCAAATAAAGATTTTCGAATAATAAACGTATTTTTATGAAGATTTATAAGAACACAATAGACAAGTGAAAATCCTCGAAAAACATAAAATGGCAACAATGCAAGGCGTAACAATAACAACTAGAACAAAATCAACAACAATAAAGGTGAAAACATGGAAAATCTAGCGACCCGGATTCGATAACAACAACAACAACAAAGGAATGACAAGGTAAAATCACATACGGTATCAAACTGACTAATCTTCGTCACTGGCCGCCTCGCGGAATTTTTCGACCCGTTGTCGCTTCGACACACGATACGGTTTCCAGGTGTCGATTTTCCGTTTCCGGGCGTCGGCCTTCTTTTTTGTTCTTTTCTTTCGCTCCTTGTCGAGCTCTTCCGGGTTTTGGTGGATTGCTTTCTAGAAAAATATAAATTTTTAAACGTTGAAAACCTGAATTTAAAAAAATCAAACCAACGAATTAATCAATTTTTCAAAAGATATTTTTGAGAAGAAACACACCTCTTTCTTCAAAATCTTGCGCTCCTCAATCCTGTCCGAAAGCGCGCGACTAGCTCGGGCCAACAGCTCGGCGTAGGCGGCCTCTCCTATCCGCTTCTTCAGCACCTCGCTGACCTGCATCGCCATGTCGCACAGCTCCTCCGTGTCTGAAATGGGCCGAATTCCGTGATGCCAATAGTAAAAAAAACGTACTCTTTGCACTCTTCTTCATCAGCTCCCTGGCCAGCGCGGGCATGAAAGTTTCGGCGAGGTGCGTGAGGCGCTCACCCTCATTTTTCAATGCCAGCCCGGCGCACAGCTTGAAGACGCCGAGGCGCTGAAAGAGAGAAATTAATTTAAAATTTAAAACTTCACAAACGTCACATGAAACTACCAACCCTAATCGCCGAATCGGGCAGCTTCCGCATCTCGTGCTGGCACACCTTGGCGAGTCGATCAACGATATTCTTCCAATCTTCATCCCCAAGGCACTCGCACAGGTAGATGAGATTTTTTATCGCCTAAAAATACAAACAACGTTCCAGGCAGCCAAAATTTGTCGTACCTGCTCGGCCGTCGCTTCACTGACAGTCGAGGCTCGCAATTGGAACACCATCCAATCACACAGCTCCATTGCGGACGGCTCGGCGGTGCCCTTCATGCTGACTTGCCCGATCAGGGGTAGACCCTAAAAGGTTTAAAAATCTTGACCAAAATTCTCTACATACCTGCCCAATAAAAGCCGAGGCAGCCAGCCGGACTTGATCCATTTCCTGTGAACATCTACAGTAGGGGCCCAGCGTGGCTAAACAGAAAAGTAGACGGAAAACTAGCTTCACCCACCAAAAGCCGACTTCAGTATGATCGCCAGTTCTTCTTCCAGTGACTTGGAAGGCTCGAGGATTTGCGTCATTGCGTCGATCAGGGAAAGGATCTGAGAAAAAATTATTTCATAAACTATTTTAGTCTTTTTTGGTTCTTTTGCATTATCGGATATTAAAAATGTCAAAAAATATAGACTTTTCGACCAAAAATGGCCGATTTTTTGACCAAAATGTCACTTTTTGAAAATGTTTTTTGATAGTTTTTCTAAGGCAAGCTTACTGTATTCTCAGCCAGCTCCTCAAGCGCATCGTCAGCCGCCAGCACCTTGAGCAACTGGGAGAAGGCCTAAAAACAAAGTTAGTTCGAACCAGGGTTGAAAAGCCGCTTCGCGTCTTTTCAACCCTGGCCCCCGTCTAGCGTCATAATATGCTTGATTTTGCATAATTCTCGCGAATTCCGATGACAAAAAAATGAAAAGCTCTCCCTCCGCCCATTATATAGGCTCGCACCATTTCCGGCATATGCTAATTGATTCCTAACAAAGTGGGTACTCCATTTTCTAACAAAAACTTAATTTTAACGTCGAAAATAGCATAATTTGCAAAATCTGATGTGTGTGCAGTCATCTCAGTGGCATTAAGCACCTAATGACGTATCATACGTTGCTTAAAACCCTTTCCCTCTCGAGATATCCTCCGGACACCCTGACGGAAGTTGCATGCAAAGTGGCACACACACACAAACACACAGACACTATTTTTTTATATATAGTAGGATAGGATAAGTCAATCAATTGATACCTCCTGACTCCGGTTCGCAAATCTGCTCTCTTCAGCCCCGGCCAACTGCGAGATGACGCCAGCGGCGACGGCAAAATTCGCCTCATTCTCCGAGTCGAGCCAATCGACGGCCGCCGAGAAGATCTCGTTCCTGGACCCTTCCTTTAGTGCGGCGAGCAACGAGCGGATGGCCAGCGAGCAGTAGCGACGACATTTTATTGACGGGTCGTTGACAAGCTGTGCGCCGAGCTTCACAACGGCGATCAACGCGACTTCTTCTAGCCGTTCCTAAAAAGTCGATTCGGAAATTTTCAAAAAAAAAAGCGCGGATTACCGGCAACAGCGTGGTGAATAACGTGTTCAGCATCTCGGCAGCGCTCAGCCGACCTCCCTCATGCTCGTACTCGAGTTGGTCAAGCCACCACTCGAGCTCCAGCTTTGGCTTGCGGGCTTGCGGGTGTTGGATAAAGGCGGAAATTACCTAAAACAGTTTTTTTTCACTTTCCTTTTCAAATACAAAGCGTACGCGTACAACATTCTGAGGATTATCCAAAAAAAACCCACAACTCGGCACTGAGCTTGCACGCTCGGGTAATCGCTGACAACAGCTTGCTGCCGCAGCAGCTTCACGACGTCAACGAGCTACAAAAAAACCATTGGAAAATCCGAAAGATAAGGACAAACCAGCGGATGCTTGATCTCCTTGGCGATGATCGTCTTCAGCAAGGCAAAAGCCGTCGCCTGCTTCGCGCTGTCCATCACGTCGGTAGCCACGTAGTTCAGCAGCAGCTCGATGTGCTTGTCGTCGAGCAGTGCGGCTGTGGAGATTTTGATGAGCCCCGTGAAGGTCTGGAAGAAGGAGATTTTTAACAGAGGCAAGCAATCCAGGATTCGGTTACGAACGCAAAATAAAACCTTGAATAACAGCTGGTTCAGCTCAAGCACCGCCTGCTTGTTTCCAGCCCCACCAAGGGCCGAGTAGTCGGCCAGGATGACGAAGAGACGCTCGGTCAGCGACTTGGTATTGGAGTGTAGGGAGGGAAGCGGGAACATAAGCATACGGTAGACGCAGCGCAGTGCCAAGGAGGTCACCTAAAAAAAAGGGTTTAACTAGCTCAGTTTCCCCTCTCAACCCTCTCTCTCTACTTACCTTGTCGTATTTTAGCGTCAAGCATTGGGCTAAGATGGAGACGAATGGATCGAGCCTGGCGGCATCGTCGCTGGATTCCGGGTCGAACCTATTCGTTTTCAATGTACTCCTAGAAGAAACGAAACTTACTTCTTGTTTTGCAACAGAAACGCCATAATTTGGAGGCCGTACTCGACGAAGACGTGAGACCGACTTTTCAGGGATTGCTTCGTGATCTCGCCCAGGCGGCGGGGCTCCTAAAATTAGAAATATATTTATTTCCATCACCCAGGTAACCATTGGTATGATGCAGCAGCTCTCCGGCTTGATGACGCCCTTGGCCTCGTTGATGACGGTGGTGCGCTTGTTCTAGAAATTCAGATTTGGGGGAAATAAGCTGACCCTACCTGAACGGCCGTCATCTTGGCGACGTGCTCCTCGAGAAGTTGATGACAAAAGATGAGGAGGGTGGGCAAAGGAATTCCGGGGTTTTCCTTCACTCCGACAGCCATGTGCATCAACAGTTCGCCGACCGTCTGGATTGCTTTGGCCGTCGGCTTCTTGTCGACGACCAGGTAGAGGGGTTCGAGGACGGTGCGCAGGGAGGAGGTGCCGACAAATCTGGAATTTAAACTTAGCCTTGAAAAAATGTAAAAACCAACCTTCCAACATTCTCCACGGTATCCATCGTTCGTCGCGCCTTTGCTTCCGGCACGTTCGCCTTGATGGCGTCGATTTCCTTCTCCTCGGCGGCCGCGTAGAACAAGTCCTCGCAGCACAGCTCCATGACCACCTCGAGGCAAGCGTCTAGGTCGCCGGGCTTCAGTCGGTCTCGCATGACGCCCATCAGCATATTTGTCGTGTAGATGAGGACGTGGACCTAAAGGAAAAGCTAGAAATCGAGGGCCACTCTTACTTGAAAACCGCGCTTCATCACATGCTTCATCTCCTTGATGACGAACGGGAAATATTTCGGGCCCAGCGCGAGGACGACTTGTGTTGCCACCTTTCTCGCCGTGTCGCGCACACGATCGGATCGGGCAACGAGCAGTTCGACAAGTTTCAGGATGACCCCATGTAACTGGTGCTTCAGGATAATCGGCGGGAGCTTGAGCAGCAGCTTCACGGCGGCCAAGGTAATCGGTGCCCTCCGGACGTCGTCATCCTCCTGGAAGTGCTTCTTGCCCGAGTCCATCGCCAGTTTGTGCACGTCCTTCGATTTCGGGTTCAGCTTCCCGTTGATGGCCAGCTTCAGCTTGGGCAGCAGGTTTTTGACGACCTTGTCGTAGACGACCTTCGGCGAGACGGGTTTTTCGACCTTTGGCAACTTTTTGGGCGCCGCCTTCTCGGCTTCTTCCTCCTCAACGGGTGCTGGCGGCTCGTCAACTTCCATCGGCTCCTCATCAATCTCGGGCGGGGGTAAATATTCCTCCTCCGCCTCGTCTTCCATCGCTTTGAAGTGGAAAGCATCCAGCACGGCGCACACGATTCGGATGAACGCCTTCTCGTTCTCCAAGTCCTGGGCCAGTTGGTTGATGTACAGGTCGAGGAGACGGATATACTGATTCCACGGGGTTCGCTTCAGGACGGCGACGAGTAAGAGGAGCGAAGCATCGGAAACCGAGCTCATCTTCTCGTTGACGTCAAGCATGTAGTGGCGGAGGAGTGGGATCAGATAGTCCACCATCACGTGCGCGTTCATCTCGATTTTGCCAGCCTCAATATCCTCAGCAAGGTCGGCGAACGCGGCCCTTCGGCGCCCGATTTGGATATGGACTGCGTTTTCGAAAAAGTCTCGGTCCGGATTTTCGACATTTCTCGTCTTGCCCAGCTCGGCCATGTGGGGGTGGCCGGGGAACGCACAGACGAGGACGTGCAGTGCCCTGATGAACTCGTCGCGCACGTTCTGCTGGGGCTGCTTGAATCCGCGGACGATCATTGGCAAAAGCTGGTGGTCGATGGCCTTGAGGAGCTCTTGCTCATCATATCCGGGCTTTGGCAGGTAGTCGATCAAATCGCGCAGGTTCAGCGAGGCCTGGGCACGCAGGGCAATGTCGTCGATGACGGCCAGGGTGTGGGCGGTTGATTGGATGACGGCGCAGAGGAGCTGCACATGTGGGCGCGCCGTGGCTTCACGGAAGATTTTGGAAAGCATCGCATAGCCGAGGGCGCGGCGCTCGTAGTCGGGCTCGTCGAGTCGGCGAGGGTTCCAGCTTTCGAGGTCGCGCAGGGAGGAGAGTAGCTGTAGATACTAATTACGGGTAGCGATTCGATACTCACTGTTTTGTCGACCGCCTGGACGTTCGGATTCTCGGACAGCCCGTTGCACAGCTCGCTCAGCGCGGCACGAATTTGTCGATCTTCGAAGGCGACGAAGAGCTTCGGTAGTCGCCTAAAATTTTTTTGTAGTAAAATGCGTAAATCGCTTACAAATAGATCTCGGCCGGTCGCTCCAGGTTGCGCACGATGGCCGCGAGCGTGTTGAGCATTTTGGCGATGAGCTCGGGCTAAAACCCATTATTCTTCAGGCCAATTCTTTCACACCTTTGCGTCCTTCTTCTTCCGGTCGAGGATGATGAGCAGGCACAGGGTGAAGCGCTCGGCAATGGCTGGCTGGTGGATGAAAGGCGCCAGTCTAAAAAAAATTATAAGCAAAATTAATTTAAGCGCTAAATTTATGCAACATGCCAGGAAACTCACTCGCTGAGGATCTTCAGATTATCGCCATCGACGGAAGCCTTGCCCCTCTTGCCGCCCTCCAGCGTTCGGGCGACGTACTCGAGGATCGTGTCGAGCTGGGTGACGAGCAACGAGGTGCCAAGGTTGATTCCTAACCAGCTATAAACTACCAGAAAATCCTTTAGTACCTTCTTTCTGCTCATAGGGCAAATACTCGAGCTCGGCCACGTATTCCGGGGTCTCGTCGGCAAATTCGAGCATAGACACGAGTCCGGTGCGCACCATTTGGATGTATTTTGGCTGAAAAATGAGGGTCATATTCCAAATACGACGTTTCTCGGTACCACAGTCTTCTCCCACAGCAACGAGTCGACCATAATCTTGAGGGGGCACGTCTCGACGTCGTCGATCTGGATTCGGGCGACGAGAAGGTGGAACAATCTGAAATTTACCTAATTATTGACGGAAAAATGCCTTACTTTGGCATCTCAGACATGGCCTCGATTAAACCGAGAACCGAAGAAATCGCGACGGTCAGCGTACGTTCGCCTTCTTGTCGAATCTGGAAATTGTTTTGAAATGGAACATGACACGCGTTTTAAAGCGCCTATATTCACAAAGCTCACCTCGACGTACGGCACAACGGCCCATTTCCATAGGGCTCGCACTTGGTCGGCATTCCATTCGTGCTGCGCAAAGGCGAGAACGTACTAAAAATATACATTTTTACAACTATTCGCCAAAAACATTTTTTTGATAGTATAGCTTTTTTGCTGTTTGCTAGTCGCTAAAAATTGCCGTTTAAAAACCAAACCGAACCTGCCGCATCCTGCCCATCGCCTGGTTGCGCACCGATTTGAGCATCTTGGCCTCATCCTCATCCGCGGCGGCTGATAGCTTTGTCTAAACGGGTTTATGGGAGTCCCAGCAAATCCTTGCCCACCTCGATGACCGCAAAAATGACGATGAGGAGCTTGTAGATGAGCAGCCGCTGCTCCTCGTTCAGCACCTGGGCGATGCCCTTCAGCAGGTTCTCCGTGGCCTCGAGGGAGCTGAAAAAAAAGAGAATTTTGATAATATTTATGAGGCACTCGTTCCTTTAACGTGCCTAGGCTAGGTTAGCGGCAGACTATGCGTTTTCTTATCTTTCTAGTATCCAGATTCCTTTCCGAATCCAGATTCCAGACGCACCTTCCAGTGAAAGGATCCCTCTCCCGGTTTCCCCCGCAACATTAAAGCTATAATGGGATCGCTCGCTGGGGCCGGGGGTGATCGAATAGCCCATTTCTATAAGCCGTTGGAGGAGCCGTTGATTCAATTTTGTCCTCGAGAGGGTAGGGCCAAAACTCTAGACCGGATGCACGATACCTAGCACGAAAAACTCGTTTTTTTTCTGTTCTCCTGTATTTACGTAATTTGACGTTTTATCTACGCATCTGCTAGGCCGATTTTAGCTGCGGAAGCAAGATATAGGACGAAAAATCGAAAGGCCTTAACTCTATGCGGAAAAAGGAAGCCTTTAACATTCGAAAAATGTCAATACATATAAAGGTAATGATACTCCAATTTAATAGTTTTCTACATAATCTATTTCTGGTATAGCGTTTTTTAAACCGAAAAAGGTAGCTTTTTCTCCTTTTGACCCCCGTTTTTACGTAAGCTCCCCTAAACCCCCGTTAATTATGCCCTCGCCTTTCCGGCATGATGCACCCCCCGGTGTCCAGTACAAGTGGCCGCAGCCCTCGAACCGGGTGGCGAGGGTCAGCTGTTCCCGCCCAGTCAGAGGGCCCCCGTCCGCAACGGGGGAGCCCCGGCGCTTTAGTTTCCCGGGCTGCTGCTCATTTCCCCCCCCGGTGGGCCTTAGGTAACCACTCATCAATTGGGCCAATCGTCCACCCGGACACATTGTTCAACGGGCCCTCGGGGCCAGATGCCAGCCGTTCCTTACATAACCTCCAATCGCCCACTGGCTGATCGGGGGCGCCAGGCAGCACTTGCTCGCCCATCAGTCACCGGTACTCCGCCCGCTTTATGGAGTGTTAACGATACTTTTTCGGGGTTAGGGACATTCGCCCTGGAAACTTTTAAGGTCCCACCGGAAAATGAAGCCTTTGAAGCCTCAAATTCTTGCCGGCACTATCCCTTTAGTGCCCTCAAGAACACCCTCCTTCTATCAACTAGACAACCTCAGCGTTCGACTCCTGCCCCATGCAAAATGCCTGTTTGTTTTTCGTCTTCTGAAAAATCGACCCCTGCTATAGACTAGATCGAGACAGCATCAGCAGCCTCATTTTATACACCTTTATTTACATAATCCAACTTTTTCAAATATAAATAGTGGAAATGTTTCTAAATGGCTTTTTACTATTCCTAAATGTGAAAGCTTTACAAATTTGTTTTTAAAAATATCAAAAAGATCGATTTTTCAAACGAAAATGGCCGATTTTTCAGCAAAATTTCGAATTTTTAAAAAGTTTTAGATAGTACTTTTAGTTGAAATATAGTTAAATACAATCACTATTAAAATATTTTCTCTTAAGTTACTAGGCAATTCTAGACTTGCACAAAAAAACATCGGTTCCCCCCCCCCCCACCCCGATAAGGCGAAAGAGCCAAAGTTCGATGAAGATTTCTACCCTCGATAATCCTCCATAATAGCTAACCATCCGGCTGTACCCTTGTTTTAGCAGGTGCGCGAGGCCAGCGTCTTAGAAGTGCCCAATCCCCACGCTAAAGCTAAAATTTCCGCCGGCGGCTCGGGTTTCACGATACGCCTCCCCCGCCGCTCCACACCTCGATCCTCGAGAGTTTGTGGTCAGCTTAACCCTCAGACCCGAATGACCGGTCTCCGCTTCTCTTTTACTCTCTCGTCTAGACGATTTCTATACACGCCTTGCATAAATTATTCGAGGCACCTGGCTGTCGCCAACTGGGTGGTGGCCGACGGGGTAGGAGGCAACAGCGGTAAATGGGTAATTAGGCTGCCTTTCGGCTCCTAGGGGTATATGCAAGGTTACAAAAGCATTGTCATGTTCGGCTGGTCTACCGGACCTTGGCTATTGTTAGTGCGAGTTTTTGCCTTGAAAGTTTCTTCAAGATCCCCCATCGTTTCCAGCTCTCCAAAAGTAGCTCTTTCTGCTAAAATCTGGCTTTTCATGTTTTAAGGGGGCTGATAAGCCAAGATTCGCCTTTCCAAAATATCTATACGCCCGGTCAACGCATACCCTAGATATGCTCTCGACTCTGAACGAACATTCCGGGAACGCCGGACCGAATCCGTTTACCCCATCAGCCATTCAGGCATATTTCCGCGCGGGGAATGCGCTAGGGTGGCCCATAGCACACGCGAAATACGCCAAAACATCGGGGGTCAAGCCAGACTGATCTAAAAATCTTAAAGGTAACAGGATTAATTCTATCTAAGATTACGAAATCGCCTCTTTCCCTCCCCTATCGTTCTTATCCTTCTAGAAAAACCTCAAGTACCGTGACTGGCATTCTTCCCACCCTCTCCATTATTCAGCCGATTACTATGTCACACAGGCCTCGCTAAGCGCCCAAAACATTGCCCCGGCCCAAAAGTCTAAAGTGCCCATTTTGCAGCAGCTGTGCCGGCGCGGGGCTTTCCGTATGTGCGGAAGAACGGTTAATGAGCGCATTTGGCCGAGGGGAAACTAGGGTCGATGGACGGACAGCGGCCATTTGTGAGAGTGATTGCCCTCCTCGTGGTGCTCAACAGTGCAAGTCTGGGCTTGGCTAGTGATGCGGGCGGGCTAGTGTCGACACAGTGCCGGTGGGTTAGACACTTATCATAGAAATCAAAATCGATAGGTATTGATGGCCATTAATGAAAAACCGGAAGTCCAGCAAAAGATAGTTCGCTTTAGCTTTGGCGGCATTCTAAACATCGCCTGGAAGAGCTGCGAGTGTGTCCCGGTCGGCAAAGATGCAGCAATACATGTTATGTGCCGCCAGACTTCCGCAGCCACCGTACCCCCACTGCCACAGCCAGAAGAGGAAGCATCCGCGCTTTTAGAGGTTTTTTGCCTCCTCTTTCTTGAATAATTAAATTTAGGACGAACATGTACCCTCTAATATCCTCGCCCTCTCCATGACGGATGGCGGTCTGAAGTTCTTACAACAAGACAGCTTCCGAAACAACAACATACAGACGCTCGATTTTACGAATAATCAGATCCAGACTGTCAACGTCAATGCTTTTCGCGGGCTTGAGGTAAAAGAGATCTATCAAAAGTCAAGCTCCGATTTTAGATGAAGCTCTACAAGCTCGTGCTCACTCAGAACAATTTATCGGTGGTGCCCTCGTGGTCGCTCACCTACCTGCACCAACTTCAATTTTTGCACCTGGAGCAGAATCGGATATCGCACATCCGATCAAATACTTTTGACGAAACGCAGATGAACAACTTGCAATTTTTGCATATGGACCATAATCAGGTAGGAGACGGATTTTAAAGGGGCTGGGAAGTCTAGGGAAACAAGCACCACTTTCCAGATCACCTCCATTCCAAATCTCGCCTTCAACCGGTTGCGACTTATCGTCCTAACCCTATCCGACAATCGCATTGTCGAGCTCGAAAAAATGTCGCTACCCGCCACGCTGAGCTTCCTCGACTTGAAGAACAACTTATTACCCCAGGTAAGCAAAAAAAGGTCCGAAAACAGCACTTCAGATCCCATACCTTGCCCTGAAAGAGCTGAAAAATCTGAAATCGCTGAACCTGGAGGGCAACAACGTGTCGAAGTTGTTGCCCGAGACGGATGTGATTTTCGAAAATGAGCTCAAGCTGATTTTACGCAACAATAAGATTCGGAGATTGCCGGACGGATGTTTGAAGAATTTTAAAAAGTTTAGCGAGCTTGACCTGAGCTATAATCAGGTATGGCTTTAATTTAAAATCGTCTAAGGTACCCTTAGATTCACACAATCTCGGGCAACGTCTTCGACGGTATCGGTCAAATTCGCGAGCTCGACCTCAGCTACAACAACATTGCCTACATTCCGGAAAATGTGTTCGCCAATCTAGCAAAGGCGCTGAAAAAACTGAATCTCGAGGAGAATATCTTGCATGGGTTGCCGAACTCGATGGGGGAGCTCCGAGAGCTGACCCATCTGAACCTCAACGGGAACAAGCTGCATAAGTGGGTTTGAAATTAAAGGGATTCGAATAAAAAACCTAATATGAAAGCTTCGCCATCAATTTCAGGCTGGATAACGCTGCCCTGACCGGGGGGAAACGTACGCTGCTCGAGCTTCGCGTCGCGTACAACCACCTGAAAGAGGTGCCGACGCACGTGCTGACCGGGATGGAACGGCTGCAACAGCTCGACCTCAGCAAGAACAAGATTCAGACCCTGGAGAAGCTGGCGTTTGGGACCTTTGACGGAACCGGCACCAGCCTCATGTTTTTGAACCTAGCAGGTGAGGGCAATGAAATCAACTATAACTTTTCATTTAGGCAACCAAATCAAGGAGATCAACGACCCGGCCGTCTTTCTCTACATGTCATCGCTGGCATACCTCGACCTGAGCTACAATCAGATCGTCCAAGTCGGGGACCAGGCGTTTGATAAGTTGCCAGGGTTGGAGAGCCTTTTCCTGCAGGTGCGTAAAGTTCGGTTCTTTCGCATTATCGGGGGAGACTTTTTTGTATAAGTCTAAAAATGTTCGACATTTTGGCAAAAAATCGATCATTTGGTGGAAAAATCGATATTTTTGAAGTTGTTTGATATAAATGTAAAGTTTTCACGTTTAGGAATAGCAAAAAACATTTAGAAACAATTGGACTATTTACATTTGAAAAATTAGATCCTAAGAAAAGTTGGTCCCCCCCGATAATGCTAAAGAACCAGGGTCCTTATCGCCAAAAAAAAATTTGTTTAGAACAATAAGCTTTTGACGTTCCCATTGGCCGCGCTTGGCAAGATGCCAAAGCTTCGGAACTTGGTCCTCGACGGAAATCATGTAGCCGCCTTGCCGGATTATTCACTTGGGAAATTGGTCCGGTTGGAGAGGCTGTCGATGGCCGGGAATCGGATAGTGACGTTAGGCGATAAGACCTTTCATGCCAGGTTGGCTACAAAAACACAATTAAACTGAAAAATTCAGCAGCAACCGCGAGCTGCGCCTCATCAACCTGGCCAACAACTGGGTGACGATCATTCAAGGAAAAACGTTCTCTCAATTGGAAAACATTCAGCAAATTGTCCTCGCTGGGAACCGCCTGCAAGCCGTCGAATCTTTCGTAGGTCACCTGCACCGAAAAATATAAAAAAAGATCTAGACATTCTCGGAGATGCGAAATCTACGCTACATCGACCTGTCGCGGAACCAGATTGTCGTCATCTCATCGTACTCGTTCGTCAATTTACCGCAGCTGGAGGTGCTCAACCTCGCCAATAACTATATTGAGACGATGGAGCGGGATGTGTTCAGCAAGGTCCCAAAGTATGTCACGACCCTCTAGCGAAAGATGGTGCTTTCCTGCTAACGGGGGGGGGCTAATTTTTATTTTTACGCCTATTACTACGTGCTGACAATCAATAGAGTATTTTTAAAAATAATTTTCATTGCTAAAAAGTTACAAGGCTTTATAAAAAAATTACACGAAAAATGGGAATTTTTTACATTTTTTGGCCATCATGACCAAAAGTAAAAAATGTCCGAAATTTGTTAAATAATGTTTTTATGTCTAAAAATGTGTAAAATCAATTAAAATTGTTTATATTTCGGTAAAGGGCGTGCTGAATTACTGGGGAAAAATCTCCCCCCCGTCAACAGGAAAGATGGCCATTTTTTAGAATCGAACATTTCGACATCAGCAACAATAAGCTGAAGCGTTTGACGTGCGACCAGATTAGTCACATCAACACGGTTTACCACCTGAATGCGGCGAACAACCACTTGAAGAGGTAAGCCTGCTCACTCCGAGTTGATGGCTTTAGCATCGACCTGAACTGCATCAAGCGCAGCGTGCAAACACTGAACTTGGCACACAATGAGCTGCAGAGCTTGCCGAAGGAGGTTATGCAGGACTTTGACGAGCTGCGGAATATTTCGTTACGCCATAATGGTATCTTGGAGGTAGGAGAAGTTCAAAAACAGTAAAAAAACCTGACAGATCCCGGTGCACGCCTTCACTGCCTGTCACAAGCTAGAATATCTGGACTTGGCGAAGAACCACATCCGACACCTGTGGAAGGGCTCTTTCATCAACCAGGTATTGCAATTAATGGATTGAGGCTAGAAAGAAGTTCAGAAGCGCTTCACTCGCATCGACTTGAGTAGCAACGTCATCCAGGGCATCCAAGTTGGGGTCTTTGGGAAGGACAACCTCTACGAGCTCGACCTGTCCGACAACGAGCTGATGAGGGTGCCGACGGCGGCGCTGGAGACCGTCGCCAACAGCCTGAGCTACCTGAACCTGCGCAGGAACAAGATCAGCATGATCGACAGCTCCCAGTTTGTCAGTGTCTTTGTTTTCATAGGCCTCTAACCTGAACTTTTAGCTCGGCCTGCGCAACCTGTCGATGCTCATCCTAAGTGATAATGTGATCGAGACGATCGAAATGTCGGCTTTTCAACATTTGCAGAGCCTGCGCTTCCTCGACTTGAGCCACAACCCGATCACGACATGGCATCCCCAGGCTTTTGCCGTGGGTTAAAAAAATATATGCGGACGTGGAGGAATTTAGGAACTTGGCCATTCCATCAGCCTACTCAATCTAGCCGACACTGGCTTGTTTTCAATGCCGAAATTGAGCCATCGCTCCATCCGGCACCTCAACATCAGCCAGTAAGCTTAGAGAGCAAAATTAGTCTGTTTTTAGCAACAAGATCTACGACATCCAAAAGCGGGATCTATCCTCGTTTGGAAAACTGGACGTGCTGGACGTGTCGTACAACAATATCCACGCCCTGGACTCTAATCTCTTTGCCGACCTCTCCGGGCTGAAGGCGCTGAACATTTCGGGGAACAAAATCACCCAACTGACCGAGGAGCACTTCCAGAACCTGCGTCAGGTAATGGAACAGCGACTTTTCAAGGGAATTTTTAGCTGGAAGAGCTGTATGCTTCCGCTTTACCCTCTCTCGTGAAGCTGCCAGAGCCCTATGCGTATGCGTACCTATCACATCTACGAGTGCTGAAGGTAAGTCAAGTAATAGATCCCCTCATGAAAAAATTTAGTTGATGGACCTCCCCTCATCAGTGCGGAACCACAACGTCACCGAGATACTCGGTTACTTGCCGCCGTTGCGGGTGCTCATGATCGAGATCAAGGACGAGTTCCTGGACGACCAGTTGAAGCGCGCCGACAAGCGCATGCTTCGGGATCTGATGATCACCGGAAGTCGGCTGAAACAGGTGGGGGACCAAAAAAGGCCCTTGATCATGCTCTTCAGATAGCCATGGGTGCACTGGATGGCCTTCGAGGGTTGCACTTTCACCTCGACATCCACGACACCGCCCTGGAGTCGTTTCCCTCGTCTCTGTTCAACACCCTCTCGGGGATCCATTTCCTGTCGTTGTCACTGACCAACAACAGGCTCGCCACGATCGACCCGTTCAAGTTCTCGCAGATGCCGGTCGTCAACCAGCACGGCACCGTGTTGCATTCGATTAATTTGAGGGTCAGTTGGGTCATTGGGTATTGCGTACTAGAATACGGTTCTGTCGAACTATTGGGGGGTAGGCGAAAATTTTTTTACAAGTCTAGAAATGGCTAGTAACTTAATAGAAAGTGCTTTAATACAGGTTTTAGCAATATCTAACTATATTAAACTAGAAAAACTATCTAAAAACGTTAAAAATATCACAAAAAAAAAGTTGAAATTTTGGCCAAAAATCGGCCTTTTGGTCGAAAGATAGATATTTTTGTATTGTTTTGCTACAAATTTGTAAATTTTTCACGTTTAGGAATAGTAAAAAGCCATTTAGAAACAGTTCCATTATTTATATTGGAAAAATGAGATCCTAAGAAAAAAATTGGTTGACCCCCGATGAACTCCCACCGCCGCCCTACAATGCGAAAGAACCTATCGTGGTTAGCGGGTACGCCCGCTAACCACGATTCCATTAATGCGCAGTTTACGGCCTCAAAATTGAAAGCGTGCGCGAAATAGTGCCTTCAATTTTTTTTTCCAGGACAATCCGCTACGCTGCGACTGCGATTTCTTATGGATTTCCGCGTGGATCAAGCACGTCGAGTCGCTGCGCGGCACCCCGGGAGGTGGTGATCTATCCACCCAATCGTTCTCAAACACCTATTGCCGAGGAAATCCCTCCTCCCCCTCGCTCCTCGAAATGTACGAGGACGACGAAAAGTTGAGCCTATGCCTACGGGGGACCCTGAACTCGGCCCCGAAACTTTCTACAATTTTTGTAATATTAGCCCTAGTTTTTGTCTTTTGAGCCCAATTTCCGTACCCCTCGCTGATCTCGCTCGAAGCTATCCCGCACTGTGATAAAACTACGTGGTGCCTTTTTGAATAAAATTGTGTTTGAAGATATTCAGGAGTGATAGATAGAGCAAAACTTGCAAGGACAAACTCACATATAAACACTCTTCATGTCGATCTTCTCCCGGAGCGCGGCGTCCGTCTTCACCCTCTCCGTCAGCGACTCGTAGCTGCTCCCGGAGATGTCTAAAATTTTTGCATAATGTTATTTTTAAAGGGATTGTGACAGCAAGTCCCAATCATTAAAATTGCTCACCGAAATTCTTGGTGATCGCGTGAAACAGAAGGCGGATGAACTGGTTGAGCTGGTCGGCCGAGCAGCCGGCGATGAAACGGATGATGTGCGTGCGATGGTTGTGGCCCATTTTAGCGGCTGGGGCGACGAGACGACCATAGAGAACTCTAGAACGGGAAAGTACGCCTCAAAAAGGGCACCGATTCCAACCTCAAAATCACGGGCAACAGCTCGTCGACATGCCCCGGGGCGATGACGCTGTTCTCGGAGCCGACGTTCAGCTTCAGCAGCTCGCCGCGGAACGCCTTCTTGTCGAGTAGAGCGAGCAGATTCTCCCTAAAAACAAAAACAAATTAGAGTATAGTGCAGTGTCGTACTTGTACGAGTTCATCCATTTAAACTTGTAGGCGAAGATGCAGTTCAGTGCCGCCTTCTGGAGCTCCGGGTCCCATGAGAGCAGCAACTGCAAAGGGGATACAGTAAGAAATGTAGACTAATTTAGACCTCGTTGTACACCGCGAAGACCTCCTGGTTACGGTGGATCGACTTGGGGCCCCGGAAAGAGGAGAACATCTGCAGGAAGGCGATCAGGACCCGACGAGCCATTCGCTTGCTTAGAATATGGAGGGCGGTCTCTTCTTCCTGTTCCGCTTCGGGGTCTGGGACGACTTCCCAGTCCGCTAGCTCCTCGTTCCCTTCCTTCGGCTCTGCTTCTGCAGCTTCTGGCTCTGTGGGTGTGATTTCTTCAGCCAACGACGGCTTCTCCGCGTTCAGGTAGTCTTTGCTGAAAAAATTTAAAGAGAGCGTAACATCAGCGAATACAGTAGTACCTGAAGAAATCGAGGAACAGCGGGACCAGGATCTTCGTTTTACGCTCCGACACTTCGGGGGCCTGAAAAGAAGTTAAATTAAAAAAATTATGCCCGACGTACCTTCGCCAAAAAGAGCAGCATTTGTTCGATGAAGCTCGAAAAATCGGTCCTCGAGCTTGAATCGACTTCCGGGATGAGCGAGGAGAGCGCGGTGGGGATGCTCAACGGGATGTCGTTGCGTAGGCCTAGGAAATGAATGAACTTTAGGTGCTTTCGCGTGATCCCTCAGGAAACAATTTTTTAAAATAGAAACAATGTTTGAAAATAGAAGTTTCTAAACTGTTTTTACTGTATTGTTTTTGTTCAACATTCTCAAAGGTGAATCGTCGAAAATCAAAAACGAACCGGCAAAAGCCGTCATCAACACGCGGTCCACCTCAGCCCAGAACGCATCAAGTTGAAGCCCACTCGCATAGCTGAGGATGATCTCGTGCATGCCCTTCCACAACGGGATGTATTGTTGATGGAATTGGGCGAGGCAGACGCGCAGAATAATCGCCTCGTAGTCGGCGGCACGGCCCTTGGGCAAAAACGCGGTGTGTTTCCCGTGGACCAGGCTTCTAAAGGATCTCTAAAAAAAGAAGATAGGCAATTCGCACCTGAATTTTCGCAATTTTTCCCTCAATCCGACGTGGTCGAGCGATTCCCGTTCGGCAGATGCCAGTACAGCAAACGCGTTCTCCGATTGGCCCTCGAGCGGGACATCGAATCGGGCGCAGATATCCAGTGCGCACAGCCTCAACGGCAAGTACGGAGACGCAAACGCATCCGTCAACGGGACAATGATCTAAAAACAACATCATCTTCGAGTCGATGCTAGGCACTTGATCCAGATCCTCCAAACTCTTCTTTGGCTTCTTGACGGTCACGAAAAGCCGGTAGAAGCGAAGGGCAGAGTCGGTGCACCCGAAGTTTCTGATGAAATCGAAGGCCAACTTCTCATCGACCTTGCGGAGCAGAGTTTTGTCAGCCTGAGCGTCGGAAATTTATGAAATGTGGTATTTTTACCTGGAATAGGGCTGAAGCTGCGAAAAACACCAGCTGTGACTGCAGGAACACTGTCGCTCGATCTTGCGGGGTCGGGGCCGAGAGCAGGGAGAGGAGAAGCGCCAATATACTTGCGCTACCTGAAAATTATAATTTTTTTCATATAGACAAAATTCACAAATTCGGAAGCGAGAGAGAGAGAGAGAGAGAGAGAGAGAGAGGGAGAGATCAAATCTTCTCTTCCTTATACTTCTCCTACCTTGCATAACCTCGTCAGCCGGCGTCAGCCAAGGCCAAACCGCCAAAGCATGAGCAACCTTGAGCAAGGCAACTTCCGACCACTCCGTGTCGGTGATCCATTTATTAGCGCTGGCCACTTGCTCATTCACGTACTCCCGGACGGCGACTTGATAGGAAGTGTCGAAAAATGTCGCTCTGCCGGCTGAAAATAATAAGTAGATTCTAACGCCAAAACGGCCGAACCTCTATCGATTGCGCCTTCCAGCGGCCGTCGATCCAGACAGATTTCGGCGTAAACCCGAAGGAGCTCGGCCTTTGCACTTTCATCGTCCGACTAGATATCGATTTTAAAGGTGTTTGTAAGTCAAAACTTACCTTGACTACACGCGTAGCCAAGCTGCCAAGAGCCGGCATGATGTAAAGGTCGAAGCACTGGATCTTGTGGATCGACTCGAGAAACTTCAAAAGTGTCGGGTCACTAAATAAGCGTGTTTTAACTGAAAAACAATCTCAAACCTGTCCGTCCTGCTCGAAATTGCCGCAAAGAGGTCTCGCAGTTTTGAGAACCACTTTTCCGAGTCGTAGACCTCATTGACAAGCTTAAACCACAGCAGTTAAAAAAAAACAGTGGCTGAAATATACCTGAGCCAATAAGTCAAGAAAGACCTCATCGACAACAAACCAAGCTTGGGGGACGGCCTGTTCGATGATTGCAAGAAGTTCGCTTTCTTGGCTAAAAAAAAACGTAAGACTAAAATTGACGCTACCCACCTGAAAACTCGATTATTTTTGACGCGCACTGTCGCCGCGTTGATCAGTTTCAGAGCCTGGCAGAAGCTCGTCGGGTCGGTCGTTTTTGACAACAAATTCTAAAAAACAGCACAATAAATAAATCGTTCAAACTGACGAAAAGTGGGCGTACGACTGGTGCGAAATGTTCTCGTTTAGCGTAGTGGATGCAGTAGATGATGGCGCTCTGGAAAGCATCAAATCCCGTTTTTCGGCCTTCCGGGTCCTGAATCGCGAAAGTGGCGTTCAGCATCTCGGCCAGGAGCTAAAATTTTTGATATCGTCTCACTAGAGCTAATCACCTCCTCGGTGCCACTGTAGAATTGGCCGTTCACCCCTCGAATTGCGTTGAAGATGAGCATCGCGACACCGTCCAGGAGCCGGTCATCCTGGAAAGACCTTTTTTAGATTTGGGACTTTTAGCATACTTGGACTTTTTGCGCCTTTTCGAACATGAAAACGGTGAACTTGGGGATGGCGGATGATTTTCGCATCAGGAAGGCAAAGGCCTCGGCGGCAAAACGTCGCACATACTTGTGCTGACTTCCGAAGAGGGGGCAGAACCGACTAAAATTTATATTTTTTTTTTTTGCTTGACCTGTAAAACTCACTCAAATGTCTTTCGCAACTCCTTGATGATCAACCGCCAATGCTGCTTGAATAGAAGGGCCATTGTCAGATGCGTCTTGTCGAGCAACTCGACATTGTTATCTGAATTTAAAAAGCGTCATCGCCTGAAGACAAGTACAAACCGGCGCGTTCCATGACGTATATGATCCGCTCGAAAAGTGGCCACATGTGCTGATAGAACTCATCGCGTAGATCCTTCGCAAGGGCGATGCACATCTCCAGGAGGGTCATAAGCGCGGAGGTTTCCTAATTGACGTGTCTCCAAAAAATAATATCCTATACCGGAACTTCCAATGCTTCGAGGAGAGCGCCGAAAATTTGTTTCTAAAGAAGAATAAAAATTTAATAAAGATGAATACGCTGTAGTGCAGGACTTGGGCATAAGTCGTCAGGTCCCTCTTGTGGGGGATGGCCTTCAAAAACGCGTCTAAAAATTTCCACCTGTTTGAGATCGAAAAATCTTACAAAAATCCGCTCCCCGGTCGATCTCGACCCATTTTTCTAGGGCTTCTGCGAAATGTGTCTCGTCGTGCTTGGTGTCGCCGAGCTCTTTGCGAATCAGCGCCCGCTGGCCTCCAACTTTTTCGATCTTCTTGGAGAAGCTCTCCCACTGAAAAAGCAAGGATTTAGTCGCAAAACCATAATTTATTTGTATTCGTAAAATAATTTACCTTGAATCTGTTTCCTTCTCTGCCCATTCTGACGGGCTTGTGATCATAAAAATCTAAAGCATTCCAATTTTAATTTTTCGGTTAGATAAGTTTAGGACGAATAGAGTGTAGGAAAACGATAATAGCTATGAAAAGTAAAAAGTTTTATAAAAAAGAAATAAAAACCAGGAAAAGAGGCAAATTTCGATACGCGGCGGTCCATTCGACAGACCAACGCTGTGACCACTGCAGAAATTGCCATTACCCCATTCAAACCTTCCGAAAATCGTCGAACCGGTTCGACCCAGAATTTCTGCCATTCTCGTTCAAAAATTGCCAGAATTGTGAGGCAGAAATCATGGTCGTGAGTGGTTTTGCATACTTCTGAAAATGCCGCCCTTTCAGTTGCCACTGTCCCTCCTCCGCACAGCCCAAAATCACCCGATGTTGGTCGAGTTGAAAAACGGTGAAAATTGATGAACTTTTTAAAGAATCGATGAGCTTATTTTGCTCTGAAACGGACTGTAATAAGTCGCAGCGTAAGCTGTTAGTCTTGGGTCGTTATCGCGCATTTTCTTGTACAACTTTGTACTTCAGGCGAAACCTACAACGGTCACCTGCAGTCATGCGACTCCTGGATGAACATTCACCTACGAGATGTCATCTTTACCTCAAAGGTTTCTTGGGAAAATGTTTGACATTACAATCTTTTCATTTCAGGATGGTGACCGTTTCTTCAAAATGCCCGAAGTCTATGTTCGCGGGTCGACAGTCAAGTATTTGCGGATTCCGGATCAGGTAATATTTGATAAGCCAGATATCCTATTTTGTTTTAGGTTGTCGACTTGGTGAAGCAAGAAGTCGCTGAAGTGCGCCGGCAACAGAAGGATCTGCAGAAACAACGTAAAGCTGCCGCTACGCGTGGACGTGGTGGTGGCGGACGAGGAGGTTCGACGGGTAAGGATGAAACAGCATTTGTTTCTATTTTTTGGATCTGCTTGAGCTTGCACTCTTTTTTCTGTTTCTTGAACTCATTCGGGTTTTTTCAGCAGGCCGAGGTGGTCCCGGAGGCGGACGTGGAGGCGGCATGGCCAACCGAGGGAAATGAGCAACAACCATCGTCAAATGCATCTCCTCCCCAGAACTCTGTCTTTATTTATTCACATTTATTCCCCCGCCCCGTGTTCCCTCTCACGTGATGAGCTCCGATTTCTCAATTCATCTTGTCAGATGTCCTGGGTATTACCTTTTTTACATTGTCTTGTGTATCGTTGTCGCATAAATCTGGTTTCGCTCATCCCATTGATGCTTGCAGGGAGGACAGATGATTTTTCGGGTTTATTTCATTACCGCATGGAGCCGAGTGGTGCTGTAGTTTGCTCGTTGTCGCCTTATCAATCGCGCGCTAGGTTGCGTGGGGAAGAGGATAGGGCAGGAGGAGTTTCGCGCTGCCAATTCGTCCCGATTGCTCGTGTCAACTGTTCGTCGCCAACCATGGAGCAACAGGGTCCATCTTCTAGACCAGCGCCACCACCTGTACCTCCCCGTCAGTATTATGGTATGTGAAATTTTGGAATAGCAAAGTTTATTGGGGATTGGGAATGCTTTTTTGCCAGAAAAACATTTGATTGTTTTTTTCAGATTCTCAGCAGATGTCGATGCCAAACAACGGCATGTACGGCGGTGGCGGATTTGGTGCCCCGATGAGCTACGGCGTCGGATATGGCGGTTACGGAGGTGGATACGGTGGAATGGGAGGAGGGATGTAAGTTTATCACAAAGTGTGGCGGATTACAGTTATAAAGCCAGATAAAACGAAAACGGCTCGATTTTCAGGTACGGAAACCACTACAACAACGGCATGATGGGCGGCTACGGCCATACCGAAGGGAATTTTTCACGTTTAGCGGAAGGTTAGAAGAAAGCTAGCCAAAAATGATGGTGTATCTTTTTCTTCAGAATCATCTCGCGGCGCTTTCCAGTCGATAGAAGCCGTGGTGAATGCCGTGACATCCGTGTCAAATATGCTCTCCTCGACTCACAATGCCGTTTACAGTTCCTTTAGGTAAAAAAATTCATGAACAAATTTAATCGTGGCATTCCAGAGCCGTAATCGGGGTCGTCGATCAATTCTCGCGTCTCAAGGGCCAATTCACCGGGCTGATGGCCTCGCTGGCGCTGTTTCGCTTTGTGCAAAAGTTGTGGAGGTGGCTGCTCGTTGCTTTGAGGCTGAAACCGGCAAATTATGCTAGCGACCAGGAGTTGGCCTGGACGACGGCGCAGGCTCCACTTGGTAAGTTAAAAATGAACCGGACTTCAAGCCATACGCTCATTTATAAACACAAAACAGATACAGAAAAATTCACAAAAATCAAACGTCCACAAACTTTTAGGCGCCGATCTGTTAGTCGGCGGCAGCCCTGGAACCCCGGTCAATTGGCCAGCCCTCTTTTTCTGGGTTGTCGCCCTCGGTTTCCCGTATTTGATCTACAAGTGCGTGACGAGGATGGTGGAAAATGTGGAGAAGCAGCGCGTCTGGGCCACTGGGCCGGCCAATCATTACAATGCTGAGGTTCGATTATCGACTGATTTAAGTTTCAAATAATTTTTAAAAAGTTTAAAAAATGAAAATATCAAATAACTCGGAATTAATTTAGGCGCTCTTCGATTTCGAGGCGCAAAACGCTCAGGAGCTTTCGGTGATGGCCGGCGAAAGGCTGAGGATAGCCCCGAAGGAGCAGCAGCCGAAAGTTCGCGGCTGGCTTTTGGCGAGGTGAGTAAAAATCGTCTTTTGTAGTAAAACGTAATCTTATTTAGAGAAAAATATAGACGATTCAAAACATAATTTTTCAGCACCAGTGATGGCCAAAAAATTGGTCTGGTCCCAATCAACTACGTTAAAATCGTCGGAAAACAGAGCAGTTCCCCACCGCCGGCCGACGCTTTCGAGAAGTCATTTAGACCCCCTTTGAAATCTATGCTCGAGGGCCAGCCAAAAGAATAAAGCGATACTTTTATTATTTTCATGGATTTGATATTTATTGAGGGCTCATCGAGCTGTCATTACTGGCGTAGCGTAGATTTGCTCTCGTGAGATCGGGGGTAATTTTGGATTGGGTTTGCTCGTTGTGGAAGCGTCTCGGGATTGCCAGGCTTCATTCATATGCTGATGATAGAACTGCAAATCGGGCTAAGGATACGATTTTTCAAATATAAATAGAGCGGTGCTTCTAGTGGTTTCTTGCGATTCTCAAGCGTAAAAACGTTACAAATTTTATGAAACAATACGATAAACATCGATTTTCGACCAAAATTTTCACCAAAATTTGTTTTTTCGGGGTTTTTTGGATATTTTTCCCACCTAAATATATAGTTACATCTTACTAAAAACAATACAAAAAACTTACTTTTACTTTACTAGGCATTTTTGGACTTATAGGTGAAATTAGCACCGTCCCCCCCCGATAAAGCGCTAGAACCGCCAGGGTCAGAGATCGCTTCCAGCTTACCTGAGCCTGCTCATCCCCGGCGAAAATCATTCGCCGACCAAGCACGTCGCGCACTTGTTCCGGCTTCTCAGCGCCCTTATGACCAATGAGAGCCCAGAAGCTTTCGCGGAGCATTGAGTGGCCATAGATTGTAAGGGCCATTTGCGAGAGTAGCTGGAACACTCCAATTTGATCAAACGAGAAGCCGTAGCGATTCCGTTTCAGGCAGAAATCGTCATCAGGGAATTTCCCAAACCCCCCCGATTCTCCGCCTAATTATTTCCCGGGGGATAACCTGCACAAAGGAGCGCATTATAGCGCTTGGACTCACCTGCAGGTGGCTCACATAGAAATAAAAGGTGGAGTATAAGGGCAAATGATCGAGGCTGCGCCCCTCCCAGATCCAATAATATGTCGAGAGAACAAAGAAATTTGTCAGGCACTTGAACGGAGCCACTTTTACCAATAGCTCGGAGGCCTTCAGGTTTCTGACCGTGTCGAACCTGCAAATGGTTCTAAAAGGATTACAAAATAGTTCAAAAACAAAAGCAAGGCAGACCGAATTTGGACTACAAAACGCTCCAAATGCCGTTTTTAAACGTCTTTGCGAATTTTGAGGCTTCTTTGGAGTAATCAGCCTAGGCCATAACCAAAATTTTTTCTTATAGTAAAAATCAAAACTAGGAAAACCATTTCGAATTTTTTTCTTTTATAAAAAGACTTATAAAATTATATAAAAATATATATATTATATATATATATATATATATATATATATATATATATATATATATATATATATATATATATATATATATATATATATATATATATATATATATATTATATATTATATATATATTAAATTATATATTATATATAAAAAACAATTATAAAAAGGAAATTTTCGAAAAAAGTAACGAAAACTAGGAGTTTAAAAAAGTTGAGTTTTAAAGTTGGGCAGAAAGTTCCCGGCCAAAAAGCAAAATAAAAAAATCGTGAGCGGGTTCGAACCCTGGTCAGCACCCTATCAAGTGAGCTGCTTACCACTCGGCCACTCCACTGGTGATTCCATAGGGATGGGAGAGCCTCAGAAACCTGACGCTAATGCTAATTTTTCGGATGTAAATTATCATTTTCCGGAAGTGCTGTATCTCTGTCCAGAGGCCCATTAAGGAAATTCTGACCAGACCGTTGGAATCGCCATAGTCGAAAACCTAGGGGTAGCCGCGAGCGTTTTTCGAAATTCCACCGTGCCAACTTGAGGTTCCCTAGTAAGCTAAGCCTAAGTCTAGGCTTAGGCTTAGATCCGCACAAACATAGCCGAAGCTTAGACTGAGCCAAGCTAAGCTTAGCTCTAAGCAAAACCCCCTAAACGGCCGCACGTAAAGCAATTTGAAGCTCATGATAAGCTTAGCTTGGGCTTAAGCCTAAGCCTAAGCTAGGCATAGTAAAAACTAAGTAGCGTATGCGGAGCGCCTCGTAACCCCGAATTACCAATGGGACTGCCCCCCTGCCCGCGGCATTAGCACCCTAAAAATATTACTATAAGAATGCGCCATTTCTTATAAACGTGATTCAGAATCGGTGAAAATAGAAAATTAGCTCCCCCTGCTTACCCTGCTGAAACCCTTACCGCTGGGCAACGGTGGCTTCCCTGAAAGCCGCAACGCGAAGGTACTCTTTCTTGCAGCGAATATGTAGAAAAACGAAAAATACAGCCGCTATTGTAAAGAGTACATATTGAGCCCCGTAAGCGAGCTGGGCCGGTATTCCCAGGTTGTACAAAACGATCAGCATAAACGAGTAGATCAGCTGAAAATTGTGTTGGGTTTCGCTTTGACCTCGCACCGATCCCATGTAGAGTCCGATGGCCAATATTGGTCGCGCCGACATTTCCTCGTAATCGTGCGTATTTCGCATCGCGATAATCCGCTCGATGCTGTAGCAGAGGATGATCAGAAATGTTTGGCTGATCACTGGAAAGGCGAGATCTATCAGCAATATTGGGAATTACGCGTGTCCATGGCCATATTCCAGTACATGATAATCTGCGTGTTCAGCCAACCTAGCAGAAAAAAAGAATGGCGCAGCGGACGCAAATACAATAGAATTAGGTGTGTTGTCGGGTGTAGTAGGAGTAGTAATTTCAAGTTAGGATGGCAGAACTTAAAAATGTTTAAAGACTACCAGAACGATGGAACGCACACTGTCACCCCGGGGGTGCTGCCCCCAAGAACGCGCGGAGAGATGCGTCATTAGTGGTGCCCCGTACTGGGCAAAGGCCCTCTGGGGTTTGGGGCGCCTCTGACTCCCTTCCCCACTTGGCCCTGTGGTGTAGTGGCTAGCGCGTAGGACTGTGGAGCGAACCATGGCGGGTTCGACTCCCGCCCGGTGCGCAACGTTCTTGCATTCAACGGAATTTGATCGTTCTGACGGTCTTTAATGTGGAGCTAAAACTGCCAATTTTTGAAACAAACAAAAAGCCGATTTTTGAAATAATAATTGCTTATAAAATGTGTTTTTTTGCTACCCCTAACCGTAAACACTACAAAATTTCACTCAAAAGTACAAAATATCGATTTTTCTACCAAAGGTGGTCGATCTCCCCAACGTTTCAGATGACTTACCTGTCTGGTTGTCAGAATTCGTATATACCCACAAACGCAGCAAGTCAAGAAAAACAAGGAACACATCTCGAGCAACTGCAATACAAAAAGATCATGTGGCTTGGTTTAGGCTTCACTACTGCTTCCTTACGTTATTTATATTTATGAATGGCATCCTCAATCAGGCGATCATCCCTACACAACTTGCGACGCTTATTGTTAGTCCATAGCAAAACATCCAAAATTCTTGACTTACCCAAAGATTATAAACAAGCTGTTGCATATAAAAATTCGCAACATAGATTTCACCTCTTGCCATTTTTGGTTAGAAATCGAGGTAAATAACAATGGCCCCAGATGAATGTGGCCTCGCGTCAGCCCTTTCCGGAGAATTCCCCCCTAGGGGGCTGAGCCAGCGAATACAAAAGATCTGGGGCCGCTTGGGAAAATCCCAGCATCCCTGCACTATTTCAAAGAATTTCTGGACCACATAGCACGACATCAGCAAGCACATCAGTCGGGTCGAAAATTTCGAATGAACTACCTACGAAAAATCAAAACCGCAAAGTGCCGACTTGATTTACAAAGCACGTCCTCGATATTAAAACGTTTAGCAATCGCTGAGCAATTTACGAAGCACTTTTTCGAATTTACGAAGCACTCTAAGCAATTTACGAAGCACTTCGAATTTACGAAGCACTCTGAGCAATTTACGAAGTACTTTTTCGAATTTACGAAGCACTCTGAGCGATTTACGAAGCACTTTTTCGAATTTACGAAGCACTTTTTCGAATTTACGAAGCAGTCTGAGCAATTTACGAAGCACTCTGAGCAATTTACGAAGCATTTTTGGAATTTACAAAGCACTCTGAGCGACTTACGAATCCGTCTGAGCGTTTTCGAAGCGCTTTCAGCAATTTTTGAAGCACTTTGAGCCTTGTTTTGATGTTTGCAGCACTCTAGAGAAAAAAAATCTACATTCGAGCTACGCGACAGTACATGACAGTTTTTCCGTATATTGGAGCAGACGTACTATAATTTTTTGCTCTCAATTTTTTCTGCTCATCAAACCGTTTTTTAGATCGTGACACAGGGCGTCACAAAGATAGTACAATCTATCTATTTCTTCTAAAACTATATGATAATCTTATTATCTTTATTTCGACTTATATCCTTTGCTTGATGATGGTTGGTTGGCTGAGCCCTCCCGGTCGCGGGAAGGTGTGCAATGGACGGGCGCGTCGTCTCCCGCTCTCCGTTTCATCGCTCACGAAAACATGAGAAGAACGGCAAATTTTGGCTGCCAAGGTTTGCAGAGCAAACAGTTCGCTAACCTATCTCCCTCTGTTCCTTACCGCCTTTTCATTCCGCTAATCCCTCTCAAAATGCCGTTTGTAAAGCTTGTATTTTTCAGATGTTATGCGAAACCAGACGGACTGGTTACGCAAATCATTCTAGAATACTCGAATTCGAAGAACCACCTCAGCCAAACACGAGTAAAGCTTTATTATTCAGCAACATATAGTTTTTAGGTAATACTCGGAAACGGCGTCTCTCTGGCGAGGAGTCCAGCCGGCAAGTGAAGAAATCTCGTTTTGGCTTTCGGTTTCTAGGTATCGTTTCCCTAGCTTCTGTATTTTTCCCTTGTTAGACGCTGTTCGATCGTTCAGTTCGACTGTTGCGAACGTGTTGGGATTGGCAAAAGCGGGCCCAGCGCTGGAGCCGACAAGATTCAACAGTGGGTTTCACTATTGCTCCTCGAACCCCTGGCTTAGGTTGTGACGAGCGAATCGATTCAATGGTAGTGCCAGCGATTATTACACTAGATGACAGTGATATAGAAGAAGTCAGTTTATATTATCAAAAATGACGGTTTGGTGTCTAGGTGCCCATAGTTTCCCAAGATTTACGCCGAAGTCCCTCGCTAGAGGTTGTAAAACATGTTACCCCGGATGTGATCGTTGTCAAGTCGCCACCAAAGAAGCAAATCAGCGAGGTAAGCTAATAAAATTTTCTAAATTACGAAAAATAGGTGCAAATTCTCCACGAAACTGTGACACTCGACAACGAGGACGACGTGCAGGTCATCGAACGTCGGGGGGTAAAAAATTATCTAAATCGGTGACTTGGGAATTTAGCTGAACACCCGCCCTCGACATATCGCTGAAAATGCCGTCACAAGAAATCCGCAGCCACCCCAGATTGCCTCCACTAAGAACCATCCAAATTCTGACGAGGTTTGGCGTCCATCAATTCACTTATTTTGCTTTCAGGAAAGCTTGGAGCGCTACAAGCGTCTCTTCTTGTCTCGCACGCGCTCCTACAGCGATCCACGGGCGCTGAACGCTTTATCTGGGTGGGTTCTGTTAGGCGCAGCGCTAAATTGTGTTCATTCTAGATTCGCGGTGCTCGAGCAAGCCGGCCGCTCATTCGGTGGGCAAGAATCCTTTGGAAAGTCTGATGTATCCGAGGTTTGGTGCGGCGGATAAACTAAGGCAAATGTTTCAGCGATCCAGTACAACTCCTCGTACGATTTCTGGCCGTTCTTCATCACTCAGTCGACGCTCCGAAGCTCGAACTGTAACTAGCCCCCGGACGCCTACCACCAGCTTCACTAGTCCAAAGTCACCAACGACCGATTCGCCCTTCGCCGCGTTAGATGGGCGATTGGCCCAGCTGAACTTGGGCCATAAATCGAAAGATCTGCGAATTCGAGAGTACGAATACAGTTTTAAATTTTTTTATTCTTAGGTACCAAGCCCAAGGTGAAAGCCAAAAGGCCTACTTGCGACGACAAGAAGATGAGGTGCAAGTGATCGGCTCGGCAAGGGCCGCGAAACGGCCGGTAATTTTTAGTTAAATTATGAAACCGTTTTCTTAGGAATATACCCTCGACAAGATCAAGAAAAAGGTCGAACTTTACGGGATTGTCATCCCGGTCCCAGAGCCGAAGAAGGACCCCTTCCCCAGTAGGGAGTTCTCGCGAGTTTCATGTATTTTTTTTTCAGAACTTCCTGACGACCACAACGAATTGCTGCAGCGGGCGTGGAATCAAAGACTCAACCCGAACGAAGTCTTTTCTACAATCGACTCCGTTCCGATTCACCGAAAGGACCTGCTGACTTTGAGACGTGAGTGAATTCTTTTATTAGTTAGACGCGAAAAAAATAATGTAAGAAAGAAACAGAAAGAAGAATTAGATTTCATTTGACGAATTGAAAACTTATTCCCTCGTTTAGCTCGAACCTGGCTGAACGACGAAGTGATCTGCGCCTTCCTCAACTTGATTGTCGACCGCGGCTGCACAAATGGGTTCCCCAGCGTAATTTGTAATCGGAACCTGAGTATACGCTTTTTAGGTCTACACGTTCAACACGTTTTTCTATAGCAACCTTCGTACACCTGGGAAAGGCTACCCTTCGGTTGCCAGGTATTTTAGCGATTTTGCGCATACACTTTTTTTAGATGGACGCGCAAGGTGGACGTCTTCGAGAAAGACATTCTTCTCGTCCCGGTGCACTTGGAGGTCCATTGGTGCATGGCGGTAAGATTTTCGTAATAATCATCTAAAAAAACTTCTTTTAGACAATAAACGTGAGAGCCAAAAAAATTGAATATTTCGACTCGATGGGCGGTTATCGGGCGGGCGCAGAATGCCTGGAGCATCTCCTCAAGTATCTCGAAAAGGAGGCCGACAACAAGAACAAACCACCGGGAACTTTCGTGCGCTCCGAATGGGAAGCCATTTTCCGAGAGGTACTAGACGCATTTTTCAATACGTTCATTTTTCAGAATATACCTCAACAACGCAACGGCTACGATTGTGGCGTCTTCGCATCGCAATTCGCCGAGGCCGCATCCCGACATGCCCCGATCCAGTTCCGCCAGGAGAACATCGACTACTTCCGCGAGCGCATGGTCTGGGAGCTGGTCAACCAAAAGCTCTATTCCGGCAATTGACAATATATCCCTGATTGTTGTTGACTACACTAATTTTGCTCGCATTCCTCGTGACCCGGTGCTCTCGCGTGTTGCTCGACCAATCGCAACTCATTTTCCTCGATTAACAGGCGACTTTCGCCTGCATCCCCTTTGAAGTTGGTCTCAGTTTGTGATATTTATTATTGACAAGGCTTTGTATGTACAACACTTGAAAGCGTTCCATTGTAACGTGAATAAATTTCTACGTCTAACGGGGCAGAAAAAAGCAGGAGAGGTTGCAGAGACAGCGGATATTTTGAGAGCTTTCACCGAAATTTGGAAAATTCTGGAAGTGCCTTCTACACCAATGTTTTGGATGGAAATATACCCTTGGAGTAGGAAATATCTCTACCGCCCGGATTGCGTGCAGCCGACCACCTAGACTGGCATCTCGCGGCTCCGATAGCTTACTTTGTGTCTCGTCTCCATGTGGGGCGCGTGCCGCTCTACATTGCGTGTCCTTATCTAGTTCATGTAGATAGACATAGCCGTTATACGACTAATTTATGTCCTTTAATTTTATTGGAGCTAGATTCCCGAAATTAAGTCCATTTTCAGGTAATGAACCTCCAGGTCCAACTCCTCCTACTACTATGCTCGATACTATACTTGTGTGTGGAGGCCGGCCGGGATTTCTATAAAATCCTCGATGTACCGCGAGGGGCGACCGAGCACCAGATCAAGAAGGCCTATCGAAAAATGGCGAAAGAATGGCATCCGGATCGACATCCGGACGATGAGGAGGCCCATGAAAAGTTTCAGGATTTGGCAGCCGCCTATGAGGTAGTGTTTGAATTGCGGATTTTTGAAGACTGACTCTCCCTAAAATAGACAAATGTTTTAGGTACTTTCTGACAAGAAAAAGCGATCGGTATACGATCGATCTGGGGAGGAAGGCGTGAAGAAAATGGAGGGTGGGGGCGGAGGCCACAACCACGATCACTTCTCCTCATTCTTCGGGGACTTCTTTGGCGGCGGCGGTCATGACGACGGCGAGCGGGAAACGCCAAAGGTTGGAGTATCTGATTTTACATTTATTAAATTTTTAAGGGAGCCGATGTCGTGATGGATCTGTTCGCTTCACTGGAAGAAGTTTACAATGGTCATTTTGTCACTATCAAGCGGAAAAAGCCCGTCTACAAGCAGACATCCGGTAAATGTCGGTCATCACTGTCATTGGTGAGTTTAGGAACTCGGGAATGCAACTGTAGACACGAGATGCGAACCGAACAAATGGGCATGGGACGATTCCAGATGTACCAGGTATCTTTTCATTTTTTGGGTGGATTATTTATACCTTTTTAAGGTGAAAGTTTGCGACGAATGCCCGAACGTGAAACTCATACAAGAAACGAAGATTTTGGAGGTAAATCTTTGCCACCCCAGACCCAAGTATGATTTTTAGGTCGAAGTAGAGGTGGGAGCCGACGACGGACACGAGCAAGTCTTCGTCGGTGAAGGCGAGCCGCACATCGAGGGAGACCCAGGAGATCTGCGATTCAAGATCAACATCCAGAAGCACCCTCGGTAAGCTGCTTCGCCCTTGTTTTGCAAAGACTTGCTTTCAGCTTTGAGCGCAAGGGCATGGATCTGTACACAAATGTTACGATCTCGCTGCAAGATGCCCTCAACGGTTTCGAGCTCGAAATTGACCATTTGGACGGCCACAAAGTGAAGGTGGAGCGAGAAAAGGTATCGGAATACATGACGGTCTAAAAATATTGCTTTTCTCAGATCACGTGGCCCGGTGCTCGAATCCGGAAGAAGGACGAGGGCATGCCGTCGCTCACAGATAACAACCAAAAGGTATAGAAACTATTGCTTTCTGAGCTAAAATTGTTTTAGGGAAATCTGTACATCACATTCGACGTCGATTTCCCGAAGGGTGAGATGACCCCTGAACAAAAGAAAGCCCTCGCCGAACTGCTCAACCAATCCACGAAACCCAAGATTTACAACGGACTTCAGGGATATTAAATACTAGGTTTTTTTTTTGTAATTTTAATCTGGGATCGGTATCGTTCTTTCCATTGTGATTTCAGTTTACGCCCCGCAACCAACATTTTTTTGTTCTCCGGGTTCCCGAAGCCTTTATCGCATCTCATTTTTTAACTAGGGCATTCTTGAAGGGATAGACCTTGCGCAAACATTTCTATACCAAATTCCCGCTTCGGTAAAGCCCCTCTCAATATACTGTGATTGACGCCGATGGCTCGGTCGTTGTGGACCGGCGAGCTTTCGTTGATATGAAGGGTACCCCCCGGGGCTGGACATGTAAAAATCCCATTTTTTTTCCTAGCAATTGGCCATTTCAGTTAAGATACGCGTGGATTTCGAGGTTGCCTCCACTTCTTGCCCACTTTTGTTATTAATTGTCTTGTTTTGTCTCGGATTTCTCTGTGATTCAATGAATAAAGCAATATATGGTGAGGAAAATGTAGTTTCGCACCGGATTCGCTACATTTTCAGGTTGTTTAGAGATTCATGATTGTGTCGGCTTCACGAAGCTCGCTTCCGGCTGTGGAGATTCCTCGTTTGAGTGATGTTTGGTTGCTCTGTCGCCCCGTGTCAATAGGCCTCGCTCGGTTTTGATCGTCTAAGCGGCAGCTGGAGGCGGAAACCTGCGCGGCCCAGCTTTCGAAAGTAACATCTGCAGAATCACTGTTGATTACAGCCCCGATTCCCTCTCACTATTAGCCCTGCCCTCACCACAAAATGTCCCAGGAAAAGCGCAAGCCGGGCTGCCGGCACATGCGATGGTCGATTAAACAAGGTTGGGTTTATTTCTTTACTGTATAGGCAATTTAGGCCACCTACTGCCCCAATACTCGGTGGTCCTGAAGCTCGCATTTCCGCCAAACGATCGAGCGTGGAGGACGCGGGTAAAGAACATGCCCAAGGAATGAAAAACGGCTTTTAGGCGGCCGTCAATAAATGCGACGAGGATCAGTGCCGCTCCAACCCCTACGAGCTACTGGCCTGCCTGGATTGCAGTTTCGTTGCTTGCATCGAACACCTCCCGGCCCATTTTGTAGAGGACGTTAAAGATGTGCAACACAAATTCGGTAGGGAATCAGCACTTTGCCGCGATTTTAATTGTTTTAGCCGTATCGTTTACGCAGGGCGAAGTGTTCTGCGGGCGCTGCCTGCGTTTTGTTACGCACAAGAAAGCAACGAAAGTGAGAACCAGAGTTCTTGAACAATACCAGTGAGTTATAAGAATTTAAAAAAAACTGGGCGGAGGTAGAGAATCGTCTAACAAGCTATTTAGACAAGTTATGGGCTTCTCCATGAACCCGCGCTTTGAGCCGATCCAACGCAGAAGACACGGCACTGGTTTTGCGCTGCGTATGGACGATCATTATTTGCGTGGCATCGTCAATCTCGGCAACACCTGCTATATGAACTCGATTATACAAGTTAGTTTCAAGATTACGCCTAGAATTAAAAAATAAATATACCTATAATTAGATCTAATGTAAAAATGGCAAACTTTCAGGCACTCGTGAACATACCGGCCCTCCGAGATTTTTTCCTCTCCGGGTTGCATCAGCACGAGGGCGGGGAATTGGCGGATTGTATGTTGTGCATCATCCAGGACGCGTTTCAGGTATGTAAGAACCGGATCGTAAAATAAGATGGTTTAGAATCTCGTTGCTGTCGAGTACGAGACACCTGTGGTCCTCAAGCAACTTCTGGGCGCTCTTTGGGGGTCCTCGGCACATTTGGCCGGGTGAGTTTTAGGCTCATAATTTGGAAATGTGTGTTTTAGATATCATCAGCAAGACGCTCACGAGTTCCTGGTGACAATTTTGGAGCTGATGCACAAGGCATTGCGACGTAGGTTTTATCCGCTTTGCTCTATTTCTCTCTTTAGCGGATGACAAGACGGCTTCACACGTCGGCCAGTGCAACTGTATCATCGACCAGCTGTTCAGCGGCGTCATGCAGTCTAGCTTGTCGTGCGAGCGATGCGGGTTTGCCGAAAAAGGAATTTTTGAGCAAATTTGGTTTGTAGTCATCGTTCCCTGCGCGACGAGCCCTTTCTCGACATTGGCCTTCATTTGACTGACCAGCCGACAACGCTCGAGGAGTGCCTGGAACGGTTTGTTCCGGAATTTTCGATAGAATAGTGTTTTTAGATATATTCACAAAGAATTGGTCGCCTGCACGACCTGCGAAAAATGTGGCGAACGCGGGCTGCAGAAGCAGATGACGTTCAGGTAGAACAGAAAGCTCAGTTACGCAAATTCCATTGATCAACCTAACTTTGAAATTTTTGTCGTTTGTAGACGAATGCCAGTAATCGCCGTTTTCCAACTGAAACGCTTCGAGCACTTTGGGGTGACGAGGAGGAAGATCAACTCGCCGGTCAAGTAAGTCTACAAAGATTTCAGAGACAAAGAAAAAATTAATTTCAGGTTTCCGAAAACCCTAAATATGACCAAATTCCTGGCCGCCTACCACGAGAACCCGGCCATCTTTGACGAAAAAGGCGCGCAGGGGATGTTAAACACGTACTACAATAAGTGGGCAAAAAGAGGCGGATCTAAAACAAAGTATTTAGCTATGAACTTTATGCGGTTGTGCAGCACACGGGCTCGTTGGATACTGGCCACTACACGAGCTATATTCGACGAGGGCACAAGTGGTTCCACTGCGATGATGATCTGGTAGGTAGAGCGCAAAGCAACCTAGCAAAAATAAAAACACATTTCATTAGCTTCTATGCCTTTTTAGGTCTATCGAGCCCCTCGGCGCCAAGTCACAAAATCAGACTGCTACCTGCTGTTCTACCAGGTGTCCCAGATCAAGCGCGTGCCTCGCCCGCCACCAGCGGTGCAAGAGGCTTGAAGAAAATGTATTTAAAAAGCTCTCCTATTAAATGTGTGCAATTTTCGACTGGTTTCACCATGTTTCCTCATATCGAAGACAATTTCATCACTCCATCCAACGATCTCATCGACCCTCGTTTCTTACGTTGGCTTTATTGAATCATCCGGTCCACATTGTGTGTGATAAATGTACAGATAAAGAAGTTGTAAGTAGATAGAATTGATTCGAGTTTATACTGGGGCGTTAAAGCGCGAAAAATTATCTATTTTAGCTTCGTGGCGATTTGGTCGGGAGATTTTCGTTTTACTAGGTATTCTAGTCGTATTAGTCGAAGTCGAGGTATTGTTATGATGATCTGGGTTTTTTCGAAGAACCAATTTTTGGTTATGATCAAAAATTGCGTTTGAAGCCTGAAATTTTGAGACGCATGTGAAGCTGATCTTCCTCTGTAAACAGCTTTCTTGCTTTTACCATTTTTCATAGTTTTCTTTTTTACCTTCCTCTTCAGAAGAAAAAGCTTCACGTACTTTTCCGCTTCCAGAAAGCCCCCAAACCCTGCCAGCTCCGCCGTCACCCGTTCAAACTGGGCTCCTCGGCCGCAGCTAGCTCCACCAAAAAATGCAAGATCGCCAAGCGGCTGCTGAAGCCAAAAAAGAAGGGGATGAAACAGGTACACTTTGATTTTATCACAGAAATTGATGAAATCTAGACAAAACAGCTGGGGGCAAAGGTGAAGAGGACGCTCGCCAGCCGCTCAAACAAGCCCGGACCTTCGACGTCGACGCAATGTTCGCAGAAGCCCGCAGGGTAACGTTTTTACCGGTATTCCTAATTTTTGATTCTAGTCAGCCCAAAGCCATTTCGCTGAAAGTGCGCTGGCCCGCGGGGAAGATCAGGAAGGTAACGGCTTTTCGAGTTTTTTTTTTAAATAATTTTTCCTTTCCAGAAACAGCCCGGAAAGGCGAAGGCAAGAAAAGAGCTCCTGGCCAAGCAGCGGGCGAGCGTGATGCTGGAGGAGTGAGTTTCATTGGTTTTTGCTGTTGGAAAACTCATTTTCAGGGTGCAGGTGCGGCTGGAGATGCAGCTAGACCTGTAGATGAGGACAGTGATGATGGTTTGTAAACTTTTAGTCTTTTTCATTTTTTCCTCAGATTTTATGCCTGCTCTTCCTCCCGGCATGGCCGCAAAGAAGGCGGCGGCCAAGGACGAATCCGATGATGATTACGACTTTGCTGACTACGCCGGCGAAGGGGTGAGAATGGCCTGATTTTGCTTGATTTTGGCGTTTTAGTTGCCCGTCATCAAGCTCATCCCGACGGCCTGCGAATCGGTGATGAAGCACGGGAATTTGGCGGTGCGTGATTTTTAAAATGATCTGAATGCACATTTTAGGCCACTGCTATTGCTTTTGACGTCCCTGGCACTCGGTTCGTCGTCGGCGGCTATGATTATCAGCTGTCGGTGTTCGAGTTTCAAAAGATGGACCGCACGATGAGAGCCGATAATGTTGTCAATCCGTGTGAGGAGTGGGTTTTAATTTTTAGACATCAGAAATCACACCGGAATCTGTTCGTTATTTCAAGCATCTATATTTTTCAGGAACATCATTCACCACGTTTCCTTCGCCCCGAATGGGGAGCACCTACTCGTATGTAACGGCAGCCCGCAGGTGATCATCCTGGATCGCCGGGCGGCAAAGTGTGGCGAGACGGTTCGAGGTGGTCTAGAGTTTTTAAGGTGATTTTTTATTTTAGGTGACCAGTACCTCGTTGATTTGTCAAATACAAAGGGCCACACCGCCACGGTCACCTGCAGCGTCTGGAATCCGATGGTCAGGGGCGAATTTGTCACCTGTTCTTCCGACGGGTCAGTTGGCTAATTTTTTTCTATCAGCTTTTTTCTGTTTCTAGCTCGATTCGCTTCTGGAACGTTGACGACTTTAAGGACATCACCCGACAGATCAACAAGCAACGCAGGGTAGGCTTTTCCTAGGAAATCCCACTGTTTCTTTAGTTGATCAAGGTGAAAAACCAGGGCGGCAAGCGCGCGCAGCCGATCTGCATCGCCCTGTCGACCGACGGGAAATTGGTGGCGGCCGGTTGTCAGGATGGCTCGCTGCAAGTGTGGAAAAATCAGAAAATTGTGGTACGTCCTTTTAGTAGATTTTCAGACCCATATTTTTGAGGTGAGCACTACCTACTTGGTTCGCGGGGCGCACAGCGCCGAGGTGACGTGCGTCAAATTTTCGCCAGACAGCAAGAGGTGAAAAAAATACATTGGTTTTTAACGTAATTATTTTCAGAATTCTTACCCGAGGCAAAGACGGTGCGTTGAAGCTGTGGAGCCTCACCGACAACAAGGCCCCGTTGCGCATGCGCTCCGGGTTGTTGACGGATTGGAAAGAGTACGTATTTGTCGGATTTATCAATCAGTTTCTCTCTAGGTCTGACTGCGGCTGGTCTCCGCGCGGGGAATTAGTATTCGCCTGCTGCTCCCCCGAAACCGAGACTGGCGCCGGCTCGCTCGTCTTCCTCGACCCGGAGACGTTCGATATCGTCTACCGCATCGAGTACCCCGACGGAGTGGTAATTGTCGATTTCTCAGGCCCTTTAACAAAATTTAGAGCGCCATCCGCTGCATCTGGCACCCGCGGCTGAACCAGATTTTGGTGTCGCTCTCTGGTATCGATTTTTTTTGAGGGAAGTATAATTGGCTTTCCAGACGGTTCCCTACGGCTCTACTACGATCCGGCCACGTCGCACATGGGCGCGCTGACGTGCGTGACGAAGCCGCTGCGTCGCGTTCGCGCCCAGGAGGTGATCAAGGAGGAAATGGTGCTTGCGCGTGAGTTTTTATCTTATTTCTAGGGTTTCATTCGGCATTCAAAACGAAGAAGAGAATTTCGGATAAAATAGAAAAAAAATCCTGTTTTTTTGGCTAATCCTATAGGCAATTATTTCCTGAATTATGTGAATAATCTGAAAAACAATAATCAACACCTGATTTTTAGCGCTGGCCCTCGAGATGTTCCAAGGGCGCGGCGAGGAGCCGGAGGAGAAGGACGTGACGGAATACCGGTTGAAGAAGTACCTGAGGATGAAGGACAACGAGCTGCGCCCGGCCTTCCGGAAACCGGCCGATATGCCGTTGAGTGGGCCGAGTACTGGTGGACGAGGTGAGATTTTTAATGCTGATTTACATTGTAATGTTAAGGTTTGAATTTTTAATTAGATACCATTTCAAGTTCTTATACTTTCATAAATATTATATAAAAAATCAACTATTTTCAACATTTTTAGTCAACTCGACGGGTGGCACGCTGCACGCCTACCTCGCTCAGCAGATGGGTATGGAGCGGAACAAGGACTTTTTGGCCGACAATGACGTCAGGGCTAGCATCCTCCGGCACGCCGAGGCGGTACGTTATTACAGATTACGATCGGTTTAACCCGATATTTAATTCCATTAACTTCAATTTATCATAATAAAATAATTTCCAGGCCGAAGCCGACCCCCAGTACATCAGCAAGGCCTACCGCAAAACGCAGCCGGTGCCAATTTTCCAAGAAAAGACGACGGGTCCCGAAGAGGACGAGGAGGAGGAGGAGCGCTACACGCCCGCCATGAAGCGCCCAAAGCAGTCCTAAGCTTTCCCCCTACCTTACCTCACTTGTTTGCGATAATTCCCCCCGGCTTCATTGGTTCGATCTCTTCCTAGTTAATTTTATGCCTTTCTTCATCCCTCCTCGTCTAATACTTGTTGCCGAGATTTTATGCCTGCGATCATTCTTCGTATATCCAACGTTTAATCCGACCATTTAGTCATTTTAATCAAGTTCTGCTAACCGGAACGAATAAAATACTACGTTAATCGTTGCTTTTGCGTCGTTGAGAATTTGTTTTTGCAGCAATCCTTTCGTAAAATCAGGCAGGCAAATTTTTTTTGATTAGGATCCAATTTGACTAAAAGAATAGAAGAACTGTTCTTACCTTTTTAAAGTATTCTTTACAGCTTAAAAAGCGCCCAAAGTTTTGTAAAAAATTACAAAAGCCCTCGTTTTTTGACCAGAATCCAATTTTTAGAGCCTTCTAAATCATTTTTTTTGCCTTGAAAGAAATTGAATTCCCAGGTTTTTTGTGTGTTATCCAACAGTTTTGAAAATTCTTGTATTTCGTCGCACGTGGGATATCAGCACGCCAGAGCGCTGATACGAGAAGATGCGCTGAAGGGAGCGATCTATTCATCATCACGGAGCGACTAGGGTGGATCTCCGCACCACCCAAATGCAAATTTCTTTCCCCACCTCTGCCCCTCCTCCTCCACCTCCTTCGAGCAACAGCCTGTTCAGCAAGTCCGGTTTCACCTGTTTTCGTCGCCGGGAATTGTTTTGCACGCTAAAGCCTCGAGATTCCGAATTTGGTGCGGAGGGTCAGGGTTCAATTTATTTGTTTGATTGATGATATTTGGAATGTACACGAAAAAGCAAGGACGATGTTAGCTCGTGCTTAACTCTAAAAATCTCTGCTAGCCCGCCTCACATGGACAATTTTTTCGGGGTTACCTCAATTTTTTAGTATATTTTTAGTTTTGGTTTATAATTTGTCACATGTTACGCTTTTGCGAAGAAATGCAGGGTTTCTGATTTTTTAGATGTGAACTGATTTTTTCAGCTTTTTTAAAATTCTGGGACGTCGAAAAAAGCCTTTTTATTTGTTGCCTGGTGAATGCCGTCATCTCCTCAACCGGCTCTCCCTATTCTTCCCGGTCTGATTCATATGCCGTCACATATTGCAAGGGGGTGTGGGTCACAAGGGCTTTTTGACTGTCAGCTTCATTCCAGAATTGGTTTCTCCATTTGTAGAGCCTTTTCTTTATTGCGGCATCATGGACGTCAAAGAAGCATCAAAATGATGAAAATTTTTCGACAATTCGGCTCGTAAAAAGCACAGAAAACTGTATTTTGCCTTGATCTTTGCAGTTTTTATCGAGTTGCGCCTTTTTTGACATTGTAGAAACATCTTTAAAAATTTCCTCTTCACACTGGAGACTTTTTTTGAAGCGAATCTAGAAAAATCCTCAAATTTGTATACAATTTGGTCGAAAACGGCTGATACACTCGATTTTCGTCAATTTTTTCGTAATATCTTTGTTTTTTTGTGCGATTTTTCAATTGACAGAACCGTTTTTAAGTAGTGCATCGGATTTGCGCTATTTCCCTACACCTATTTACCTATGCAGGCATGCAAATGGACCTCACTCTCGCCCGCCTCGAGGTTGTTGCCCGGGGTGACCCGGCTACTCGTAGGCGTTTGGCCCCGATTTCTAAGGTGCCCAGAGGCTTTTAGGCGCAGTGGGCGCTTTGAAATTGGGCTTTCCAGGTGGCGGATCCCCGTCAAAAGCAGCTACTTCAATTCTATAGCTTTTCAGAGAGTTATGGGTATTTCTAGCGTTCGATCTCGCGCTCTTTTCTTTCTTCCTTTTCTCTTCGCTTTTTTCTTCTTAGCATGATATCGTTCTCGCTTTTTACCTTGCTCTCTCTCTCTCTCTCTCTCTCTCTCCCCTCTCTCCTCTCTAACGATTCTTACAGTTACTATGATACACGCTACCTTCTTTTCAACATCCCCAAGCAGGTCAACACCACATAATAGGAATCCATGCCCTACTGAATAACTCTTGGCCCGGTCACCGCCCCGGGGGGAAACAATCGTTTAGCGGCCGCCGGGGGCTGTTGGTGATGTGAGTCAGGCCGTGCCATCCACCCACACCTTGCCGCTCCCTGAAGATATGCACGATCCATCGATCTGGTGCCCCGGAATTGCCAGTTTTTGGGGGCAGAATTGTGAAATCGAGGGTTGGTACGGCAAGGGTCGACAGGTTTTTATAGATCGTATACCTTCAGCAAATTCTTAACATCAAGCTTTCGATCGTCCGTCATGGCCTGCCCTTTCCTATCGAATCTCTGCTAGCATCCCCTTTTTGAATCATAACTTTTTGAACTTCTTGAAAGCGGGGTTTCACAAACTTCTTGACCCAATTCTTCTCGTGTGAAGGCCCTCCTCTACCCCAAGGGTACCCCCATAAAATATCCGAATCTGTCATCTGTCTGTCATTTCGGTGCTTTTCACAGGGTTGGGTGGCCGTCGGGTCTTTTTACTTCCTATTCCCCATTACACCCCCACCCAGTCCAGTCGCTTCCCATTTACTATACGGGGCTCCACCCCACACACACCCATTTCACCGCTTTTTCACCGCACGCAGCTGACAGCCTGCCCCTGGGGTGTCCCCCATCTTGTTTAGAGCCCTGCGGCTATTTATGATTTTTTGTGGCGATTTTTGAGGCTTAGGCTTAGGCTTAGTATGCTTAGGCTTAGGCTGCGCGTAGGCTTAGGATTATGCTTTTAGCAGCGATCAAGCTAGCAGAGATTCTTGAGGTATCGGGAGCCGAACCAAGCTTGCGTAGTACGTAGAAGACTATCTTTCCCAGAATGCCCAATCGTCAGATGCACTCTTTTCTCTTGCTCTCTATCTTCCTCTCTCTCCCTTTCTCCTTCTCTCTCTCGCTTCCCAAAAACCCGGGCAGCTTTTGTTGTGTGCCGTGAGCGGGCGGAAATACCGAAATTCGTGCATGTGGCGGGGGGTGGGGGGCTATCGGCTATCATTTGGGGGCATCAGATCCGGTCTTCGGGATGTCCTCACAGGGCATACAGCACACACACACAGGGGCAGATGCCTCACGGCTTTATTGCCAGATGAATGCTTCGAGCCGGGATGGGGGATTGTCGTGGAATTGACAAGTGCCTATGCCGCCACCCTCATCAACGGCCGGGCTGGTTATCAGCAACTCTATTTTTTCGATGATTTTGCTTATTATTGAAATCGATCTCTGTAGTACCCTAAAAAAGCCTGCTAACTTCTCTGCTGCGTTAAAATGTCCTCAAGATTCCCTCCCAGCCTGCCTGCCCCTCCATTTTGACCAAAAATCTCTGCTAGCCTGCTCACGCCACAGCTTCCTTGATACTCACTGCTAGCTTGCCCTCCTCCCCTCCTTCCCTATCATTCATTTGGTTTTTTCGATAGGGGAAATGGAACAACTGGCACGGCCAGTCGCTTTTTCTAGGCCGAATTGATGGCCGGTCGGGTTGGGTAAGCATAACTTTCTCGCCTCGCTTCGATCAAAAGTCAGGCATTTTTGATAATCTTTTCATACTTGGCAGATTGAAAATTTTTGGCTTCACTTGCCCTTTAAAGAATTCAACTGTGAGGCTCAGGTCAAAGCCTAAGCCTAATCCCAAGCCTAAGCTTAAGCCCAAGCCTAAAACGCATTACGCCAAAAGACTACACGACATGCCAAAAGACGGCCGCTAACCAGGGCGGCTGCGGTTTTGGGGGAGGCGGGAACAGCTGCGGTGTGGGTGTCGTCTCTATTTCGGCTGTTCTCCACTCACACTCCGCTTCACTCCTGTAAACACGGGCCACTTTTTTCTATTGCTTGTTCGCCACTGGTCCCACCCTGGGGAGGGAGGATACGAAGATGATGGCCCACCACTTGAGCCCGGGGGCTAATTTTAGGCATTGAAATTTTGGAAATTTGGAGAAGAAGGATTGATTTCTCTCTCTCTCTCTCTCTCTCTCTCTCTCTCTCTTTCTCTGCACCAACGACTAGGGCATGCTAGCAGAGATCACTAGGGAATTCCAAACGCATATCCACTAACTCAGCTGCCCTACAAAAAGTCGCCCCTGTTCCACCCGGCTCATCGCTCGTTTTCGCCACTTCCAAACACCGATCCACTTATCCCATCAGCCACACAACCCGATCAGTCCAAATACGGGGTCAGGGACGCTTTTTAGGGAGGAAGCTGCGTCTAGCTGTCTCTATTTCTCTCTGTTTCTTTCTCTCTCTCTCTCTCTCTCTCTCTCTCTCTCTCTCACTCTTTCACACACTCTCGGCTTCTAAGGGAAAAGACCCGTAGGTCATGTTCCATTGTCTAATCGGGATGCTCATTTCTTTCCCCAAAAGTTTGGTGGTCAAATCATGGGTCAATTTCTCTCTCGCTCTCTCTCTCACTCTCTCACTAGCTATTTTCTACTTTCGTTTTCTTACTTTCAAGAGAGACGGTGAAGACAAAAACCACAGCTTTCAGACCATGAGGTTTTTGTCGCTCTCGCTCTCACTCTCTCTCGCTCTCTCTTTCTCTGCCTCTCTCTCGCTCTCGCTCCCTCTCTGTGACATCTAAAGGCCCTGTCAAGTGAAAATCACGCCCGGAAATCTAGCCAACAACATTTCCTGATCCTCCACCTCAGAAGCACCTCCAAATGAGCTCCAACCTGAGCCATACTTTCGCGTGTCCCTATTGGACGACCCTTCACGGCCCATTGCGCCCGACGCGCGCCCCAGCCCTCCCCCTGCAGTTTCCCGGGCGGTACCGCCGAATTTTACAGGAGATGCTCATTCGCGCCCTTGGCCAGCCTTCTGCGCTTCCGGTGCTTGGTGCTAGTGCTTTTGTTTCTGGAGTCGGGGATTTTCTTGGACTTTAAAGGGACTGTTTCTCTCTCTCTCTCTCTCTCTCTAAAATTTCGTTGCAAAATTCCAGAGCCTGTGAAGCCCATCCGCTTCAACTTCCGGCAGACAGACCACCCCAATCG